CGCACTTGAGGCTCACAAGACAGCGAAACCTTGCCATTTTTATTCCGTCAGTGATCATAAAAAGTTCGAATTTCTGATGGCCATGCGTCCGGCCAGTAGTCTGTATGACAAAAAGTAAACCAAAGAAACTCACTGTATCCTAAAATTCCAAGAGATGTCCCACCCCCGAAAGGTAACCCGCCCCTATTTATGGCTTGATTTGCTATTTTCTTTTACACATTGAAAGATAGTTCGCTCCCAGTAATCGCAGTGTTCAGATCAATGACGACCATGGCGTAAATGCGTCTAGTTAGCTATGGCGGGATGTAAGCGAACATTGCTGACTGGGAAGTAGTCATCTTTTCCTCAATCACTTTCGCCGCAATAAAAAGTTTACAAATGGCGAGATAAGCCCAAAGTGATCATAAATGCGCGACGTCGCTTGAAATACCAGTCTTTTAGTCCATTTTGCTGACAGGATGAACAGGATCAAGTTGAACACTTCAAAATGTAAAGTGTCGGTTTCTGGGTTCCAAAGCACACCCAACACCTTCCTCGTGTTCGCCGGTTTGAACTTGATGTCAGGGAGCATTGATGTTTCGTCTGCTACTCGACGTAACTCACGGCTATTAGTTGTCCATTTGCAAAAATGCAATCCCGCTTCACTTCGTATCGTAGCCACTGTATCACACATAACGTGGGCTTCCTCGACGCTCTGTGCTCCCGCCACATAGTCGTCCATATAGAATTGGTTTCCCATTTTGGCTTGCCGTTCCTGGAAGCCAAATCTTCACACTTTCAAAATGATGCCGCAAGGTAGCCGCCAAGAGGGAAGGGCTTGAGGCTGCTCCAAAGGGCACTCAATTCATTCGCCAGACTTCAATAGGTGGCAGGTCGTATCCGCAAGCAGGCGGAGACTTGTGCCATAGAAACCGTAGAGCGCTTCTGTCTTGTTCAGCCAACCTGATCTGGAGGAACGCTTTCTCAATATCTGCCGTAAACACAATCTGGTATGTACAGAACTTAAGCAGAAGGTCTAGAATGTCTGGGTTCAAATTTGGACCCTTATGAAGCGTGCCGTTTAGTGACAACTGTCCAGGACCACTGGACGAGGCATCGAAGACTATTCACACTTTAGTAGATTCATCTTCATCTTTAATGGCAGCCTTGTGTGGCATATAGTACCATGGACCATCCATATGTTCCTCTTTGACTTTCTTCGCAAAGTTATTCTCAAGGTACTCCGGATGACTGTCGTATTGAATCAACTGTTTCCCGTTTTTCAGGGGGCACCTGGTCAGTCCTTCCAGCCGTCTCTGGACTACCTCCTCACTGGTGCCCAAGTCGTTGACGTTCTCTTTCCAAAGAAAGCAGACTTAATAATAGTCCTCAAATTTCTTAATTGTAGAAAGAAACCATTGAAGGACTTCGTCCGTGCTTACGTCGTGTTGCTCTCTCTGCAGGACGCCAAGACTTTTAAATTCCCAGAATGCCCTCAGCCGCTGAGAAAGCTGATCGCTCTGATGTCGAGTCATTACCTGCATAACAGATGCTTGGTGCCAGCCCACTTCGGGTAATTGTCGCACTGGCCCTCGCAGGGTCTAACGAAATATTGTTTCTACCGCTGTCAAATCTCCATCAAGTCGCTTGATGGACCCAGTGACAGCCTTCCAGTAATTATCCACTCCGATCAGTATATCAATGCCAATGTCTCACTTGAACACAGAGCATGAAAGATCGGCGAGTTGCAGCGTGCACGTTTGAGCTGTCCTGCAAAGACTTACAGGGAACGCAGAAGAATGGCAAATGACAGGAACTTCCAGAGCCACAATTCGTACCCGCCTCTGATCGTATTGGCTTTGAAGCCATACCTCTACCTTGCGTAGTTCACTCGCATCACCAAGGGCAGTATCACCGAAGACTGTGATGCTCAAATCCTCTTTTCCTAGAACCTTACAAGACAGCTCGTTGACAAGCCTGGTCGTCACAAACGTCCGCTGGCTCCCTCCGTCCAGTAAGCACCAGAATAGGCGGTGCTTTGTCTCCCCTTCAGCCCAGATCGTGGCAGTTTGCAGAAGAACTGTTTCAACGCTGTTAGACACCGCAATCGTTACTGACACTTACGAAGTGCCTGGCTGTGACAATGAGTGAGGACTGTCCTTCGTGGGCTTGAGGTCAGGATCGCAGAGGCAAGTCATGTGTCTCTCTTGGCAGTTGGTGCAGCAGAGAAATCTGGCGTTGCGACAATCTCTTGCTTGATGATATCTTTTGCAACACCTGAAACATCGGCCTTCTCTCTTCAGTATTTCTTTTTTCTCACTGATGAAACGCACGTTGCATTGGTCGAACGAGTGCTCACGTGAGTCGCAAAAAAAGCATTCGGCATCTTGAGCGTCCGTCCTTCCAGCTAAAGCTGCTGCCGATGGAGTGATGCATGCTTTGAGCACCTGGTTTAATGAGTCCTCCTTTTTGGCCTTTGATAGACTGCCTTGATTTGGCTTTATTTCCAGAAAGCGATCTCGGCTCTCTACCTCGGACTTCAGAAAATTCAAAAAGGTTTTCAGACTATTGGTGCTATCCGCAATGTCGGTGGCACTTTGCTGGCAGTAGCAGAGGACAAGGTCGTCAGGTAGCCGCTTCTTCACGGCAGCATGTAGCAGCACACTGTACACTTCCGCCTTTACGCCAAGTGCTCCCAGGCTGCGGACATTTATCGTGATATCATCGTATAGCCGTCTCTGAGCCGTGACGTCGCTCGACGTGGTGACGTTTTTTAAATTGAAGAGTCAGGTCATGTGATTGTCAATTATCGCCTGGGTCTGGCCGAACCTGTTCTTCAAGAGATCCACAGCGATGTTATAGTTGCTCTCCATAATAGACAATCCCCGTATGCTGTCTTCTGCCTTTCCGAATAGATAGCTCTTTCAAATATTTAAATTTATCAATTGAAGAAAGGTCTGGGTTGTTGTGTATAGGCCCTTCAAATTGATCCCAGAAAGGTTTCCAATTATGAAGGTCTTCTTCGAACTTTAGGATCTCTAATCTTTGAAATTTGATTGCTATCGTTCTTGACCTTAGATGGCCTTGGTCCCGATCCTGTAACCATTCCACAGCGTTCTATGCGATGTTAGACGTGCGCAGGACATCCAGCTTGATCGCGGCTCTTGTTCATGAATGGCAGATCAACGCTGGATAAAACTCTACGCTTTCATCTCTTCTTCAAGGTGATCAATATCAACCCCGTCTTCAATCTCACTGTCAACTGCCTTCAATGCTGCTTCCTTCTGTTCGAAGATATTCAAGATTTCTGAGTGCTCACCAGTGGTTGCATCCAAGGAATCCAGCAAAGCTTGCCAATCATTGGTGGCTCTAATCACCACTGACCGGATGACGGCTCGTTTTCTCCGCAGTCGGTCCATTTTCTGAAGGCGAGTGGTTATCCAGGTCCCGCAATTGTCAGATAGAAATCTGTCACTCTTTTTGTCAGGCGTCTCCTGGATCCCGGGTTTCGGCACCAGATGTTTGGGATCTGAAGAAAGTATGACCCGATCGACGTGATGGTAGCAGTTTTATCAGAATGAAAACATGGCGGGTACTTCCAGCGCGTGACACCGTTGCTCACTTCTTCGTCGTTCCGTGTCCATTCTCCAACAAGTAAAGCCATAAATAGGGGTGGGTTATCTTTCGGGTGTAGGCCATCTCATGGGATATTACCGTACGTTGTCAACCAAACCCTTTTCTATTTGTCTTTTATAAGGGCAATTCGGTCAGAATTTCTCCAGTCTAATCCTATTTATAAGGCATTTTAATGTTGGAAAATTGTGCACACAACACCAGAGAGGAGTACACAGAGAAGCTATTTGATTTGATTTATATCAAGCTGCCACTCAACAAACGTTTCAAAATATATTACTCGCACTGACGTCATCAAAGTGTTGAAGACTGTCTTTTCCATAAGTGAACTCTTTCGTTTGAGATTGAAATAAGTGGCCGTGCCACCATGTTATTATATCAATCAAAAATGTCCTACACTATGCAAATTTTTTATTAAAGTACTATTTTGGCGATTTTTTTAATTTTTTTTTTTATTACGCACATGCTTTAGCGAACTTGTTCGGTGCAGGTAGTGCCGGAATCTCCGTGATCATCTCATTTTTGTTGTTGTTTTTTTTTTGCATGAGAATAAAATCGCTTACCTTAGCTGTTTTCTTCGAGCTCGTACGGACTTACCTTCGGGGTTCTGCCAGTCCCACACGATATTAAAGCATACCGCTTTGAGGAATCGTTCTCTACAGTTCAGTAACATTCCAAGCACAAAAGAACGTGAGTTCGTTAAGAAAAAGGCCAAGAATCCGCAACAAAGCCTCCTACACCCACGCAGAAGCTGTCGGGCACCAAACAGCGTTCAGACGCCATGGACGAAAGCGCAAGCCGGCAAGCGGACAAGCGCACTGCACAGCTGCAGGCGCGTTGCTTATCGTTTGATCGATTACTAGAAAATAAACCAAATAAAACTCTACAGGGTGTCACAAAAGAAAATTTACACGGTCTTTTTTACCGCAAAAATAAACTAGGCATCGCCGAACGCTCATTTTCCGCCCAAAGGTAGAGCTAGAGGTCACAACCAGATGCCAAAGTTTCAACCCGATCCGATAACTTAATCAAAAGTTATAAATGATTTTCTGAAAATTTTAATGGGAAAATGGCGGCCGACGGAGTTTTCAAACACATGGGGCTCTATGGCACCAGAAACCGAAAACGGGCGAAAATGGGCTCCATTTTCCCATTGAAATTTTCAGAAAATCATTTATAACTTTTGATTAAGTTATCGGATCGAGTTGAAACTTTGGCATCTGGTTGTGACCTCTAGCTCTACCTTTGGGCGGAAAATGAGCGTTCGGGGATGCCGAGTTTATTTTTGCGGTAGAAAAGACCGTGTAAATTTTCATTTGTGACACCCTGTATTACAATACAATACATTTAACATGAAACCATGCACAACAGTACACTTGCTCCAACTACGGTGATCTGAACATTCAACCAAAAAAATTAATGGATAGGTATTTGCGCTGCTCTGCTCTGTTGCGCTGTGGGTGGTAGCTTGCACCACCTAGCTTGCACCATCTAGACGTTTGCCGAATTTTTCGCCGAATCTTTGCCGAATTTTCCTTCAAAAGTTCTGCATGTGCCAAACCGGCCGAAACCACAGTGGGCAGAATCAGAGGCAGGATCGATCCACCCCACCACGACCAACGAGTTGGTCGTGCACCCCACACTGTCCCACATTCGTTGTGCATTCGCCCATGAATAACGAAGGTAAGGCGGTTGAAAAGGTGCATTTGCCGCCTTTGTTTTCATCGAACGTAAAGGCATGCAAACAATGTGAACAGCCAGCTAGTACACCCGTCGTGGTGCTCTTTGTTCGTTCGAGAAAGGGGCCGAAGGTGTTGTGCGGATAGAAACTCACACCGCTCATTCACTCGCGAGGTAGCAAATTTGCGAGGAAATATTTGAAGAATAAGGCGATACTTCATGCCGGTGATTCACAAATTACTGTTGCCTCAGTTCGTGTAAATAAACTAATGACAGTTATCATAAAAACGTTTTTTTTTTTTTTTATGCACAGGAAGAAAAGCTGCAAAGACCTGTTTGACGCTGCTACTCACAGCATAGTTTTCACGTGACGTCACGTCCCCTATTCCCGCTCGCAAACCGCCATTACGAGGTACTGAGAAGAGCTCTGCTGAGAAGACGCGGACACCGCCGCCGTTTGAACGCTGCTCGACCACGACATTGCTATGGCGTATCATGCATATGTTACAGCATCCACATGCATGACTACGACACAAAGTTTTCATACAAAATGCAGGATCACTAAACTGAGCATTTTAACTCTAACGATTTATAAAATGCGTTACGCAAACCGGCGGGCTCATGAAGGGCAGAGGTTGTTCACCACATTCGTAGCCCAGATGCTGGGTGGACACCCAGTCGGTTTGTATCGTCCAGTCGAAGGTTTGCCTGTACATGAAAAGACGTGCTTGTACCTGAGGCATTCAACGTCGCAAAATCTGGGTTGTACACTTGCGCCGCCGCCGAAACACTATCATCGCGGGTGGGCTAAACAGACACCACAGAGATGAGGAAGCTCAGTGATAAAAGGTAAAAGCAAAGAGAGCAGCAGCAACTGTCCACAATCTAGTAGAGGGTTTGTCAGTCCCTGCGGCATGACACTGCCAGGCACTGTAAAGCTGCCTTAGCTGCTGTGGCCAAGCACACATAATATGAAAGTAAGGTTTCAGCAATCCATGTATTACGGATGAAACGTGTATTCACCACAGGAAGCAACGACCACAGACACAGACGTTGTCGAGCTCCAATGTTTCTCGGACAGCAGTCTTGTGGGCTCAAACTGTCGGTTTACCATTTTCGGCACACAATGTAACCTCATATTCGGCATTGTGTTACCCTCCTTTGCAGAGAACTTGCTTCTGCTGCGGCAACCAAACATCGTCCGCATCAGCGTTACTGTGCCACGGTGACTGCAAGTGCATATAACGTGAAAACATGAAAGAAACACGCACAGCAAATAATGCAGCAGTAGCCAGTGTTGTCGCTGGCGGCGTGAAACAGAAACTGTCAGTACCTGGTGACGTCGGCGACATATCCCATAAGCCCGAGTGACGTTCGTGAAAACTTGTTGAAAACTATCCATCTCAAATAAGCTTTACATTTTTGCTTTACATTGTGCCATGTGTGAGTAGCAACGTCTACGAGAAGGTTTTTGCCGCTTTCCTACCTGTACATAGGAAAAAACAGGTTTTCTTAGACTTAATATTTTCTCCTTAAACCTGCACTAATAAAATTCGAGTATGATAAATGCACCACCTAAAGACAGCTTTCTGAAGATCTGCAATGAACTTCGTTCATTGCTTTATTTATAAAAAGTTTTGTACGCCAGAATAGCGCTTGAGAACACCCTGTATGTATTTCTTTATACTCGGTGTGCAGAAACAGTACGAAGAATGAAGGGGAATAAGAAAGAGGGGTCGACAGTTGATCTGGGCAATGCAGATAAGCATAATCTGCGTCAAGAGTGGCAAAATGGAACACCGACTTCGTGACAGTTCATGATGTGCCCAAAGAAATGATGGTGCCATTTTTAGCTCTGCTTTGAGCTGAAACACCTGGCGATAGATCTTATTTTTAAAAGATGTGCAAGACTTGGGAGCAGTAGAGTGTTTTCTATCAATGTTATACTTGCTGTGTAGTTGTAATTGACTAAAACAAAATGCGTGGATAGGGTCAATTGGGCAATTGGTGGGCCCATATCTCCCCTTTCTGTTTCAGACGCTCTTACACACTTCATTCTCTTCTGCACGGTAGCAAAGCTGATTTGTGAGAAAACTGTCCATTACATGGTGAGCAGGGTATATCGTGCCTGCTTAATCTTTACAGAACACATGGAACGCCCACATCGTGGCTTGCACCCTACTTGACAACCAACGTGCTCCTTACAAGCTTTCGAAGTCGTCCGTCGCCAAAACCACCCGCGCAAACGCCGGCAGCCATGGCCTGCCAGGAGCAGAGCCACAAGTGCAAGGAATGCTCCAAGTCTTTCAGCACCAAGTCGAGCCTCACCAGGCACCGCCAGTGCCACGCCACGGAGCCCCCGGTACTCTTTGCGTGCTCCCTCTGCCCCATGACCTTTGGCAGGCGCGACCAGCTCACCACGCACAGGCGTCGCCACACGGCAGACCGGCCCCACCGGTGCCAGATGTGCCCGATGAACTTTTTGTTCCAGCGGGACCTCTCGCAGCACTTGCGCGTGCACTCGGGCGAGCGGCCGTTTGGCTGCAAACGGTGCCTCAAAATGTTCCCGAGCCGCTCGGGCCTTGCCAAGCACGTCCACCAGGTGCACTCGTCCGTGAGGCCCCACGCCTGCGCCGTCTGCCCCAAGGCATTTGCGCAGGCGGACGCATTGACACGTCACGCACGCACGCACACCGACGAGCGCCCGTTCGTCTGCCGCCTGTGCCCGGTGAGCTTCCGGCAGAAGTGCCACCTGAAGGCCCACGTGGACGTGGAGCACGACGGATGCCGCCCGTTCAAGTGCGACCGATGCCCTAAGGCCTTCCTCCAGCGGTCGTGGCTGACCAAGCACCGCCGTGTGCACGCCGGTATGCACATCTACAAGTGCACGTCGTGCAGCCTGGACTTTCCGCGTCGGACGATGCTTGCGGCACACGTCCGGACCCACTCGGACGAGGTCTGCTTCCGGTGCGAGCTGTGCCCCAAGGGCTACACCAACCGCCAGAACCTGACAAGGCACCTCCGGCTAGCCCACAGAGAGCAGACTGTGTAACGCTACGGTCCCCGGAACGCAGCTTCTCAAATGGCGTGTTTAGTTTGTCCTACGATGTGGTCCCTCAATAGAACATTTGCAGTATTATCAAGCGCACTGGCCCACACTCAAAGAATCATGGGAGACGTGTTCCTTCAGCTCCCTAGTGATCGCTAATTTTCGACCAACTCCATGGTTACACAGTTTTTGAGCGTAATTTGAGGTCACCCTGAACAAGCACCTGATATACCCCAAGGACCTGTCATATTACTTTTAAATTTGCTCGTCAACGTCAGCATTTTTTATACTGCGTATGCGGTCCACCTTTCAACCTGGCTGAGCTGCAGAAATCCCTTACAATATTATCATTCTCGTGATTGTTGTTTGATCAGGAATTGCTTAAAAAAAACGATAATTCACAACAACAAAAACCAGGATTTAGCTCGGAGTCCGCAGGGCTCTTTATAGAATTTTTAGCGTTTCTAACTTAATATCAGCTTGATAATAATGTAAGAGATTTCTGCAGCCCATCCAGGTTGAAGGGTGGACAGCATGCACAGTATCAAAAATGCCGACATTGAGAGAAATTTTAAAAGCGATATGACAGGTCACTGGGGTATATCAGGCACTTGTTCAAGGTGACTCCGAATTACGCTCAAAACCTGTGCAACCAAGAATAGCGTTGAAATTACCAATCACTAAGGGGCCGAAGGAACACCGTTCCCATGATTCTTTTAGCGCGGGCCGGGGCACTTGGAGGATATCGCAAATGGTCTATTTCTGCAAGTAGCCAGGAGTCGAGGTGCCGCGATAACAGCAACACTCGCATTTGCTCATGCTTGCTTCCGGAACTTCTACGCCCAATCGCTTGGATCGCGACAGCATGGCACTCCGGCTTTTGCGACGTTATGTATCGCCACTTCAGGACCGCCGGTGGGCAAACTGGGATTCCAAACGCACTAGTCGGAAACGGATTTCAGGGACCGTAGTATTGCTGCTTTATTTTTCTAGGCCTTTCACCTCCGACCGCACCTTTCGTCATGCGCCCCATTTTTACGTGGGTTGAATTCGATCCCAGTGCCCACCGTAAAACAGGCTGGACGGGTCTGCCCCGGCCCGTAGAGCGCCGAAGCGCCGAAATCTTTGTGGAGGGTGTATTTTAGCGGTGGGTTTTACGTCCTGAAGCTTCGAGGCATAGCTCCGTTTCTGCAAGATATGAGAATGTCGTCCCTTAAAATCGGAGCTGTGGATAGCCAAGGATAACCCAACGGACCATTTCAGAAATATGTGGCACCTCCCATCGTCTTTTTGATGCAATACGGTAGTCTGATGTATGGCGCGTGAACGAGTAGCCATCAATAGAAGGAGCGGTTCATGTTGCTTTAGTACTTTGCAATGTCGGAACACAAGGAAAGCGGGATGATGACAGAAGAGGGCATGTATTGGCCTTGTGGTTAGCGTGCTCATTTTTCTTTGTGTTCTACAGTCGCGGTGAGCTGCAGGATTGGCGAGAGGCCTTGTGAGACTTTCCGGAAAAATCTTTTGGGCTTACAGTCATTGCCTAGTCGAGCATTGCCAAAGCTGCGAGTATGCCTCAGCAGCAAGATCACGGCGCTTAGAGGCCATACTTGCAAACGTCTATAGAGCACTAGTGCAAAGGTCTTCCAAAAGCAGACAGTGCCGATGACTGACCCTTCGCGGCAGGTTTGCACAATCACATTTCGCTTTGTTTCGTATAGATTTTGCATTAACTTTGCGTGCACAAATAATTTTAGAGGGAAGTTAGATGACTTGCATATTACCTTCGGTCTGTTGAAGTGCCAAACGTGGTTCGCTCCACTCGATCGTCTATGTCAATAGGCTTGTACTAAATTTGGTGCAGATGTTCTCATTTTTCGAAATCAGACGAGGGAAAACCCAGCGCTAAAATATGCCTTTAATGAAAGCTTTGGCTCGCTATCCGCAGTTGCCAAGTTTCCCAGCTCGTCTTACAGTTGCCCCCTGCACATCATTTCGCACAAATATTTTTGTTGAATTTACGTGTGCATGTTGTTTTTTTCCTCCAAGATGCTCAAAATGAAATTTGTGTGATTGAACACATTTGTAAAAATTGTACTCAAGTTGCACCATTGTGAATGTGCCTTTTAGGGTCTTGTTTTGGGAAAATAAAAGGCAGTGTTTGAATCTGCATTGTTTTTGTTACTTCTTTTGTTCGCTATACTCTGTTCCACTTTAAGTGCAAGCGTAGCAAAGGCCCCAACAGCGAGCTTCAAGCTTTCAGCGTCCTTCCTGAGCATGTGCACTCGAGCAGTGCAAGCATCGTTCGGAGCATTATACCCGTGCTTGTAGTAAGGCTTCGCTTGCACATAGAGTGAGACGAACTGCAGTGCATAGCCATATTGAATACTTTGACTGTTGGGAACTGTGTGGGACCAAAGATGATAGTCACTTTCTATAAAATTATTATTACAGTTACGAAGGAACGTGCAGTCGCAAAATTAGACACGTTGCATAACAGAAGGACGACATTCGTATACAAGATAGCAAATGGTGCGATTGTCTACTTTTGTGCCCTTCAGACCATTTTGTGCATTGCATTCACCATCCTGTCTTTATGGTTTGTACAACGGGGCACCCGTCGTACAAACCATGCGAAGCGATGACCGATTGTGGACACATGGGCTTGAGTGTCACCGGCACACTTGAGCCCACGTTGTCAAGTCGAGTTGACATGCTCGACTTGACTAAGACTTTTTTTGTTGCTTATTTTAGTTTGGGGCTAAGGAGCCGTGCAGCAACAGCAACGTTTAAAAAAAACCTTTTTTTATTTTTTTTTTTACAACTGCTTTTTTGCTGTGTATTTTGTGTGCGTATGCTGGCTTGGTGGTTTTCCAGCCCCGCACCCCGCTATGGGAGTTCAACACAAAAAAACAATGCTCCTATACTATTACATGTGGTTGTTTGGACTGTTCGATATAAATGATTCGAAATACCCAGGCGCAATATAACCGGGCCCGACTGTAGTTCCTATTTCAGCAACTTGTGCCCCGAGGTCACAATAAAAATTTGGTGGCTACATTTTTCGGGCAACTCGGGGCAGTTACAATCACTTAAAATTAAGTTTATATATATATTTAAAAAAAATTCCTCATTGTTTGACAAGTTTTGTGTGTAAATTGTATAAGGAACAACAAACTAAAGACGAGCTTTCTTTTGGTACACAATAAATGTTGCTGCCTCAATGTGTATTACAGGCAGTGTGTCGATATTGAAATGTGATGGCTGGATCAATCTTTCCTCTGTTGTACGCCGATTGGCGAGGTGACACTTGCATCGTCCACGGTCTTCATGGCGCCTAATGTTTTGCGAGTTGTTGGCTTTTACGTATTGCTGGAACCAGAACATTTCAACAGACATGCAACTGGGTTTGTAACTTTGATTCGAGTTTATCTCGAGTAACGATTGCGGCTCTATTACTTGTTGAAAACTCTCCACGTGTCTTGCATTTTGAGGTTGGTTCTACGCGAAACATTTACATAAAAAGAAGGAAAGAAACTAAATTTCATCTTTGGTTGGCGAGGGGTTAACAGTTCAGGGGAAACTCCTCCTACCCCTTTCACTTCAGTAGAATGAACGCTGGAGAGGTCTCCCCCCCTCCAGCATTCACTCTTCTAAAGGGAAAAAAGTCTGGAGGAGTTTCTCCTGAACTCCTAGCCTGTCGCTGACTATAGACCAAAGAGAACGAGGCACACAAATGATGTCCTGAAGAGCATGTAAACGCTGCATATACATATGTTAGAACAGGAATTGGCAACCTTTCGCTGCCACAGGCCAATTTGTCGCAGAGTGGAGACAGAGTGGGCCGGGTAAAAATCAGGGAAAGGGGGGGGAAGGGGGGGACGGTATCAGTGGGAGGCAATCGGCTAACAAAAATAAGGGACAAAATGCAAAGTAAACTGCTGCAGGCTATATTATGTGTGGCTCTTGAAGCTGCAGGTTCTGCCTCCATCATTCTAGCAAAACTACTCGCACGCACAGTTCCGATTCCAAACACCAAGGACCGAGACAAACTTAAAATGTTACCGTCCCAATAGATGATATCCGAAACTGCTTGGTGGTCTGGCAGCACTGTGCACGCGGCCATCTTGGTAGTGTTAAGAATCTTGAGTTTCGGTTTCTCAGCATTTCCAGGGTATGCCACTAAGAGCGATTCGGAAACTTCATTGTTTTCTGACTTTCTATCACCCAACATGGACAAAGAACTAGACTGTCATGCCTTTCATCTCTGAGGACACTTCTGATTCTTTTTTCAATGCAAATACACAGGAAGTCGTACTGTTCAGCGGTAGACCACTTCACGCCAATATATGTGATTCAAGGTTAGATATATTTTTTTTTAGTTGTTACTGGCAAAAGGTTTTGTTCGTGGAAAGCTGTTTTTTTTAAAGGAAACCGTGCCCTAAACAATATTTGTCAGGCATTGCAAAGAGCTCAAATTGGTTTCAGATGGCAATGACATCAAGCACAGTTGACGGATGTGCTATTAATGATGATTTGTTCTACCCTGGCACAATAACTGCACTGACTTTCTCAAAACTACCCCCCGAGCTTCTTTGTACTAAACAAAAATTTTACCTAAACTGTGACAACAACAAAAAAAAAAAAGGAGACTGAAACCAAGTTGGCACCGCCCGTGTTGCTCCATTCGACGTCCACAACGTAAGTTTTCATTGCCGCCGACATTAAAGTTTTAGCCACTGCAGTGAACCTAAGTCGAACGTGGCGTTTGACAAAAAGACAGCAAAATCCCATCTTCGTGAGTGTTGAGCAAACAGACACATTGTCTGTGTCTGTCGTGTTTTCTATTCTACATGACCGCACTTCAAATATTCAAGAACATTATATCAACGAACTCTCCGCCATTCAGTTGTACAGGTGTTTTACAAACCTCGTTTACCGACGGCAGATGAAGTGTATAGAAATCCTCGCAAGCAATGCAATTGTTTTCTTGCTTTCCAAATTAATTCATCTTTTTTTTAATATATGACATTAAAATGAGGGCTCTGTGATGCTTTGAGCTTTCGTTGTTCACTGTTAACCATACGCATCTTCAATTATGGTTGGTGGCGTAGATCGTTACAACTGTCATCTTTTTGACTCGCTTAACAGCCTTGGTCTCGTCCGCATACATTGAGCTGCTTGTGCATCAAGAAAAATGCAGGCCGACACTACAACGTGCATAAACGAAACACAAAAAGTCGCGTTCACGTCGCGCACGAATCGAAGGTTTATCGCCACATCCGAAACGGAACGGAGCAACACGTTGGCATCGCATCTTTCGTACGAAGTGCAGTCGCTAGTTTACACGGGGCCTTTGCCGGTCGGGTCACTGGTTTCGTTTTCTCGCCGCTACCAAGATGGTGGTCGTAGTTCTCGGCACGATACTAGATGGCGCTCTACATTTCACTTATGGTCTATTTCTCTTTGTAATATGGAGTATAAGATTTTTGCTAAACTTCCGACCAGTCACTTGGTCAAAATCCTTATAGCAAGCCCTTGAGTACAACAAAAAAAAAAAACTTAAAATTGACAATGTTATGAACCACGATTGCAAACGAAAAGTATGCTAAGCACGACGACCTTAACTATTGATTTCCAATGCATCACTGTGGTGCACAACAATTGCTAATGGACAATAAACTGATCCCCTGGTAGTCCGCTTAAACAACCAACAATAATTCTTACGCCATTAGTCCTAGAGTGTGTGTGTGGGATGGCGAGGTGGGGCTTGTCGGGGAGCCGCATAATATTCCCTCACGGGCTTCGCGGGCCGCCAGTTGCCGACCCCTGTGTTAAAGTAACAATTGCAGTTTTTTGTACATGATGGGAACACATTTACATTATATGCTCAATGTCCATTTTGAAATAAAGTGGTAGCTTTGTTTGATGGTCTGCATTCTTCCGATCGAGATGGGCAGATATGATTAGGGTCCTGCATTTTCTGTTTTAAGAAGTATATTCCCCAATCTCCCTCACTCAGCTGGCTGCACTCCTTTCTAAGAAAAGTGATTTCGACACTCGGACCCTAAGAGAGCCGTGATGCTCTCCGAACACAAAGCTGTTCCAAGACAGTCTAAGGGCGGTGTTCCAAAATTTACTCTATCTCGCTCTAGGGTAAAGGTTCTGCACCTTGGCTTCCGAAAACCTACCCACGTCCAGTGTCACTCCATTTGCATTGTCACGTGACACGATCAGCCGAAGTAACTCGGACCCATGATAGAGTGAGATTTGGAACACGGCCTTGATGTCCTTGGCCTTTGGGTGACGTGGAATCACAGGGTGCACTGATGAACGATCCAGGCTTCTCTTTGGCTGGTAGTGGTATGGTTGGAGTCTCCCTGCCGACGGCTAGAGATTCGCCGTGCTGCATCCTTTGTCCGCGAGCTTCACTCTCGCGTCGGTGGAGGCGTTGCGGGATGGCACAGGCAGGATGGTCTGGAAATGATATTCACTTTATTTTAAAGGGACACCGAAATATTCTTTTAATTAACAAGATTTTGCGGTAATTCAGTAAGCTATAGTATTTTTCAATAAATTACTTAAATAATTTCCTCATTGCAAAAAGAAAAGGCCTATTTGAAAGACCCAAAGAAACAGATAAAGCAAGATACTACAGTGACTTGCTCTTTTTCACCATCATCATCATCATCAGTACCTAAGAGAAGGAGGAGGAATAATAATCTATCTGCAAAGGAATGTGACACAAGGCTAGAAGAGAAATTGGCAAGAGCTTGTATGCTTGCACGTCTGCTAGCCAGCCACCCGGGACAGGAGAAAACAAAATAATGTAACGAAAGCAGTACTAAGAACATTTTTAACACGGTACAAACACCATATGCCCTTAAAGTGCCGGGTTTTACCCTGCATGCCGAACAAAATTGTTGGTCTTAGTGACGCTATATCAGACATTGTAAAGACCACTTATTTATTTAACAAACATCACTCTCAGGGTAAAATGTTAATCGACGTTGGCATGCCTCCAGCCTAAGACATTTTTCTCATATTGTACTTATCAAGACACGGTACTATGCAGAGGCACCTCAACCTTGTGCCCTGCTCTTTAGTGTGGCCTTACTTGGCCTTTTTTTTATCTGGAACTGTAATTTTTTTGTTTTCACAGTCATCGAATACAGAGTTCATGAAGGATTTTTAGATTTCTGTACTCGCCTTAACCCTTTCCCTACCATGGACGACCTGAGTTCTTCCACACTGTTTGTACCGCTCCCCCCGAAGACGAGCTGGGCTCGTCCACGTTGATTCAGGCTCCAATACGCTACCATGGACGAACTGGGCTACTCCACGTGTTTCTAGTGAGCTTTGCCGTGGATAGATGCCGACGGAAAATAAAAACCTGGTAAATTTCTGAATTTGGCAGAAAATTGTTCCAATGCAGGCAACAGTGGATTTAAATATGGCGACGTCAACTTCTGGTCGCTGCGTTCGTAGTGACGACCTTGCCTCAAAATTCGGGACAAAAGAAGATACTGTGATGTCTCTTCAGATTCAGAAGACGAGGAAATGAATCTTTCATCGAACAGCAAGAGCAATGCAACTGAGTTATTGGATTTTAGCTCAGACGACTCCGATTTCAATGAGGACATTGTGTTGGCGCGTTGGCATGGACTAGAATCAATGTAGAAAATCTCGCTTTAGCCCCTTCACGTTTTGCATTCACTTAGCATGCAATCGTCCATGTGCAAGGTGATGTGAACTGTCTGCGGTAATGCAGTGAAGCGGAACTTTAGTCTCTTTTTCTTTTGCAGTGTGTTTAAAGATTTCTCATATAATAAATATTTTGGCATTTGTTTTTGGCCTTTGTATTGCATATTAAATTTATAGGGCACATAAAAGAATTCAACATTTTTCAACAGTTTTTCTCCAAATTTTTGTGGTAGGCAAAGGGTTAAAGGGGCCCTGCAATCATATTTAAGCGTCTACCTTTTTTGCGGTTTCCACGTCTCTTGCGGTTTGGGCAAGCCAGCAGGCACGGAGACAGTAACTAAATATCAGTGCGTCATATTTTAACCGGACGACGCGGAAACCTCCTCCAATGACGAAGGCGACCCGCGGTACCGAAAGCGCACGATATGTAACGTCTTTGGTCCTGGGCTTACTACTGGTCAAAGCTGCTAAAAGCTTCTTTTTAGTCGAAATACAAAATATAAGTGGTGCGACCCATTTCAATTATGTATAAAAGTAGTTTTTGTTTAGTATTTTAGATCAGAAAAGAAACAAATGCAGTTTATAAAGTACGAAAACAAGAAATGACCCGTAGACATACCCGCCACCAAGCGGTGAAAAAGGCAGCGCATACTAGAAAGGAGCAGTGGGATCAGGCGCCGACACAGAAAGGTCCCGGATGTACGAGGTGGCACTGCGGTCGTAGGGACTATAAAATCCGACCGGCTCCGAGCGATCTGAAAGCCTTCGGCGAGCAGCTTTGTCTGGCGGTTTGGCTGTTTCGCGGTATGGCAGCGCGAAGTGGCTCCCATTCTGAACTGATCTTTACCCCGTGTTTGCTGTCGTTTGTGGTCAATGAAGTGTCATGCCGAATCAGTGTTTAATCGCGCAGCAAATGCATTGAGAGCCGCTCTGGCTGCCCGCTGCATACAGCCTATTCAGAACATGCTTTAGTGGCACCCTCTTGCGCCGTCGACAGTGCGGCAGCCGTGAGCGCTTGCATAGCTCACTACCCCTCCTCTAGTTCACGGCCACTCAAGCAACCAAGGACGTCATGAAAGAGGTTATATTTTGCTTGTTGTTGTCATTTTAATTTGCCTATAACTTTTAAAATGAAGCGAAATTCATGAAAAGAAAGGTTTCGTTAAGTTACTACGTTCAGTGTGCTCAGGTTCAGTGCAAATTAAAAATTAGTAAAAAAGTCATAGCAGGGCCCCTTTAAGAAGCTTGAAGTTGAATGACACAGATTCGCCGTTCTGTAACAACGAAGAAGCATACCAGAACAAAGGTCACCTAAATAAGTACTTTTATACATGATATCAAAAAGTGACAAAAGATAAAATGTTTTTTTTTTTCATTGCTCGCTCATACAAAACGCTACATGTAAAAAAAAAAAAAAAAAAAAAAAAAAATTGCAAGTTTAGTTGGGCGAGTAGCAGAGAGCAAACCGAAACTGAAACCACATGGAAGTGCACTCGAGCCTACTCGAACGTGGCACTCAAAAGCGTTAATCGCAAGAATGCAGAGTAAAAGGCAGCCGGCTCCGTCCCATTGTTAAAGCCATTCGTCGGCAAACATTGGGCAGCTAATGTTAGTTGCCTAATACTTGTATTCGGGAACATTCCCAAATGGTCGATAAGTGGTTCCCGCCCCCTTACCTGAGTCTGGGCGCAGTTTCTGTCCAGGAAGCAGAGCAAGACGCTCGGCATAAAGCTGCTGCCTGTGTCGAGAACACCAGCACCCGCCTGTGTGTTCGCCTGAAACGACCAGTTGTTTCAGTGTCGTGCAGCTCCATTTATAGCTACGATACAGCGTCTTCAATAAACCCCAAAAGTGGACACCCCCGCCAGTTTTATCAAAATCAGGGCAAACGGGGAAAACCCTGCATTGGAACCAGCGGTGTCACTAACGGGAGCGGAGGTGGCGGACTGCCCCAGGTGCAGTGCTCAAGAGGGTGTCACTGCACGGAAGGGTCACGGCGGGCAAGGGCAGGAGGGGTGTCGCGGTGGGCCACCGCAATGGGTGCCACTGACCTTAGTGACGCCACTGATCGGAACTGTTCTCGAAAAAGAAATCCCCAAGTTTCATGGGAAGATATCTTTAACCACAGCTTTATTTTGGGTTACCCTGCAACAAAATGTTTGTGAGGCTTCCTACGGTAACCACACCCCTTTATTTCGTTTCTTCCGACATCCGACGGAGGCTTACTGCGGAGAAGGTGCCATGTCACCGAGATTTCGGTTCCACGTCAAAAGCTCCCCAGACGGTCGAAATTAATCCTCAGTTCACCGCTGGGGCGTGCTAGATGCCTTTCTCTGGTTCGGGAGGTAAAGCCCCCCAATACCGTTGGTACCGGGACGATTTCCCCGTAGTATTCAGGTCATGAGCATGTTTCCTGGAGGTCAAGGAATCCAATGTCCATGTCCTATTTTCTTCAATATAAACCTCTTCTTAACCCCAATTTTTTTTTTTTTTTTTGTCCAACATTGAAATTTAGCATTAAATCTGGCAAAAAATAAAAAAAAAGATCACCCCGCTCCCCACTTTTCCCAAAAGAAAACCTCGAAAATATGCAACTTTATTCATAGCTCACTTGCTTTCCAGAAATGCTCGGCAGTAAGCACAGTTTTGCATGGTTTGGAGTAGATTTTCGGGCAACCTCAGAGGGTGTTCATTCAAGATCTTTTTGCTTTTACTGGAAATACAGTTTTGTTGGAGGTCATCATTTTCTTGGGCCACGGAATCTTGATTGACCTCAAATTCTAAATATTTCGGAGCGTTTATAACGCAACAAAATAACGATGACACAGTGAAAGTTTGTCGGATTTATATCTGGGAGTATGAGAGCCCAGTCCCGAGGCATGCCCTGTAGGATTATTTTGCCTTACGTCTTGTAGGAGCCCGGTACTGCTGCTCACATCCACAATGTTCACTCGTCCAGAAGATTCTTCCGGGACTTGCACCGTAGCTTGTGTATGCTCTTCTCGTTTTGCGCTGCAATATTTCAATGTGCAGTGTTTCTATGCAAGGTGAACATCTTTTAGGAGCACATATTTTCACTGCTACTTTCCCATTTACAAGCCCGCCGAGAAACAGAATGACAATGTCGCACAGAGGTTATGGAATAAAAAGAATAAATCTCAAACATGAAACTTACTTCCAGGTTTTCTACTCTAACAACTAATGGGTTGATGACTACAAACTTTCCCTCAAGAGATTTGACTCGAAACTTGGGGTGATTCGTTTATCGGCCAAGAAATAAATTCTGAAAGCAGTGCAACTTTCATGCTTCTCTGTTTCGTCGAAAAAGCCCCAAAGCATGATATTAATTGAATAATAAATTGGTAGGTCATTTGCTTGTATACTCAATTCTTTCACATTTGGTAGAAAACTTGCGAGACCGCAGCTAGAAAGTGACCCATAAGACAACGTAGGAAAGTTCAACCAGCTTGGTGAAATGCACCGACAAGTATGTAACGTCTCTCCTAGAAGCACCCAGGAGCGTTTTAGTTAGATGAAAACTCCATTGTAGTAATGTGACTGTACATGCCTGGTATTTACGAGATGTATCATGGGCCGAATCCTGAATAATCGCCCAAAGGAAGTTAAAATCTTAAATTTGGTTCTCTTACAGATTCACGACAATCACACATATGCTCTATTCATGCACGCAAGTTAAAATCATATTTAAACTCACAACAAAAGAGTGGCTAACTTTTGCATGTTCCTTACTCAACTAGTGAAGCAAATGAAGGGAGAAGATGCTGGATGATATGCCGGTTGGTCAAAGTCAGGGCGTTTATTGGCATTAACATTTGTAGGGCCGAGAGTTTGAGGCAGCCAAAAGGCATGGAGCCCGTGCGTACAAGTGCTTTCAAAAGTCGCGCTGGTTAAGGGAGGTCTGATACAGTAGGAAGAATAGTGTTTGGGTTTATTTTATACACCAACACGTTGTCTACAAACAGATCCGCATTTGCTCACACCAGCTGTAGGTACTGCGCGTGCATAGAAACCAAGCTCAGGTGAGCTAAAGCGTCTGAACATGCGCAGTGCCAACAGCAGCGCTACTGCAGTGGTGTTATGGTGCCAACAGCACATCTCCGGCTCGTGTGTTTAGCGTCATATCCCACCCATACATCAAACGTCATCGCAAAGTGGCAACAAATGACGTCATTAATGCCGGAGTGTCATGCTGTCGGATGTCGCGAACCTAGCGGTTGATCGTAGCAATTCTGGCGAAAAGCATGAGCGAACGCGAGTGCCGCTGTCGTCGCGGCATCCCATCTTCTGGCTGCGGACACTTCCATAAGCTGCCACACTGGAGAGCGACCTGCAGCAGGAGAGGCGTCTGCCACATACACAAACGCTATTGGGACGCCACCAGGATTGTGACGGGCGACAACATGACAATCTGCTATCAGGGGCAGATCCAGAACTCCATTTGGGGGGGGGCAGAAAATTTGTGAGGATACTATTCTCCCATTCTTTCTTGTGCACCAGGGGGTCAACCAATGGCAAATTACCCTCCGAGAAGGGGGGAGGGGGGGTCGACTTTGTTTGGGGGGGGGGGGGGGGGGGGGGGGCGCCCCCGTCGCCCCCCCCCCCCCCCCCCCCCCCCCCCCCCCTTTGGATTTGCCGCTGACTTCTATGATGTCATCAGGCAAAAATCAAGGGAGCACTTTTTTGGATGTGGTAAACATACCAGTCGGGGGCGCGTTCCAGGCACCATAGTGGTGTGACGTCAGAGAGCTGCGAAATTGACGTCAGAACGTTCCACCAATCCTAGGCTTAGTTTCATTTTCATCTCCCCTGTAGCCGCCCCTGAAAGCGAACATTCTAACGTTTTCTACACGCGTGCAAGTACGAGAAAGCTAACCAACCTCATCTTCCTGGGAGACGACAGGCGATAGCGTTGCTTGAATCTGGACAACCACCCATTGCTGGCCTGAAAGTTCTCATAGTTCAGGGAGGTGGCCAACTGTTGGGCTTTGGCCCGTAGTACGGCGCCGTCGATCGTGGCGTGCTGTGCGCGCTCCTTCACGAACCACTTGTAAAGGGACTCTTCGATGTCTGCGTAATCGGGAGGGCGAAATCGCTTGCGCTTCCCGAGACCGGAGGCCGAGTTCTCGCGGAGCCTGTCTGCGTTCTTGATTATCGTCGAAAGCGTCGAGTTGGCTATCCGATACTTTCGGGCGACGTTCTTCATAACGACGCCCGCTTTGAGCTCGCTCAACATGCGCAGCTTGGTTTCGATGGTGAGCGAATTCCGCTTTGCGACCCGCGTCTCCTTGCCGCTAGACAGAGACGACGCGTGACTGACCATTGCCACACCAAATCGCAAGCGCAAGTACTCTACAAAATTGGCGGGTGGAGTGCAAACAAGAACCAGGCTCTGGCACGGAGGTCGTAGAGCTTATGCACAACACTCGAGAAGGCACGACAAGATTGCCGGCTTCTGATGTACGAGTGGTACGAGGACGACCGCCGTTTCCGGAAGGTACGATCGTTATATCGAGGCAGCCGTTCGTTATAACTGGGCCACTGGGCTCGCTAGTCTCGAACTCCAAGGAGGCAAGAACTTCATAACAAGCCACAAACGGGATGCCTGCAGAAGCCAGACGGCCAGACAAGACAAGCCACACAAATAGACTTCTTCCAAAATCGAAGCGCCCCAACGCGGCGAAATACCACACAGTGCATTTGGTGCACTCTGGGAACTAGTTGGCCACTCAGTTTCGGTTTCGATTAGCATCTTCATTTCATACTATCACGCCGTGACCGAGTGCGCTGCTCGCGTTTTCGGTTATCAGACTTTTTACGAATGTGCAATACACTCATTCTCGAGCGATATAAAATGAAGACCGGGGCACTTTCCTTGGTTCCCGAAGCACCGGATATTGTATGCAAACGCAGTAAGGGGTGGCGTAGTCACCTCACCCCACGTGTGCATCTTTCAGCTCAATTTCAATAATCCCGTCAAGTACCAGTGAATTCGAACTGAAATTTTGTCACCTTGAGCCTTACACGTATTTTATTTGCCAAACGTCCGCTTCTTGTTACTTCATTGGGTGAAAAGCAAGTCACACGAGTATCAAAGTTGAGCCCAGCGTTCACGCATGAACTTTTAAGGAAAAGCAATAAATTTGACCTTACTACTGCACAAAAGTTACCATGATGCCTTCCTTGCGTCATCATATATCTCGCACTTAAATTTTATGCTGATAGGAAATTAAGTTTTCGCAAACGCTGAGATCGGCTTGCTACGACGGAGGCTCTAACAAACGTCCCCTACTCCTCGCTAAACGCCTAAGCCTTTTTGGACGAGCTTTTACTGACGCCCCAGATCTCTGGACGGTGTGTCTGAAATTACCTCTATGCTCAGTCAGGAAGAAAGCAAACATGTAACAAATATTATGGCCATTAGCAACCGTCAAATGCGCTTTGAATAATTTTGTTATCACGCCCGTCCCAGCGCACTTCCGGCGAACGGTGTGACATTCTTCACAAAAGTACTCGACTTTTGTTTGCATGCGAGAATGCGCCTATATGATTGCAGGATAACTTTATGGGCACACGCGATGTTGAATATAAGTGGAATGCAATTGCGGGTGGGGACTTCGCTCGAGGTAAAGAAGTCTGTTCAAATTGAGACTTTCAATGGCGCCTCCGATTTTTACCTCGCGCAGTCAGGCATATTAAGAAAAACAGCAATTGCAAAAAGTTATATTTCGTCTATGGACATACAAAACAAACAAACTTCCTGACCAGCAACACTATTGGAAAGATGCGAGCTATTAATGTACTTATTGGTTAATTGTTACAGCGTGTTGTCTCGTACATAAGCAAGCTTCGCAGCGTCGAGATTCCCAGAACTAGCTCGTTCACATACCTCGAATCGCTAACAGAAAGGCTCGAGTACAAAAATACAACAAGAATGTGTTAAGTCAAGCTATACGTCTCGAACTTGTGCTAAAGCTTCGAGGTCTGGCCATTTAGGTTAGTTTAGAGATTCAGATTCAAAAGGCGTTTTTATTGCCACAAATATACAAGGGGAAGGTGAAGGGAATATGCCGAGTGATATCTTCGTCTGGGCATGTGGCACTAGGAAAGAGTATGGGGGAGGAAAGAATCTACACATATATGTCCAGCTTCGCTTCTAGCACGAAGTTTAGGAGACTATGCGGAGGGCAAGTTCGTCTGCTCCTTGCGCAGGGGGTAGCGGTGACGTCAGAACGCCGAGCCCTGATTGGCTGATCGAGCCCCCCTATCTGAGCGTCGTCTGCTTCTTTGCAACGTCGTCTGCTCGCAACGTCGTCTGCGTCTGTCTTACGTTTCCTGCGACTTTCGGAAGTGCAGAGGCCAGATTCACGAAACGATCTTACGCCAAAAATGTGCGTAAGACAAAACTTAAGAACAAATTCGTATTCACGAAACGAAATTTTCGTAAGTTTTGCGCAGGTTACGGCGAAATCCTACGACAGCTCCGAAGCTGTCTTACGCACTTCTTACGATCAAATCAGCATGGCCGACTGCGTTGCATGCGCGACGACCAGCGGACGTTTAATTTTCTATGTGCGCTTCTCACGCGTCCCGACTTCAAAAAGCAAGAAAAAGGTAAAAGTACTTGAAACAGACCACGACGAACAAGAACGCTGGATCCACAAACACCCGGGAAAAGCTCCAACGGCCACGATTCCACCGAACGCGACCAAGCGAGCTGCGCAGTTAGGCCTAGCAGGCACTCCGCGACTCGGCGACCGTCTGCCCACGACCGGCTGGCGTGCTGAATGGAACATGCCCGCGCGACCCTTGTGAACCCTTCCCGTATTATACTTTGATCGCTGACCTCAATTTTAGATTAAGAGGTAAATTTCTTTCTCTTGTTATCTCCTTGTTTCCCGAGGCAACGGTGAGTCTCGCCGGTGAAAAAGCGGCGAATCTCCGACAGACGCAGGAAAGGTAAAGCAGCCATCGCTTTGACTAGCAGACGTAAAGCAGACGACGTTAACTGCGCCAACCCGCCGGCGCCGTTAAAGAGTGAGGGGTCTCGCCGCACACGAATGGAGGTAAAAAGTATTTGGGAGGGAACTTGCGGACACTAAGCAAACAAACCTCGGCGCCCCGGGACACCTCGCCAGTGAGTCCTTTGACTTCCCTTGCGCGTCTGCTAGTTGTTAGACGAAAACAACGCACCGCTCGAGTTATTTCGTCTGCCCTCCCTTAAGTCGAGTTCGCTCCGAAAGTCGCAGGAAAGGTCAGACAGACGCAGACGATGTTGCGAGCAGACGACGTTGCAAAGGAGCAGACGACGTTTAATAGGGGGTCGCGATCAGCCAATCAGGACTCGGCGTTCTGACGTCACCGCTACTTCCTTTCTCATGCGCAGAAGACGAAAATGAGCCCACTTGCGAGGCGTATAAGGTGGCCCTTCTTTGTCCGATGACTTCTTTGGGTGAACCCAGTCATCCAGGTTCTGGGCATATATGGGTTTGAACTTGGTCCAAATTTGTGATAGTAGTGGCATTCCCATAAGGGCTCATTCACACTGGAAGCGGATCCGCGTTCGCAAAGCGGTTGCGAACGCGGTTGTATAAGGATTCAGTACAATTGCACGCGCATTTGATGACATCAAATGCGCGTGCAATTGCACTGGATCTTTATACAACAGACGCTTTGCACACGCGCGAAATTACAGCCGCCATTGCTGACCTTCTCTTGTCTTACCGAGATGCCGAGCAACTGAAACGGTAGTTGACGATCCTCTACAAAGGCCGATGCTTTAGAAAAGGACACAGTAACACTTAAAATGGCAATAACCTGGCCTGCTATGGTAATCATGAAGTGAAATAAACGGAATAAGAGGAAACAAAAACTGAAGGTCAGTTATGGCGGCGTCCATGCACAGCTGCTGCAAAGCGTCTATACAACCGCTTTCGCAACCGCTTCGCGAACGCGGATCCGCTTCCAGTGTGAATGGGGGGGTAAGAGATGAGTTATGCCTCCTTTTATGTTGTTCGTGCATTTGCTGCACGTGCTGGAGCGTATTCCTTTGCTCCATGCGGCCATGCGTGCCGGAGAGCGGGTGGCGCCTGCCATGATGCGGGTGAGGAGGACCTTGTCCTTTCTTCCGATCCCTCTCGGTAGAAGATCGGGCGCCTGGGGCAGGCTCCAAGAAAAGGACGCTCTTGGGACCAGAAAACATGAGATAACAGTTGATCGAAACCGAAACCATGCCACTCTCCTCTCTGGCCAACTAACTCCCAGAGTGCAACGCGCGCAGTGTTGCATGCGGGGGTTTATGCCGTTTATGCAGTTTATGGAAGTGGTCTTGTTCGATAAGTTAATTTCGAATAAGACAAAGCAGCGTCGAATATCATAAATAAATAGAAAATTTCACAAAAGAAATATAATACCAAATGAACGAATAAAAATATAGTATGAAGCGTATGAAGTCGCAAATCCAATCCTATCCTTTTTGTAATTTTGGTTCTTGCTTTTGTTGCGTACATATGCGAGTTGTAGCTCGCCACGAACATCGTTCGTGGCGAGCTACTTTCACATTCCGCGATTTGTTTGTCCCAATTACCTACACTGGTTATGGTGTTTATATCAACTAGGTGACGCTAGCCACCGCCTAACTACCTTTAAAAATTGCCTTTACAATTTGCACACTGCACGAAGACATCCATCCGCTTAGAAAGCCCAATGTCCGCGTTCATCGAAAATCGAAATGAAAATGTGCTATGAAAATCTGTTGCTTCTGGCGTTTCTAGCCCCGAGATCGGACGATCTGATATAAACGTAAGTTATCGTTCCTCTTCACCGGAGTTCTGAATCTTTGTATGTTAGCGTGGATTGCGAAGCCGTCCATTGTTCTGCGTCACGAACGGAATGTTCGGTTAAACCATTTGAACGATAATGGGTACTGACACTCACTACCACTGAGCCAGACGCTTCTTTGTCATGGTGCAATCAAGAATAGAAGCGGGCTCTGCTGCTCAGCCATCAGGCACTACGTGACCACTGAACTTGCAGCTTCGACTTTGGGGGTCCCACTCGTACCCTAGTCCCACGGGCACCTTCAACCGCAGCTAAGTGTGACTGAGAATGACAGTAGTAGTCGCGAATCCTAACAATATGTGAAGCACAGCACGTGCCCTCTGCATTGCCTACCCCAGCACTTGGCTGATGAAGGTTGGCGGCATGCGATGCCTGAAACCAGAACGCGCGGTCTCGTCCCGACTGCAAGCTGAGGAGGTGGTGGACAAGGGTGGTGCTGTTGTCCACTTTTCACATTTCTCTCAGCCGCAAGTGCGTGAGGAGAAAACATAATGCGTGTTTCGTTGGCTGTGAATTTGCAGGATTCTTGACAGAGCAGTGTTTAGCAAAAGTAAGAAAATTGTTTCATAGCCCCTTGAAATCTGCATTTTGGCAATACCATCTAGGAGAAAAGCCCTGTTTTCTTCCCCGCCAAATGTTGTCACTAGTGGATCCACGCAACACCACCCAACTTGCATTAGCGCATCGCCGCCAGCACGTCTCGCAGCGCGCGCAACGCTAGCATGCGCCGACGTCAAGATGGCCGCTTCTGCCAGCAGCAACTCGTAGTGGGGTGTGTCGGAAAACCACAAACGATGGTGTTATCTGCAAGCATTGTCTTCTGGGTGGTATGCAGAGCATAAGTTCATCTGTTTCTTTTGCAAGGGTCGAGGTGACGTCCGAACAAAGAGCTCCGATTAGCACTAATTGAAGGATAGTGGTTAGACTTCAAAGCAAGCTGCCTTGAGGTCTACCCACTATCCGCCAATCGGAGCTTGCCGTTCCGACATTACCGCGACCCCTGCAAAAAGAAGCAGACGAACTTGCACTCCGCATTGGTTTTGGAGGGGAGGGGGGATTGGTTGGTTGGTTAGCATCACGATAAATGTGGTAGCATTCCCAAATTCATTGCCTGTTCCCAGGGTGCACCATCATGGCTGCCGGCATGGAGGACGTTGCCAGGATCGAAGTCTTGGTGGACAACTTCCCAGACAACGACCCCCGCAAGGTGGAAGCTTCTGTTGCAAGGCTCGCGGGAAAGCTCGGACGAGCGGGCCTCAATGTGACGAGGCTGCGCGCCGAACAGCTGAGCGTGCCTTTGGCCCTCACGGCCTGCAACGCGGTACTCGAGTCCGTGGCACTGGAACTTAACGAGTATGAACCGGGAAGGTTTGCGCTGGTGGCCCGAAACCCACAATCCCTAGAACCCCCCTACGAGGAGTTGGTGACGGAAGACGACGGGTCGGCGGCGGACGACGACGCGCTGGACGGAGCCCTGCTGGCGTCATGGCTTCTGCGAATTCGCGGCTGCATCGTCGTCCTTGAACTCGGCGTGGAAAACATAGAGGGGCCTCTGCCTTCTGTCCTTCAAACCGTGGTTGGTGAATGCAGCTCGCTGAAGAGCGTTTCCTTGAAGGGGTGGGATCTCACTGAAGACGCGGCGGGCGAGTTCACGCGTGGACTGACCTGCTTGTCCAATGTGGAGAAGCTTGTGGTGTCCATGTGCAGGGTTGGCGAAGTTGCGGTCGGAAATCTGGCGAGGATGTTGGAGGAAAGCAGCTCATGCGTGAAGAGCGTGCAGATGGCCCATGGGAGTTACAGTGCGGCAGGATTTGCGTCGACGATAGGCGCACTGTCGCGCTGCCGGAACGTCACTTCACTGGTCTTCCACAACTGGTCCGTCAACCTCGACTCGGCGAAGCTCCTGGCTGAGTTCTTGAGGCACACCGCGGGTCTTCGGGAGCTTGAGATGCCCTACAGCAAGGACGAAGCGTGCGAGGAAATCATCTTCGACGCAATGCGAAGCAATGTCTCCGTTCAAAAGCTCGTAACGGCCGACATCTACAGTGGGAGTAGGCGGCTGGCATACCACGTCGCGGACGTGCTCAAGGCCAACTGCGTGCTCGAGGTACTCAGCGTAACGTCGAGTGGCATCGACTGCTTGGGCGCATCAGCGATTGCGGACGCACTGAGGGTCAACGGCACCCTTAGGGAATTGGAGATACACGGCCACGGCATCAGAAGCAGGGGAGCTCTCGCAATTGCAGATGCGTTGCGAACAAACAAGACGCTCCGGAAGCTGACCTTGGAATGTGGCAGGGTGAGCTGCATGGTGGTGAAGGTATTTGCGCTCGTGCTCAAGCGGAACACCAGTCTCGTCACGGTTCGTCTCCCCGATGTCGGCACGAACGGGTGGGAGGAAGGCAACTTGCGGGCGGTTCTAGCGTCGGGCAACGTCTGCGGCAAATTGAGCGTCGCGTGGAATGACGTGGGCCTCGCGCAGCTCGCCGTGGACATCGAAAGCAAATTCACGAAGGAATGGTACATCAATTTCGACACCAACGTCGGAGTAAAGCGGCTAGGCGACGTCTTTGACGCGGTGCAGCGTAGCGAGCACGTGACGCATCTCTACATAGAGAATGCGGGAGACCTACCGAAGTCGAGCATCGCTAACCTCGCCCTGGCGCTGATTCATTCGAAAAGCTTGAAAACTCTGGAGCTCCGTTCGGAGTACCAATACGACCTGGCTCATGTGGTGCCACTGATCAACGCACTGAAGTTGAACGAGAGCCTCACACGGGTGGACTTCGGAGACTTTGACGTGGCATACTACGGTAGAGAAGCAGAGCATCTTGCGGAAGCATTGAGGGTAAACCGGACACTACACTGGCTTCTGTTTACGACCGGTGCGTTGAGCGACAAGGAACTGGAGGTCGTTGCCGAAGGGATGTCGACAAACGACATACTCATAGAATTGACGCTCGGGGACAACATGTCGAGGAGCAAGGGGCTGTTCAACATCAGAGACCGTCTCAGAAGGAACCGGATGACGCTGAACAGGGCGGTTGAATTCGTGCTCGGAACCGGCGTCGACGCGGAAGAGTCAAAAGAGGCGTTCAAGAAACTCTACCGAAAGGACTCGCTCGTAGAAGCAACGAAGACGGTGGCGCATCTCACGGACGCGGAAGCGAGAGAAAGGATAGGGGACGCCGCGGCATCCCTTCTGCGAGAGATTACGGCAGCGAGAGCGGTCTGAACGTGCGCGGTGCAATTTCTGCTAACTTAAGCGGTTCTTTTATCAATATTGACTCGTGAAAGATGCTGTGTGGTGTGCTTGCCTCAAGTTTGAGACCGTGTTTAATGGTTGACCATGCAAGAGGTCTCGCCCGCTGGCTCAAGGAGAGTGCAGCGTGTAATATTTGGATTAGTTTTAAGAAAAAGTTCAGTTGTTGGTTCTGTTGGCATATTTTACACAGTTTCAGGTTGAGGTAAACAGTACAAGCTCTCCCACAAAGCCCTGCACACTTTCCACTTTGCAGATTGAACACCAGGAGAGGAGAGTCCCTTCTCACCTCCTCTCTGACGTTCTCTCTGCTAAGTGAAAACAACTAAAAAAAAACCTGTCCTGCTTTTCTTAGCGTGCGACAGGGTATAGTTGCCGTGTTTTTCGGAATTTTATGCAGTGGCCAGAAGCTACTCGATGTCACAATCCTGAGAACGCCGATTCTGGAGGAACTTTTATTATGACGAGCTTCGCACAAAACCACCTCGTTGACGACGTTTTGGTCGAAACAAGCTCTCCCAGGGACGAGAAATTCGTGGCTCGTGGAAGGGGCTCACGCCAGGTTGGACGCCTTCATTGCAGACCCTTGAAATATCTGAAATGCGCGCATTCCGTCCATCTTTTTTAAAATGTCTCACTAAAGACGAGTCGCCAGTTGGCGCAGTATTCGTAGAGGCCCGTTCTCACAGTTGCGTTTGCTTACGAAGAGAGAACGCAACGATGCCATCCATAAGGCAACCCTAAAGCTGCATTCCACCAGAGCAAAGTGGTATTTTCAAGATGAAATGTCTATATCTTCTATAAGAAATGGTAAGAGAGATGCATGAGAAAAAAAAAGGGGGAATATGCGAAAATGTGAATTGTTCCAAACTTGCTCTCGTTGAAAGAGGTTTTAAGGCATACGGTCGTAAGCAGTTACAAGTGTGTGAACCAGCTTTTACAGGAGTGCAGGAGAAATGCTTGGGGTCATCAATCGGGTATACTGAATTTGCTCCCAGTGTGAATCGTCACTAGAGTCGATGCAGAAAGGTTCATTTTCCCATCCCTTTCCCTGTGCTGACGAGCATAAAGGGGGAAGGCAGATATTTACGACCCAGCTGGGAGACGTTCCGCAGGGCGACTTGCGGTTCTGAACGCAACAAATGCACCCCAACCTACCTGCCCGATTTGAGGCGGAAACTGCCGGCTCCTACTTAAAAAGCAGTCCTTGCAGAATCGGCGCGTGTAGAAGACGCTACATTCCTGAAAGAAAGAAAGAAGGAAGTGTTTACGATGCATCTTGATTTCGTTCGGCACAAACTTCCAAGCAGCGTGGGTTCATCGAAGAAAAAGAAAAATGGAGCTATTGGGTAAAAATTATAAAAATTGCTACGGCACTGTACAACCTTTGCGAGGCATTGCAACAGCAACGAATAACGTTTTGTAAACTGGAGGATATAAGCATCTCATTACCGCTCTGTGGTTGAGATTGTGGAATTAGGCAATAAGAACGGATTGAAGAGCGAGAATCGATAATGATTATAAGGCCATGTCCCACGTTTCTTAAAGATAAATCTTAAAATGGTGATTAAAGGCCTTCATGTTATGCACAATTCTATCCAGCCAAAATAACTTACGATTTTATCCATATATTAATTCGAAAAGTTTGGATGACTTTTTTTTCTTCTAAAAGGCAAATTTGTGTGAAGCGAAACAGACAAACAGGAATGTGTGCTGATCAAACTAGTTTCGAGCCCTGTACCGCGGTCTCATTTACATAGGCTATTCTCGCATAATATTACCAATTTCAGGTTAATACCATTTTGGAAACAACAGATCTCTAGATCAGGGCACCTAGCAACCGGGAAATTGGATTGTGTCGTACGCAGTTGCTCGTTGCAAACTGATGCTCGTTTTCGTCAAATGAATATGCTGTTCTCTTTTACGTAGAACACAAATAAATGCTGCATGGATAATTTTTTCTTGTGGGGTAAGTAAATGTTTTTCTTTTTAAATTTGTTGAGTAGACTTTTTTTGCAGCGGGGTTGAAGTTAGAACCACGTAGACACGGGTCGAAATAGAGCAACCCTCTTGAACAGCTACGCAATCATGCTAAAGGCACAAATGACAATACTCTGCAACCGGCGAGGCGGAGAAAATGTTCAATAGCAGGAAATGCTTCGGTAACTACGATTAAATATCCACAATACATTGTTCAACCAAGATGTGTCTGCGGAGTAGAGAGCAGTGAGTGTGTCAAAGGACCGATCTGACTCCATCACACTGTATCCAAAGACAACACCCGGCTTTGAGCACATTAATTCCAAATATTGAATCAAATAGCACATTTAGAAATCCACCTCAAGTCAGGCAATGCGAACCGAATGCTTATTTTACACCTTTCACAACAGTTTTTCATCTCTGACGGAGTTTTATTTTTCACGGCCAAGACGGGACCCTGCGGAGCTTCACGCCTGCCAAGCTTCTGGGGTTACAACAGTTTGGTACTCAACAGTGCCTACAGCTTCAACGTTAGTCCTCTGCAACATCCAAATGCAATGTTAAGAATAAAAAACAAAAACGCTCAAATCAACCCTTTCAAATCAATGTGTGAACAGCCCCACAAACAAACAAACTGGCGCAAAAAAAAAAAAAAAAAGGTCCAGTGTAGCAAGCATTTTGAGGTAGATGGTGCAACATGTCACACTAAACTTGATTGCTTTGAGCATTATATGCATGCTTTATTCTTAAAACCGCGAGCTGAAATTCTAATAATTCCATTTTAGGCTGGAGAGGTCCTAAAAACATTGCCAGGGGTCGAATGAATACCACAGAGTTTTGGGAAACAAACGAAGCCCTCTTGTTCCCATTCTCCAGGGATTATTTTCGTCATTCTTGTCCAGCTCGCTTGCACCTTTGCCTTAAATTGCATTATAATTATAACCTTAAATTTGCAAGCTTCACCCTTGTTGGTGTCAGACTGGTGGTGGCTGATAAGACCCGTTTGCTCTATCTAACCCCTGGTTAGCTCGGTTGGTAGAGCGCTCCACCTGTATTGGAGAGGTCCCGGGTTCGATACCCGGACCAGGCAGATTTTTTCGGTCGCTCACCAGTCACCTAGCTGTGTTTGGAGATTTGTGTTTGTCCTTTGTTCCTCTTGTTACCCTTCTCCAGGGATTATTTTCGTCATTCTTGTCCGGCTTGCTTGCCCCTTTGCATTTAATTGCATTATAATTATAACCAATGCAAGACGTTTCTACAAGATCCGATCGATGCGAGCCAATGCCTGCACAGGCAACTCTGAAGAGTGAAGCGGATCACTAAGTTTGTACGAAAAGATAAAGAAAAAAAAGTCTTAGGTCCTAACTTTCGGGTTGGCTTTCCTGTTCCTACAGCGATGAAGACAAACAACGAACGAACATGGTGTACTTACGGAGCTGAGACAGACGCACCTGTCGCACTCCGAGCAGTGTGAACCGACGGCGAAGCCCCCGATATCTTCGCCGGTGCCGTCTTTGATCAGGTACACCTTCTCGAGGAACCTAGGAAGTTTGCACGATACATTTGCTAAGAATCGAGCACGGGCAGTACATGACATTCGCGCATGTTTTTGACGAAGTTGGTACGAAGGTTCGGTAATGAACCGCGTCAACCTTTACCGAAGCTCTAGGCGTTTGATAGCATCGGTTTCGACATGGTACTTCTCCCTCATGTTGCACACATCGCAGACGAAGTACTTGTCCTCCTGCCTGTCCTTTTCGTCTATTGGCCCACTCTTTCGCTGCATTTGTAGCCGAAATTTACTTCAGACAACATTAGGTTTACAGTAGAGTCACTGAATGTTCCCAGTTCAGCTGGTTCAGCGGTTCAGGTTCAGCCAGTTCAGCTGAAATGGGGCTGGCGCTTTGGATTGGATTGGATTGGATCCAAGAGAAAAGGAAAATAATGAATGGCGAGATCAGTGGGCGATATGCACAGTGAATGGGCGGTAGCTTGCGCCACCAAGCCATAGAAGAACACATTTTTTTTTTTTTTAAATCTTTACATCTCTCGGGAAGGGCATGACGTCAGCCACGTAGCTTTGCCAAGCCACGCCATCCTCCCGCGTCGCTCGAGCTCTTTCTCAATTTTTTCGCCGATTTTCCTTTCAAACATGAACCACATGTGACCAATGAATGGAACATGGATGCGAAGTTGCGACCTATTGCGACTGGGAATTGGGTGGCACCAGGTTCCACCGTGGTTGTTCATGATCGCGGCAGGTGAATGCACCTGTTGCATTTCATTTGGCACGTTAGCATCGTGCAAGTGGTTGCAAGTGTTTTAACGATGTCAAAAGCGGATCCAAAACTCCTTTTTTTTTGGGGGGGGGGGGGGGGGTTGTAAGTATATTATTCTCCCATTCTTTCTTGTGCACCGGGGGGGCCAGTCCACCCATGTCAAATTGCCCTCCGAGCAAAGGAAAGGGGGGGGGGGGGGGGGGGCGCCCCCCCCCCCCCCGCCCCTCTATTGGATCCGCCCCTGAACGATGTGCATAACTTCGTTCAGCTTGAGAAATGTGTTTCACATTGAAAGAAATATTACAAGAAAATAAATTATTATTTGCTGGCGACCACAACCGAGTTTGCCGTTTTCCAAGAGGGGACTCGCTCCACTTAAAAGAGCCGAGCACAGCAGAAGCATTCCTTCTCGGGACCCAGGGAGGCTGTCTATAAAAAGGGGAGGCCGAGGGCCGATGAGGAGAGCGATGGACTGAGAGGTCAACAGGGAACTCGGTGCGGGAGCCCTCGCCTTTCGGTCCTCCAGCAGAGACAGCCGCGTTGTGTTAGCCTTTGCGACGGCCACGTGGTTTGAAGAGTTGCCGGGCCAGGGCTGCGCCAGCAAGCTATGGGAAATGCCATTCAGTCGTCATGTGTCCTTTCCTCGATCACACAAAGTAGTCATGACAGAAATTTACTTGCAAATTTTGACAGCAATTATTTTGTGCACGCTTGTGCGAAATATTTTGTGGAGTGTTCACACAATTGAGTTCGCAATACAATTAGGGTGTCCCTTGGTATGCACCGCAACCAACATTGAACCATGTAGTGAGTTTAACTAGTGTGTTTTTTCATATGTATCCTCTGACCAACATACTGGATCAACTTGAAATGAACCTCCATGATTTTCGCTGGGGCGTGCCAGATGACCTTCATTGGTTTGGCTCATAAAACCCCAAGATCTGAATATTTGCTTCGCTTCACCTTAGTTCAGAGCGCAGCCAATGCTACAGGCTGATGAAGCCACTGAAGCAGCGCCAAGGGCGCGATCGCACACGTGGCATGACTGTCAAAGTCATTAGATTTGAAGAGAACGAAACTCCACTTCGATGAAGTCCACTCACTGTCGAAACAAAGGGCCAAAATCTATCGTTTCAGCAGCTCGGTGGCTCTCGGAAACCAAAAAGAACCGTTTAAAAGTTCACGTCACTGCGAAGTTCAGGACGTGATCCACAGGGGTGTGACGGTGAACGAAGCTCACCGTGAAAGGTTTCTGCAGCCGTTCACGCTGCAAAGTCCCACCTTGGTCTCGGCAACACCGCACACTTTTGTTAACTCAAACCGCTCAGCAGCTCGGCTCGTCCTTTCGTTGTGGTCCATCGGCCGCCCACCAGGGCCTTGCCTTCACGCTGCTCTCGTTGAACCTACCAGACGAAGCGAGCACAGTACTCCAGCGTGCACAGCTGACACATCACGCACCGCGTCCACTCCTAGAGTTTTGTTTGGCAAGACCTTCGGGACGAACGACGGATAGCGACGAGCTGATCGCGTGGTACGTCGTCTGCTCTTCGGGGCAGTCGGGGCCTCGCCGCCTCGTGGGGCCTCGCCACCTCGGCCTTGCCAACCTCGCCTTCTCTTCGCTCATGTAAACCCTACCGGGAAGAAGCGAGCACAAAATGCTATGGCCACATTCTATAGACGTTTTGCTTTTGGTCTTGTTTTCACGGACATGGGTTCCGATCTGGTATGCGGGACAAATAAATAATAAGACATTTCAACCTGGAATATGCTAGAAAATGTAGCTCAGGCAAGACAAGAATGTCTGACATTCACAAATTTTTTGTAAACACTTTCCAGCGGCATGGAGAGATCAAACCAATGTTATAACGCATACCACGAGTGACAACATTCAAGATGGCTGTGCCCTTGTGGAAAAGATGTATGGCTGTGTACCAAACTTTTTATGGCTGCGTATCAAAAAGCAAAAAAGTCATGCAATGCCCTCCCTGTGACCAGGATAACTATTATAATGAAGCACACAAAAAAAAGTTTTAGTTTAGATGTGCGAGCTTGCTGCAAAATACCAGGGGAGCACGCAGCCCACTTTCACTGAAAATTGGGTTGATCTAACTTGTGACCAATTTTCGTCCCGAAAAACCAGACCCACCCACATGGGGGCAGGATACTAGTTGATCCACTTCTGAGCCCATTGAGCTAACCTAGATGCAGTGGTGTAGCCAGAAAATACTTTCGAGGGGTGTTTCGAGGTGCTCGTGGACCTTGAAACAAACAATAAAAAAAACTATATATATATATATATAATAAAGTCAAATTTCGGGGGTGTTTTGACACCTGAACACCCTCCCTTCCCCACCCCGGCTACGTGCCTGCCGCCGTGCTTTGGCGAGCAAGCCATTTCTCTGGGCCACTAGTGCAATGCAGTGAAGCTTGACACAAGACATTATTCCTAACTTTTCAATACTAGTAGTAAAACTCGAATGCCTTCAACAGTAGAAGTGTGCAGAAAGTCGAATAGAATAGCAAATACTATACTCAAGCTATTCAAAATTTCGAATGTTTGCACGCTTCTGTCATATTTTGGAAGAGAACTGGACAGTGATTAGAATAAGATTGCACTCTTTATTTGCACTTTTGTTTCGGTAGCGTAACAACTTTGAAGTAGAACCTATTGCCCCTTCGTTCCAGCCCCCAGATGTGCGAGCTTACTGCAAAATACAAAGAAGCATCTAGCCAACATTCACTGAAAACTGGGTTGATCTAGACATGGGTGCTCTCTGCAGAATTTCCAAATCTGGGAAATGTCAATAGTGGGCTCTTGAACCAAGTGGGCGCTTTTGTGGTATTTTTACGGTATGTGGGGTTGAATTTGTGACGTAACTTTGGTTACAGAACAGACGGTTTGTTCAAATTTACTCCTTCGGAATGCACAGCACCACAAGCAAGCAAATACGACACGCTTGCAACTGCTATATACAATGCATACTAATTTCCAAGCCATAGTAAAATAGATATTCTATTGCATTGATAGTCAGCACACAATGAGCTCGTCACCAAGCACACTCGGGAGCTGTATTTCTCCCGGTGAGTGCATATATGCACAATATGGATAAGTACTTAACTTGCATCACTCAATTGCACATTCTTTTTTTCTTTAAACCTCACCATCAAGCAGTCCACACAAATTCACATAAATATGAAGACAGCATGTGGTATCCTCAATAAAAAAAAAAATTGAATCAAAGTTTAAAATTTTAAAAAAGTATGTGAATTCTACAACACAAATATAATAAACATAAATCAACTTGGAAGTATGCAACTCAAAATTGAAGCTCTATTGAGTATATAATAAACATATTTCAACTTGGAAGTTTCCAACGCGAAATTGGAACTCTATTAAATAATAAAAAAAGATTAAAACCCCCTTCTACCTGAGCAAAACTTTGCCCTCCCTCAGCTGTGAACAGCTACACATCATTTCACCTCACAACGAACCGCGGCATTCACTACAAGCCATCCCAGCCAGCCAGCCAGTCGGCCGTGAACCTGTCCGCGTGACTACGCACATACCCGCAGGTCACGTGACTCCCGCGTGGCGTTGGATTGGTCTCGACAGCTTGTAGTCCTCTGCGGTTCATCGTAACGCGAGACGGAATCTGGAGCGCGTGTTCGACGAGCAGTTCGCTTCCTTGGACGGAGTTCCGCAAACAATCGAGGCAGATTCGGCTGTGGCAGTGCAAGGCTGGCCGAGCGGCGCGTGTCGCGCGACGCGTGTCACGTGGTCCGCTTGTTTGGCGCAAGCTTAGAAGGGGTCCGAAGGCTGTCCCCCGGTTCCAGCGCTCCGTCGATGAACGCGCTGAGCAACATGGCTTGGTCGCGCAGCCGCTCCGGGTCTTCGGACACGGTGTGGAGGGAACGGTCGAGCAGCCCTTGGATGTCTTGCCTGTGGCTTAGATTGATGGCAAACTCGGGAGGCTGCAAAAGAGAGGAATCGTTTGCTTCACTGCTGTTTCCTCTGGCACATTCGGTATTATACTTAGTTTCACGAGTCTAACAGCGGCCTACGCTATTAATCTGACGGAACCAACTGAGCAGTGCCACAAGTGTATCCTCATGGTGCTCGTCGTCTTTGCATTTGTTATCATTGGCTACACCAACTGCGCACGGTGAATGCAGCTTGATCCTGCGCGCAATGCACTTTTGTCGCTGCTTGATTGGCTTCATCAGGTTAGTAGCGTTAACTGTGGTCGGACTTTATGTGCAACGGAGTGTAGAGGTAACGATGGAAAGAGAGGCAGGAGATGAAAGCGCTGACGCTCGACTGGCCTCCGATGGCCAATGGGCGCCGCGAGGCGAAACTAAAATGTAGAAAAATTTGTATGTGATGAAAAGGCAGACAGACATGAGATGAATATACGAGTGAAGATAGAGTGAGTAACTAAAGAATGCAGCTCACGCAGCTAAAAAACACACATTGCGGGTGATTAAAGAAGACAATAAAGATGGCTCACGGAGGACGTGCGAGAGCACTACAAGCCTGGATACAAACAAAAATCGCTCGCTCTCCTTTCTGTATTGTGTGGCACCCGTCGCATTTTAAGCTTCGTTTTCCAATTTTGTTTAAATGTACAAGTTGCCGGGAGCTATGGATTGCATTAACGCAAAATTTACAAAGTGTCTTATGGCATGTAAACACATAAGCACCTTATGTTCAACACATCAAAAGATAGATTTCGAAAGTTTTCAGTAGCAGCATTTGGAGTGAGGGAAGTTATTATGTTTTCACTATCTGAGGAAGTCTACTCTACCCCGTGCTGCTTTTGTATTTTTTTCCCCCTCAGAATCAACGAGCGTCCAACCCCATCTTTTTTTGACATTATCTGAAAATTTTGTGTGGGCGCCTATTGAGTATATAAGGGTAATAACGTCGACGAGAGCCTCAAGCACGGTGCAGCATATACATATGCATGCATCGAGCTGCCAAGTGAAGTTTTCTTCCCGCCTTGGTTGCAAGCGGCTCCACCAGATGACTCTTTGATAAGCGGCTAGAGGTTGCCTGTCGCATGCCCGGTCTCCCATGCTTCTCAGCGAGACACATGCTTGTTTTTAAAGTCACTTATGGGTGTACCGCATTATCTAGTACTTGGCACTTGCGCTACGCACATTGCTTAGACACAGCTTCATCATTGACCCGTTTCGCACCTCAATGGCGACAACAGGAACCATTTTATGAACGCGGGTCTTAATATAGTAAAAAATCGCTAGATATACAATTTTTCAGAAATCACGATTTTGAAGCCTTCATAGTCCACAGTATACTTTCCCAAATTATGAATGCTCAATTTGGTCTAAATATTTAGAAAAAGAGATGACATTTGTAAGTGCTGAAGAGCCCGGTCGGTGCCATCCCGGTCTTGTTTGAAAGTTGGTTTCGGCATGCTTCGAAGTGACATCGGCATCAAGGCAGCAGCGTCGTAGATGCTTTGCAAAAGAGCGCGAGCGGAGCTCGAGAGACGCCGACTGTTTGAAGTGCGCGCTCCTCCGAAGCACCGCTCTCCGATTGTGCTTGGCACGCACCTTTTCTCCCGATCTGCCCGGCCTGCTCTCTCGCCTGCTCCATGTCGTCTGCTTTAGTCCGCTACGCTGTTCGAGACGCCATTGCTCTTCTCCAGTTCCTATTTTGATATTGCTCACATTTGCTTTGTGCTCTATAGAGTTTTTCATGCCCCTGACTTTCTTCTCATCTTTTGTGTAAATATTTCGGTCTCCGTCTCGCTTTTGTTTTTAGCTTTTCATTTTTGTGTGCTTACCAGCTTCACGTCAGTGTTCCGATTCATTTCGCTCATTTTGATGGCGAGAGAACGACGTTTAAAAGTGAGCACATAGAAAGTGCACAGTAAACTTAGAGGTGCTTGGATAAAAAGTGCACTGCATCGTTGAAAACGAAACTGTCAACTTCTGTAGCGCCAATAGTCGTTTTACTGCTTGTGAACGTGTCTGCACTAACAACTTCAGTGACACCGTAAGGCATCTCAGCGGAACTGTGAGGCACTCCAACGCTGGCGGATGTGGCCAGACCAGGCTTGAGCGCCGATCGCAGAGATAAACGCAAAATATCTGCAGAGGACGAAAAATCTTCGTAGGTGGAGAAGTCGGCAACTTGGCAAAAGTTTGAGCATCTCTTATGTCAGCTTGGCGAGCGAAGACGACGATTGCTGCAAAGATTATTTCATCGCGGACACAAAAGTGCTGCAGAAACTCTTTGCGTCCACAACATGCGGCAAGTGCAGGACGGCCACTGCTGAACTTTCAAAGTGCGACGAGAGGCGGTACGGTCTAGCAGTAAAGCTAGTGCTTCCATACTCAAGCTGCGATTTCACCAAGCTCCACTTTTCGTCGCCACAAGTCGCCAAAGAATCCAAGATCACGCTTTTTGAAATCAACTTGAGAGCAATGAAGAGGATCTAGAGCATAGGAAAGAGAGAGACATCCATCGCAGACTTCTTTGCCACCCTGAACCTCTCCCATTGGGGGTCTCACCACAACATCTCCAGGGGACACCACAGTGCAAGCTTGCCAGGCAGCAGTAAAAGCCACAGAAGCAGCGAGTGTGCAGGTGGCGAAGGTCCTGTACCAAAACTTTCTCAACCTTGTTGGAAACGTGGACCTGGAGAGGACAAACGTGGACATTGTCCCTTCCAAGTACTACCGTGGCTGCCAGGAGGCACCTGACCCAGATGACGATGGTTATGGTTTTGAACCACAGGTGCCTCGAGAATGTCGACTGCAACACTGGACGGATGGAAGCCGAAAAAGCCCCGATCCTGTCGAAGAGGTTTCTGGAAAAGAATGAGCTGCATTACATGACCATTCTTTCTGATGGAGATGGCCACACCTTCCGTGCTTTGACGCAGGAGGGCATTTATGACTGCCTCGAAATTAAGAAGGACTGCCTGAACCATGTGCACAAGCGGATGGGGGCAGCTCTTTGCACCTTGGTAGAGAAGAAGGCACAAGGAGAGTCTTTTGGAGGAAAAGGAACGCTGATACGGGAAAAGATAAAAAAAAATCACAATCTACTATGGGTACGCATTTAGGTCTTTCAGAAGCTGGGTGAACAGGCCCTCCTGGAGTGCTGCCATGATGGAATGACACAGAACGCCATTGAGAGCCTACACTCAGTGATCTGAGGCCGAAACTCGAAGAGCATACGTGACTCTCTGCTGGCTATGGAAAGGGCTGTCGCTGAAGCAGTGTCCGTCTTCAGCGCTACTTACTGATGAAGACCAGTAAGGTGGTAGCAGAGCAGCTCGGCCACAGCACTGAGAGCTGTCCGACACGCAGGAACCTCGAGAAGGACAAGCAGAGGCTCCGCAAGGCTGACAAGGCTCGCACAGAGAGCGGGAAGGTGAAAATGATGATGGCAGAGAGGCGAAAGTTTGAAAGGATTCAGGGCTATTGCCCAGGACTCAACTGAACCTACACTCGCAGCCGTAAAACTCAAACATAATTTTCTGCACTTGCCTCTTCAATTGCAGTTGTTCAGCTGATGTTCTAAATACACTGGCATAAACGATTCCTAGAAAACTTCATTTTGTGCTGAGCAATAACTGCATCGCATCCTAAAGCTTTCTTTTTTTTTTTTTATAAATTCAGTAGTAAAAGTTTTACCATAAAACTTCAAATGCTATTTTCTCAGCTTTGTCCTTTCTATAAGGTGTCCATGCCTTACGGACATTTTTATAATGTTTGCATAAATGAATACCAGTGAACTTGATGTTGTTTTTCTCAGCAACAACTAAACTGCATCCTAAAGCTTTCGTTTGTTTTATAGAGTCAACAGATTAAAAATAATTAGCCAAAACGTTGACTAATTATAAGCTGATTATGTTTGCTTTCCGGTCTGCTATTTATTTATGGTAAAAAACTGGTGTCATAGATTCTATTAGCTCTAGGATGTATGGTGGACCCTTGCAACTAACTGCACATTGTAAAAAAAATATTTTTTAATGAGAAAAACTCCACAAAAATGACCTAATTGGAATTTAATATTTTGTCACAACTTTTGTCCTGGAGGAGATGTGTGAAATATAATTCCAGATTTTAAATCATCATTAAAAGCATATCTGCATGCTAATTCTAAAAAAAAATTGTGCTGATAAATAAAAAATATAATTAAAGACTGCCTATACAGGAAAAGCATGCCATAAAATAAATTTGCAAAAGAAAATTTTTTTCTTGAGATGTATATTTACGGCCCGAAACGAATTTGTAGTTGGCACCCCCGGGAGCCGCCACTGGTCATATGCTAGACCTGTGTGCCACCGCAACCACAATGTCACGCCGCCGCCACAGCCGCCGGAAGGGAACACTCCGGCGTGCCGCCACTGTTAATTTCTTACTGGCACACAGGTCTACCAAGTGCTGCTTGTGCTCTTTCAGGAGCTTCCTTTGGGCCCTAAAAGTTACTTATTAATCTTCATTTTTTTGCTACCCTTCAAACGAAGATTAATAAGTAACGTTTAGAGGCCATATGAAGCTCCCGAAAGGGCGCAAGCACCACGTGAACATAGCGGCCACTTTTCTGCGGGCTCCCGCGGGCACCAACTACAAATTCGTTTCGCACCAAAAATATGGCTCTAAAAATTATTTTTTTTCGTTTAAAGTTTTGTCTTATGGTATTCTTTTTCCATCTGGGCTGTTTAAAAAAAAAATGTTTTTTTCCTTTGCACGTGTTCTTTAGGCGGAGAAATCTCCAGCGCAATGTTCTAGCCAGCATCCGTCAAGGCCAGAGCAGGGGCGCCGAGCGAAAAGCGCGTGCGCCCGGGTGCTATGGCAACGAGACAGCTTTGTGTTTTCGTTTGCTTTTTCCTCAGTTGTGCCGTCCGGCCAACGGCGACGCCGTTGGAACAGTCTACTGGGGTGCGTGCCAATAAGACTTTACCCGGTTGATCGCGTTGCAGCGTTCGCAGTGCCACGTGCCCACACCTACGTATATATATTGAACTGTGGCCACAAACGATAGTACGGAGCCCCACCAACTACCGATGCCCCCCCCCCCCCCACCTCTGCATTAGGCGCCCGACGCCACAGACTCGAGCAGGTAGGCTTCCCGGTCGGACGCGGGCGCCTCGGGGGCAAGCAGGATGTGCAGGAGGCAGAGCAGCAGCCCCAGGAGCAAGGCAGAGGTCTCGAGCAGGCAGAGTTTGAGCAGGGGGTTCAACAGGGAGTGGTTCCAGGTGGCCCCGCCTACCTCGTTGTGCACGGGGGTCGACGTCCGACGCCGCTCGTGCGTTGCCAGCTCCTCCCGCAGTCTGGCGATCTCGGCGATCAGCTCCCGATGTTCTCGCGTCAGCTCCTCCGAGTGCACCTGGTCTTGCTGAGAGAGGCGCTCCTGCGACCGCCAAGCGGTAGAACGATTACTCCTTAACCCTTTGATTGGTTGAGCTTTTACAGCGGAGCTGTTAAGGGCTAGTTTCCCCAGGATCGTGTCCGTCAGCAAATTGATGACACAGAACTCTGGAAAGCTACCCCCTCTATGAGCTACGGCAGCAACCAGACGACTTGCTTGCCGCTTGTCTGGTTGTTGCCGTCGCTCAGAGATGGCGGCAACCTTTCGAGCCTTTCCACTCTGCCTTGCCGACTCGCGGCCGACCATTACTTCATTCCCACCATAGTACAGCTTCGCTGGCCTTCCTTCTTCACCAGAGTGGAAAGGCTGAAAGTTTATTTTCTCAAAAGATGTTTCTGATCGGTGGTCAGGTTTTGTTTCCGAAGAAATAACAAAGAAAGGGTCAATGCACATTATTCTAAATACTATCTAGCGAGAGCATGTACAGTGCTTCCAACATGTTCAGGTTTAGAAGCGTCGAATGGAAATATTGAAGGCAAGAAGTTTTCACCCTTCTTCCATTCGGTTTCATTTTGGCACATTTGCTTCCACAACATTCCACCAGTTTCAGATTAAAAGGTGGAGGTACTTTACAGAGCTTCTCCATTGGATGGTAAGCTCTCATCCTCTGAACTCAACTCTGAGAAACATTGAAGTATGAGTTGAAATGGACGGCGCTCCAACCGTCGCTACCGCCAGAGCAGCCGACGTATGAGGCGACAATCTCACGCACATCATGTGCGCAAAGCATCCAATTCCGGAAGCATAAATAGCCCAAGCAAAGCGAAACACTACACGAATAGTACAGTGTTTATAATTTCCCAAAGACTTAACAAATAGCAACACCTCTTAGGGTGTGTGCAATTTGGCGTCTAGGCGGGATATTTCCAATGTGCGATCGCAGCTTTACATGCACGGCAGCCACCGTAAGCGTCGGATGGATTCTCGCTAGCCATTCAATAGTCGCCGAGACATGGTCACAAATAGGGTGCTGGCAAACCGTATGTTCGCACTCGAATCGGAGCTTGGTGTTCTGACGTCTGCACGCACTCTCCCTCACTTTCTCAGCGCATTAGTTGACAAGCTCCGCGGAAGGGCATTGCTCGAAAAAAGTTCTCCGTCGCCCACACACGAGCAGGTAAGCCGCAGTCACACTGCGAACGTATCAAAGAAAATATTGTGCTTGTGTGTATGTTCATACAGCCTGAAGTTACTCTGCCTCAACTGGCGACCGTCTCCCAGCTGTAGATGAGCAATTCAGCTAGTACGGTACGACTGCTAGCCTGGGAGTCATTAACGCGCACCACGCAGTAGAGATACACGACCGCACGCCATTATACGATGCTCGTCCAGAGCGAAACGGGCAGGGGTGGGGAGTGAGCCCAGGATCCCCCAATTTTGCGGCGCAAACTTTTGCTCCACGCGCTCTGAGCTTGTGCGCGCTAGCCCGCTCGGCCACCAATCCCTTCATCATCCAAAATGCAGTCTACAGACGCTGTGTCGGGTGTGTTTCTTCCTTCTACGATGGTCCTGTCACAATGATTATGCAAAAACTGTCTGGAGACATGTTCAAAGAATACATCTGCACAAAGCAAACATGCTTCGATCAGAGATAATTCTGTGATCATGTCTGGAGCAAACACCATGCCTTTTGCATGATGCACGAACGGCGTGACAGCGGTTCGTGTGAAACCGTCGGATGATTTTTCACTGACCATTCAGCAGTTTCCTCCCAGTCATCACCCCAAACATAAAATTGGCAACCCGTAAAATTGCATCTACAGCGTGTCCCCCCCGAAACATTGCGTTTTTTTACCAAAAAACTAAAACGTGCATCACCGAACGCTCAGTCTCCGTCCAAATGTAGCGGTAGCGGTCCAGACAAGATGCGAAAGGTCTCAAAAGTAACCATTAGTTTGTTCGAATTTTGCGATTTTCTAAAACTTTCAATAAGAAAATGGGGCCCGTTCCCGGTAGCTAGCACAATACAGCTCTGTGCATTTCTCGGTTTTGTTGGCAACCATTTCACCATTCAAAATTTCAAAAAAATCGCCTGTAGACCTTAACACCCTCCGTCGCATTGGCGCTGCAATCTTGGAATTGCGTGACGCGACCACCGTAAGGTGCCTTCAACTCATCACTCCGCCCTCCCCTCCGTACCTTGGCGAATGCGTTGTGTTCATGTTTTTCGTAACGTTTCACAGCAATCTTTGGCCTTGTTCAGTAAAGTGTCATCCGACGTTTGTCTTTACTACCTAACTGCATGCCGTTACTATGTTCAGAACCTCTGCATTTGACTTTATAACACGTTTCGAGCATTTTCATCGTCGGCGATACAAGACCTGCATGGGACCTAACGGAGGCACAGGAATCAATCAGCCTTAGCAATGGCGCACGTCGGTTTCAGCGAGCCACGTGCACGCAGACACCAAAACCAACCGAATTGAAGCCACCTTAGGGCAGCGAGTGCATCAGCACCCTCTATCCGCCAATCAGGCAACTACCAAGATGAAAAAGTCTAGTATATAACCGTTGAATAAGATAACGGTTAGTTCTGAAACTTTGGCGTCTGGTTCAGATTGCTAGCACTACATTTGGACAAAAACCGAGCGTTCAACGAGGGATAGTTTATTCTTGGAATAAAAAAAATACTGTGAAGTTTGTTTCGGGAATACCTCGTACTGCTCCATCTTACCATCTTGTGGATGCAGCCGACCTGCTCCTGCTCCCGCTGGGGGTGCGCTAAAGTTTTCACCCGTGCAACAGGAACAAGGCTGGCAATGTGAACATGCAGACGATATTCTTATCGTTCACATTTCTGCAATGCCAGCCTCGTGCCTGCTGCGCGAGCGGTAATCTTAGTGCACTTCAGCGCTTCATACGAGCTTTAAGTTTTCTTTGAGACTGATAGACTTGGGAGCTTTCGATGTTGCTCAGAAAGTTTCTAAATGGAACCATAGGCTTATTTTCTCTAATTAAAAAGTTAAAAAAGTGCTGTGAATTATTTAGCTAATTAGTATGTTTCTTGCATTCCCTGATGTCCGCGATGGCTGGCAGTTTCTTCCCGAAAAGAGTTTCCTTCTTTCGACTACCTATCGGTAGGAATTTATCAGGCCTTTGCCAAAACACCCTGTACATTGCTAATGCATTCTGCATATGGGACTTTTGGGACATACACGAAAGGAGTGTTTTAACTTTTTATTGGAGGCACCCATGATTATTCGCGTCCCAGACAGGTTGCCGGTGGCGACGGATCGGCCGATAGATTACCGGTCGTGTGGTCGGTTGACGATTGTCTGCTCACCTCCAAAGTGCGGACTTTGGTCTCCAGGAGGCTCTTCTGCGTCTTCAGGCGAGACACCTCGGGAGAATGGAGGCTTGCACCGTCTGGCACGTCACGCTCCGCCTGCAATGCAGTGCATGCCTTGTTGGCAAAGGGATGCTGCAAGGTGCAGTTAATTATTTAAGACTAAAACCTCAGTCATTCAACCCCCCCCCCCATTCGAAAATATGGATAATTTGAACTGCTGATCCGGTCCCGTCAAACATGTGTATTAGTCCATGGCACCAAACGCTTATTTATTCGGAGGCAGTTGGGTGCATAATGGTTAATCGGGATAATTTCGGCCAATAGCACAAACTAGCGCCCGTTCCCAAGGTTATGACCGCTATCCATCCAGGGTGCACACGTGGTTCTTCTGGTTCTCCATGTCAACTTTGCTCTGGAACGCTGTGCGTTCGGCGCTCTGGTTTGCACGCTCCTGGCATGTTGTCATCACGTGCAGCAACTGCAGCAACTTTCATGGCGGCGCTGCCAGTGGCACGAATACCGGGCCAAGGATTTAGCGACAAAAGTGGAAATACTGAGGACCTTGAAAGACTGCATCTCTCGACAACAAGTGACAGAAGGGTATGACGTCTTGAGAAGCACTTCGGCCATGTACGTGAAAAATGAGGCCGAGATCCTACAGGCTTTAAAGAGAGAGAAGTTCAATGCGAAAAGAAAGCGGCTGCAAAAGGTGGCACATCCGAAACTAGTAGAGGCCTTGCTGCGGGGGGTCGTCAGCGTACGTGATGGGCAGCTGCCCTTGAATGGCCCTCTGATCTGCACACAAGCAGAGAAGTATGCAAGGAGGATGAAGATCTTTTCGTTTAAAGCATTGGAGGGCTGGTTTGCTTGCTTCAAAGACAGACACAAACTGGTCCTCAGAAATGTGTGTGGAGAGAAAGGTGTCGTCGACAGCGATGTAGGTAATCGATGACTGGACGAACGTCAAGCTTTGCAGGCGCCTTGTTGTACATGAGCCCAACAACATTTTAAACACAGACGAGACAGCGTTGTTTTACAAAGCCCTACCAGAAAAAACCAACACACTGAAAGGAGACTCCCACAAAGGCGAAAAAAAAAAGTACAGAAAGGGTCAGAGTTCTAGTCTGCACAAGCATGACCGATATGGAGCGCTTGCCACCTACTGCGATTGGAAAGGCAAAGAAGCCGAGATGTTCCAGAAACCTTGAACAACCTCCCGTGGACTATCAAGCGATGCTTCCACACCAAGACGTTCAAGGCATTGATGTTTGTCAATTATTGCAGCGCCCACTCCAACGTGTTAGTATGTACTGAAGTGCATTCAGGTCATATTTTTGCATCCGAACACCACTGCTGTTCTTCAGCCCATGGATCGAGGGTCAATTTGGTACATGAAAAGCACATTCAGAAAGCATATATTGGAGCGAATGTTACTGCACATCGAGGCTGCGAAGGAATACACACTTTCACTTCTCAGTGCGATACACATTTTGCCGTATGTGTGGAACAACAGTATCACAAATTGTTTGAAGCACAGCAGCTTTGTACGGTTCAAAGCTTGCCAGGCGGTGGAGACCCCAGACATCGCTGAAGACGACGACGGCCGTTTCGACAATGTCCTCTCTGCCCAAGTGCAACTTGCCGACTACCTCGCGGTTGATGACAGTGTTGTTGTGGCCGATAAGCCGCGTGACGATGAGATCATCAGGGATGCCCTACCTGACTATGGGCATGTTTCGGACAAAGGTGCTCCGTGTGAAGAGCCGCCACCGCGTCGCACCATGCGAGAGGCCATGGAGGCTCTTGTTGCGCTCCAAAAATTTGCTACACCTCCTACAGTGCGAGTGCAGTGGAGCATCCGACTGCGCTAAGAAAAGTTGTCGTCTCCCGCACCCTGGCGGGAGCACTCACCAGACTGCGGCGTGTCCGCCTCGAAGCTCGGCTCCCGTCGGGAGTCGCCGGCGGCAGGATACTGTCAATGGTGCCCGTGAGCTGCCGCCGGAGGCGCGTCACCTCCCCCTGGAGCTGCCGCTTCTCCTCGCGCAACGTCTCCACCATCTGCTGCCAAGTCCTGGTCTCTTCCCTGTGGGGAGTCTGAGCAGAACGCGGACAGAACAATGTCTGGAGACCGTTGTTTCCGCACCGTCCGCACAGTCCCACTGCTCGTACGTCGTGCAAGAGACTGCGTTCGCTGCAGACGCGATGACGAGAGTATCTGCGGGCGCGCCTCGAGCGCGTCTGCTTCCTGCGTACGTACGCTTCCAAAGCGTCTGCAGAAAGTCTTTGTACGATCCGTGCGACGGGACCGAGCGAGAAATGCGCGTCGGACAGTGTCCGCAGATGTTCTTCGTATGGTGTATTAGCGGTGCGACCAGAGCTTTAGGGTGCCACGAAACCATTTTTTGAACGGTGGAAGTCAGTACACCACGTTATGCAATGACTTACCTTTATAATTAGCGCGAGATGTTCCTCCAGCCATTAGAAAGTGTTAGTAGATTTTTCCTGCTTTCCTGCCCGAAGCACTACGACATTTCGCTGTTGCGCAACATAAACTTCCGTTCGCTTCTAACATACGTGTAATGGAAAGCGTGGATGCGGCTTCATGCTCCCGGATGGCCGCAATTGAAAGACGATCCGTAAACCTGAACGAGCTTATGTTTGCCATTTGCGCTTCAAAGCTGTAAAAATAAAACCGCGCAACAAAAAACTTCTCACTCACTTCGCTCCCTATGCATCAGCGAGAGAAGTATAGAGATCGCAGCAACCAATGTCCGTGCAGCGCAAGTGTATGAGAATGGTGTGCATTACACACAGTTTGAGCCAAAGGAAGCAAGGCAAGTGTGTCTCACAAACATTCAAGCGGGGTGCCCTAACAAATCTTTATTCACTGATCATCCTCTACAAAGCCATCAAACAAGGCATTGCTGTTTGAATCAATTACAATGCCGAGTGCTTCGTCTAGCAAGCTTTCGTGAAGTTCCGGCGCCGACATGCGGCAAAATTCGTGGACACTCGTTCGATGGCTTCGTTAGTTCCGTTAACTTCTTCACTTTTTTTTTGTTTTTTTTGTTTTGGGCTTTTTTCTAAAGTCTTAGGCATGAAAATTTTTTGTCTTTTCACTATTGTTCTTTTGGTTTTGGGGCTCATGGTTCCGGGATAACCCCGGAAAGAATTTCTTCTATTCATTAAATAAAAAAAGGTTTGCTCTTTTATGTCCCTTTTTTTCCACAAACATTCTCCAATCTCAGGGTTCATGGTCACAATGTTCAGGAAGAATGGGCGGTTGCTCCACTGACCTCGTGATCTGCGGTTGAATTTGCTGGGCAGAGGCGGACTTTCTTTTATTTGTGAACAAAGAAAGCTTCCCTCTATTATCTCCTTTGTATTTTTATTGCCAAAAACGTTCTCCAACTAAGGGTTTGGGGAGGACGAATGTTCGCTCATCTCATGGCCCGTGGGTCGGGTTTTAATGCGAAAGCATTAACTGTCCCATGGAGCAAGCCGAAGTCATCGGCTTTGAAACCACGCAAAACGGCTCCTAAATCCTTCTCCAAGACAAGCCAGCTCCCATTCGCCGGTATGGCCACGGCACCTCATCGCTTCGACCCCATTGGCTAGCGTGCGTCGACCAGGCTCCCATTCGCTGGACACGCAGCGCCATGGAGTGGCCTGTCGTTAAAACTGACGCTGACGCTGCGCGTCAGTTTCAACGACTGGCCACCTCATGGCGCTGCGTGTCCATCAGTGCCAGGTCGGCGCTAGAGCCACTCTATATGGCAGCGTAGCTGCCAGAGTAGCGACACGACGCAAAATTATCTAGACGCACGACGTCAGAAGCGCCTATAGTGATCTCCATTTTGGGCCTGGGAGGTTTCTATGGTAACCGCACTGCTAGCGACGCCGGGCGGCGACCTTTATCTACTTGATATCTCCATTCGTTAATTGAAAAGTGGTAAAAGACCTGAAAGACGCTTTGCATGGCGGTACGGCACGGGCCTCTAGAGAAGCGGTGCCTGTTTCTTCTGTGAAATGAGACGATTTGCAGCGTGCACGGACAAGGCGAGTGGTTTTCCGCGCCGCCGGGATGGCGGCGGCTTCGTGGGACAAACGTACCGTCCTTGTGCTTTCGGACTTCGCTCCTATGGAACAAAATCCGATTACGCCGGCCACGACAGGACGATTGCCTTGGGACATGACTGCTGCTTGACTGCCCCATAGTTAAGTTAATGTATGCTTAGCAGCATACTTCTTCAGGACCCAATCATTCATTCAAGATGAGATTATCTCACCGACTGGCAGGGAGGGAAGTCGACGACGGTATCACCCTCGTTTTGGGCAATGAACAGTCGACGGGGTTAAACCACGAAGGACAGCACGGTAATCTACAGAGGCTTGTTAACGCCATCAAAAGAGACTGACGCCAGATATGAGGTGTTCTTGCCGACAGGCCAAGTGGTCGTCCGGAAGTTTTCCGGCATGCAAAATGTCAAGATTTTTATCTGGTGTAGCACGCATACCCGTGTTAAAGGGGCCATGAAATGATTCTTTAACTTCTTCTTCCTTAGCTTTAATCCTCAACTCAAAAGCGAACAGTGGAATCACGCGGTCGTGACATGCTAGGGCACCGGTGCGATGGCCCCAAGCTTCCACCGCGCTTTTTAAGCACACCATAGAACTTGTCATTCGCGAGTGCACTCATGTGGACTCATTGGCCACGAACGCGAATTGAAATATTCATCGGCGAATTGATTGTTGACGAGCGCATACGCCCGAGTGACGCAGTTTTCGTGTCAAATGAGTGAGCTGGGGTCGGCTGACTTCATTTTGGCTTTTGTAGGTATTGCAAAGAGGGTATTTAGAACCATACACACATGACAATAGCATCATATCACACGGACATTAATGAGTATAAGACGGGCCCAGGCTACAGAAAATAAATATTACACTCGGAAAAAATAATTGTCTGTAACTTGTTCATTACAAAGACGAACACACCTCTGAGCATATAAATTTTATAGTGTGTGTTGATGCATTCTTATAGAGCAGGTCATTTCATATACGTCATTTGAGCAAACGCCAGCTTGTCACTTAAAAAAAAAAAAAAGCAACAACAAAAAAACACTGCGATCAAATGCAAGCTATTGAAACAAAAGGACGTTTATCAAAGTCTTCAGAACTGTCAATTTGTAAAATCGTCGATTAGTACAGAAGGTTAAAGGTCGCAGGCGCTTCCTCGCTTAAAGTTGCTGTGATTATTCGGCGATCCAGGGCTGAAACAACTTCCCCTAGGCCCTACACACGACGTATACCTTTCGTTTCGATTCTCAGAAATTCCAACATTCAAAGGAAGCTAGAAAATGCGAAAATGTTATCCTAAAAGCTATATCGTAAGATCGTTGATTATTACGACACGTAAAGATCGTAGGAGCTTCCTCGCTAAAAGTTTGTGATTACGCGGTTACCTGGGGCTGAAACAACTTCCCCAAGGTCCAACATGCGACGCATACAATTCGCATTGATTCTCAGACATTCCAACGTTCAAACAAGGCTAGGAGTATGCGAAAATTGCATGCAAAATGTCTTATCGATCCTCGAACACATCCAGGAACACGAGCACCGCTACGGCGATATGACTGATGCTGTCGCACAGGTGCTAGTATCCAGAGCGATCTTGCACAGAAAAGGTAAAAAGTCACATTCTTTCAGATCTTCACGTTATACCTGCTTCAGAGAGCATGAAGAAGTTCGAAATCGTCGGCAAGCAGCGGCACATTACGACTACCGCGCACCGAACAAACTCGTATCCACCAGCTCTGGGCGCTGCCATCTTACCGGTGACATCACGGCTCTTGCGAGGTCACGTGACGAGTAGTCACCCGGTTGCTAAGGGAACGGAGCCAGCTCAGCTCGTTGCTATGGTACCGCGTGTGACCAATCACGGTGAAAGGCGGCACGAGGAAAAGCGTGGCGCTACTCTGGCAGCTACGCTGCCATATCGAGTGGCTCTAGTCGGCGCCAGCCAGCGCGCCAACATGCGTACAGCAAAAATGATGTGCAAGCTTTCGTATTCACAACTCACAAGAAGTGCTTAGGCGTACCTCAGTCTTTTTGTAGGAATGGACGATGTGACCGTGTCTTTTAAAAAATTAATATTTTGCGTTAGAAGAGGGGTGGACAATGTCTTGGAGATGGGCATTGAGTCAGTATACTACGGTAATAATATATCGCTGCACAAATATTCTAATTTTCTAATAGCAGTTTTGAATAATTAGCTATTCGATATTTGCTTTGAGTTGAGCTGCGATATTTATACTTTTCGAAGAATTGGCTGCGGCAGGTTAGCCCCGGTGAGTGCGCTTCTCAACGAGCAACTGTGCACCGCGAGGAAACAACACCCGCGACGCTCGCGGACTCTGCGGGTATTGCTTCCCCGCAGCGCACAAGTACTCATCGAAAAGCGCACTCATCTGGGCTAACCCGCCGCGATTATGCGAGAGCATATGCCAGGCAGCAATGTCCCGACAGCCCGCAATCATTTGTGCTCCGTTTTTTTTTGTCAAACTTGAAATAAAAGAAATTATATTTGCATATAGCATGCGGATTTATTAGTCCCCTCGATTAGGATAGCTGCGGCAAATCTGTCGTTCATGTGCCACACTTCAAATAGTTAAATTAAAATTAACCGAGCTTGGAAGCAGACGAGTGGAAGGTTGGAAACAACCTTTGTAAGTTCAGCTGAATTTTCGTTTTAGCACAGCACGCGGTAGTGAAAAACTGGGGAGAAGTTATTTGACAGTCTATTAGAAATTATTCGGCCAAAACCAGTATTTGCTTGGAGCTCAAAATCCACTATTTGCACATGACTACCGATCCACATGACTACAACTCAAAAGTCTTAACATAAAGAAACCCTATCCCAATCTTTGGAGCGCGAGGTTGAAGGAGCCTCCCAACGAAAACGGCAAGGGGGCGACTGACAAATGCACGCACCCTGATGGGCGTCTTGTCAAGGCGCTGCTTGGCCGACTCGCATTCTGCCAGCTGTACGGCGAGCGCAGACAGCCTGGTCTCCAGAGTGCCCTTCTGGCCCTTCAGCTCATCAATCACCGACCTGCGTCGCCGTTTGCCAAGCACACGTCGTCGCAAGGACGAGACAACACACGGACATGTCGAGCACTGGGTACATTGGCAGGAGTTAAGACTAGTTCGCACACTCGCGTTTAGCGTTTATTTCAGGGTGCGGTCCAATCGATCCTTTGGCACAAGTTTGACTCTAAAGCCTCCAATGGCGGAAATTTATTCGAGGCCCTTATTGGGTCGCCGTCTTGTACTGGTCAGTTCTTAGATCACACCATCGGAACTGGAACAAATTGAGAGAGAATTAGGAGGTGATCGACCCAACCAATTCTCGTCTGCCATCGGCGTGCAAAAGTGACGGTGCCCGACGAAATGGTTTTGCGATCGGTATTAGTTTGCCAAAAGTGAAACTGCTTTTTCAGCCGCCAGATGGCACTGAATTTTGAAAATTTTGGACTCTGCATGAAAGCATGAAGTTCCAGCCGAATGCCAACACGACACTCGTTCCATGCTCGCCTGTTAGATCATTACTACAAACTGCTAGGAGCCAGCCACGTAACACATTCCGCGTCAAAAAGGCACACCAGGACAGCACGCACCCATCTCTTTTCCGGTCGAACCTGGCAGACTCGAGCTGCACCCTGGCCACCCTGAGCTGGCTTTCCAGAGATCGCTTCTCCTCCTCCAGGCTGCGTCCCTTGGCGATCTCTTCCACCAGATGAGCGTTCAAGATCTTCACCTGCATGGTGGCAAAACGTAGAGAAAGCCCAATGGTGACTGCAAGTTTAGTGGCACAGTGTGCCAAACACAAGTTTCTCAAAAAGCTCTAACGGTACCTGAGAAGTACCGTGATAACCCAGGAGATGCTTCACACCAAGATGGCCCACCCCTAATTTTGGCATGATTTGCCATCTTTTCAGAAACACTGAAAGATAGCCCACTTCTAGTAATTCAGTCCCTCAGTACTCACAGTTTCACATCCTCAATACAAAGTGCAGAGAATGCCTTCTGAAAGGGGCCATGAAACAACATTCAATTGGAATAACTCGTAATTTACTCAAGCTCCCTGACACTAACGACTCAAGTACACTCGCAGGCGACGCCACTGACCAAGAAGAGTTTCTGTCACAGTGTGATTTCAAAGACAAAAGTGGAAGTTTTCGTTCGGTCTCTTCTTCGAAAAACCGGACGCCGCACCACAGGGTGGCAGTGCCAATGTGACCGTCACATTCACCCCATGGTAATATTTGAATGCAGCTCACAGATTGCACAGAAGCCCCGCGCAAGCGCTCAATTCGGACTCACGACTACAAATGTCTAGAAGAGCATTGGAGTAGGGGCTCGCGTCCAATTGCCGCCCCGACTAGAACAGTCGAACCGTAACAGCGCTCTGTAACTCGGCACACGCCGTGTGGTTTGCTAACTCCAGAGAGTGTTTACGACCAACACTGGCGGTATACAACCGGTACCAGATCACATGGCCACCTAGCACGCCCCACTGGAGGACTTAGGATTTATTTGGACCACCCGGGTATCTTTTGACGTGCAACCGAAAGCTCGGTTACACGGCGCCTTCTCCGCAATAAGCCTCCGTCAGATTGCGGGTGCCTTGGCCGGGATTTGAACCCGCCACCTGGGGATCCGTAGGCCAGCGCTTTGTTTCAAATTTGCCGAGGCGGCTGGAGTGTTCTGGCTACGAGTGGAGGAGGCGAACGCTGCTAGCTTTCTTTCCAATTTTTTCCCGCGACTCTCATCGCGTGGAGAAAAAAACGAATGTGTGCTTTGTAGGTTACAAACTAAGCAGTATTCACTGAAAGCACAACTTCATCATACCGCCCTCTAAGGGCTCAGAAAGAAAGCGATGCTGCCGAGGATGTCGTTCCTTTGACATCCGTCGCCGCAACAGACTAATGTGAGAAGGGGGCACCTTAGACGTATGCTCTGCAATCTCTGCCCTCAGGCGGCTGTTGTCGTGGTCGAGGCTCTCCGCCCTCCTCTCGAGCCGAGTCAGCTGGGAAGTGGCTTCCTCCTTGGCTTCCTGGAGCCTCTGTGTGACAAAGGAAAACGATGGAACGTGCTGTATCAGGTAGAGCTACTGGCATTCCCGTTCGTTTTGCAGACTAGGTTGACAGATCCCCTTTTATCGACTGCTACAGTCAATGCCATAGTGAGAATGGCAGGAAGTCAACCCTTCTCCAGCGCAAACTTCCTACCTTCCACAATGCTTCGCTGTATCATGTACCTCGAGAACGTGCACGCATGCCAAGCACAACAGACTGCATGGAGTCCGTGCCAGAGGCTGGGAGTTCGAAAGACACGGCCCCTCGTTCTCACATGTTAGTGACCATAGTAGTGTTCTCGCTGTCAGCTCTGCTTACTTCAGTCAAGTGTCTGGGCTTTCCGAATCGTATTTGTGTCGAGACACCCATTAGGAAGTGCCTGTGGTGGTGACAAAAAACTCTGCACAGGGGGTTCATTCCGGTGCACGGCTGATCACTAAGCTCTCGGGTGGCGGCAAGGAGTACAAAAAGAAACGGAAGGTGCACACATTGGCACTTTTTTCATTTTTACTTGGAAGAGGAAGTGAGAAACACAGAATTTTACCCCCTGTGTCGATGCTCTCGATGAACACGTTCTGCCACGATGTATTAGTATTGATAAAGGCCTTTCAGTTTGAAGATATATCTTAGAGAAAATGAGTGCTTGCGTGTGCTAACCGTGCTGCTGCCTCTGTGGGAAGCTCGGAAATCCACCTAACATATTTTCTGGTCTATAGACCATTCCATCTAGCGCTCTCAGGGCAGCACCATTTTGTTAAACCGTAGCTCCCTCTCCACACATCCGGGAAGTTCAGCAGGTTCGGCGGGGTAAAACGAGAGAGAGGGTACGCGCCCGGCTCCGCTAGCAGACGACAAACCGGGAGGTTGCCGTTCTCCATCTTTGGGCTGTACCGAACATTGAACTCTCGCTCGTGGCTGCTGTTATGAAATGGTTCGCATTCTTAGAATATTTATGGCTACTCCAAAATCAGGCTATTGCGCTCTGTTGTTTTATTTCAGTAAATGATCAACTAGCGTATCTTTGTCCCGTTAGTTCAATAGCAGTGGAGTCAGCCGGCACCTAAATCACTGCGTCTATTGCGCCAGGAAAGCACATTTTTATCTATTATTTTAGACTTCGACTCGTTATCGCTAAAGGCCGGCACCAGTACAAACTTTGTATAGTATAATAGCTACAGCAACAGGATTTACTTTTCGCCAGAGCGACCGGACACTGACAGTTTTTCCTTTTTTATTCGCACGCAGGTAACATTGCAATTAGACTCGGCTAGTCTTTTTTTCGAGCATGGCATTACACAATAACTTAGATATCAGAATCCGCGCATCTGCACCTGAAATTTCCAAAATGACGCGATTTTAAACAGAGTTTGAACGTCAGACGGATGTTAGGTACAGCCCACTCGGCGGAGCAGACGACTCGCGGGGTGAGTGGGGGAGAGCATTTTTCCTCTCTCCACTCTTACTAGAGGAACTGTCTATAAGTTGCACCGTCGTGCAAGTCACGCTTCCCTCATATATATGCCCTTATCACAAGAAAGTCTGTGAATAAGTGACACCCTTGTATAAGTCGCATTTACATATTTGTATGGTGGTGGCGGTGAAACTGCATTGGTAGGCCCGTATGTGTGAACTGCAATTGTGACATATGCACACGCTGTGGCCAGTTTCAATAATCTCACCGACAAACCGAACAAGAAACCTAATTCCCTGGGAAGTTTGCACGGTTAAAGGGCAACTCCGCTCAATTCCAAAAAATTTAGGCTCACATGTGATTCCATTTCACAAAGCACTACTAGTCTTCGGATTCGCGAAATTGGAAATATTATTTGAGTAATCTTAATTTAAACATCAGCTGATGCCGAAACCGAAACTTCGGTAGCGTCAGGCAACATTGGTCTCGTGTCGTCAGAGTCATGGCCACGTCACGCCGAACCACGTGGTCTTGCGACGTTTGTGGGGGCGAGGAACAGGACACGCGACGCGGGCAGGTCGCTTCGCATGGCGTGGACAATGATGGCCCGGGGGAAAGGGGAAGAAGACGAAAGAGGAGAAGAGGAGCGGAGAAACAGACCGATAAGCGCGCATTGCAGCGCAAACTAGTGCATCCGCGTTACGGTGATCATGTGGACGCCGTTCAGCCAACACCGGGAGGAGAAACTCATGACGTCATCGTTCAATTTCGCTCTGGGAAGTAAAAACAAACAAAACGTGAGAATGATGTAGCCATGCCTCTGACGTATGGTTCAACGTTGGCCGCTCTAACTCCGTCGCAATGACTGCGCCGACGATTGCGCCTCACGTCGCACGCTAGAGTTGGCAGATTTCGGCGACTTGGCTCATTTGAAAGTTTGCTGGCCAGTTTATTAAATATATAGAGGGAATTAAATCGTGATATTTGACATGGGGTCTTCCTACATGATACTGAAGAAGGCTGCATAGTTTTCTAAATATCAAAAATGAAATGGAGTTGCCCTTTAAGGGCCACGCTGGTACAAAAAAAACGCGTATGCCGTATAAACTGCCAAAAAAAAGTTAAATTTTTTTCAGAAATGCACTAGAAAAAGTTGACCCTCGTCTTATATACAGATCGTTGGCGGAAAAACAAAAAAGTCTGGCAACTACGGGTGCCTGATGCAGCCATTTTATTTTTTCATGTGCTACTTGGTTTTTTTTGTTGTGCTTGTCATTGCTCAGGGAGTGAGCAGGAATGAGTGGAATTAGATGCCAGTTTAAGATATCTTTCATGCGAAAAGGAGTCGCATGTGAAGACACGCACGACAATCTGACACACACTGGCAGCTTGCAACAACTGCCACTTCTGGCCGGTATAGAAGTAACACTCATGCATGTGTTTCATTGCGTGCAGGTACAAAGCAGTGCAAGCAAAATAAACGTGCAGAGATTTCTCGCCGTGCTGCACTCTTCACTTTTTCCCAGGTAAGGTTGTATTTTCTCATTATAAAAACTTCTATATTTTCACTATTTGTTAATTGGGGGTTCAACCTACTATTGTCTGGTTCAAACTATACTTCGTTTTTTATGGTAATTTGTACCGTCGCATATAAAACGCACCAACGGAAATTTTGAAAAAGAATGTGACTTATAGATTGGAAAATATGGTACTCCAATACCCAGTGACCTTAGCCATACCCTGCTTGACAGAGAACCTCAACATTATATTCGTGCCTCTCAAAAGTTACTCGTACCAGTCAACAGACGAACGGCACAACTACATTACAACTCGTCACTTGACGAGAATTTTGGGTCTGTGCTGCACCGTCGAACCTGGTACGCATTTCGTGCCTCAAAAGCAGAAACGCCAACGTGCGTAGAACTGAAAAGAAGCCCTGGCAAAGCTAGCACTGGAACGGAATGCAAAGTTCACATCTCTTTATGTTTGCCCACCCCAGGTTTGGCACCGCCATTTCACGTCTCCCAGTTTCCTTCGAATCACATGCAGTGATGTGATTGGCCTAAGCCGTTTTGGAGCACCTTTCGGAGCAACCAAAACAGTGTTTTGGAGCAGCAAAAGTGGCTTTCGGAGCAGCCAAAACAGTTTTTCGGACACCAAAAATGGCTTTCGGAGCAGATATTCTTAGAAAAATAAAAATATTCGTTTAACGTGCTGGAGAAACGAAGGGCACTTGCTCGCTGAAATAAACGAATTATAGTCGTTCGACCACCCAGGAGTCTTTCAAGATGTAACTGAAATGTCAATGACATGACAGACTTTGCAATGGTTCAGTTAAAGGGGCGGTGCAACGATTTTATGATTAAAAGAATTTGCATCTCGTCATTTTTACGTTGTTTATCGTATCCCAGAGGATAGAGAAAACACTTTTTTCATTAAAAATTTCGCGATTCCGCTGCATAATCGCAAAGCAAAAGTCGAGCATTTTCCCCCACCTGCAGCCCCAAGTGGCAGCCGAAGGAACTACGGCGGAAAGATTACGTGACCTCGCTCGGCTCTAAGCTCCAGCATAGCGCCCGCTAATATACGCAGAGAGAGGGAGGGGAAGCGTCCTCCGAGATAGCACACGGGAAGCTACACGGCACTCGGAATGACGTCACTGGGAGTGCGACCAGGTGTGACCCTGAAGACTGGGAGTGAGTTGAGGGGTGCCCGAAATGCCGATCTTTATCTTTTTTTTACGCAACAACTAGGACACGCAGGCGAAATCGGTTTTCTGTTCTTTACTTCAGAAGTGTCAGCGGGCAACTTCCAGAAATCTTTGACCCAAGTCCGAAAATCGTTGCACCGCCCCTTTAAATGATACCTATATATGTACCCACAATAGATAGATAAGAACCAAACTTCACATATTCAAGCTTATTTGAAAACTAAACTTCACATATTAAACATTATTTGAAATGACCAGCTTAGTAGTAAATATCCCAGCATTAGGTTGACTAGTAATATAATATAATAAATGGAAGCAGTCCCCGACTGATGAAACAGATACCTACTGCAGTGCAATGCGAAATTGCACACAAGAAAAAGGTGATGTACGACTAGCGGGTACTTTTCGCTTTTCAAAACTTTCTGCAAAGCTGCTGTAAGCTTCGTTTTGGCTTAGGCTAGCAATGAATGTCCACTTTTAATGTCTCCAAAGAAACATTGAGACACCCCACAAGTGTACAGTGCTTTAGGCGTTGCCGAAAAATTTTGAAAAACCGCTTCCCACTGTTTTACTGATTCCCGACGTGCCAGACTTTCGTCAAAAGTAAACGTAAAACAGTGGATTGCAAGCGTCCCGGCTGGTGCCTCTGTCGTGCAATGATCGCATACACGTAAAGGCAACTTCGGCAGGCTTGCAGCTGTACACGCTTCGTCGCGCCAGTGGTGACGGCTGTTCGATCGAAACCGAAACCATGCCACTCCGCTCCGTCGCCAACTGGTCTCCAAAAATGTATGTAAAATGTAACTGCCCAGCATGCGACAAAAAATAGTTCAGCGGCGCGTGCTTGCAAGGCCGGCAGGCGAGGTACAAGATAAACAAAAAAAAAAAAAAAAAAAAAAGAACCTGAGCGCGTTGATGCAGGGTATCGCGAGTCAGGGTCAAAACGTTCTTGGAGCGCTTTGTGCAACGACTGAACTCGTGACAAACAAGCGCGCTGTGCGGGTTCAGCGTGCAGACATTGCCTTATTTGCTTTAGCTCACTTCTCTTCACCAACTTTCTTGCGCGACAGATTTTTCATGTACCGGGGTCCCTCTCGAAAGAAAGCCATCCAAGAGAAACCTAGGTAATCAAAACTTAGACACAGCAGTCTTCGAACTAATGGGGGATTTTTTGTAGTAGCGTATGTTTTAAACAAGAACAGGAATGTTGATGAACATGCGGCGGTCCTTATGTTTCAGTTTAGGAAGCTCCATATCTCTAGCGACGTGCGGACTGGCAGGCAGGACCAAATATAGTTTTCCCGCGGCCGTTGCTTGCCGAAGCGAGTGCTACAGCTCAGATAGTAACTCCAGCCGCGCAAAAACGTAATTTCGTTTCAGTGTGACGGCATGGCTGGTACCCAGCACGTTAGCGGAGCGCCCGCACACGCCCGTATCTATCGTTGTAATAAAAAAAAAAAAAAAAAAGGAGAGACGACATTTACGAGACGGCTAGAGCGCGAAAAAAAAGACGGCGGGAAAAACCATGCGAGACCGGATAGGCGATTGATGTAACTAAAGCAAGGGTGCAAGCAAGCTCGTTCAATACTGAGATTGGAGTTTTTTGCCTGTTCTACGTTCTTTCTTTTACCCGGCTCCAGGGTTGCAATGTCACGATTGATGCAGAGTACTTTGTGTCGGGTGGCCGCTTGCGCCACCTAGCTCACGCATACTCAGTTACGGTACTCAGTTTAGTTTCGGTTTTGAAAGGCGACCAAAACTGGTCCTTTGGCGCAGGCTTGGCGCAGATTACCCATATTTTGGCGGAATGTAGCGGGATGTAGCAGGGTTAGCCCGTTGGCGCAGTTTGGCGCAATTGGCGCAGCAATCACATCACTGACATGCCTGTTCCCTTCCCCCTCGCCAACTGCACATGCTCCCACCAGAGGGGGCGAGCGTGCTCGCTGCCTTGGGATGACGTTTCAACCTCGCTTTTCCCGCCTGCGCTGTCGGCGCAACGTCGGATTCGCGGCTGGAGGGACCTTGGTTCAAAACCAAGCCGCCTTTGTTTGTCCCAGACGTTGCTTTTCTTCCCCACGAAAAATTAGCTTAAAATTCGTACAAAAGCAGCTTTCCCTTCCTCCCTGTGGCTTTGACAGAACTGCGTGCAACCGGTGAGACAGTATACTCGCAAGTCTCTCTCCGACACGCTCGTCGACTCACTGAGACCATAGTCTTCGCCGTTTGCCAAGTCACAATAAGGAGTATAAAAAAATAAGCAATGTCGAAATCGCTGCTGTCACTACGCCGATTATCGATGAAATGCGTTATCATATAGTTTGGAGGTTACGACTTGGCGAAGGATGGGAATTCCAGCCTTGCAAAGGTCAGCACACCGTTGTCTTCGAAGAGACAGTTTGTTCTTCCAAGCTTCGGCGGTTTCAGATACAGCTACCATAGCTTCCCTCAATCGCCATCTACGATTCCACACCATCTGCAGTGCATTCGCAAAACATAGATCATACGAGGGAGTACAACGAGCAGGAAGCTTCTTGAACCTTTGGACATTGTGTGTGCAACTTAGATAGGTGTGGTTGCATTCATTTTATAATGTAAGCACAGTGTCAAGGTGGTTGTAAGCTAGCAGGTGATACAACAACCGTGACGATCAAGCCCAACCACGCTTTCAAGTGATTTGGGAGGTGCCCGACGGCGCAAGCGCGGCACCACCGGTGTGTGCATGGTGCACCGCGCCTCATGTTGCGCCCGCCGCGTCCTCTGCGAAAGCGAAGGAAAGTGGACGTAACGAGCGAACTGAGCACACTGGAAACCACAACGTGGCCTCCCGAAACCGGTCCCCTTCAGTTCAAACCACGGCCGTCCAAACGAAAGATGGCTGCATGAACCAAGGCAATAAATGTTGACGCATTGAAAAGGCAACCTTGCCGGGACTCACCCTCACTTCCGCCTGGCTCTCGGTCACCCTGAGCTTGAGCCTCTCCACCTTGGCTTGCGAGAGTTGTCGCTCGAGCTCGAGCTTCGACAGCCGAGACTCGAGGGGCTCGGAGGGCCGGATCGGGGATGGTGGGTGGTCGCGGCTGCGACTCAGGGCGGCCTGCGGATGCAGAACGCCATCCTCTTAAGGTCGCCGTCACACTGTTCATACATTGTACAAAAGAAACGGCGTTCACCGCGAACTGAAGATAGAATTATTTGTGGACACACTTCAATCATGTTTGAACCGTATGAACATGTGCAAGGGCTGCACTTCGTTTCTCCAAATTTCAGGGTCAATTTCTTAGGTACAGCCCGATACGTGAATAAAAACTAGATAACTTTGAATGTGCATCAAAAAATAAATGTACTCTTGCAACTGCACGCGGTGGTCAAGAGCGACTTCATTTTGATCTCGATTGTTGTAACCTGCCATGTCCTCGGCACTGGAGTCTGACCGGCGTCAACAGTGGCCGTAGTTGCTCTTTTGAGTCGTCCAATAAGCGTGTTTTAGGGGTTTGCGTTCACCGTTTATTTTGCAGAATTTCGCTCCAACGTTCGTTTCAATGTCGACATCCAGCGGCTGTGGCGTACCAATGAGCCCACCTTGCACCTCACGCTTCGTGCAGCACCGTACGCAGGTCTCGTCGACACCGTAATCGCGACCTGCTGCTTGTCTGCCGTGCTCCGAAGCATAAGTGACAGTTCAAAAGTACCTGCCCGCTGCTCTCAAGTTATGGTGCCCGCACAGACCAACTTGGAAGAAGAAGAAAACTTTCACAAAGCCTAACTGGCCTTTCGGCCACGTTTGCAAATCCGCGTGCTTGATTTCACAGCAAAACATTGGCAGAAGTGTCCGGTTTCTTGGGACCTAGGCAGAAGGCAACCGTGGATGATACGAAATGTATAAAAAGGACAGCTCTCCAAAGCTTCACTCCCGTAAGCTTTCTTATCTGCATTTCAAAACACGGTGAGAAGTGCGAGCAGAGGCGCATAGTATTTCGCGGAGTAAAGATGACGGAGACGCAGAGTGCGCACCACACCGCGGAAGCAGTCGGCGTGCCTCGGAAAAAAGAGGGGTGCAACTAATACACAAATAACTTTTCAAAATCTTTTTTTTTTTTTTTTTAAATATTATGACAGGGCTGTCAAAAAAATAGAAACACACCTTAGACAGCGTCTGCAGACTGTCTTTTGTATGATTTATTAGCAGCATGACCACTGCTTCACAGAAGTTCGGCGATAATCGAATTCTAATAATTTACGCGACGGTGGCGACGTATTCGAGGATTTCAGCTGTTCTCTCGCAGTGTCATGTACCGTCAGGAACTCCCGCAAGTATTCCGTCCCCTAATGAAAACCAAACTTTAATTTTTGCAGTCCATGGCCGAGTGTTCCTTTCGAGTCACGTAGCCTTCGAATCAAAAATCAAATTGACCTTTGAACCGACTGGTACGCGAGGCAAGGAGCGAAATTCCTCAAACCCTCGTAGACCCCCCACACACCTGAAGTTTGTCGCACTGGTCAGTCTTGAGCTGGTAGCGGCGTGCTGCGTCTGCCAGCTGGTCCACGAGGGACGCTTTCTCCCACTCCAGGGTCTGGGACGCGTGTTTGAGCTCCGAGACCGCCTCCAGCTGAGAGGACACTTGTGAGCGCAGCTCCGCATTGTCTGCACGAGACAGTACAACGCACGTTTCGAGGACAAAAAGGAAACGGAGGGGGGGGGGGGGGGGGGGGGGAAGGAATGCGAACGACGTTCTCAAATTCGCTGCACGAGAAACAAACACTTTGCATTAACTACAGGCACTGACATGGTGAAAACGAGAGGGAGGAGCCTCAGTTGTCCCGCCTCCAGTGCGAGCCTCCTACCTTCGACAACTGGAATCGGGCGTTCAAAAGACGCATCCTGCCATTTTCACTCTGTCCGACTCTAAGAGAGGACTGTACAATAACACAGAGTTTTAGCCGAACGCCGATGCAGTCCAAAACTGAAAACATCTAAGGGCCGGACATATAACATGCTCCCAAATCTTTTGAACATTGGTGATGCCGAGCAATAGACCCTTTTTGAAAAATCCATCGAGCAACATGGATGATCGCCATCTCTCGGGCACAAGACACTTGATTGTATCAGACTACTCGCCGAACACCAGCGTAGCGCTTGTTTTCAATAGGGGTCGAGCTGAGTTCGTGCCGAATGCTGTCCAGCCCTTGTGTCCAATAAATGTTCAGAGTAGGTGATCAAGCAATGGCAGACAGGCGATGGTGCAGGCTTTCAAGAAAGGTCTCTTAAACTTTTTTTTATTACTATTGATGCCGGCCACTGCCCAATGCTAAAGAAACAAACATGTGCATAGTGAGTGGGGTTGATTATCCTTCGTTTCAGAACTTCCAAGCTGGTTTGCACGCACTTAGTTTTTTACTGCAACAGCAGTTAGTGGGACGCTTTGCAGGTTTCGCGCCGTCGACCGCGCTCTGTACCGACGCGATTTTCGGCACTCCGCCGAAAGATTCCACATTGACGTTACGCCGCTGGCGTCACGTCGCTCGACGTGTCTCAGATGTCACGCCGCGCGTTGCGTCACCTGCAACCTCGCGTCGGGCGACACCGTCATGCGACATTGTCAGGTCGTCATGTTGCACAGAAATGCACAGACGTCACGCAACAATATGTTGTCACGTGAAACCTTGACGACACATAGAAACATAGTCATGACACTGCTGGCAATGAGAACAATAAAAAAAAATTGTTTATGCTAATTATGCCAGAAAGGTTTACAGGTGATAAAAACAATGAAGTTAGGTGGGTGTTAAGCCGGCGAAACCGCGGGCTTGAAATTAGGTGGAGCTGTAACTCTTGAAACTTGAGTGTGCAATTTTGGAAATGTTTTTTAGTGACCACAAGGCGGTTTGTTTGTGTCCAACATCGCATAAGACGTTCAGGCAGCCACCCCAACGACAGGAAATAATTCACGCATACACATGAGGTTTCGTCGTTGCCTGGCTTTCAAACTCGAGCGTGCCATTTTCGAAGTGTTCTTCAATTACCACAAGGCAGTCCTAGTTTGTGTCCAATAACAGGTTCACGAAATGCTCTACTTAATAATACACCCACACTAGTTTTAAAACGCCATGAAAGTTTCGTCCGGTATGTTACTCGGTCTAATACGTAACGCCAACGCGAACTCTATGGTGCACGCTCGCACCTTTACCATTCATTCGGTCCATCTGCTCCGAAACGACACCTTAGTGGCACTGATGTCGCACCTCAACTGTCGCAGTGTTTTACCTCACGGATTGCACAAGTGCCCCGACATTTTCATTTATCCTTTTGTCATTGTTATTGCTAGAAACCCCCCTCCCACTGGGTGGAAGGGGTCCCGGAGACATCACCGGTGGAGAACCACCGGTGTAGAGATATTCCGGTTTCTTGCATTTTACAAAAAATAGGCTGTGAAAGCTGAACGAGCCACTGGCTAAAACATTAAGATGCCTTTAACTATATTTGTGGACAGACGACACACCTCAACTGCTAACACCGCTTTTAGGGCACACAAAGTATCCCGAAAACAAAGAATAAGAGCAGTCTATTGAAAGGCGTCGGTGTACACCAGAGAAAGTAGGAGCCTTTGGCAAGGCAACCGCTGCACATCAGGGACACACCTGCGACGAGAGCATCGTTTGCCTTGGTCAGTTGCGCAAGCGTGGACTTTGTGGCCGCGAGCTCGTCCTCCAGTCCGGCAACCACCCGCTGGGAACGCTCGCACTCAGCCTCCACCTTCTCCTGCAAACGCAACAGCAGCCCTCGGGCACCACTCACTAATCACTCGCGACAATCAAAATTTATTTGAAACTTTCCCTCACAAGTTTTTAATTGTACAGTTCATTCACCCACACATTTGGATTGTGTGTACATGTACTAGGTACTGTATTCTCTGGACTTTAGTCTGCACACTATACATGGTGAAAGGTTCAAATTTAATGCGGTTCGATGGAATGCATTTATGTGGAGTGCAAGTTCGCCTGCCTGTTGCACAGGGTTGCGATGATGTCAGAATGCGAAGCTCTTATTGGTCAATTAAAGAAAAGAAATAGTGGGTAAACATCAAGGCGTCTAGCATTAAGGTCTACCCACTATCCTTTCAAGCAAAAATGATCAAAGCTTGGTGTTGTTCTGACAACACCGAAACTCCTGCGCAGGAAGCAGACAATTTGCCTTCCTCATAGTGACAACTGCGGGCTATACAAGAACTGGTTTTTTGAGACCGCTCGTTACGACGAGACGCGACAGATTTCGTCAACAAAAGTACGTTAGCGACGACTCGTGTACGACACGAGCTCGACTTCTTGGCGACTACGAGAAAAACAAGCAAAGCGCTATTCTCTCCGCACCTTGTCGGCTTCAAGCGCGGCGATGCGGCGCGAAAGAGCGTCCACGGCTTGGAGCACGAGCTCGGCCTCGACGTCGGGGGTGGGCCGCCGGAGCAGGGAGCGGCCGAGGGAGACCTCCGACCGAAAGGGTGAGCCGTCCCCCCGAAAGCTCTCGTTGGACAGGTCGCCGCCGTGGGGCCGGCTTGCCGCCGGTCGCTGGGGGGAGGGGGACCGCAGCTCGTACTTGGTCTGGATCCCCAGGGAGCAGCGCAGCACGCTCAGCAGCGAGTCCAGAGTGCCCTCGATAGACTTCCGAGACTCTGCACGATGGAACGAAGGTTGCACTAACCCTGCAGCACAAAGGCTGGTTCGCGCGCTTGCGGCTGCTTATGATTGAGTGCGTTACGACTAGGGTTTCGTGTTTTGGGGGTTTATATTTTTTCCATAGATTCGGGACTTTCCTGTGTCGGGCGAAAAATCGAGGTTTGTCGAGGCCATTGTTGAAGAAAATCGGACGCTGAAATGGGATTCCTCAATCTTTAAGAAACATGCATGTCACCCTTCTACTTAAAAAACTTCCCCGCGCCAATAAAAAAAAAGAAAAAAGTTTAGATTAGATGTGTGGTTCTGAAACCAAAAGAAGCCTCACGGGCAGTTCATTGGGGTCTGCGTTCTGGGTTGGCATAAGATAAAGCATCAAACAAATACTTTGTAATGAAGCTTGGGTTATTCTTATTCGAGGACAGCTCCGATTCGGTGTTGATCGGTTTCCCAATTTTGATCAAACTGCCTCAGGGGTTAGCTTTCAAGGTTTATCGGTGATTGATTACCAAAAATACAAAACCCTAATTACGACGTCTCGCAATGTCTTACGACGAATGAACACACACAAGCCCCAGCCGAAAGCCTTGCTCGAGGAGATAAGAGTTAGTCCCGCGGGTCACATCACAAGATCGAACACGGAATATAGCGGGCGACGTACTGAATTCCAAGTGCACACTAGACGAGCGAGCTCCAGGCTTTTGGCAAGCGCATGCTCTCTTTTAACGTGAAACATTCTTTGGATAGGTGTTGGGTATTTCGTGAAGATAAGATAAAAGCGTGACTGTGAGACTCGACATTGACGAGTGGGAGAGGAGGAGTGAGGTACTCGACGCCAAATAATTAATGGGTAGGTCACATGAATGGAGGTGTAGGCGAAGAGGAGCTCGACCACCCGTGCGCGCTGAGGCAGAGGAGATTGAGAGTATGGAAGGCTCTGGAAGATCACAAGGTTTCCTAGTCGCTTTGTTCTAGGAACAATTATCAAGTGTACACATCATACATGTTGAACTATGTGATGAAGAGCGCCGTGAACGTAGGCGTCTGGCAACTATGAGTGTTGCTAAACGTTTGTGAAGCTAAAATGTTACACGCATGCAAGACAATTGCCTAGCAATTCAACATATTTTTTTTATATCTTTTGGGGCGCTTTTTGATAGTGCTGTTCACAAAGAAGCTGTAGCGCGGCGCAACTCTTTCGTCTTCTTCGTTCGGGCATGTCACGTTCCGGGAGTTAGAAGGCAAAGTTGCCACTGCGATCGCATCTACGGTATAGTGATTGACTAGGTGAGAACGGCAGGGTTGTCCCCTCCAGCGCAAGCATCATACCTTCATCGACGCTTCAACGTCTCGTGTACCTTGAGCATGCGCGTGCACGCACAGCCAACGCGCGGTGAAAGGCCCGGAATGCGTGTTGAAGGCCGGGTGGCCATTCTCGCTCTGTCGGCGACTAGCTTGACGTGGCATCACATTCTGTGTCGCCACTGCCTCCTCCACAAGAACAAAGCAAAGGGGCAATTTTTTGGGAGTTTGTTTAGGCAATAGCACCTGAAGACCAGGCCTGTGCATTACGTCGTTGTGACTTGATCCTTGAACCAAGCGGAAAACGCGCTAAAGCTCGATAAGAGACGCTGCACCGCATGCAGGCGCTGCACTCGTTGCGAGACGCTGCAGGAAGCGCCGGCGACGATGTCAGAGCAAGCCGGGTGGTGCTGCGCTAGCGACAACGGTTGGGGTCAACCGGTTTAGGCCTGAACCCGGTCGACGCACGCAGACCCACCGGAGACGATCTTGAGCTCGCTCTCGAGGGCAGCCGTGGAGCCCTGCGCGGCGCACAGTGCCAGGCGTGCCTCGTGCGTTGCCTGCCCAGATGCCAGCAGCTGCTTCTCCAGGTCGGCCCGGTCCTGGGCCAGCCTCTCGGCAACCCGACCGGCCTCGCGCACCACCCCTTCGCGAGCGTTGCGCTCCGCCTGTGCCCGGCGCTCGCTCTCGTCCAGGCGACGCCCCAAAGAGGCACGCTCGCGCTGCCACGCGTCCCGCTCCTCCTCGAGCACGACAACCTGCGAGGAGACCTGTCGCTTCTTGGTTCGCCCGCTCATGCGTTCGCTCACTGTGGGCGCCTGGTATTTGTATCGACGAAACAAACTTTCCAGCAAAAAAAAGAAAACAAGGTTCTTTCTCAAGGACAAGCTTGTTCCCCGAAAAATGTTTCCAACAACCTTCACTCCTCAAGTCCTATATTGCGTGGAATGCGGCGTCTAAGAAGCGAATGTACGAATTTGTTTAGAAGGCACTAGCCGTTTGACTGCCGCTCCCGTGTGGTTTCAGCTTTGGTTCGCTCCCTTCCACTGCCAACTGGGCTGTAAATATTTTGTTTAAGTGTACCGTAATATCTAAAACGTACGTCAATTCTCAAACTTTGGTCCACCCCCCTTTTAGGTAAAAAAAATATCTATGTCAAAGAAAATTCCAATGTATCGTCCGCCCTTTGAAAACAGCGATTCGAAGAACTGGGGACACCTGGGCAGGCCTTTCTTTTCAGAAGTCTCTGGACGCATGCATGGATGCACCAAACAAGAAGGCTGCACAAGAGCCTGCTCCTTCTGAATGACAAGGTGTCCAACTTGGCCCAATGGAATTACCGGCTTAACGCAATTACCGGCTTCCGTTTTGGAGGGTGTTCGTTCAGGATGCTACGTTAGTGCTAAGTATGAGCAAGTGATGAAAACAACGCTGCATTGCATGGAGACACTTTTTGCCAGCATGTAAAAATGTTTGTTTAATGAGCGACTTTCGTTTTGAATGTGCACCTTCGTTGTTATAGAAAGACAAATCTTAGTTAAACCTTGTGCTTCACGGCAAATGCTGAAATTTTAAGATTACCAACGAGTTCTGCATTTGACGACTCTGGAAACAAGGAAGTTACAGTTCCGAATGAACAAAAAAGGCCGAGCAAGGCTGCTTAACACGTGACCTTAGAATGCGAGGTGGATGCCAATGTGTAGCGCTGGGCTTCAAAGCACAATATTATAAAATGTCTTAGTTAGGTGGCATGCAGACGTCAGTTAACTTTTTGCCCATAAAATATTGTATCTTTGATAAATACACATTGCAGTCCTCTGCAAATAGTGAATTTTGAGTTGGAAGCGAATTCAAACCAAAAAGTGCTTTTGACCAAATATTTTCAACTCGAATGTCGAATAGTTTCCCTAAGCCTTCCCCTACTACATGCTTGAATAAAAAGCCCAGCTGAACTTGTGAAAGTTCTGGCCAAGCCTCCACTTGTCCATTTCGAAGTCAAGTTAATTCCAATTAACTATCAGGGGCGAAGCTCCTTAGGGTCTAGCCTTGTCCTGCATCCGTGCTCAAATCGAGTGCCATCCCATCTGTCTTCTTAAAAAAAGAAAAAAATGTTTGCACAGTCGACAGGATTTGAATTTGTGCGGGGAGACCCTAATGAATTTCTAGTCCATCGCCTTAACCACTCAGCCACAACTGCGGGACGAGTAGGGGGCTCCGAGATGTGGTAGAAACTCAAGAGCTGGGGATGTCATGGATGAAACGTTGCATGTAGCCGCTCAACGTCTATACAGGAGAGGGCGCTGCGGTCAAATGTGTATATAATCGCGTTAAACTTTGCATGCATTGGCCCAACGTTTATAGAAGAGAGGGCGCTGTGGTCAAATGCTCAAATGCTTATATAACCACGTTCCATATCACATATTCTCTTTCTGACATCAGCACTACCTATGAACAAAATCAGTATCATCAGCACCACCACAGCTTTGCCCCAATCAAGATCATTCACCACATGGAGATGCAGTCATTTTTATTGACCGTGGCCTCCGAAAGTTCAATACCTACATTGGGACGGCAAGTAAACAATGCATTTGACATAAAATTAAGCCTATAGAGGTGCCCAGCTATACCTAATCAAGAAACTTAAAATTATTATTGCTACGTGCAAATATATTTCCTTAAATCATGTATGATTAACACAGGTTTTCAGGGCACCTCTGCTTAACGTGTGCTCATGCACGCCAGTTTAATTTTGAAAACTTTACTGCATGTAGATATCAACATTCATAAAGTTTCCGTTTCTTTTGAAATACACCAGGCGCACGTGTCCAACATCCCGTTTTAGAAATGAGCTTTCCTCCTAAGCAAACAGCTGCTACACGTCTACTTCTTTAAGTGTTCATCACGGCGGGTTAGCCCCTTTGAGTGTGTTTCTTACCACGCACCCGTGCACAGCGGAGAAGCCACACCCGCGGAAGCGAGCTCCATGGGTGCTGCTTTCCCGCAGTGCACCCGTGCTCGGTAAGAAGTTCCTCTAAAGAATCTAACCTGCCGTGATCCAACACTAAAAATACCCGGCACTCAAAGGATAAGTCAGCCGTCTCAGGAAGCGAAGAATGTAGCGTTAATTAATCTCTTGGCTACGTTTTGCAGGGAAATTGACGCCACGTGACACCCGGACGTCAAGTGGCATTACGACGCCGTGCGGTCTGACCAACGCAAGCAAGGGAGACCCGTGGAGGGTTCCAGTAGATGCAGGAACAAAGAAAGATGCAGTTCTTGCCTTCCGCTTCCAGGAGAGAACGTCCTGACGTGCCGATTCCACCTGATGTCCCCTCTGCTCGGACAGCTTCCGGAGCGAGTCCAGCTCCGAGCCGTGCTCCAGCAAAGCCGACTCCAGGGCTCGCACCTTGCGCTCCAAGACCTGCCGAGCCCGCTCCACGCCGTCGTGCGTGTTCCGGAGCTCGCGGAGCTCCTCCGCCAACGTCGCCCGCGCTTTCTCCGCGCCTGTAACGGTCGCCGAGAGACGAGCGTTCCCATGGGCATCTTCACTCCGAGCCCAAGCCTCATTTCCTTTTAAATTTGCGGAAGTATCTTTCTGTCGCCGGCCGCAATCCTCGCGTAGTCGCAGCAGTGGTGGTGGACATGGCGGACGTCCGTTCTGCTGCACGTCGCTTTCCAGCTGGACCGCCCACGGAAGCTTCGGCGATGCTTGCATTCTCATAATTTTTTCCGCAACCTCTACACCCAACTGCCAGGATCGCGACATTCGACAGCAAGACACTCAGACTTTTGCGACGTCCTTCGTTACCACTTCGAGAACACTTTTGATGCAGTGGGGGAATGGGACGCTAAGCACACCGGTCAGAGATGCATTTTACGCACCATAATAAAAACATACTAACCAGCAAAATAATTTGATAAAATTAAAATAATCATTGTAATTAGTAAAAATTAAGAACTTGCCAAGCGAGAACCCCTAAATGAGTCGATTTTAGGAAGAGAAAGCACAGGTAAAGCGAGGAGATGCACTAGTTTTCACTCGTGCAGCTGGCACCAGGCCAGCAATATGAAAATGCGGATACAGTGCAATCCACTTACCGTATTTACTCGAGTTAGCCGCATTGTTTATTAAGAAAACCTGAGGGTTTGTTTTTTCCGCGGAGCACGCAGATGGCCAATCACCGCGATCGACAGAGTGACTCCAGCTGTTGACAGGACAGAGATAACGTCTTCGTGCTAAGATAACATCTGTGAAGATTGCATTTGTATGGAGAATTGTATTCTTGATGTAGTCACTTGCTATGTTATTTATGTGCAACGCAATGATTGGCTGTATATCTGTTCTGTGGGAAAGCAGACGCAATTGCTTCGTTCATAAATAGTGCGGCTATTGCTCGAGTAAATACGGTGATACGATAATGAAAAGCCCAAAAACTTAATTATTATGACCAATTATTGTTTTATCCAGACTAGAAACTAAGCGTCTCTAGAAACTGATCATTATAAGCAGTACATAGTTACATCTGGTATCGTTATAAGTGGATTGCACCGTAATATTCTTACCACCTGTGCTTTCGTGTTGCCAGCCTCGTACCCGTTGTACGGGATAAAACTTTCTTCACAGCCTCGAAGAAGCTGTCTTGCAAAGAAGTTGAACTCATGAACAGACAAGATGTTGTACCGCGGAATTTTTCGGAAGCCTCCTGGAGCGAGGCGTCCCTCTCCTGAGTGGCGCTGCGCAACTCCTGCTGCAGCTCCCCAATGACTCGGCGAAGCTGCTCGGTCTCTGCCGTGACCAACGTGTAACTCTGACGCGCCTCGGATAACTGATGAGTCAGAACTTCAACTCGACGCTCCCCTGCAACGGTCAAACAAACAGCAGATTTAGAAACAAAGACAACTTTCGCATTCATTTAGCTGGGTTCTCTCCAATATCGACTAAAGTTAACCGTGCCCAGAGGGTCGCCTAGACATTTCCGTGCAAGTCCAAAGTGTCATTAAATGCCAACAGAGCGTGTCCGCGAAAAAACTTTACGCCAGTTTTTCACAGCAAAAATTAGCCATGCACCGCCGAACACCATCCAAATGTAACACTATAGATCCAGACCAGACGATCAAGTCTCTGAGCTAACTGTTATCCAATTCAAATGTTACAAGTGAGTTTCTGAAACTTTCAATGGAAAAGAGGGGCCTGTTCCAGGTGGTTACTCTCCTCGGCCCCATGTATTTGCGGACTTGGTCAGCTGCAATTTTCCCATAGAGAATGTATGAAAATCGCCTGAAACTTTTGAATCAGATGACGGTCCTTTCTAAAACTCTGGCATCTGGTCTCGACCACTAGTGCTGCGTTTTGGCAAGGAATGAGCATTTGGTGACGCAGAGTTTATTTTTGCAACTAAATCATTCGCTTAGCAAGTATACAGTAATATCCCGACTACACGACCACCCTCCCGCAGCGTGAAATTCGTAAAAAATGTGGGGTGGGCCATGTATCGGTGGGTAAGCACAAAAAGTTTAAAAAAGGTAAGAATTAACTTATTTTTTGTACGCATCTAGCCCGGCCGCACGGTTGATAAGTTAAACTCAAAACTCGTAGTTTTATTGTTTATGAAAGAAATGCTCCCAAAAAATATGTCTTACTATTGCGAAGTCCGTTGCTTGCTTTGTTGCAATGAATGCCGCCTGGCATACAGAGCAAATGCTCTTTCAGTGAAAACATGTTTCTTAAACGATACATTCCCTTCGTTAGACTTTGCTATGTGTAAATTAAGAAATAAAATGGGGCAAAAAGAAAGAGAGTCAACAAGAAAGTAGAAAAACCAACCAGGTGCAGCCAGCGAGCGCCGAAGAGCGATGCTGGGGAAACGGGAAAGCCGGGGATCGCGTTGGCAAATACTTTGGCGTCGGGATTTTGGTGGAGATGGATTTTGACCTTACATCTCTTTCTTTACATACACATCAGCGTATGTAAAAGAAAAGATGTGTCTTTCTCTCCTTCGTTTTACTTTGTCGCGGACGTCCCCCAGCTGTATGCTCCATGGTCGCGTCATTCAAGTAGGATGAATGTTCACGGATTGCGGAGTCCGCGTTCGGGTATTTGTAGAGGTGCACGATCGCTGTGCATATTTTTTTTTGGGAAATCGGCATTCCCCTAAAATGTGGGGCGGGCGACGACTGGGGATTTTACGGTAAGTGTTACGCTTGTCCACATACAATTGTATTTATTTCTATTTCCACGCCATGCTATGTATACGCTGCGCAGCACACTTAAGGCAAATGTGACATTGAAACTTCTTCAGTCTTTTACTCCCACAGGATAGTGGCGGACACCAAATGTGTCGTCTCTCCAGTTTTGATAACACTTTTAATAAAAAAAAAAATATAAATTATCCATCACTCGTTCTAGCTTGCTGCATTAACACTGCACATTGGGTTTCGTGGTTGGTTTTATTTGTAATATCTTTTTAACAGCAACCTGAACTTTTGCTTTGTTTTTCTCAGTAAATACACTAACATTTTGATACTAGTTAACCAAATTTCTAATTTGGAAAGCATTTTACGTACTATCGCGGATAAATTCAATAATAGCATTTACCCATCGAACATTTTGCACACTAGACAAAAATATATTAGATTTGTTTGCTTTAACATACATTTAAACCAATCATATGATGTTCAGTCAATCCTTCCTTGGTATCAAACCATTTACGACTACACATGTTGCATTTAGTGACGTCGTCCTTTAACACATTATTGTGGTCGTCACTATTTATGGTTTATTTTCGTCTCATTTTGCCGTATACTTTTCTTTCATTGAAGCAGCATTCACGCTTGCTTGGCAACCATACACCAAAAATATTTTCGCCCAAAATTGAGGCACAAGCGAGGTGGACAGAAAGGTTGCAAACTAACCTTCAGATTTCTTGCCGAGAGCTTCAGACAGCTCGCGCTGAAGAGCCGCGTGACTGGCATCGGCCTCGTTCAGCCGCTGAATGGCACGCTCCCTTTCTTCGGTCACCCGGCTGAGTTCCTTGTGAAACTGCGACTCCCGTGACTTTTCCTGTGCCTCTTTCAAACGCAATGCCGTCCTAGAAAAGAAACACTCGACATGTCATAAAGCACCACACTATGAAAATTTCTCACAAGCGTTTTGAAAAAGCTTGTGAGAAAATACCAATGAAAAGAGGGAACAAAACCCAGGTCAGTTTTTAGTGGTCAAGGAAGCGGTGTTGGCATACCAGATGAAAAAAAAAACCTCCCCCCTTTCCCTGCCCTAAAATTTTACACATGTAGAATTCAAAAAGGAGGGGGGTTGTTGAAACATCTTGTCCCCCCACCCCCTTTTGAATCCGCCATTGGTTGTGTCAGTCTGTTCTTTTTCTGTTATTGAAGAAAACTACCAAACAATAGTTATGACGAAAAATAATAGCACCAGATTTGCAAAATGCCAGTCAAAAAAGCGTGTCTCCTTGAAAAATCATTAATGAGCAACCAACATCTTGGAAATATACGCTCACCGGAAATATAGGGCGACAGCAAGACAAAAAGGAGAGAGAGAAGCCCAAGTGCACTGCCTGGAAAGCGTCTCGGACTGGTGTATTTGGCTTCCTTACCGCCCATGTCTAGAAAGTGGTCCCAAAAAAGGCGACAAATGATGTCCCAAGAGCCAGAGTGTTACGCTGTCGGATGTCGCCATCCTGGCGCGTGGACATACAGCGCAACCCGCTTATAACGATGATGAGAAAAGCCGAAATTTCAATCGCTACAACCGATTATTGTTGTATCTGTACTAGAAACTGATAATTTCCAGTCTAGAAACTCTAATAACCGATCTTCATAAGCAGTGCAAAGTTATATGTGGTATCGTTATAAGTGGGTTCCACTGTAGTTCCGGAAGAAAGCGCTAAACGCAAGTGTCGCTGTCACTTCAATGTCTCAAATCTCGGCCGCCAAAGCTTCCAACTACAAGGATCGTGGCCGGCAACAATGTGACACTTCTATGACGTTGTCGGGTGGAAATCAAGAGACCACTTTTTAGGACATGGTACACAGACCAGCCAGACACGTGTTTCAGGTACCGAAGACCAGGCAAGGATGAGTGTATCCTTGCCCCCCAATCCTAGCTCCTTTTTGTTTGAGACAAACAACCAGCCGCTTGTTTTGCTCGTCGAGGCTAACGACCTGACCTAGTCTGCTCCAGTTCCACGCGAAGTGTGTCGACGTCCTTCAGAGCAGACGCCACCTTGGCCTGCTCGGCGGCCATCTTGGAGCCTGCTTCATCCCTGAATGCCACCAGGTTTCGCCGGAGCACGGACACTTCCTCCTTGCAGCGGCCGAGAGAGTTCAGCAGCTCCCTGCGCTCGTCCTCCGCCATAGACTGCATCTGCAAAGAAGCCAATCATTTGCCAATCATTTCCAATCCTGTCAATCATTTCTGACAAGGGCGAGTGACGCTCACCCTCCGCCGTGGATTGCACCTGCACGAAACGCAATAACTTGCCAATCATTTCATATTCTTCCAATCATTTCTGACGCGAGGGCGGGTGGCACCACACACTCTGTACGGCTGCATTCATAGGCAGGTGCATAAATCCCGAGCTGAAACATGGTGCTTATTAATGTGCAATGGACCCTTTACAAAAGTGCACACCATACTTTATTTTGCAGTAACTTGGCAAACAGCGAATGCTACAGCCCCTTCAAACTAATCAGAGCGACGGAGGCAAAGCAAGTGACAGCCCTTATCAAAAGTACAGGGGCAAAAGCATAACCCTAGGGGTCGAAGAAGCATTCTAGGAACTGTACTCTCACTGTGGAACACTATCAAAGGAGTCTTACCTCGGCTCTGAGCTGCTCGGAAGAAGCTAGCTTTTCCTGGAGCTCCACCCTCACGTCTTCCAGCCTCTGCTGGTGCAGGGCCACCTCGCTGTGCCACTTGATTTCTGTCTCGCTCAGCAGCTCTTCCCGGCGCTTCAGTTCAGCTGCGTGGCTTTCCTCGAGTTGCCGCAATTGGCCAGCCTACCAGAAGGATCCGACCAATCGAGTCGCATGTAGTGAACATTAGCCTTTGACTAGACATGGCACAAAGCTGCTAATGCTTTAAAGAATCGAGAAAAATAGACTAGAAGTTGCTTTATGTACATAAGTAAGTCCACATGACTATAGCACAAAACTTTAATCGAATACTTAAAATCACAAAAAGACGTTGCGCATAAACCCAACATGGCCCTACATTACACACAAGGAAAAGTACTAAAACTGAACGCTCGCAGATAGCTACTTGCTCCACCTCCTCTATGGTCCCAAACGCATAGCTAAATTTCGTCACAAACTATGAAAGCAAACTGTATCACGCGAGCCATTTTAGCAAGTGTCGTATATTAAAAAAAAAATCATCCTACATATATAATATACCAGCTTTAGAACTACCGTAAAATACCGGAGAAGCGCCAACCCCATTTTTACTGAAAACTAGGTTAGTCTAGACAAGGGCGCTTGTCCGGTCAAATCGGGCAGTTAACATATAATTTACAGAATTCTCAGGTTTGGGAAATGTTAATAGTGGGCGCTTGAGCGAAGTGGGCACTTCTGGGGTATTTTACGGTAGTCGTGTGCGGATAACAAATTTTGAGTTCAAAGTAAATAGTGCTTTAGGCCGAATATTTTCTAGTCAAATTTCAGTCTTCCACCACCTCAGAGGTTCTCAAACAGGGTTCTGCAAGCTCGTCTCTGCGAGCACCCAATATGCAGTGCCTCCCCCCCCTTCCCTTCCCTTCCCCTCTTCCCCTCCCCTTTCTTCCTCCCCCCTCCCCTCCCCCCCCTAGTTCAACCACCTTCCACCGACTGAGCCATGGATTAAGTAGGTGTTGTGGACAAAGCAAGCTCACCTTTTGCACAAATATCTTAAATATCTTTGCAAAACTATCTTAAAAATAGACAATTGGAGTGTGTGTATGTTTATACAGCCTAGAACTTAGTCTGCCTCAACGGGCGACGAGTCTCCCAGCTGTAGATGAGCAATTGGGCCAGTGCGGTACAAACCGCTAGCCTGTGGTCTTTAACCTTCACCACGCTGTAGTTATACATGACCCCACGCCGGTACGATGCTCATCCAGATCGAGAGGGGCAGGAGTGGGGATTGAACCCAGGATCCCTGGGTTCAATCCCCACCCCACAGACACTGCATATGCCTATATACCCAATAACGTTGATGGTCCAGAGTATATTAATAAACAACCCCCTCCACCAAAAAAACAAAAAAAATTGTGCTTGGATAGTTATATAAAAAAAAACGGTGAATGATGGACGGTTTTACAAACAGACCGGCAACCGGTCTTTTATTTTAAAAAAACTGACCGTGCCGGTCAAAAACCGGGCAGGTGGCAACCCTTGTTTCTAGGCCAGAATGGCTTGCAAACACTGCGGGTGTTCCCGCTGGATAATTAAGAAAAAAACTTGTGCTTTGACACAACACCCTACCACTGGGAAACATCTTTTGGGAAAAAAAAATGTACCGCCAAAGGGTTAAAAATGGCCAAGCCCAGGAGCAACCGGCATACCTTCTCCTGCCGGTGTTTGTCCATCTCTTCCTTGAACAGCCGCCGTTGCTCTTCTACCCTCCGCAACGCCGCCTCCTCCGCAGCTTGCAGCTTCTCGGTCAGGGATGCCCGCAGCATGCCCCACTCCTCGGCGTCGGCTTTTCGCTCCCTTTCCAGCCTCTTCAGCTTCTCTGAAAGTACACACAGCATTCAGCATTGTCTGCACTTGCCTTGAATCCACCGACTGTTTCAGGTGTACTTAAAAGGGGACATGAACCTAAATTAAAAATATTTTAGAAAAAAATAATTTTTCAGTTTTCATGAGTTCGGTTTTAGAAACTAATTGCACACCATTACACTAAATTTGATAACCACATACCAAATATAGCTACGCTGATATAAAATATTTTTAACACGCTGTGAGGCAGTAACAAAGTAAAAAAGTTCAATGTTTGAGTACAAAACGAGCGTGTTGGTAACTGTAATTAGACATGAGGAAGAAACACAGAAAGGGGGGACGGACGTCATGAGGAAGAAGTCTTCGTTGTCCGTCCCCCCTTTCTGTGTTTCTTCCTCATGTCTAATTCAAAGTTTGAATGCCTTTTCCTTAGTTCCACTTTTTGCTGCAAATTTTACCCAAAGGAATATTTTGTTTGAAGGTAAAAGTATCCTCATACCACTATCAAGTTGTTACTGAACTGAAATTTACAGGGGAATCGGGTTATCTACTTAATTTTGTTTTAAGTTGAAGTCCTCATTGAAAAAAGACAATGCTTTCTAAAACTGGTATAGGACAGATACATATCTCATATTTTGAGGTAATCCCTATTCCTGAAATGTTTACACTTCAGTTAAAAAAGAAACTACCAGTAGATAGCCCAATGTCTCACATCCCCCACTTTATACTCTAGCAGTCAAAATGGTGCTTAATAGCGTCATTTGCATATCATAGATTTCTTAACGAAGAGCGACACATCTCCTTATGCAGGTATGTGAAGTAGTCCTAGAGAGCTGAAAGTTTGCACAGCACACCTACATCTGACATTAAGTTCCCCCTGCAAATTTCATTCCGATCACTTGAGTAGTTCAGAAGTTAAATCTCTAGCCAGTCACCTACAAATGAAACAAAAAGCCTTTTTTTTTTAATGCATTTGTTTTTATATAACAAAGACTGAACTAATCGAAGGTTGGGATAGCCCTCGATTCCCACAGTGTCTTTCCAGTGGGGCATGCAGTGAAGTCACTGAGAGTGCCTCATTTGTTTCCATCTTGGACACCGCCAGACCTCCCTCCGCGATTGTCGACTTTTCAAAGTCCGATTCGGCTACGATAGTGCACCGCACCCACTTAGCATTATTAAAGGTTGCGGCAAGCCATCGAGACAGAGGACGGTTTGCCATGAGGAAGATGGGGACATAGCGACGGACAGGAAGCTTATGTTGGCTTCCGATAATTAGCACCAGGAAAACTTGTGTATTCCGAAGGACCCCACGCCTTAGTTCCAATTACTGGCAGACGTGAATGCAGATCGAGAAAACATATTTTTTCTTTGCGATTAGGCAGTGAAATTGCACTATTTTGGGGGAAGGTTGCGCGTTTTCTCTCACTTGTACCAAGATGAACAATGTAAAAGACACATGCTGCAAATTCTTTCAACATTAAAATCGTTGGTATAGATGTTCGAAACCGCCAATGCGCCAAATTTTGAAACTCTGCTTACCTTTCAGACGGCTGTACCGGAACAACATTCTTACATTGGCGAGAAAAAGAAAACTGTCAAAATCGGGTGTACCACACTTTCATTTACCGCACAAGTTAAGTAAGAAGTTGCATTTGAAGGGAAAAAGAAAAGGGAGAGGTGAATGACTGGGGCCTATTGACATAAGTTCATTTCAAGCTATGATGCATCTTCTACTAGGTTATGGCATAGCTTCCCACAAGTAAACTCAATTTCCAAGCAAAACTAAATTCGTTGCCATATTTTCCGGACTATGCAGGTCTAAAAGTTAAAATTTTATATGCAGTGTGGACTATCTATAGATGATAAATTAGTTTTCTTTAGACCAGTGGTTCTCAACCACTGATGTTTCGTGTACCACTTCTGGATCGGCAGAAGTGATCGCGGACCCCACCCACAGAAAGGGGAGGGGGGGGGGGTGTCATCGGACAATGACAATGACTAAAGTAAAATTCGAGCCAACTTTGAAACTCGAAATCGAAGGATTATCAACCCTGGACAATTGGAGCACAAGGTTTGTTCTATTTAGCTTCGTAAAACAGCTAATATCAATAAAAAAAAAACTTTTTTTTATTGCTTGTTTTGATTGACATTGAGGGCTTCAAGGACCCTAAGGTGGCCTTTAAGAGCCCCAAAGGGTCCGCAGGCCCTCAATTGAGAACCAATGCCATTACGACGATACGGATTTTGTGAATGACAGAGCAAGTTAATGATGATCAATGTCTTATGCAAGCTTTTTTGAGAGCTAATAAAGCAGGCATTTGTCAAGGAGTGCTGTGTAAGGGCTATGTACCAGGCGGTAAGGGCTAGGCACCAGGTGAAAACTGTCTATATATTTAAGGAAACTCTTTTCAGCTGACATTTGCAGATTACGGACCGAATACTGTCGAGACCGGTCATAACGAAATAGCGGCTACATCGAAGTGATCACGAATTCCTGTTCCCTTTTGCACTTCGTTATAACCGAAGTCGGTTATAACGAAATAGCGGATATAGCGAAGTGATTTCAGATTCCCGTTGACTTCATTGTAACCGTTCTCAACAATATGGAACATCAGTAAACTTATTAGAAGCATGCACCAGTACTACAAGCTTCACTCAACACCTCAAAGCAAGGACAGTGGGCTAGCTCATGCTTGTGCCTTTGGTGCCCTGTGAGCTAAGTGTGCATGGAGCTTCAGCAGTGCAGGTTGCAACAAGCAACAAAACATTGAGGGCCAAACTGAATCAAATAAAAGACTAAAAAAGAAAGAAATATTTATGTCCATCAATCAGTGCTGGCAACCTTGGTAGAGATTGTTCATAGCTCTAAGTACTAAATAAAATGGGACTAATTTATAAAGGCAGAGGAAACAAAGACAACATTAAAGCATATCGCCAAATAACGGTAACTTCAGTTATATACAGATTAGCTATGCAGATAGTAAAGTGGAGAAGGCAGGATTGGGCAGAAGGTATGCAAATACTGGGCAAGCTCCAAAACGGATTCCGAAGAGATAGAAGACTGGAAGATAACTCATTCGTAACCACACAATGTATAGAAATAGCAATGAAGAACCAAACTCCTTTAAGGTTAGCTTTTTTGGACGTCAAGGGAGCGTACGATATTGTGAGCCAAGAAAAACTCTGGGGTCAGCTGAAGGAGTATAACTTGGATGCAAATTTGGTTAGGTTTCTTCAGCAGGTGTACAAAGACAATAAGTTAGTTATAACATGGGAAGCAGAAACTAAACAACCCGCACCAATAAAAAGAGGACTCAGGCAGGGCTGTCCACCGCCACCTCTGCTCTTCGTGATATATCTCAGTGAAATGGAAAAGAAATTAGAGCAGAGCAACTTAGGTTTTGATACAAGTTATATGGAAGGAGGGAGAAAGGTAATACAGGTAATACCAGGACTGATGTATGCAGACAACATAGTACTTATGGCAGATAACCAGAATACATTACAGAAACTAGCGTGAATATGTGGAGAGGAAGGGGTCACGTTGGGCACGAGTTTTTGTAGTGACAATTCTGGAGTAATTGTGTTTGACGACGAAAAGAGGGAACCCCTGAGGATACAAGACATTGTAATAGGCCATGTAGGAAAATACAGATATCTGGGAGTTTGGCTCGATTGGGGAAGGGAAATATCTAGACGAACATGAGGAGAATATAATTAGAAAAGGGAAAAGAAATTTATCTATTGTAAAGCTCAAGGCATTATACTAGAGCTATAATAACTATAAAGTGGTCAGGGGTATATGGAAAGGAGTAATGGTACCAGGACTGTCTTTTGGCAACGCGGTGCTGTGTTTGAAATCAGAGGTTTAATCAGGATTAGAAATTCAACAACGCGTAGGCAGACTGGCACTGGGAACACATGGAAAGACACCGAATGAGGAAGTACAGGGGGAAGTGGGCTGGTCATCTTTTGAGAGCAGGGAAGCAATTAGTAAGTTGAAATTTGAATGATGAAAATAATCCCTGGAGAAGGGGAACAAGAGGGACAAAGGACAAACACAAATCTCCATCATAGCTAGGTGACTGGTGCGCGACTGAAAAAATTCGCCTGGTCCAGGCACCGAACCCGGTACCTCTCCATTTCCAGTGGAGCGCTCTACCAACTGAGCTAACCAGGGGTTAGACGTCAGTAGAGCAAACAGGTTTTATGCGCTGCCACCAGTCTAACACCAACAAGGATGAAAGGCTTGCATCGTAAAGTTATGATTATGATGCAATTAATTGCAAGGTTGCAAGCAAGCTGGACAGGAATGACGAAAATAATCCCTGGAGAAGGGGAACAAGAGAACAACGAGAACAAGAAACAACAAGACAACAAGAACAAGAAACAAGAAGACGACAACGGAATCCAAGATGACTGGTTTGGGGCACGTTTTGGGGAGAGTTTCCTTTTTTCACACCAGCACCAAGGAAAAGGAACGGGTGCGACTGACTCCAACCCAAACAACTATTTTTGGCTATGACTTACAAGGACTCTACATGGATTATCTGTGAAAGTGGGGGAGAACAGTTGTCACTGTTCTCAAAATCGTGTCGAGGGCCGTTTTACGTCCTTCCCCTCCTTCGCTTGCCGTGAATGCCGAGCAGATACGCTTGGATGGCCAGCACTTACCAACCCTATTTCTCACAGTGGAAGATAACACAGAAAGGGTATGCAGCATGCATCAGAAAAATTAAGTGGAAACTTTCAAGAGGGCCCAGAAAACATAGAATGAAAAACCGCAAAACATAAGCAGAGAATCGCGCTCAGTGGGTTTCAACACTCCAAAAGAGTGGCAGAAATTTACAGCTGATAGGGGGCACGAGAGTCGCGTTAGCCGCATCAGCATCAGCAACATGGCGGCAACCTAGGAGCCTCTTTTGGAGAGGTGTCTAGATCTTTCCAACAGGTTCAAGCGCACTTGTGCCTCGTCTACGCAAGGCCAAAGTTGCCAACATCTGCTGCCCATGCAAAGCCGAAACTCACCGTGCAATTTCTCCAGCTCTGCCGCTGAGTCCCGAAGCTTGGCGTCCGTCGTCTCTTTCTCCCGCTGGATCTTTGCGAGGGAATTCCTGGCGTTCCGCAGGTCCACTTCTGTCGCTTCCCGGGCTTCCTTGCAGCCAGTCAGGTCGCTCTGGAGCTTGTCCCCCTCGGCCCGGCAGTGCCGTAGCTCCTTTTCCAGCTGAGACTTGGCCGTGGCCAGCTCTTCCTTCTGTGCGCTGAGCTGCTCGTTTGTCTCCCGCTGGCTCGCGACACTCTGCCGAAGGCTGGACGCTTCTTGCGAGAGCGCGTCCTTCTGAGAGGACAGCTGGAGCAAGTACGAGAAACGAGTTAGGGTAGGATCTTGGTTCATGCACGGCATGTATTTTTTTGCACTGTTTTTTTATCCTTTTACGATGTTACACCAACTAGCCAAAATTACCACTGCGTATTTTAGGGCTCCTTTCCGAACCTAGAGTCTCACGAATGTGACGAAGACATGATAACGCCGCCAGCAGTCTTTACGAAAGACTGCGTCCCTCAGCAGAAATCAAATCGCTAGAGGCCCCTTCACACAGTTGCGTTTGCTTACGACCGAGTCCTTGAAATCTCTTACAAGATTATGCTGGCACCATCTATGAGGTGACCCTGGAACTGCATTTCGCTGAAGCAAAGGTTTTGTGGTACTTACAAGATCACATGTATGTGCTATCTATGAGAAATGCTCACTTATATCATTGTCAAAAGTTTTAGAGCGCAGCTCTTAGGCGCCCATTTCCGGCTTGAGCGGCGTCGGCGTCGGCGTAACCGTGCGGTGCATTATGGGAAATGTCCCATAATGCACCGCGCAAGCCCCCCCCCCCCCCCCCCCCGGGGTCACGTGACCTGGGGTCACGTGACCCCCCGAGGTCATGTGACCCCCTCCTTGAGGTCACATGACCCCCCACCCCCCAAGGTCACGTGACCCCCCCCTTGCCGAGGTCACGTGACCCACCCCGATGACGTCATCGTCACTGATGACGTCACCGGCATCCGCATCTTTATCGTCATCATCACTGGTGACGTCATCAGTGACGTCACTGATGACATCACCGGCATCGTAATCGTCACTGATGACGTCATCAGTGACGTCACTGATGAATTCATCGGCATTGTCATCATCGCGTGACCCCTCGGTCAGTTGACCCACTTCCCCCCAGTGCCCTTCCCTCCTCCTCTTTAAGAGCTGCGCTCTAATTCGGCATTACTTTTTTCAAACCAATAAACAAAGAAGGCAGCGGAAAAGAAAAAAGGAAATACATGGACAGCCCAAGTGTTCCACAACTACCCAACAGACGGCGCCAGTGTGCTGTGTCTCTTCATGGGAGAAAAAACCTGCAATCGCCTCTTTGCGCTATTAGTGTCACGCACAGAACCCACCTTCTCGTCATTCTCCTTGGTGCTTGGGTCATTTGGCGGAAAAATATGTCCCGAGCTACAGGGCTTTGTTCCGCATGCTCGAGAAAACGCGACTGCCAATCTCGCAGACGTGTTTGCCCTGTAAGGCCCTCCTAGCTCGACAAACCACTTTCTACTAAAATTTTCCATCTGTGGAGTCTGCGACCCACATGACCATTGTGGTTGTTATATAATGCCTATCATGAATAAATTATCAGCATTTTCTTCTCTTGCCCTCCGAACCGCGAGCTCTTCGTACAAGTCATTCTTTCCACCTGCAGCTGCTCCGCAGCGCAGCGTGAGACGACGTTGCATGCCGAATGCTCTTGATCGCGATGCGAAATGATGCTAGACCATCATTGTAGTTGAGTGCTCCACACACGTCAAACTATGTATACTATCTTGAAACTTATCTGCAAAAGTAAAACGCGTTCAAAACAGACCGGTTTATTTTGTTGCGAAGAGTTAAGGCCCGTTCACACTCTTGCGACCGAGTACGACTGAGAGAGACGAGATTTCTTACAACTTCTTAAATGTTTCTAGAATGAGGGAATACACTGACATTGTGGCGCCATCTATGCGGTGACGCTAGAACTGCATTTCACAAAAGCGAAGGTTTTGCGGGATTTCCGAGGTCAAATGTGCGTAATACCCATAGAAAGGCTCGTTTATAACATTGACAAAAGTTTTTCGAGCCAAAAAAGAAAGGATATTGCGCGAGAAATAAAAAAAAAATATGCCGGACCGCCGAGTTTACACTGCTTCCCAATAGATGGCGCGAGTGTGTTCTCTGGTTTAAGAAGTTTTAAGGAACCCAGGTTTAAGAGGTCGCAAGCAGTCGCAAGAGTGTGAACGGGCCTTTACAAATTCCACTGAAGCATGGTGAAAAACCCAGATTGGACATTACTAGACTATCTGATAAAAGGCCTTAAAATAAAACGCCATAAAAATATTTGTTTTAGGAAATGCAGTTATCACAAAAGTTACCGTATTTACTCGAGTAATAGCCGCACTGTTTATTAAAAAACCTGAGGGTTAGTTTTTTCCGCGGAGCACGCAGATTGCCAATCACCACGATCGACAGCATGACTTGTGCTGTTTACAGGACAGAGATAACGTCTTCGTGTGAAGATACAATCCGTGAAGATTGCATTTGTATAGAGAATTATGTTCTCTATCTAGTTATTCGCTATGTTATTTATGTGCAACACAATGATTGGCTGTATATGTGTTCTGTGAGAAAGTAGATGCAAGGGCCTTGTTCATAAATAGTGTGGCTATTACTCGAGTAAATACGTTAACTATCTACATAATCTGAATTGCATTCCTTCAAAAAAATAATCATCTGCTAAAAATTAAAACAAATATATGAGGTGCAGAACAGAAATGTTTAAAAACTCCTTTCCCAAATCGAGTAGCGACTGGAATGGTCTAACACTATTCATCTTCACAGATTTGCAAAGCCACGTTTTCCGCCTTGTTGTTAGACAATCCTTAACAGTTCTCTCCCCACTTTTTTGCTGTTTAAAGTTATGCATATTCTGCGTGTGACTTTGGTTATAAGACGTTCTACAACCTGAGACAGAGGTTTACAAGAATGGACAAACGCAAACGTTTGTCAGTCCTTGAAAACCTCTGTCTTGGGTTGTAGAATGTCTTATAATAACCAGCTCGCCTGCTTAGTTACGTTCTCTTCAAGTGACTTTGGTACAACTTTAAAAAATATTTTATGCAATGTGCGTATTATTATGCACGGTGCAACAAAATAATCAATTCTTGCATACTACGTATCCCCTCATTAATGCCCTTGGAATATTTAGGTACTGCGCAAATAAATAAATAAATAACCGGGAAGACTGTTTCTGATTATGCATAGGCTTCAAGGCTGCCCATGATACAAAATTTACTACCATAGTCAAACAGTAAGAAACACACTGTTACTACCTCGATTTGCATTTTTTCCAAGATTAGACAACACCTATCATACACAACCCATCTTCAGGTCCATCACCTCCTATGCAAACACTCCTATCTCTTATCGATAACAGAATGAAACCCTTTAACCACACAGTCACTGCTAACAATATTGATACTTTTCGAGAGCTTCTCAACAAATATCTGGAATCTGTACTGTTTGAATACTATTACGTAATAATGTGTTCCTAGTTTATTTTTTGCACGTATAACCTCTGTTTGTTTCCATGTCTATGTATATCGTTCTTTGGGTGTATAACTCTCATTCTTCGGTGTATTTGTTACTTTTTGTCGCTATCGCAGTTTTGGGAGCTCATCTCTTCTGTGGTGTCCTATGGCAGGGCTTTCGAGGTGTTCATGAAAAAATAAATACACCGGCAAGAATGAAGACTTCCAAGTCAAGATACCAGTGCTGACTCCAAAATGGGAAGCGAGACTGCGGTCACCTGAAGAAACGCCGCCTTCCTGTAGGCGATCTCCTTGTCCCTGGCAGAGAGCGTGGCCTCCAGATCCGTCTGCCGAGACGCGCTCTCTTCCAAGAGCGACTCCAGACGGGCCATCGCTCGCGTTACATCCGCTTCCCGTCGTGCCAGGGAGTCCCGTTCCGCGGCCAACTCTTCGTGCGCAACTTCCATGTCACTCTTTGCCTTTGCCAGCTCCGAGTTGGACTGTTTAAGCTGCACAGACAAGAGACACCAGGATTTGTTTTTTTAAAAGTAGATAATGGCACGTTTGGTGCACCTCTGCTCCTTAAACGTTTGACAATAGAGTTTTTTTTTTCCCAGAAGATGTTTCTCAGTGGTCAGGTTTCGTTTCCAAGTAAATACTGTAAACTACTTGTATTCGTAATGAGCATGTTGGTAAAGTATACTAGATAACCGAAAGAATAAAACAGAGAGAGTAAAAAAACACAGATAGGTACTCATCTGTGTTTTGTTCTCTCTATGATTTATTCTATCCGTTACCTAGTATACTTTTATTTGCAGGCTCAATACAGTCGAACCCGTTCATAACGAAAAGCAGGAAACGCTACCATCAGTTCGATATAGCAAAAACCATTTACAACAAACTTCCACGATGTGTTCGTTGTAAGGCGAGAGCTTCTCTTTCTTTCTCCTCTCTTCACTTCCGCCTTGTAACAACGTGCTGAAAAGATTTTTTTGTTTTTTTTGCATGCATGCAAGGTGTATTTTTTAGCTTTCTCCCCTCCTGAATCGCCTGTCTTCGCTCAATTTTGTTTGCAACTTGAGCATAAGGAATTTTACTTCTTTCCTACTCCTTTTTGGGGGGAAGGGACAGGCTAGAAGATGATTATTTACACGTTTTTGGAAGCCTTCCCAGGGGCCCCCGGCCCCCCCCCCCCCGGGAAGGCTTCCAGTTCGATATAGCTAATATGTTGTTAGTTATAAAATGTACTTTTTACATGCATTTTTATTTAAATTTTCCCGCGAGTTCGATATCGACAATAATTCACTGCACGTGGGTTCGTTCTAGACGGTTTTTACTGTATTTCGTAAATTTTGGATATACGAGTTATGGAAATATTTTGGCAATTAGTCATTTTATCATATGGTGATATATTCGCAAGACCGATTTTTCAATTTATATTCTAGGTCAAGTCCTTGCGAAAATTATATATTTTACAGTAGTATAAATAAAAAGTGAATGCACAGGTCTTTTTTTTATTATTATTATTACCTAGCAGGAACATGCACAGTACTTGCAAGCTGTTCAGGTTTAGAGCAACCAAATGGAAATATTGAAGGCAAAAAGTTGTCGCCTTTCTTTTTTTCGGTTTCATTTTGGTGCATCCACTCCTGCCATTTTGGCGGGCTAAGATTCAGAACCTTCGGCACTTTACAGAGCTCCTCCCTTGGATGATAAACTCTCATCCTCTGAATTCAATTTTCAGAAGCGTTAGGGTCTGAGTCGGAATAGCAGATGCTCCACCTGCCACTACTGCCAGAACAGCCCAGATGCGAAGCAACCATCACATGCACAGAGCATCTAATTTCAGAAGTATAAATAGCCCGAGCAAAGCAAAACGCCGTACAAACATAATGTTCATGGTTTGCCAGACATAATAAAAAGAGCAACATATATCACGGGATATGCGGTTTCGCATTTAGGTGGGCATTTTAAAATGTATAATCGCCGCCGTGCATGTACGCCGACGACCGTAAATAGGTTAATGACGTTTCATTTTGTGCTCCACAAAAGCGTACCAGACTTTCTTTCTTTTTTACCCCCTAACGTTCCTGTCTCATCCCCGACAACACCTTTAGTTTCTTTAAAAATTACGAAAAGTGACTTGCATCTATTTTGTCCCCTCATAACACTAAAAGATGCCTGTTGGCAAGTTAATGACATGTCTTCAGTTGATTTTAAATTTTCTGCAAAATGTGCACACTTCTAAAAGTAAGAGCTGCTTGTGTCCACAGTAAACGAAACAAAATATAGTAACTCAGGAGTCCGATTTCGGTCACTGCGAGGGTGAGATCTACGGTACACTCTGGCCTTCACAAAACAAGCCAAGATATCTTCAGCAGGCGGTTTGTCAAACATTTCTTTGCTGCAAAGCATTGTTCACTGATGAAAAGAAAACACCTTCAAATCACCTGCTAAGTGAACAAAAAAGAAGAAAAAACCGAAAGATGTGTACAACTCCCTGTAACGCCAAATTAGAGCGCAGCTCTTGAGGAAGAGGAGGGGAAGGTACGGAGAGGAGGCTATGCCCCTCCTCTTCTCCTGCTCGCCTCCCATTTAGGGGAAAATTTTTCGCTAGATTTAATGGGGAACTTTTACCGCTAAAATTAGCGGGGGAATTTTTCCGCTAAATTTAGTGGGGAATTTTTACCACTAAATTTAGCGGGGGAATTTTTCCGCTAAATATGGCTAGGAAATTTTTTCGCTAAATTTGGCGTGAAAAATTTTGTCGCTGAATTTAGTGGGGGAATTTCTCCACTAAGCTTAGCAAAGAAATTTTCCCGCTAAATTTAGTGTGGAATTTTTTCCACTAACATTAGCGGGGAAACTTTTCTGCTAAATTTAGCAGGAAATTTTTTCCGCTAAATATGGCGGGGAAATTTTTCTGCTAAATTTGGCAAGGAAAATTTTGCAATGAATTTGGCGGGAAAATTTTCCCGCTTAATTTAGCGGGGAATTTTTTCGGTTAAAATAAGCAGGAAATTTTTTTTGCTAAATTTAGCAGGGAATTTTTCTGCTAAATCTAGCGGAGAAATTGTTTTGTTAAATTTAGTGGGGAATTCTTTCTGCTAAATCTAGCGGGGAAATTTTTTCGCTAAATTTAGTAGGAAACTTTACCTATAATGCACTGCGCAATTACGCTGACGGCGACGACGCTCAAGCTGGAAACGGGCGCCTAAGAGCTGCGCTCTAAAAGGTGCTTGTTTGCTATGCTATGAACAAACCCAAGTGCCATAGGGAGGCGATACCAAACTCAAGCTGAAATTGCAACCGTCTGCTATGCTGGTGACATGTCTGATTGTCACAAGAGTGACGTTTTCTGGCAAGGAAGCCAAAGCTATGGGTACCCGGGCACTTAAGCATCTCGAGCACCACTCAAACCTGTGCATGTGCAATTGATGCTTTGTCTGAAATGCCAGAAAAAGTTGTCCCGGAGTATAGCTTGGCCCTCGTTAAGCAAATTAAGATGTCGTAAGTAGATGTTCATCTGTTAACATAAAAAGAATGGGGCTTGCCTGCTACTAAGCACCCCTCGCAGACAGAAATGAAACTGAAAACACTGTACATCACCTGCAAATGGAACCAAATAAAGGTGGCGTCTGCTAGAAACAAAGTGCTGAGACAAAGCGATATCAGAAGCAAGCTGAAACTGCAATCGTCTGCTGTTTCACATTCAAGAGTCGATCCACGACCCATACTTTCTTCAGAAATCTCAATTTGTCTTTCTGCCTTACACAAGCTAAAATTTACTGGTGGTTCACAAAGAACTCGAGATGAACACACTAGAAGCCGCGGGACATCTTTCGCCATCTGTGCATCGCAGAGAAGTTCTAAAAAAAAATACCGTGCGATTGTGGATTCGTGAACAGATAAAAAATCTCTCTTTGGCCAACAGCGCTCGCCCGGCAGAAAGCTGCTACGGCACACCCAATCGGCAGCCGAGAAAGCTCTCTCTCACCGGGCAACCAATATCGGACACCGAAAGCTCCCGCTACCTTTATTACCGAAAATGTGCCGACAGCCTCAAAACGCAGGCATCCTCAAAGTCAGAGTTAAGGGCAGACACTGTTCTTGAAGACTGACAGGCACTTGTCATCTTATCCTGAAGTATCCTCGTGAAACTGACTTGAAAACATACTAAAATGGGTTGGTGCATGTTTTTTGCAATTATTTTAGAATTGATCACTAACACACTTTGCTATTTTATGGGAGCCTTATCTCCACTTGCACACATTCAATTTTCATAATTCTTACTTTCTCCGGTAGCTGCATGTAGAAGGTATCCGATAATGGGCATATACAGTCAACTTTCGTTAGTTCGACCTCGGTTAATTCGACTTTTCGTTTAATTCGATCGTCTTCAAAAGTCCCGGCGAGCGCCCATACATTTCTATGGGAAGAAAAGTTTGATAGTTCCAACTCGGGAAGACTCTGCATCGGATAATTCGTCCCGAGCGAATGTGCGCGGGGTCACATCGCAAGGCACCACGGCAGAAAAACCACCAATGTACGGCGAAACACGGGCCCTTTGCTGCAAAGCCGAATGTGTGCCAATATGCGCCTGCTCCTCTACGCCGTTGAGATGGACCGTAGCGAATGGCACGAGCCAGCACAACCAATCTGGTGTGGAGTAGCGCGGAGAACATAGCACGTGGTCGGGCGCACACGGCCAGCGCATGCTCTCAAAGCACTTTTCTGTAGCATTGCGTGCGCTCCATCTTGCACGCCGGAAAACGTAAGTTCTCTTTTCCTTCCTTTTTTTTTTTTTGTTATTTTTCTTTTTTGTTGACAATCTGGCCACCCGGCGCCAAAGGCGGCTCGTAAAACTTTCTCAGCGCGCCTCTCAAAGCGCTTCTCTGTAGCATCGTGTGTGGTCCACCTTGCACATCAAAAAGCGCGGGCTCTTTTTGTTCTTTTTTTTTTTGTCGCCGACGGTCTGGCTGCTTAGCGTCAAAGTTGGCTCGTAAAACTTACTTCTTTCGTTGTTTTTTTGTGTATATGCGATTTGTTGGGGACGTGACGTTTAGTTATGCTGCTCTCCGAAGCACAAGTTTGGATACGCGTTTTAAGCACTGACGGCGCTTAAAACGCGCAAGCCGACAAACCGGTGCTCCGCGCTGACGGCGCCGAGCGCCGGTTTGTCAGCTTGTGCGTCACTCTGGCGGACTCACCTGCATGCTGGCGTTGCACATCTCTTGCATCTCCCGTTCCAGGGAGTCGTTGAGTTCTTCGATGTCACGCACCGCTTTCCTCAGAACGCTGAGCTCGCGTTCGGACACCTGTTGCTGGTCCTCGAGGTTGGCGACATGCTTGCGCAGCGACGCAATTACACCCACTGCAAGGGAGATGTTTGTCCTCCCACTGCATCGACACCAACAGCCGGCAACATTACAAAGGCCCAGAGTCGCCAGTCTGCCGTCACGAAAGAAAAACTCTGAGATGACTTAAAGGAACACTACAAGAGAAAAAAAAAAACATTTTTTTAAAGCTTATTTAAAACACTTATTATATTCATTTCATAATTTTACCACAAAAAAAAAAATCGCAAAATATTTACGTTTTTACTCAACTTAGGTGGAGGTCACAACCCGCTCTAAGCCCCGCCCACAAATCAATTGCCCCGCCCATTACTACTGGATTGGCTTGGCTACTCGGCCCAACACGCAAACAAGCCTGGTGTCTCCTTTTTACGACATCCGGCGCGTCTAATCTGGCATCTGGCAACGCCTGATAGTTGTGCGAGCAGACGCGCGGCAGTCTTCAGCATTCTCTGCTATTTCACCACCCGTCAATCGTCGTCTGCCATGCCCGAAAAATGCTGACATGAACGCTGCCTGTCGGCGTCTGCTTTCGCCTTCGTTCATGTGCAATTCGCCCCTGCCCTGCCCGACCCCCGACCCCCGACCCCCGACCCCCCGACCCCCCCCCCCCCCCCCCCCCCCCCCCCCGTCTAAAAGCTTACAAAACTCTCAAGACTCTAGCATGAAAGCGACGTTCTAGCGTTCCATCATGCGCGAGCAACAGTCCAATACAAGCTGCTGTCAACGTCTGTCGATGTGCGGTAAAAAGCGACCGAGAGGACTAAAAAAAGCAACACAATAAATATGCAGTCATTTCAGCATTTATGTTCTTATTTTTTTTTTCGCATAACATCCGCGAGGCGTCAAGATGCACAATTAAAACGTGAGCTCAAATTTTTCGCTCTAGCAGGCCAGGTGCACTGCAAAACTTGAGAGCTACTTGCCTTTCGAAGCGAAATGATGGGAACATACCTGGACTAACTTAAAGACCGACCAACGAAACCATTTTCCGCAAGGTAGGAAAATGCCCCCCGCACGCTCCTCTTTTCACCCTCTCCCAAAAATCACGTGACGGCAGGGGCTTCTTTTGTGTTGGCTTTTTCTGTAGGGATAATCCTCAAAAACCGCGAAATGAGCGGCTAGCTGCGAGCGCCACAACGACCTTGAGACGTCCAGGTGTCTTCCCTCGTTGACGCGGGTAAGCTCAATCCGCGAGATTGAGGAAGCCAGCGCGACCGAACGCTTTTTCCCATGAGCTGCAGGTCCGAGGCCGCTCGGTCGGTGGAGATCGAGGGGTCGTGGTATGCGGGGTTCGCTCCAGTAGCCGCTTTCTGGCATCGCGCGGCTGCTGGAACCATTCCCGTGTCTGCGCAAGGATTGGCTTGCGCAATAATGGGTTCAGGTCGTCGATAATACATATATTTTCGAAACTTATAGATCAAGTGGCTTTCCCTAATCTCTTCTTTACTGTTTGAAACACATCTCCTCTTATAGGTTGTTTATCCCATTTTGAACTCTGGCGTATTTATTCGTCCTTACCTCTGCTTGATGTCTGTTTTCTTACTTGATAAAGACCTTTAAATATTGGCGCGGGCTTGCGCAATCAACGCTGTCCCGGATTTATCCAAAATTGGAAAGATTGGCGTCAGGAGAGGTTGAAGAAGCAAACCGAAATTATTGCTCCTAATGAAGACGGCACAATTGTAAGATAGGTCTTTGCTTCACTTGCCTCCACAACGCCCCATCGTTTGCACTATCGCAACTGCTCAGTAACATAGCTGTATACCACATTTTACTCATGGTTACTATAGATGTGGCCCCACAGGCTTTCCCGTTATCAGCGAGTCGACTTTCTAACGACCGGCGACGCTCCTGGATGAGAATAAACATTATCACCTTCCCACAACATCCCCCCCTTTCTCTCTCTCTCCCCCCCCCCCCCCCGCCCCCTTTCCCGAGTCGGAAAAATATCAGGCCACTCCAGGAAGCAGCCTTCAGACTGCGCTTTTCGGCTACTCATCCGCAACACATTCGAACGTGGAAGTAAACACATCGCATGAACGACGCCCTGTTTATTTGCAACCTAAATAACGTCGCTCTACTGTTGGGCCCAATCAATTTCATCATCAATCATTATTTGTTACGATTTCATGGTGAAAGTGTGTTCGTCGTGATGCCACAAAAGTGGTCAATTCAAAGGGAGAAATAGGTCCTCGTATTTATTTTGCGGAAATACTCGCTTCTGTGACGCTCTAGCGCGTAAGGTCAAAGCACCCGAGGCAGTGCGTAATACTTTACAACTGTCGTTGAGGATGAAATATTTGTGTAAAGTGCGTAAAATTGTTTACACCACAAAAGCCACACAAATAAAAACGGACCAGTACAAGCTGAACTATGCAAGACGCTCTAAGAGAGCCTGTCGTAATGAAAATGAACTGCTCTAATGTGGCAAGTCGGGTCAATTGGTTCATAATTTTTCATCCCCTTTTGAAAGGCTCCGGAAAAACAAGCAACCAGGAAAAGCTGAGTGACGCAAGGCGCCTCGTATTGTTCAGGTTGTCCCGATTTGTTTATGTCCTTTCGGCGCTCCTCAAAACGCACAGGGTTCGGTTTCTAAACGCTGTTTTTATTTTGGCACGGAAATAAGACAAAATACGTAATAATTCTTCACACCAGTGCAATGCAATAGAGACTTCTATTTTCAGCAAGCTGCTTTTCGTCATGCTTCCATGTCATCCTCCAGGCCGCGAATGTTTGTGCACAGTGATTAAACTATTTACATCTAAATTGACATGCACTATAAATCTGGTACTTTCTTTTAGAAGCAGCATGTTAATGCACATGAATTCTCCCAGCGTCTTTCCTTCTAATCCCGTGGAAGGAAAATGGAAATATCCCGGGCATGATTTGTGTAAAAGGCTATGTTCAATGGTCGCCTATAATTTCTACAAGCTCCCTGGCAAATTCACTACCATATAGCCTGCTGTCCTTTCTCCAAGAAGCGAGGTTTTGATAGAATTTCGTTGCTCGGCCGCTATTTTTTGTAGTGGCGCGAAGAGAGAGAGAGAGAGAGAGAGAGAGATAAAAGCAACAAACTTCGCAAGCTGACTTTTTTTTTTTTTTTTTTTTTTGCCATTGCGATATTTTGTTGTGTTTAGGTACGCTTTTGTGGTGTAAACAATCTTACGCACTTCCCACGAATATTTTATTGTCAACGACAGTTGTAAAGTATTACGCACTGCCTCGGGTGCTTTGACCTTACGCACTAGAGCGTCACAGGAGCGAGTATTTCAGCAAAATTTGAATCAACCACTTTTGTGGCATCACGACAAACACACTTTTACCATGAAATCGTAAAAAATAATGATTGATGATGAAATTGATTGGGTCCCAACAGTAGAGCCACATTATTTAGGTTGCAAATAATTTGGGCGTCGCTCATGCGATATGTTTATTTCCACTTTCGAATGTGTTGAGGATGAGTAGCTGAAAAGCGCAGTCTGCAGGCTGCTTCCTGGAGTGGCCTGATACTTCCCCGACTCGGGAAAGAGGGGAGGGGGGGGTGGAGGGAGAGAAAGGGGTGGATGTTGATGGAAGGTGATAATATTTATTCTCACTCAGGAGAGTCGCCGGTCGTTAACACGTCGACTCGCTGATAACGGGAAAGCCTGTGGGGCCACATCTATAGTAACCATGAGTAAAATGTGGTATACCGCTATTTTATTGAGAAGTTGCGATAGTGCAAACGATGGGGCGTTGTGGAGGCAAGTGAAGCAAAGACCTATCTTGCGATTGTGCCGTCTTCATTAGAAGCAAGGATTTCGGTTTGCTTCTTCAACCGCTCTTGACGCCAATCTTTCCAATTTTGGATAAATCCGGTAAAGCGTTGATCGCGCAAGCTCGCGCCAATATTTAAAGGTCTTTATCAAGTAATAAAACAAACATCCAGGAGAGGTAAGGACGAATAAATACGCAAAAGAGTCCAAAATGAGATAAACAACCTATGAGAGGAGATGTGTTTCAAACAGTAAAGAAGAGATTAGGGAAAGCCGCTTGATCTATAAGTTTCGAAAATATATGTATTATCGACGACCTGAACCCTTTATTGCGCAAGCCAATCCTTGCGCAGACACGGGAATGGTTCCAGCAGCCGCGCGATGCCAGAAAGCGGCTACTGGAGCGAACCCCGCATACCACGACCCCTCGATCTCCACCGACCGAGCGGCCTCGGACCTGCAGCTCATGGGAAAAAGCGTACAGTCGCGCTGGCTTCCTCAATCTCGCAGATTGAGCGTACCCGCGTCAACGAGGGAAGACACCTGGACGTCTCAAGGTCGTTGTGGCGCTCGCAGCTAGCCGCTCATTTCGCGGTTTTTGAGGATTATCCCTACAGAAAAAGCCGACACAAAAGAAGCCCCTGCCGTCACGTGATTTTTGGGAGAGGGTGAAAAGAGGAGCGTGCGGGGGGCATTTTCCTACCTTGCGGAAAATGGTTTCGTTGGTCGGTCTTTAAAGCGAGCCAAACGCCCTGGTTGATTCCTTACCTGTGTAGGTATCCTCTTAGTATTGAAACCATGGTCGCAATCAAGACGGTTGCACAATTCACAGAGCAGCGGGGCCGCTCTTACGGAAATCAACATCTTTATTCAGCATCAACACGTGCAAAGAAAGAAATCAAGCCAGATCAATCAAAGTAGTGAATGTGGGATGCTAGGCTTAGGTCAGTCCCGCTACGAAAACAAGCATCCACACAGCGCTTCCGAAGGCGCATACATGCGACAGCTAGATTTTTGCTGCAAACTACGTCGGTTGATGAGGCCTTCCTCTAAACACCTCTGTAAACTCGAAACGACTCGCACTCATACAAATTGACGAGCTCTATGAGCTACGCTTGTTCAGCACTCCGCAGACGCCGGAGAAGCTAAAGCTAAAGCTGGAGAAGCAATCTTAGAATACATTTGAAAACAATAATGCCTCCACCTTGATTAGTTGCTTCTCAAAACATAAAAGAATAGTCGATTAAAATACCATTACGGCACGGAGACACCAATTTACAACCAACCTTTCCCATGCCAATCATCTCTCCAGTCAATGAGAGATGTAAGCCAATGTAAACACGGGGCGAGGCTTAGCGGGGTGCGACCTCTACATTATGCAAATAAATTACATCTAGCACTGTATATATGTGACCTTTTAAAGAAGCCTTTTAGAAAAAAAAAAGTTTTTCATTGCAGCTTTTTTAGGGCTCATTCACACACTTGCAATTGCTTATGATCAAGTTCTTGTAATCCCTTACACCGAGAGAAGACAATGACATGCTGGCGCCCCAGTATGAGCCGACCTTAGAATTGCATTTCACTAGAACAAAGGTTTTGCAGGACAGTAAAACCTTGTTAATTTAAAGTCCACTAATTCGCAAATTCATATAATTTTAACTGCTGATCCGACCCAGTCAAACATGTGTATTAGTCAAAGGCCCCAACGCTCATTAATTTGGAAGAAGTAGGGTGCGCTATGGTTAATTCGGATGAATTCGGCAGATGGCGCAAGCTACCGCCCGTTCCAAAGGGTATGACTGCTATCCATCCGAGGTGCACACATGGTTCTTTCAGTTTGTGTTGGGTTCGTGCCAGTTTTGCTCTAGAACGCCACGCATTCGGCGCATTGCTTCGCATGCTCCTGGCATGTCGTCGATGTCATCATCATGTGCAACAACTAACTGCAGCAACTTCCATGGTGGCGCTACCAATGAAGCAGCGGTAGTAAAAGGCCAAGGATTTTGAGAAGAAACTGGAAATACCCAGGGCCTTGAAACACGGCGTCTCTCGACAACAAATGATGGAAAGGTACGACGTCAAGGAAAGCACTCCGACCACGTACGTAAAAAATGAGGCCGAGATCTTACGGGCCTTCGAGGGCGAGAAGTTCAACGTGAAAAGAAAGCGGCTGCTGAAGGGGGCGCATCCGAAACAAGAAGAGGCCTCGCAGCGGTGAGTTGTCAGGGCAGACATTTGCCCCTTAGCGCGATCCACATTTGGCCGTACGTGCGGAACAACATGCCCGCTGAGATGATCGCAAATTGTTTTAAGCACGGCGGCCTTTTTCGGTTCGAAGCTTGCTAGGCGGTAGAGACCCAGACATCGCAGAAAACGACGATGGCGATTTAGACGGTCTCCTTCCTGTCCAAGCGCAACTTGCCGACTGCTTCGCAATTGATGACAATGTTGTTGTGGCTGATCAGTCGAAGGACGATCAGATCATCAGTGATGCCCTATGTGACAACGGACGTGCTTCGGACGAAGATGAGGACTGTCCGTGTGAGGAGCTGCCACCCCATCCCGTTGCACTTCACGAGAGGCCGCGAAGGCACTCGTTGTGCTCGAGGAATTTCGCTACGACGCCTCCGACAGCGCGAGTGTGGTGGAGCACCTGACTGCGCTAAAAGTCGTAATCTCCGCCAAAATGTCCTCCAGAAAGCAGGCGGCAATAAAAGATTTCTTCTCAAAATAACGATACTTCAAAGGGAAACCTCTCTGCGCAGTTTTCTTCCATTCGATATTTCGACCTTCGAATAATTCTGACATTCTTGCCGGTCTGATAAAATCCGAATTAACGAGGTTTTACTGTATTTGCAACATCCAACGTATACATACTATCTATGAAAACTGGTTGTTTATAACGTTCTCAAAAGTTTCTCAATTCCGAAAAAAAAGACGAACGAAAAAATATTGCGAATATATGAAAGTGAAAAGTGTTCCCCAGCTACCCGATAGGTGGTGCCACTGTGTTCGCTCGTCGTAAAAGATTTGAAGAGGTTTTGAGGCTCACGGTCGTAAGCGAACGCAAGTGCGTGAACCAGCCTCGAGCGCAGCCCATTCGTTGGTTCTAGCGTAGCGCAGTCAACACGGCGGTCGGTGGCCGACAACTCACTGCACTCTTTCTTTTCCTTTTGGACGGACTCCAGCTCCGAGGCGAGGTTCTTCGACGTGGCCTCGTGGCTGCGCACCTCCAACTGTAGCATGGCTTCCCGCACGCGCAGGTCCACGTTTTCCTGGCTGCTGCAAGCAGAAAATGGCTTGACACGTACATGCAGAGACACTTGCACGAATGCAAAGGCAACCTTGTGAGAAACGAGGCATCCAACCCAAGAAACGTTTCAGCAAGCACCGAAGCAGTATTCCAGGTCCACTTAATTAAGGGGAGACACTACCCAAAAAAAATGTTGATTTTTAAAAAATGCCATATTTACATCCACCAACACCTAGAGAGTATTCCCAGAAAGATTGAAGGACCGTTCACACTCTTGCGACCGAGTACGACTGAGAGAGACGAGATCTCTTACAACTTCTTAAATGTTTCTAGAATGAGGGGACACACTGACATTGTGGCGCCATCTATGCGGTGACCCTAGAACTGCATTTCACAAAAGCGAAGGTTTTGCGGGATTTCCGAGGTCAAATGTGCATAATACCCACAGAAAGGCTCGTTTATAACATTGACAAAAGTTTTTCGAGCCAAAAAAGAAAGGATATTGCGCGAGAAATAAAAAAAAATATGCCGGACCGCCGAGTTTACACTGCTTCCCAATAGATGGCGCCAGTGTGTTCTCTGGTTTAAGAAGTTATAAGGAACCCAGGTTTAAGAGGTCGCAAGCAGTCGCAAGAGTGTGAAAGGGCCTTTATGGGTTTACACTGCATAGTTATTTTTTTATTATTATTATTTTCACTCCACCGATGTTAAAGAAAAGGTAGAAGTTCTAGCACCTTGAATGCATTTTTCTCTGTTCCACTTTTTGGTATCTATTTTATTTTAATAAAACTATTGTTTTAGAATGAAACTATCGATAGACTTAATATTTGCAGCTTATATGCCGCAATTTAATGGAGCTGGTTCCTACGAACTTAGATTTTGCGTTTTCAAGTTCCTTTATTATGAAAAACTGGTAATTTGCAAAACTTAATAAATGTAAAAAAAAAACAAAAAAAACTTTTCACTATTTTTTTATCTAAAAATGCATATTTTATGAAAAAAAAAAAACTTTTTTTTATAATAATTGGCAAAAGGCGTTTTAGTATGCATTCCACCAGAACAATATGTGCTCATCAACACCATTTCTCAAGGATAGATTCATTGAGCAGATTCCATGCAAAGCTATGCTTTACCTTCTGGGGGTGTAATACCTCATAAAATTGGTTCACAAGGCTGAACTGCAGTTCCAAGGTCACTTTATAGTTGATGCCAGCGTGATCCCTCCTCATAATATATCACAAGAGGTCGTAAAGGAAGGTTCACACACTTATGACTCCTTAACCACTGGCGCAGAACTCCGCATGCCCTCCTCCTATATGGCTACAAGCACCACCTGCAAGTATCACGCCGAATGAGCGAGCGTTTCAAAAGTTGACATTCCCAGGCGGTGTCCTTCCTTAAAGGGCCCCCGAAAAGAAAAAATAATGTTTTTTTAAACAGTCTGGCTGGGACATGCACGTTAAAATTAATTTTAAGCGAAAGAAAAAATTTTTTTAGGGCAATATTGATGGTGCAAGACGCAATTCAGTTGGTCGTCACCTCCTTTCCACTTGATTTCTCCCTCGGCATTTTGGGCGTGTGGAGGAGAAATGGATTGGCTTCGCCTTCACATTGAGGTCGAAAGAGCGAATGACCGCTCCGTATGACTTCGTGAACTTGGCACACACAATTGCAAATAAATCTCTCGCCGTCAATATCGCTCTAAATAACTTTTTTTTTTTTTTTTGCATAACATTTTTTTCTTGACATGCGTGTCCCACTCCAGACTGTTAAAAAAACTTTATTTTTCTTTTCAGAACTTTTTAAGGTTGGTTCACAGACTTGCGACAGCTTAAAACTTAGTGCCTTCCAACCCCTTGCGACTTCTTATGACGAGAGAATGCACGACCACAATATCCATCAAGTAACCGTGGAACGCTTGCCATTTCCATACATCTTTACAGATCATTCTTTCTCTACTGGCTCAAAAAACTTTTGACCATGTTATAAACAACCATTTCTCATGGTAGTATGTGCATTCGATCTCACAAATACCACAAAATCTTCAGTCTCGTGAGATGGGGTACCAGGGTCGCCTCATAGATGGCGCCAGCGTGTTGAATTCGGAGAGTGCCAACACTGACCATTTCACAAAGAAACCTCGGAAAAGAAACCTCGGCGTCCGTCCCAATGCCAATCTGGGAGTTGTTTCAAGTTTGTCTACGTCACCACCACTGCCTAAATGTACAGTGCTCTAAACCGAGAAAACAGTGCAACAAACACAAAGACGCGTAGAAGTGGTGGACGGGACGGGCGCTGTTTTCCCAATTTAGTCCCGAACCCACTTGCCTGCATCCTTAGAACAGCGCAAGCCAAACTTTCTCGAAACACGTGGTTGGCATCTTGTCTCGTGGGAGCGCTATAATGGGAGCAGCAAGGAAATGCTCTACGACGCAGTGCTTAACGGAACTGCTAGAGCAGAGGAGGCCAATCGCAGCACACTGTGGATGCCGCAGCAATTTCGCCAATTGGCTAATCTAGTATACCTATAGCCACCTTTTTGCGCGAAGATGCATTGGAGACCAACAAAACAGTCAGCGATCAGATTACTCAATAAGTAAGCATTTTATTTTTCTACTGAATAAGGCGAAAAGTGCAGATTGCCTCGTCCCCGACCCAGCAGCGTTCAGCAAGCGGCCTCCCATGCCTGGACGGTTCTATTGAGTGCTACATCGTAAAGCAGTTCTTCGTTTGCCACTGGAATAGCGCTCCCATGACAAAATGATGCCGTTTGCACGTTCTGGATAAGTTTAATGACCTCTGTACCTCATTTCAAAACTTTTGAATAGCAAGAAAAAATAAAGATTTTTCTACTTCTTTAGGAACCACGTGCCATATAAAAAGTGCATAACATATTGCTTCGACGTGCGAATCTTGGTGCTCGGGGATGTGCATATTTCTTGTCGGAGCAGTAAACCGCGAAGTCTCTAATCTGGCCCGCAACTGGACATTGCAGGATGTATTGTAAAATCTCGTAGGAATGCCCATCCATTCTGAAGAGATGATTGGTAAAAAAAATCGACTGAGAGATCTTTGGGAATGATACGGCAGAAAGTCTTTTAAAACCAGCCAATAAACACCACTGCACACGCTATCAACCACATGGCACGGGTACCGTACCGACATCGCAGATTGTGGACGCAACAGATTCGCGTTCTACGTTGCGATAAACACGCGGTAACGCGCTACAAACTTGCCCGCCACGTCAACCGACATTGCGACCGCAGCTCGCGGACGAGGCCAACTCGAGTTCTGGGGCGCGACGAAGATGTGAAAACCTGCTACGAGCTCACTCGGCACCTACCGATGCCGCAAAGCATCTGGTTCGTTGGCCGGGAATCGGTAGTGGGCAATGTTTCGGACATCGTAGTTTACAAACAATAGACCCTTTCTGAAAGTTCATCGAGCAACGATGGCAGTCGCCATTTCTCGGGCAAAAAGCACGCGATTGGATCAAAGTCGTCGCCGAATGCCGACGCGGCACTCGTTTTCTATACGAGCCGAGCAGAGTTCAGATTGAACGCCGATGCAACTCGCGTCCAATACACGCTAGAGCATGTGTCCGAGCAACGGCGGACTCGGGTAATTAGCGTAGCAGCCTTTGGATTGCGCACACTTTTGAAAAGGGGTCTATTAGCCAGAACAACAGGTCGGCCAATCTCTCGAGAAACGGTGTTCGTACGGTATTCCACGGTAACCTCGACTGCAGTTTGTCGTAGGACGAGACGAAATACAAAACGCTCGGTCTCACCTCTTCTCGGCGCTGGCTCCGAGGTTACACTGTGCGGCCTTGAGTGCGTCAATTATGTTTGTCATCTGTTCGATGGTCTCCAGCCTGCTCGCCAGGACCGTGTGCAGGCCCTCGTTTTCACGATGCAATGCCTCCACCTGGTGGTTGAGGTCGTCTGTCACCATTTTGGCGACAGAGTCCAGCGGCGCCGCAGAGACTCCCGCCACGCCCTCGTCCCGAGACCTGGACGTCGAATGGCAGACGGAATAACCCAAATGTCCGTTTGCTTACGAATACTGCTTGCCTCGTTGAGGCTGTGGCAAGAGAGGTACACGCACGAGAAACACGAATGAAACACTGCCCTCTGAGCGCTCTGTCTGTCTACGTCTCCTCTTGTCCTTCGTCTTGTTTGCGCTTTTTTCGTATTCGTCACTATGCAAAACCAACTCGCCCAAATCTTCACCCTACTGAATCACTGTCCGTCTCTTTGGCATGTCCCAAAAGCGCTCAAAATGCAGCATTTATCGATCCAATCTGCCTCACTGTGCCCGTTGCTCTTTTTTGCTGCGCCGCTGTTTCCCTCGCACTCCGGGCAACGTCATGTCGTGCGACATTCTGCCTGTCGCGTGATGTCATGGTGACAAGCGATGTCAGTGTCATTTGACATCATGTCACGCAGTGTCAGTGTCCTGGGACGTCAGTGTCACATGACATCATTGTATCATGCGGTGTCACAATGTTCCAAAAAGGCAAGCGACACCATCACAGTCTGTCTCCCTACCTTGTCCTGAGGATCAAAAGAATTCAATAACTGCATGTCATGGCAAGACCACAATGAGTGCATTACACACCAATAAACTAAAATTCCAAAGGGCCTTTAGTTCACCTGGTGAGCCCGAGGTCTGGCTGGTCGCTGTCCGCCGCTTCGTCCGCAAGCGAGAGTTGGACACGCCCGGCCGCCTCGCCGGCGTCGTGCAGCATCGTCTGGATGGAGGCCAGGCTGGTGGCAAAGGCCTGCCTCATGTCTCCCAGGTCCCCCTTCAGCTCCTGCAGGTCTCGACGCAGCCTGGGAACGTTGCCCTGCTCGGAGTCTGCGCGAAACTGAGGAGAAAAAAAGGTGCGCTCGTTTTATAGTTTGCAGGGTATGGTGCTTGGAGCACGTCTCCGACTGGTTTGTCTACCGCGCCCTCATTACTGGTCCCTAGACTTGCACCCGAAAATGTCACAGGGGCGTCATGCCGTCGAATGATGCAATCATGGCGGTTGGGGTTAGAAGTCTCAGTCAAAGTGAGAGCAAACATGAGTGTTGCTGTCATCACGGGGTCTCAACTCCTGGCCGTCGAAGCTCTCTCGGACTGTTGAGCAGTAAAGCGACCTGCGGCAGAATAGGTGAGTCACATCCACCAAAACTTAAAATCGAAAGAATAAAACACGGAGGACCAGCACAAGTGGTTGTCCTGTGCTTGCCTTCCGTGTTTTATTCTTTCGATTTTAAGTATTCATGTTCAACTCGCTCGCTTTTACCGGTCATCCACCACCACCGCTATTGTGACATCACCGGGATCGCGGCTGATGGCAGCACAGCACTTTTTCGACTTTGTCAGGCGGAAATCGAGGGACCGCATCCCGACACCACACAAGTCGTAGGTGTGTTTGAGGCACTGTAAAGAGGCGCTGTTACCTCGTCGTGGGTGGCACTGCTGCTGCTGCCGCGATTGACCGCGTCAGCCCGGGTCGCGTTCTGCCAGTCCTCCGTCATCCTCTCCATGTGCATGGTGAGGGTCGCATTCGTCTCCGTCGTTATCTCCAGGTGCTCGCGGAGGACCACGTTCAGCTGCTTCAGCTCCGCACATCTGCGGAGCACGAGCCGACCAGACGCGTGGGTAACGACGGCGCGAAACAAAGCGACAGACTGTCGCTCGATTGGGCCACAGCGCTATGGACTGTAGGATTTCCCAGGGTTGTTCAATACCATGTCTAAGAACTCCCTTTCCTGGGGACAAAAATTCTCTATTTGAGGTACTTGTACCAAGCAAAATTTCGAAATGTCCTTGCATATTTCTTTACATTGCGGCCGACTTCTTTGCTCGTGCGGGCCGCTTTGCACGCCCTTTCCCATAAAAGTCACGTGAAATCGCATGATTAAAGAGAAGAAAATGTTACTGGTCAGTTTATGTTTTTATTAACCAAATGATATAACCTCTAGACGCGGCTGTTCACTGCGTCTAGGAGTCGTTCAGACACCCCTTTTGCCGGGGGGTGGCACTCGGTCAAATGGTGTTTTAGCGAGCAAAGTCCCGCCCTCGACTTTTCATCGAAGGACACTTTAGCGAATGGTCGGCCGCCACGAAGCAGCGTGTAAGGGTGGGCCAGCTGGGTTAATATTTTTTAAATGAGCCGCTGCAGACTTTCGTTGCCAAGCAGAGTGTCATCTAAAGTTTTTCCCAAATTCGCTCCTTAATCATTAGAATTCCCTGCAATCGCGTTCAAACTTTCATTTCCCTTTTCACCGAAAATATTCTGAAAAAGGGAAAATTTCCTGCATGGTACATCGCTGTTTGCTCAAGACAAATCAATATTTTCAACGCAGAATGTGTACTACATAGCTTGCAAACATCGCCATTGCTGGGAACTGACGGCTATTTCTACTTAATGGTTTCTTCGAACTACAACTTCTGCAGTGTGAAACTAACACAGTGAACCAAATGCTCACGGCTGGTTCCCGAACTGGTTTCCGCGAGACGAGCGCAACGTTAAGAAAACGAAAGAACAAGTAATCACCAATTTTTTTTTGTTTTTTTCTTAATTGAAAATTACCATAAAAACAACTAGTGGGGTAGAAAGCCCTCCTTTAGGGCAGTCACTCAAGCTCCAAAGTTCGGTACCCACCAACACTCCGTCTCAGCATACAGCAAAAAAGCGCCGATGTCATGTTTGCACTAACAGTGCTGAGCAGTATACGTCAAGCTCCCACAGCAGCTTTTAAAGCGTACCTCGACACTTCTCGACAAAGTACAACTGAGGTAAGCTCTTAAAAGCACTACTTAATATGCTCAGTTTTACCTTCGGATGAACCACACATTACAAGCCATCGATGCCACATCAATGCCATGCTAATGTCCCGTGGCCTTCAAAGGGGTGATATGTTCATAGCGTTGGAACGGCTGGGATGATTTTAGCGTCTGCTGCGATCCATCATAACCTGAAACCCAGGCTGTGTTCCAAATCTTACCCAAATGGATCTAACAAGGTTTGTACAGGCTTCAAAGAAACAAATTCGAGGGTATTCAAGTACTTTTAAGGGCCTGTAAAGATATATTCAAGGACCCCTTAAAATACTCCATCTAGAAAATTTATAATATAACAACTTTTTGAAATACACTGCGAAAATTCTGTGATGCACGATACCTGGGAAAAGGCGCATTTGCCAAAGAGGTGCTAGTAAAAGCTTTAGTAGAGCTACTGCAGCTTTTCCTTGATTTCCTAATTGATACTTAGAAGTTCTTGCATCTCTGCTTTTGACGTTTTCCTTAGGCTGTTTAACTTTACAATGTCAAGTTGAACAGCCTAAAGGAAAACGGCAAAAATGTAGGTGGTGTCATCTGCTGTCTCCACTTTCTGGGTGTCCGTAGTTGTTGTGACCAGCCACGACCACTGAAAGTTGCACTTCTCAGGCATCGCGCACAATTCAAAATACTGTAAAACCCTTAATGTGTAGGGAGCCTCTAATAGACCCTTTCCGGAATTCAGACTGACCACTTTGATCACTATCATCATCATCTGAAAACGCCATATGTGCTATACTAATGGCGGCCTTCTGTTTACTGATGAAGGAAGAAGTTGAAGATGCTCCTAAGCAGATGATTCGAGGCCCTATACATTCTAGATTTTAGCGTGACGTGAAGCAGGAATCGGACGCAAGAGCTGCGTAAGCGTACATTTCTAACTCAGTCCCAGTCAATTTGTTAGTAGCACTCACTCGGCCTCAAAGCCCCTTGATGTATAGGACTCTATCAAGGCACCTATGTGGGTTGGCGCTTCGTTTCGACTGGCTGCATTTGTTTCGCCATCGACACTATAAGAGACTGAAAAATAATCTTAGTGAAGTGCACATTCTCGTTTACCGTTGACCTTTAAGTGACGGTGCCCGTTTAAATACTGCAGACCTCAGGTTCATTGCCGCCATTAGTATAGTAAAAGGTAAACTGCCATTTGAGTCACCAGATGGCACTGAATTCCGGAAGGGGTCTATTAGTGCAATTTTCACAAAATAAAAAAGTTCGCAAACTTTAAGGGCAGGCAAAAATTTCGATCCTTAAGAGTTTCAATGCAGGCGTCTGGAATTTGTGAAATCAAGTGGCCATGATTATGTTCTCAGTGACCGCTTCGCGAAAAATAGGGGCCGCAAAAATAAAGGGTTTTACAGTATGATTCACCATGTGTAGCCGCGAAAATAAAGGGTTTGACCACTGATCTCTATGTCTATTTGCTGGATCGCGTTTGACCAGCTCCGCCTATGGACCGAAATGCGGTCACTGGCGGCCATCTTTAGGTAGAGTTATATCATCTCTAGCCATCATAGTATTATGGCGGACAGCGCAATGGTGGCCGGGTGCCATAAAATAGCCGTGGATCTAGTACACTGTACCGTGGGAGATAATTCGTGCTTGATTCAAGTTGTTCGACGACACAGATTCTCGAAACCCGGCGTGAACGGTAGCCTCATCTTTGAGGACCCGGAGAAAGTTCTACGGAAGCGGAGCACCGGGGGAAAGCAGCGCAGCTTGCATCGAAAGCAGACTCCGTAACGGCGTCTGCTTTCGATGTTTCCTTCGATGCGACTTTCGATGCGAGCTGCGCTGCTTTTCCCCCGGTGCTGCGATTTCGTGAAACTTTCACCGGGTCCTCAAAGATCGCGCTACCGTTCACGCTGGGTTTCAAAAACATGTTTCGTCAAACAATTTCAATCAAGCACAAAATATCATCCACCCTATTTTGACGGCAGCCTGCCACCATACCTGCCAAAACGCTGTCTGCCATGGATGGATTACAGTGGCTGCAGGAGCTCTACCTTGGCTAGAGGTAATATAACTCTACCTAAAGATGGCCGCCAGTGACCGCATTCGCAGAGCGGGCAAACGCGATCCAGCAATTGTCATTGAGATCAGTGGGTTTTACAGAATGTTCACCATGTGTAGCATAAAACAGATGTGGAACAAACAAACCACGAGTAGCTCGCAAACAGTATGCGAGAAAACAAGGCGAACAAGAGGCAAGATCGCAAGACGGCGGACGGGCGAGACCAGATCTGGAATCACCGCGGCTGCTACCAATGTGGCTAGGTGCATAGCAGGCGATAGCTAAATGTGTCCTAAATGTGCCATATAAAAAAAACTTCATTGATATTTTAAAATTTATGTTAACATACACATAAACAAATATATTTTATTTTAGTATTGTAAAAAAAATCTAATTATTGCAAAAGAAATATTATTGGGAAATCTAAGGGTTTTTAAAGGGCCTCTGACACGCCCAAGAAATTCAAAGTACCCGCCAGTGCCCTGTGACGTAGCAATGAACCGCAAGGTGTCGGGGCGGTCAGAAGGGAGGCATCGACTTACATCACTAAAAGTGAGTTTCACTATTCGTGCCCTCTATGGTCGTGCATAAGACAATCTTCTTTTTTAATTTTTTTTTTTATTCCCTTTTTTTTACGAGCGATCGTAGAAAACTAAGTTTCAATTCCACTGGCTTTTTATCGCTGCACCGTTGGTTAGTTTGCGTGCTGCAAAAATTGAGGACGAAGAGTCAGTGGATTCACGTGATGGAGGTCAATGATGAATGCGTTGCAAGTACAAGCCAGTGTACGAGTGCATGCCATCAGTCCGGTGGTACACAGCCATACTGGGCACAAAACAAGCCATTGAGTTTTGAAAAAATAAATTTTAGAACGCTCGCAGAAATTAGGATTGCTAGCATACGACACGCCCGATCACATTGCTAAAGGTTCAGACACTGAGGTCGTCGAATCATCGGATACTCTCCAGGCTGAAGATGCCTGCCGTCTAGAGAATACAAACTGGTGAGTGTACCAAGTACAAGTAATGTCAAGCATAAGGTAAGTGTTTTGTCTAGAACATGAGTAAAACCCGTTAAATAGGTTCCCTGACTCCTCTTCTACCTTTACAGCGACATTAGGCAATGAAAAGCAAATAAAAGGAATCTTGTCTGCTTAGATTGCTCGTGAAGGTGCGGAGAATAACAAGAATCGAAAAAAAAAATATTACACGCGGTCGCGGTAAGCACGAGGAGTGATATAACACACGTGACTTTCGGCGATGCCTCCCTTCTGACCGCCCCGACACCTTGCGGTACACTGTTACGCCACAGGGAACTTGTGGGTACTTTGAATTGGGCTTAGTATTTCTATTTTTTTATTAGAAAAACTTTGCAACTCTAAAGTGAAAAGTTTTTTTGGTGATGTCCTGATACACCAATTTAACACCTAGCATAAAAATTTTTTTTTTTTTGGGGGGGCGTGTCAGAGGTTTTTTTAGCACATCTAGAAACGCCAGGGCTTTCAAGGCCTGGAAAATGCTGTTTTTGCAAATTCAAGGGTTTTCAAGGCTTTCAAGGACCTATGCAAACCCTGACCTAAGTTATACCGGTGCCTTGTATCACGTGACAACAGATTGAAAACGCTGGACGCGAGTAGGTTTTAGAACGCCAAGGTACAAAACCCGTACCCTGGAGTACAACACAGTAAATTTTGGAACACGGCCCAAAAATATACCATCTAAGCTACAACTATGTAGTGAAACCACCGTACAAGGTCATGCCCAAGGCATCACAGCTTACACAAAGCTTTAACAAAATAAAACACAGAAGGGACTAAACGACTGAAAAGACATCCTACCTTGCCCTCTCTAGTTCCAGTGCTGATAAGGCCGACGGAAGGTCAGGAGGATCTTCTTCGTACGCGCGATCGTCTTGAATGTTTTCCTGCACAGGGGAGGACACTTTTTTTAAAACTGATTTTGACCGGAAATTGGTCCCAACTTTAATCTGATCCTGAGTGGAAACCAATCCTGATTAGAAACTGATCCCAACTGCAAATAAATCCACACTGAAAACCATTCCCAATTGGAAACTAATTGGAAACTATCCTTAAGGGAAATCAATCCCAACTGAAAACCAACCCTGAGTGGAAACCAATCTTAATTAAATTCAATTTCGCGGCGGGTTTTCTTGCATGAATCATGCTCACAGTTCGATCGGCACACGGGCACTGGCGGAGGACCTCTTCCAATCTCGAGCAGCGGTTCCGGTACTCCTCCACCTGCAGATTGGCACAGGCTGATCCAACATTTCTGGTATATGATTCAAAGTCAAGCATTCACACTCCGTAAGCTTCCAAACCTTTTGCCACCTATATGAGGTTCTCTGGCATTTCTGAACAAGTGAAGGGTGTGCGTCGCAGCTCTGATCGACACAGCTTTGATCAGGAAAGCTCCGATCGGAATTCAAGGTGCACAAGAGTGCAGCCGCCCATTTCTTTGACAGCACTGCCTCAGAAAAAGAAGGAACTCGTGTGATTGGCAATGGCTGAGAAACAATGTAATCTTTCCGTGCTCCAATTCTTTCCAGTTTTATTTGCTGCGTTATGCTCTATCCCGCCAAGGCAGATAAAAAAAGAGGCTAAGCCAACATTAAGTGCCTCGCCAATTCCTACTAGTAAAATAAATAAAATACAATTAAATTTGTTTGTTTGTGGCAAGGGCTCGAGACAAGTAGAGAGTCAAGCCTAATATTGAGGTGAATGTGCTACTTGTAATACTTAAAGAAAAAAAAAGTAAAAACAAAATAAGCACATTCATTTACTATGTTTTTATGAGTCTTGCGGAAAGCATGACAGGGAAATATTATTCAACAATGAATATTTGGGCAAATACTAGCAAAGACACAGCAGTCACTATCAGCTCAATGCAAACCCGAATTTGTTATTCGTGTAAAAAGAGCTCTTAAAGTTGTAGCAGTTTGCAACCAATGTTCCATTGAGTAAGCTCATGTTGTAAGAGACTGAGGTTGAGGAATGTTTTAAATGGCCGATGGCCAGATTAAATGGGTTTTCTTTAATGCCTCCTAGGTGACTGGATAAGCATTAATCGTAAAGACTCTGCCAGTTGAAGCAAAAACATTAATGGAGAGGGAAACTGCACCTCCAACCTGAGTGCATAACTTTTTTTTTTCTTTGCTACTTTGCAAGTGGTGCGCCCCGAAAACTTTCTCAAATAACACACAGAACTAGCTCACACCTGCGTGCACAGGCATGTCGATTCGCACCTGGTTTCGTATTTGCGCCAGGAGTCTTTCCCAGTACAAGATCCGGTCGCGGACTGGCAGGCCAGAAAGGACGGCGGCCATTAAGACCAAGCGTCATCGACTGCGCGCCGTAAACAAAACCCGCTGCCATGGTAACCGACGCGTTCCCGCGCGGACCGCTCCAGAAAAGCGCGCGTCCACGCCGCAGTTCAAGGGCCCACAAAGCGATAGAAACGCGGACCCGACGTGCAAGCGCTGCGCAGCAAAGCGAAACCGAAACCACATTTTCGAAAGTAACAAAAGAGTCAAAGTAATGGTTCTGCGTGCTGGTGACTAGATTATGAAAACGAAAGCGGCACGGAGGCAATACAGAGATACAGACGACACGAGCTTTTCGTAACCGACGGGGGCACTTCGTAAAAAAAGTGCACAAAAACAAAACAAAATAACTTAAAACGGGTCCCTATCGTTTCGTCGAAACTCGTTTTCGTGGAACAACTTTTCATAGACACACGTTTCGTCGACACGAACGTTTCATCGACACTCGCTATGAGGAAATTTTGTCACGCGTGTATCGCTGGGTGCCCCGCGCCCGCCGGCAAGTCTGCGGCGGCTCATTACAAAACTGTTCATCCACCTGAGCTGTCCGGTGGGTTAACACGTGAGCTGTCGATGAAACGTCGTTCGATGAACTGCCTGTCTCCTCTGAACACTCATCATTAGATGCGGCGGCGCAGGCCTTCTTGAAATATTGCATTTCCGCGGCGGCGCGGCTATTCTGAACCAAAATAAATATTATTACTACACGGTAGCCTCTACATTTCCAGCTTCTTTGGGGCAAAAACGCGTGAAAGCCCGAGATATGGTTAACGCTACCTTGCGCGGTGCAGGGTTTCTCCGATTTTCCCATATACGGATACGGTGCTTGACAGGGAGCTGCTCTTCGCTGTTCATCGCTGCAGCGACCGCGAAGAGTAGCAACCGGACTTTGGAATGCTCAGCACGCGAAAGCCGCTGTGCACGCGCCATGCGCAGGCACGTTCCCACAATAAAAAAAAAAAATAAATAAAAATAAAAAAGGCGGGAAAAAGCAGGCGAGCTGAGACAGGAGGAAAACATTTTGACAGTGGTAGAAAAAAAAAAAGGTCGCCTGTAAAAGGTCTGCCCCGCCCCCCCCCCCCCCCTTTTTTTTTTTACATTGCTAGAATAATTTGAACACTGGTAGTTAAAGAAAAAAAAAATTATCCCTGTAATTTATTTTTATTTCCTCCCACTGCCACAGGCCCAGTTTTGCAAAGGCGGTGCTGTTTCAGCTGCCGCTTTCAACAAGACCGTTTCCGAACCTGTGCTCCCAGGTGCCCAAGCAGCCTGTCCTGATTGGTCGTGTGCTGCACGTAGGCGCGCAACATGGTCCTCGACTTCTCCAGCTTCGACTTGAGCTCGTGTTCGCGATCCAGACCCACCAACTCGAGCTCGTGGTCGCTGTCGGTCGAGCAGGCGTCCGAGAGCACGTCCTGCTGGTCGTCGTCCTCGAGCTAGAACAAATGCGGCCACCCTCGACGCTGAATGCTACTTCTCTGGACCACCGACCGCCCAGTCGTAGTAATGCGGAGAGCAAGTCATTTGATTCTTGCACAGCAGTTGCAGTGACGTCAGAATGACGCCAAGCTGCTCTGATTGGCTTTGATTGAAAGGAAAGCGGGTAGAGCCAGAGCCTTTCAGATGCCTTGGGGTCTCTCCACTATTTTTTTCAATCAGCCAATAAGAGCTCAGCGTCGTCTTGACGTCACTGCAACTGTTGCCCTCCAGATAAGACTCGCTCCGAGGGCTGCCGTAATCACTAAATATGCAGGTTGGTACCGAACTAAACGAAAGATAGCTGCCATTGCTGACCTCTCACCTTGCCGAGAGTCACTTAAACGGGCGTTTACAAGCCTTCACGAAGGCCATTGCTAGAAAGATTTTAGTCTAATATGGCAATGCTATGGTAATCGTGAAGGGAATTGTAAAAAGAATAAAAGGAAACGAAAACTGAAGGTAAACTGGAGGGTAAGCATGCGCAACTCGTGCATTTGTTAACCCTCCAGTTTAACTTCAGGTTTTGTTTCCCCGCCCTATGTCTACCATTGAGGCGCGGACTTGGCTGCCTCGTCATCTCACATTCTGTCAGCGTTCTCTGTTTCCCTTTGATTGACGAGTGTGCCCCTCTCCGCGTTTCGATGCATTGCAAAGACGCTTTTTGAAAACTTGCTCTGCGTATAGGCCTGTAGCTCTCAAGTTTTGAGCAGCGCTTCTGGCGAGCAAAATCAAATATTTTTCGGCTGTATCTCATTACGCTTTCTCACTTTGTTTACGGACGCCAAGCTGGCAGAATTCCGTTGGTGTGCATGTATATATACATATTTGTGAAAGAAAACAACAAGAAGAAATCTACAGAAGAAGCATTTGTGTCGTCTTGATAACCCGAAAGCGTGAGTGGTATCCTTCTTTTGTTTATTTTAAGTTTGTTAGTCCTTTCAGACGCTTTGTTACTTGCAAACGACAGTGGCTCGTGTGAAGGACGTGTAAATCGCCCAGGACTCGGCATGACGTCCTGCTCAGTGATGCCTTGAGCACCGACCCGCAGGGGTGGACTGGAGAGGGAGGTGTGCTCATTGCCGGCATAGTTGGCTGGAAGTGATGGTGTGGGTGTTATCTGCTCATCCGCATTGTGGCAGAAACGCCAGACACGCATAATCCGCACAGCTTCACTGATGCTATCAGTCGAGTCACACGTGGTCAATTATGGAATTTGTTGCCTAGAATCAAAAAGAAAAGAAGAGATTGAAGCTGTTTTGATATCGACCCCTACTAAGGTGAGCTCCTGATCTGTTTAGGCTTCAGCGCACATGTAATGTCGAAGCTTTTATAGGTCTCGTGTAGACTTTGTCGCATGAACATAAGGACCATCTCAATTCTGTTGCCTTAGGCTCATCGGATTTGGGCGGGCTCTAGCTCATCAGGAATCGACGGATGAACCCTCGCCCCGCTATGACTGCACGTTTCCGCCTAGCCTACTTTAATTTCAGCACACCGGGACAAATGATCCGAGGCTTCGGGGCAAATGTGGGGGCACAGGGATTAAATCTGACGCACACGTCGTAGATCTGCTCAGCCCATTATCTATGTAGCCTGTGCTCCTAATTGTTGTGACATGGAGAGGCATCAAACCGGCGTCCAGCCATGTAATCACAGCGCGGAACACATTTCAAACTTTGGGTAGGCCGGTCCAAACCAGCCCGCGAAACGAGTCCCGGAAATATCTGGGAGAGGAGAGATGTCGCCTGTGACGTCATAGATGACATTTTCCGAGTCCTACAACGCCTTACTTCGCTGGCTCGTGCCACTTCCTTCTCTTCCACGAGAAAGGCGAGGCAGCAGTTGCACGCCTTGGTCGCGGGTAGCAGGACCGCTGGTGCTAAAATGCGCTCCGATAGAAAACCAAAACCTAGAATCACGTCCAAAGTGAGTGTTTCTTTAGAGCGCCGTAAAATGCTAAATATGCCTTTTCGTGCACAAGACTCGGTCGTTTTCAATGATGCCCAGAAAGTTCCTCATTTAAACCATACCTTTACAATTACTAATTAAAACTTCTTACACAAAAGTAATTAAAAACCTAATTACACCAAACCTTATTAATGTTCCTAAATAGTCCCTTTGACGGAAACCAAGTTTGTCTGCTTCTTTTGTGGGGGTTGTGGTGAAGTCAGAATGCCGAGCTCTCATTGGCTCTGATCGAAGGATAGTGGGTAGACCTCAGAGCAAGCTGCCTTGATTTCTACCCGCTATCCTTCAATCAGAACCAATTAGAGCTCGGCATCTTTCTGACATCACCGCAACTCCTGAAAAACAAGCAGACAAATTTGCGCTCTGCATAGGACGTCGACCTTTTCTATGTGCAATGAGTACTTTTTGCAGGAGTGATTTGGCCTGCGTTTTGAGAAACACCCAGTATAATAACTTGCTAGAGTGAAGAGGGCACTCCTGAAGTGAAGCTGGTGCACTGCCATCTTGGAAACGCCAGAAAGCATGTGGCTTCACTCAAGAAGCTCCATCTTCTTTAGAGCACATCTTATATACCCTCCCTGGTTCAATATGAGAATGCCTCAGTACAGCCGGAAACTAATTACGAAACCAACAGCGGCTGGGGGGGGAGCATAAAAAAATAAAGAAAGAATTACACAAAGAGAAAAACATACGCACAAACAGGACACAATTGAAGCCCAATCGGCGGAGGGACACTTTTTGGTGGATGCCCTTTGTCGAGCAACGGGTCAGAGAAAATTAGACGTCCGTGTCCAGACGGCGCAAGGTCGGTCTGCCCTTGAAGCAAGGCGACGCTGGATTATGCTGACAATGAGGAATTTAGCCAGCGCAGTGTGAATGCCAGCCTGGGCTCTTTAATGTGCATCACGCAGGGGGGACACACAACCGTACGCCAACACGATGCTCATCAGGATCGAAGCAGACAGGGGCGCGGATTAATTTTGGGGTCCCTCCATGGGTTCTACAGCGTGAGCTTTCGCTCCACATCCTCCGAGCTGCGGTGCACTAACACACTCGTCCACCGATCCCCCCAAGCTACAGGTTTTCTGCGTAGCTGATAGGCAATTAAGTAAAATGTTGCCTCACTGCTTGTGCGATATGTTCTGCCCGCAGCATAATTCCTTCTTTTTTTTTTTCTGCGCTACGACTTTTGGTTTTAGGTGATATGTACCCTCGAGGTTCTGCCTGGTGGTTCCTCCTCCGCCGTTGCATAGTCCTCGTCATTGATGGTCGAGGACGACGGTAGCCTCGCAATTACGTTCTCCGGTTGCTGCTCCTTGATGGTGGTAGAAAAGAATGAAAGTGCTTTAAGAACAAGAGTAAATGACCTCCAGAAGCATGTGAAATAATAACAATGCATGATTAAAATGCAGTTCTGGTTTTTGAAAAGACCACGACTACCCCTAGGAAGCACAGACCTACCGTAAAATACCGGGGCACCGCCAACCCCACTTCCACTGAAAACTGGGTTAATCTAGACGTGGACACTTGTCCGGTCAAATCAGGCACTCGAAGGGATGGTGAACCGAAATTCAGATTTAAAAAAAAAACAATGCAGGAGATGTAGGCGGGACTCTCCAATCCCTACAACACTACTCGTAAGGTGATATCTAGAATGGACGGCCGTATTTTTGGAAAAAGAGGTCGAGATTGAACCTAGGTCGACGAGGCGCGTGGTGTGAAGATACCTCGTTTCCTCCTCTCTTCGCTTCGCTCCCTCAAGGCGGCGAGGCGGAGAAGACGCGAGGTCGTTCCCTCTCCTTCTCAGAGAAACATGACATGAACATTTCTGTCAAATGCACCTCCTTTTTTTTTTTTGAAAAATACGGTCATCCGTTCGAGATATCGCTGTATGAGTGATGTTTTGGTGTTTGTAGTATCTTGTTGTACGCTTTTGCCGCCGTGCTTCGTGGAATCCAGACTTCGGTTCAGCATCCCTTTAACATATAATTTGCAAAATTTCCAAGCTTGGGAAATGTCAAAAGTGGGTGCTTGAATGAAGCGCATGCTTCTGTGGTATTTTACTGTAGTCATTTCTGCACAGCAGTCAACAGACCTGCCAAAATACGTGGGCACCAAAGAGAAGGCTGGGAATGTAGGTGCATGCACCGCACCCGCTTGCCTTATCCTTAATAAGTGTGTTGTGTGAGGTGAATCAGCCCAGTGGGCATTTAGCACACTGTTTCCGCTGCAGACGAAAAATTTATCGAGTGCAACACAAACATGCAGCTCTGACGTAACACTGCCTCGGTAGCGTTGTGTCGGCACAATGCAGACGCCTCTCCTCGTGCGAATCTGGTTTCTGCGCATGCAGTGTCCACACCTGGTGGGGGCAAACGCGGGTTTGTTTATAAACGGTGCATTGGCCTAGGAGTGAAGACCATGAATGCACAGCTTTGATCGGTGCTCGATGTAAGTGAGCACTTGAGTTGTGCTCTTACTACATAGCCCCAGAAAAGATGCATCACGCAGCAGTGATACATGATCGCACACCAGATCAAAACAGACAGGGGTGGAGATTTATATGTATAAAAGATTCTAAGCAAATAACGAAACTAAGGTGGTGATGTACGCACTTGCTACGTGCCATTTGTTGTAGGAGTTTGCATTTGAGGTTACGGCTGCAGACACCGGCATGTCAAGCGTGTGGAGCTGTACTCGCAGCACACTCCTCAGTGCTTGGGTAAATTAGCGAGGTACTCGATCAGTAAAAGGCAGCAGCATGGGCATCCGCAGAACTTGTTTCCAAGGGGGGCGGGGGGCAGGGGCAGACTTCAATATTTTAGGAGGGGTGGGAGGGTGAAGGTGGAGTACACAATCTTCTTCGATGGAAGCAAACACGATTGGCCAACGGGCACCATGTTTTATTGGGCCCGGAGTCTTTGGTCGTATTATTTTGCTTTCATCGAAGGAAAAAAGGGTAACGTCAGAATGTCAACTTTCATGTTGCTGGTTTTTATGAACACGTCGGCTTCAAAGAAGTCTCCGTCGTGCTTGTTACACGTGCCATCGAGCAAGTAGGAACCATAAAGCCAGAGTTGCACAGCTCCGACATCACGGCATGACAAATATCTCACAACGACTCAAAACTACGCGATCATTACCTTAGAAGATATCTTAGAAGATATCCCAAGGACCCGACGGCCGCAAGAACAGCTCTTGCTCGTTTGAAAATGACTGACAGCTTGGAGGAGATTCAAACGTTGACTCACCATCACTGCAATGCGAAGCGGGCTTTCAAATAACGCTCCTCCAGAATGCTTGGAATGAACCACCGAGTGCCTGAACCGCCTGAACTTGCCCGTCGCCAAGATATGTCATGAAGTCTTGTCAAGGTTTGCGAGGCGATGATATACCACATGCTGACAGTATTTAAAACGACGAATCCAAGGAACTTAAAAGCTGTTGCTTCAGGCCCAGAAAAAAAAAATAATCAAGAACGAAAAAAAAAAAAAAAGAGCAGAATTATGTTGCTGGATCTATCAAGGGTTCAAGAAATTTAGTTCCGTTATTTGAATTGGACGGAGACTTACCCCGCCTAGTGATACTGAGTTTTTATTTCTTGCAGCAACGAGAAAAACTAAGAGACATGCAGCAATCAGGAAACAAAAAGAACACACAAGAAAATGAGAAAAATGCGAAGTAGAAAAACATATCTCGGATGAAGAAGTCGATCTCAAATCCGATATCCACATGTGAGCCAACGTAATCCAATATTTGTTTTTCTTTTTTTGCGGAAGCGCATTTGGCGCAGTTTTTTGAGCGGCGCGCACGCGCGCTTCGGCTTCGTTGTTTTGGGGAGTACACGTGGTTAGCGCTGGCGCCAAGCTTGCTGGCGCTATGGCAAGTGCTTTTCCGGCTTTTCCTGGCTTCAGGACGCTGTTACCCTTGGCCGCCTTCATCTTTTATCGATTGGGCGGCGATCAAAGAAACCTGCAGACCGCGGATTTGCGGCAAGAGTACGATTACATCATCGGTGAGTGTGCACGCTCACGAGAAGTAGCATTAGCACCATGTCGCGTCAGTTTCCCGAAAAATATCGCTTGAAGATTTCAGTTTAACCAGATGTCACTCCCTTGTTTGTTTGCCATGCTGATATTAACCCAAAAATAAAACAAAACAAACAAAAAAGTTTTTTTTTTTTTAGCTGAAGAGAAAGTAACACGGACAGACAACGTCTCAAACTCGGCTAGTAATTGTATTGAACCAAATTCCTTATAAACGGAATAACAACCGCCACCAAACATCCTGTTAATGTGGTCCTTTGAGGTAAGAGTTCACAAGCTTTTCGTCTAAACCAACCAAAGGTATCACTGTGTGTGTGTATGTCTAGTTCAAAATCATTGTATATTTTTTTTTTCTGACCTCCAGCTGACTAGGTTTTTTGTATAAACCCAAAGGTGGTTGTGCTTTGTTGATGGTCTCACTTAGTTCGTTTTGTGATGTGAATGAGGACTGCGCGCGTCCTTGAAAAACAGTATGAGCTGTGGTTTTGTGGCAGTTGTAGTTCTGTATATAAGGAGGTTGGTTGGATTAAATTATTAGCTGAGTTAAAGATGCTGTCTGCCCCTGTTGTTTTCTCTTCAACTGAAAAAAAAAAAATCCTTCTGCCCCAGTTTCGGGTTAATATCATCATGGTAAAGTTCCACCAGCTTGCCTGCACACTAACCATAATCTTGTTTGTTTCTTAATCTATCTCAAGAAAGAAGTCTGACGTAAAATGAACCTGTCATGCTCATGAAGGAATTAGTTGTCATATTTCCTCGTCTAAAATGCATCCACAGTTTTTTTTTTTCTCCTGCTTTTATTGTAAAAATATTTTTGCTTTCTGAAGTTGCTTTTTCACGAAGGCCCCGAGATTGAGGAAACAAGTGTATTTGGGCTCCTGTTATTGCGGAGAAGGCGCGCCGTGTAATCGAGATTTCAGTTGCACGCCAAAAGATCACCAGAGGTGATCAAAATTAATCCTCAGCCCTCCGCTGGGGCGTGCTAGGTGCCCTTCGATTGGTTCGGTGCGTAAAACCCGCAAATTTCACTTTTATGGTAATAAGAGTCATAATCTTCATTTAAGGGCTTCGACACCACAAAAAGGTTGTTGACCCATACCTAAAGCCTGTGGTGTCGTGTTACTAAAGAATAGGAAAAAAATGGACACTGGAGAGGAGGCCGCCTCTTCCCCAGCGGTTGCTTTGCTGAAGTGGAAAAAGTTGGAAGGAGCTTCCACTTCCCTCTTAACTTGTCACCTGGTGAGGCAAAAGGTGGCCAGGAGCCAGATGGATGCCACCTGGTGACGAACAGCCAGCAAGTTCCACCCCACCATCCCCAAAACCTCCCGTGTGGATAACTCACGGGGAAGTGGTAGACTAGGAGAGGCTTGCTGCCACAGAACTGCGTAGGCGGCACGCCGCTGCACACTCTTGAGGGACGCTGACGGCGACGGTTATGGGAAGACCAGAACGGTGTAGAGGTGCCACATCACACTAGCTCCAGCACCCTGGGCTCTGGAGGTCAGCTCAGCGATATGGGTCGAAAACGTTAACTTGGAGTCTATTGTCACACCAAGGAACCCTGCACGGCTGGTCACAAGGAGTACCATTCTGCTCAGCTGTAGACTGTTGTGGCTGGTAACTTGTCTCCTGGGCGTAGTGAGGAGGGTCGACAAACACTGGATGCTGAGGGGTAGCTTGTTTTGAATAGATTTGACCATCGAAAGACAATGGTCACGTCGTCCTTCTGATATTAGAGTGGGTGGTGGACAAATTGAATGATTGTTAAATCATTAGCATACAGAAGGGGGATGTACTGTAGAGAGGATGTAATATAATTTATGAAGATATTGCCGCGCAAGCAGCTGGCCAAGTAGGCAGCGCGCTACTTGGGTAAGCGCGATAACCTAACTAGGTAAGCGTGATAACCTAACGGTTATCGCACTTACCTTCCACGCAGACGGCCAGGGTTCGATTCCTGGGCGCGGCTACTAATTTTTGTTGATGCTGTAATGTGATGTTCTGGTGAATTCGAGAACCGTCTTGCTGATTCGAGGTTAGAATGTTCTACGCGCTGAACCTTCTACGCCGAACAATCCAGGAACCCACGAGGGTACATAAGGGACTCCGCAAGGCGAGCGGAGTCAGTTTCACCCCAGCGTTCGACTCTGCTGTCACGCCAACTTCGATGCGTGCGGCGCTTTGTTATTATCTTTTGTGCCCGTTTATTTTTGGCACAAGTTCGCCACATTAAACGTTTATTTCTTTTTGTTTGTTTATTGTTCTTTTGGTCACCCCCCGTGACAATATTAAACAGGGTAAGTTCCAGAATGCTGCCTTGGGGAATTCTTGACAGGACACATTTTGCGGTTGAGCCTGCCCCTCAGGACACCACTCGCTAGTGACTCAATAAGAAGTCTGAAATTAATTTCTCGAGGCAGTTCGAGATTTCCACCTTCGCGTGTTTCTGACGAAGAATTCAAAGGTCCACCATGTCAAAGGCTCACTTAAAGTTGAGTCGCTAGACTTCACAGGGTGCGGTCATCAGAAAATTAGTTTGGCATCAGAAGGGTAGTAGCCAGGGCTGACTCGCAACATCAACCAAGTCAAAATTCGTGCTGGCAGTGCGAGAGGCAGTCGTGCGGCTTCACGTGTTCAAGGAGCTTTTTGTTGATATGCTACATTGTTCTTCACACAACACTGGTATTCGAAATGGGCCCGTGAGAGCGTAAGAGGCAACCGACAACACAGGGGATCCATTCCCTTTATGTACAGGTGTGATAAGTGCCAGTTTCCACTAGTGAGGGAATGAGCCAGCTCACAGAAAATTTGCTCATGTCGACGGCACCTTAAGTGCACCTACTGCACCCAGTGTAAGTTCCTCTTTAGTTTACTTCAAGAGGCAGCGGCAATCAGTTCATCGAAAGACATGTCATCGACAGATCGTTTCGTCAGCTTGCTGCATTTCATCTACAGTTTGTTTCATTGAAAATCTTCCCGCATTCGTTTTATCAACACACATCGCACCGTTTCGCCGAACACAACGCTGCTGCTTTCGTAACAAACTTTTTGCGTCTCACCTAATTTGGGGGGGAAAGAGAAAGAGGTCCCAAGGCTCGAGCAAACACGCCTCAGTTAATCGGGCGCCAGCTTTTAGCAGCTTCCAGATTTTATTGCGCACTTAGGAAAAAAATGTATGTTGTCGTCGAAATGTTGCGAGAGCATGTTGCCGCAAAACGTCACAGTATCAACGAAATGTGTATTTACAAAATATGTTACGACGAACTTGTCAAGGTGCGCACGCTGCAGGTATGCATGGACCAAATCAGTTAAATAGATCGAGGAAATATAATTTCTTTTTGCAGTCGGTGCGGGCTCGGCGGGCGCGGTGCTGGCCAATCGGCTAAGCGCCGATCCTGGCCTTCAAGTATTGCTCCTCGAAGCCGGGGGTTCTGAGAATGTTCTGGCGGACATTCCATTGGTGGCTGCGACTCTTCAGGGCTCAGCCCTCGACTGGGGCTACCGCACCATCACACAGGAGGCTGCCTGCTTCGGTCTGCATGAAGGGGCGAGTGTTTTATTCATGCTTTCATTCATGCATTAAGTCAGCAAACATTCATTAGCCCTAATACATGGTTAGGAAAAGTGGGAACTTGTCGTTGGCTTCAAAGGCTGGCCAGAAGGTGCTTCAAGCCATCCCATAATCTACGGATAGATGAATAAACAGCTGCACCCTCTAAATCGGGCAGTGGCTTGCACCACCTATACTTCATTAAAGGAATACTACAACTAAATTTTGGTGCTTAGTTTTTTGGTCTACACGTGTTCAAGGGAGCAGTATCACATTGGACTCACCAAACTCTTGTTGAAAAAAAAACAACATGAAAACAAATTTTTAAATGAATTAAACAATTAGCAAAGAGTACCTGGTAAATGTCGCTAAAGCCTCGTTTGTACTGCTCGTCGAGGAACCTTGACAGGTAGTGACGATGCATATCTCACCTAGAACTATACATGCCTTGAACTTGGCATCATTTCACCAGCTGCCCGGCAACCACGAGAGAAGAGGGGAAGGAAGAACTCCCCTCTCACCGGGACTCTTTTTTGTGTGTCCCAGATGTCACTATTGTCCCTCTACAAGATTATAAAAGATTAACATGCCAATCAAAATTTATACAAATGCAGCTTTGGGGTTAGTTGTGGTTGCCCGATCGCCGGCATGCTTTGGCTGCTTCGGTCGCTGGAGCGGCCAGGACATCTTATCGACGTCAGCCTCGCTGCAGCTTTGCTAATCTTGAGACAATCTACGTCACAATTGCGCCGGGTGTCACTTGCTCTTCGAGCACTTGCCAGAGTGGGCCATTTATAACGAAAAATACAGCCATCGGGCTCAAAAATACAAATGTGCAATTGTCATTTACGGGTATTGCGGATCATATTCAGCCTATTTCTGAACACGACGGGTATATTTCAAGTTTTGTTGAAGTATCCTTTTAAATAAGTACTTAAAAACAGCAGACACTTTAAGCCATCCCAGCCAATCTGGTAGTGGCAATGTGACAATGCATCCCTCCAAAAGCTCACGTGACATTCAAACGGCATTGGATTGGTTTTGATGGCTCGTAGTGTTCTGTGAGGTTCATCGTAAAGTGACCAGTACCTGGTGTTTGTGAGAGAAGATAATTGTGTTTTTTCAGCCCGCATAAATGGAATATGCATCACAGAACGCTCAAACTCTGTGAGACTGTGACGCTAGCGGTTGAGATAGGGTACGAAAGTATGAGAACATGACATTGCCTGGATCAAAAGATAATTGAGAAAGACTATATTTCTTTTGTTAGCTGACATATGCCTCAGCCTAATTTCGTCCTAACAAGGAATGGTATTGCAAGCACCTCCAGCATCTTTTTCAGTGAAAACAAAGAAAACAAAATTATATTTCTTGCTGATAGGTGTTTCTCACTATATAAATGCCACATGCATCTATGATGGCAGTTCTTATTTTGACTATCTTAGGCTTAGGGGGATGTTGGCTCATAGAAAAATTTAGACTTTCTCAATTATCTTTTATTCCAGACAACACCATATCTTCTCTAACTTTCAGTTTTTATCCTAACTGCTAGTGTAGCATACTCACGGAGTTTGAGCTTTCTACAATGCATAGTTTATTTACCCAGGCCGAAAAACACAGTTCTCTTCCCTCGGAAATGCCCTGAACACTCACATGGATGCGTTCCAAATTGGAGTTTGTTGTGTACAGAAAAGCAGGTGGCCTCGGGGCAAGGTCCTGGGGGGTTCGAGCGTGCTCAACTACATGCTCTACGTCCGAGGGAGCCCCCGAGACTACGACAGCTGGGAAGAGCAGGGTGCAGTGGGCTGGAGCTGGGCAGACGTCAGGCCCTACTTCCTGCGCTCTGAGCACAACAGGGACCCCGACATTGCACGGAACGGTGAGTGGCAATGCCTCCGGCACGCCCGAAACCAGACAATTCAGAATTCTCCGTAGGACCATTTGCTTCTGCAGAAATGTCGCACGAAGACTGGAGTTTGTGTTTTTAAAGAAACTTGAAAAAAAAAAAAAAAGAGTGGTCGAAGGATATATTTAAGAAAGGGTAAAAAAGAGAGCTCCAGTAGTTTTTTAAGCTACCCTAACTAAACACATTTTCAGAATACCCAGGTTTTACTCTCCTCGGCATGTTATGTATTCTCTCTAAAGTTAAAAATAGATATTGAGAAATTGAGAAATGTCACGCGTTGTATAACTTGCAAGTCAATCAGGCAGTGTGAAATACAGTATTCTGTGCATGTATATGTTTTCTTGGCATGTGCTTTAATCTACATAATTTCAAACCATCAAACTTCTCATAAACCATCAAGAACAAGCTGGACTGCCCACATTTGTTCATGATCATAATATCTGACGTCACATTTTCACTGTTGCCCGTAGTCTCTCAACCTTGCAGACCAAATATTAAACTTTAATAACATCGAAAAAATAATTGTTACTTGTGATATGGGTTACCACAGGCTTGCAACAGACTCGGAAATTTCATACTTCTGGTTAATTGAAACAAATTTTAGAATTTTTGATGTCCCGTTATTTTTTTAGTGCGTTCATAAACCGCTCAATTCGAACGGTGTTTTTATGTAATCTATAATTTTTATTCCCGCGTCCTTGTTAAGTGTGCTTCTTTCCGAGCACCGGTGCACTGCCGGGAAGCAACATCCACGGAGCTTGCTTCCACGGGTGTTGCTTCTTCGCAGTGCACTGGTGCTCGGGGAGAAGAGCACTCAACGGGGCTCAAGCAAGGCACACATGAGCTACGAAAACGGGCCCCACGCAGAAATTTCCGATAAACAACGTTTTTGAGATCAATAAACTTCTGTCATACATTTCACAAATGTTTCATGCGTGGCATACCTGCTTATGATCAGTAGGCCTATGTAGAGGAAAGCATCAAAAATCTGCTTTGTATGTCTAGCCATTCATACGGAAAATCATAATTTTATCTTGCATCATAGTGAGATAAATTTCTGATAATTCAAACAAAATTTCGTTCCTTCGTAGAGTTTGTATTAATGAGAGTCTACTGTAAATGAGATGTGTCTATTAATGTGTTGAATCAATTTTGAGGCAAATCATTGTCTATCAATACATTGCCGCAGCTTCCCTTTAAAGATTGACATATACTAAACCCCGAGGCTAAGGAAAACGTGGGAGATGCATACAACATGTTTTAAAATCTGCTGTATGTGTTTTTGTTTTTTCTCAGTCTCGGGTGTATGGCTTTCTGTAAGTTTTTTATGATATGAATCCAAAACAGCCTACCCTAACTTCGACTGCATTAACTATGGTAGCAGTATTTTTGTTTGTTTGATTTATAGCATAAGTCTGAACCCTTTTGTTTTAAGGGAAGAGGACACTGAGAGGATTGTCTGCCTTGCTGGAGATAAAGTTTTTATGCACGTTTTAGCTTTTAATCTTTCCTGTCGTTTTCCCTACTTGTTTTGCAGTTACTTCCATCTATTCACGCACAAAATACCCCACACTGTCGCAGACCCAAATAGACGAACAAAACATACTATTGTGCATTATAATAGAAGCTATGATGACTTTTCTTTCATCAAAACTAACATGAGATTACAGTTACTTTATTTTGATTAATATGGTAACCAACTTGTTTCCACTATTTGAAACATCTTAGATTACGCGAGATTGTGCACCCGCCCACCGTTTCGCTATCGCGGTGCTTTCGTAAAGTCATGGCCGCACTGCTGCAGACACCATCCGAGGCATACTTCTTCTCGCACGCACAAACAGTCTGCAGACATGTTTGAAGTATGCAAATGCCTGCAAACATGCTTCGGCAGTGTTTGCAGGCAATTCTGTCATCGTGTCTGCGGAGAAAATCCTCTCTTTTTTGTGACATACGAGCAAAGTTGCTGGGCGTCGGGTCGTTCTTTTGTCCTGTCTTCCGCCGAATCAAACCAACAAATGTGGTTTTGTGCGCACACGCGCAGGACACCATAATGTTGGCGGCCCGCTGTCGGTGATGCGTGCCCCGTACGCGACGCCTTTGGCCAGTGCTTTTGTGGAGGCTGGAGTTCACCTGGGTTACCCTGCCAGAGACATCAACGCCGGACAGCTTACGGGTACGTAATTTATTTGGACTGGATTTTGAAAGTGCCCTGCCACAGTTTTAGGGCCGTGTATAGTTTTACGACGTTTGAATCGTTTGTTTATGCAGACATGAAGGTGTCATATTTCCCGGACTGCATGCAGCCGCCGACCGATTTTTGAAACGCCGGTAACTCAGACTTGTTCAATATTTCGGACCTAAAGGAGGAACCGTGACCTACCCGATAGAAATAGTGCATATTCACAAGCAATGTTTCGGACAGCTTGAAGTCTGAAAGTTTGATTTTTTGGACAAAATCGTTTCAAGTGATCAGCGGGAAACACCACCGAGAAGTGACCATTTTGGATTCTATGTTGGCTGCACATGGATTGGTTTCATTTGGCAGCACTACCTAAATTTTTAAGCCCGACTAGACGTAACAAAAGGCAAGTTCTTTAATCTGCCGATTTTTCGGACTGCCTTTTTATTCAGATGTTTATTATTCAGGTGTTCAGTCCTTGCAAAGTCCGAAAAATTGGTCAGCGACTGTAGTATAGTCTGCACCTGACAAATATACAGTAGTCCCTCATTATAATAAAGTCAACGGGAGGGCCAAAAATTCAATATAAGTGGTAATTCAATAAAGGCGATAGAGCCAGAGAAACAGTGCCAGCAGCCTTGAAGGTTGACGGGAACAATATGATACACTCTGATTGAATATTTAATCAAACAAACCTTGGTTATGAACATCTTGCGGCAGTTTTACCAAGTAAAAAAATAATTAAGTGGAGTTTGCCGATTACTTAATCCAGGCATCAGTTCTCCTCAAACAGCTCCAGGCATCGCAAGAGCACCGTCACCGTCGCTGCACTTTACTTCATTTCGAACCAGCCGTAAAATGTTTCGCGTCCCCACAGTCATCTGCGTTTTCCGAGGTGCTTCTTCAGTGTCGCTTTGTGTTTACCCTGGCCATATGCAAGGTCTTTGATCTCAGCATCCATGGCGGGAGCAACAACAGGAACGTCCACATTGACAAGCACCAACGAATCAGAGTTATACTCGGTGGCTTTGCCAACATGTTTTCACACACTCCTGTAGAGACCGTTGCAGCTATGGGAATCGTTCACCTGCTCGGGAAGCATGCTCGCGAGAGAAAATCCGACAGTCGCAAAGCAGTTGGCAATCTTTCATCTTCGGGTTGCGGGCGTGCCTTTCTCTTTCATGAGAAACTTTTTGAACCCGTCCAATCTTTGCTTGTTCTGCAAAATAAAAGATAGTGTCGAACAGCCGACACCAGAATGTCGAATTCTTTGGCGCTTTCATAATTAGGCCGGCCACTTTTCTCAACCTCAGAGTTATGCAAGGTTGAGAATGTGTAGGGAAAAACTGTACAGTCGAACCCGGATATATTGAATTCAAAGGGAATTGTAAAATAGTTATCGATGATTTGATATGCAAAAATATGTAGACTTAAGGCCCGTTCACACTCTTGCGACCGAGTACGACTAAGAGAGACGAGATCTCTTAAAACTTCTTAAATGTTTTTAGCATGAGGGAACACACTGACATTGTGGCGCCATCTATGCGGTGACCCTGGAACTGCATTTCACAAGAGCGAAGGTTTTTCGGGATTTCCGAGGTCAAATGTGCGTAATACCCATAGAAAGGCTCGTTTATAACATTGACAAAAGTTTTTCGAGCCAAGAAAGAAAGGATAATGCGCGAGAAATAACAAAAAATATGCCGGACCGCCGAGTTTACACTGCTTCCCAATAGATGGCGCCAGTGTGTTCTCTGGTTTAAGAAGTTTTAAGGAACCCAGGTTTAAGAGGTCGCAAGAGTGTGAACGGGCCTTTAAGCTCCAGTTGCATTTTTTCGCGCGTCTCTGCTAATATGAAAGGCCGCGACAAACGGGACCTTCCAAATAGAGCCTCTAAGACCCGCTAAATACAGTAGAGCTTATTTGTAGGGGTGTCGCGAACCGGCCGAGGTTCGAGTTCGACCAGGTTCGACTTTTTCGAACTTTTAGTGGAAAATTCGACGAACCTTGTATTGAGGTTCGACTAGTGTGCGCATGCACGACGGGCTGGCCAGTTGGTTTCGGATTGGATGGTGATGGCTAAGGGATGAACTAAGGGCAGCACTGATTGGTTATTTTAGTTAATACAGTACAACAAATTAAGTTATTAACTTCTTCAGTTATTAGAATCAGTTTCTTTTAATTGTAGCTGTTCACAAAATTAAAATAACTCTTTGTATAAAAAAAAAAGTTATCCAAACCTAGACATGCTTTTATCAAGGTCTGGCCACACTGTCCACAAAGTCGAACCGGTCGAATCTGGTGAAAAGTTCGAAAGTTCGTCGAACCGGTTCGACTCAGTCGAACCCCAAAAGTTCGACCTAAAAATCCGGTTCGACAAAAGTTCGCGACACCCCTACTTATTTGGTGAAGATCACAAACACCGCCGCGTTTACGCGACGGTGTTTGCGATCGTTTACACCTGGCCACGACGTGCACACAGCGCCAACAACAAAACACAAAAATAATTTTGAAAATAAAAAAAAAACGGAAAAAGCAATTTGCATAAAAAAAGGCTTTAGATACATTGAATAAAGTTAAGCAAGCAACAAAAAAGAAACCTCACTAAATTCAGGCATCAAAAAAAAAAAGAAAAAACGCTCAATGCAAAAACGGCGAAAGAAAAAGGTAAACAAAAATAAGGCGTTCAAAGTGTGATTGCTCAAACATCGTTGTTGACACGCTCGACCTGGAAGACTCTTTTTTTTTTTTTTTTTTTTACTTTATTTTGGGGCTAAGGAGTCACGCAGCGACAGCAAGCAGTGTTTGGGGGAAGTGCACACGCTACCGTTCCAGCAGCAAGCACTCATCGCCCTCCCTAGGCGTTCGCATGCGTGTCCCTCTTCTTGCTCTTGCCATCCTTTACTTTTTTCCTTTCTGTTTTTTTTTAACAATTGCTCTTTTGCTTTGTATCACTGTGCGCGTATTCTGGCTTGGCGGTCTGCCAGCCCTGCAACGCGAGCTATTTATTTATTCATTTACCCTAAGGGCCCTTTCGGGCATTACATAGGGGGGAATTCATACAAAAGGAACACGTCGCTTGCCGCAAGCGCAATCCGATCTCGGGAGAAGTGACCGGGCCATGCTTCGTTCGCTATATCGAGTGTCCCCGTCATGGGAGTTTCATACGAAAAAACAACGCTCCTATACAGTTACGTGTGATTTTCAAGGGGATTTATGAACTGTTCGGCGTAAACAACAATTAGAAATCCCCATACAAGTGCTGTATGCGTGCCTTAGTACGGCGAATATCAACGTTTTTAACTCAAATTGTTTATCATTTCAGTTGTTTCTGGACTAATTTGTAATCTCACAGTTTGTGCATTATTGCATGAGCACAGAAAATGAATGAATGAATGAATGGTCTTTTACATGTGGTTTGCTCCTTGGATCTTCAGGATTCATGATCCCCCAAGGCACCCTCCTGGACGGCCGTCGCCACAGCACTCGCAGGGCATTTCTAGACCCCGTTCTAGGGAGAGACAACCTCCACATTGCCGTGTTCTCTCACGCAACCAAGGTATGTTCTAAATCCCGCCAACCGAGTTGACTACATTACCTACTTAGTTGACTGACCGCCGAACAAGACAGAGATAGGCAATAATTCTATACGACAATGTGTTCTAAGCAGTTGCCAACGATTGATACAAGACCACAGGCATGATCACTGCCTTACTGAAACCACAGTTTTACTATCTCTAGTCTGACAAAATGTAAGAAAATGAGCTGCCTGTCGGATCATGCTGCACTCCCGAATGTTTTCATTCCGATGTTTTACTTTTTGGCAAATGCTTTTTACAATGGTGAAATCTGATATTATGTGGCAACTGTCAAGGTAGATTACAGTGAAGCAAAATGAAAGTCCAATTTATAATTGCTGACATTTAGGCCAATGAAAAAAGATAAAAGTTTTGCCTGACAAAAACAAAAAACAAACTTGTATTAATTACTAGTGCAGGCATTTGAGTAAAGGTTTTTCTTACAAGCAGCTGACTTCACCCTAGAGGTGTTCTACTCTACTCAGTGATCACTGCATCTTTAGTATCCAAGTTTCTCAACTCATGTCAGTGTGTTAATAAAAAAAAAAAGCATAGCAACTTTTTTAACTCCAAACTTGCAGAATCATCAAAAGTGAAGGATTTTGCAGTAAGTGTTGCAGAAGCATCCAGAGTTTTCTTTTCTTGCGGAATTTACGCACCCCCTTCATGATTTCTCAAGTACTCGAAGCTTGCTTTGCGTTCTTGCAGGTGGAGCTCGATGCATCCAAGACGGCCCGTGGGGTGCACTTTGAGCGGTTTGGAGTGCCCCAGGTTGCACGGGTGCGGAAGGAGGTGTTGCTCTCAGCCGGAGCTATCGGCACGCCCCAGCTTCTCATGCTGTCCGGCATCGGTCCAAGGTCGCATCTCGAAGCTTTCAAGGTAAGCGGGTCGTCCAGGCAGCATATGTACCCTGTTTTCCGGACTCCCAGTGCATACTCCTAAGAAGCGAGTTCCGGCTTAAAAAAACAAAATCTTCTTTAGATCACCAGTTTCACCATTCATGCAATAAAGCAGTAAAGAAGCATACAAACTTTGTAAACAGTAATGCACCTGCTAAAAAGCATCTGGCTTGTAGTTGCTTTTCTTTAGGTCACTTTACGACTTTGAAGTTAAGTTTTTCTAGCAAGACTTAATTGACAAAAATTTTACCAACGAGCGTTTTCCAGACATAGGACCCCACTGATCCCTTGCAGATCCCTGTTGTGGCAGACCTTCCCGTAGGCTCCAACCTGCAGGACCACATTTTTCCCGGTGGTGTCAACTTCCTGTTAGACCAGCCGGTGTCTGTGGTCCAGTCGCGGATGTTCACCATCCCTGAAGTTGTCAATTATCTCACCACGGGCACAGGTGACGGCTCAGCTGCGACGAACAAGGCGCAGATGGTGTACTTCCCCTTTAGTGTGTGAAAGGCTTTCGCTGGTGTAATTTGACAATGATCCATCCGTTATATACCGAGTATTTTGGCCACAACGGACGTCGCGGATAGCAAAAACGTATTAATAAGCTAAGTAGTTAACTAAAATTACTAATTATCTTTCTAATTAAAAAAAATAGACATGGTTCCAATAGGAACTTCCTGAGCTCACAGCAATCTCCTGAAACAGTTTATTTTAAAAAGACTGGTGCATCAGGCACAAGGCTAATGATGCGAAAACACAGATGATGAAGTTTATGCTGAAACACCCGGTATAGTTATTTGTTTTGAGTAAGTTACTTTGCCTCATCTATCCACAATGCACAGCTTACATCGTGCAGCAGAGTTAGCACAAACATTAGTGTGATTACTTTTTTGCTGTTCGCACGGGCAGTTTAGTGTCAAACAACAAATCTGGCCGCGTGAGTTGCTGTTTCATGGTTGCGTATTCAAAACTAACAAATACACAGCGTTCAGCTGCTAGAAGAATACTATAAAGAGCGCTGCTGGATCGCGTCTTCGTAAGTTGACGAGTGGTGATTTACTTTTATTTTGTAGAATTTGCATTCGATCACGAGGATTCATTTCCAGCGGTGTCGAAGCAGTTCGTGAACTGTTCCTCAGCACATAAGATAAATACCAGCATGGACGCTTGTAGTAGTATGACAGTTCCCTGTCTTTTCACTAATAGTCATTTATACGTATTAGTTGTGAGGAACTAACATAGTAGTTGTAAGCACACCTTCAGTCGTCACGAGACTGAGCTCAGCCTCTTAGCAAACTGCCGGCTATAGAGGTTGGTTCACACACTTCTGACTGCTTATGACTGAATGTGTCAAAACCTCTTGTGATCTCTTACGACGAGGGATCACACTGCCACTCTTGCATCATCCGAGGCGACCTTGAAACTGCTTTTCACTAGATTGAAGATTTTGCAGTATTTGCAAGCTCAAATGTAGCATGTGCTATCTATGAGCAATGGCTGTTCTATAAGATTGTCGACAGTTTTTGAAGCCTAGAAAAAGCAAAGAATGATGCACAAGGAAAATAGGTAATTTTAGGAGGTTTTAAGAGAAACGAGAAATTTTAAAGAGGTCTTAAGGGACACGGTCGTAAACATGGTCAAGTGTGCAAACGAGCCTCTGTTGCAAAGAATGACAAGTGTCCAGCCCTCTCCTGCTCTCTCTCCAGGGCCCCTGACTCTGCCCGGAGGCGTGGAGGGCCTGGGGTTTGTGAACACGCGCTACGCCAACGCCAGCCTCGACTGGCCCGACGTCGAGATCCACTTTGCGTCGGGGTCCCCCGTGTCAGACGGGGGACAGACGTTCAAGACCGCGCATGGCCTCAGCGACAAGGTGAGGGCCAACGCATCTCTAACTAGTGTTTTCAGCGTTCCATCTTGTCTATCAAAACTAGTCCGTCACAACAAACGACATCCCCAGAGCTGCAACGTCACGCTAACGAACTTCGCGATCTTGGCAACTGGGAATTGAAGTCACAGCGAAACATACAAGTGAGTGCGAGCGTCGCCGCCGTCACAGAGTCTCAACTCTAGGCTGCCGGATTGTCCGGGGACTCTGTCAAGCTGGAGAGCGACCTGCGACAGAACGCACGTCTGCCACAACAAACACGGCTCCTGCAACGCCGCCCAGATCGCGACCGTAGACCGCACGACACTTTTACGGCGTTGTCGGGCAGAAATCGAGGGGCCACTTTTTAGGACGCAGTAAACAGGCCACTCGGAGATGCGTCGGAGGCACCGAACTTCATGCTGCCGGTGCATCGAAATCCCCAACTTTCTGTGTGGTCAGATAAAAGATGATGCTTCGTGTTGACCTAGTGTGAACGGCAGTGTTACTTTTTACGGCGGTTTGCTGGCACTCAACATTTTACGCTTTTATGAGCGGGGCCCCATGGGACGCTTCACTCTTCTGTGTGGAACGTAAGCATAAGTAGTCCCCCCTTGACTCCCGGCAGCGGAAGAAGACGCTCTCTGTTAGCTCCGATAAACCCAGTTAGCCACAAACGTGAGTCAGCTGCCGTCACTTTCAGACTGGCACTTAAGTATTCGCGTAAGAACCCTGTAGCTCAACTTGCCTCATTGGTATGCTGAAGCATACTAGTAGTTATAGTGAACGGTTGTGAGCAGACGTTCGGTATAACTTCATTTCGTCTTATTTATTTCTCCTTAAGGGCCCGATGAAGACTTCGAAGCACAGAAATCGGAAGTAGAAACAATAGCTATCAGAACTGCATGCAGTGACAATCTGGTAGGACAGTGGTGGCTGCATAGATGTAAGGTGACACTCTGCCAAAAAATGGATGGGTCTGAAATAAGTGCTATTTCCTCGGGGAGGGAATGCCAGATGGTTATAGCCTCCGGAAAAAACGAGGTGTTAAAGGCTAATGTTTTGCTTGTTATATGTTTGATGCAGCGACTGTGACTAAGCGAGATGATATTTTACCTGAAGGTACAGAAGAGTGTCATTTTTACTTGCGATTTTGTGGTAAAATTTTTCTATGAAAGATATTCAAGAAGTTACTCTGCAGTTGGACAGTAATGGAAGCTCTAGCGTATTAATTCTCAACCACTCATATTTTGGGGACCCGTTTTGGATCAGCAGAAGTGTCGGTGGGCCCGATCCACGGGGGAGGATTGCGGCGATAATATCCTATCCTATAATAGACTCTTGTCGAGCCACAGCTTAAAAGGAAATCTTTTTTTTTGACAAGCGGAAGTAGTTTGTTGCACGCTAGTCTCGTCACAGCAGAGAAATGTTCACTAACTGCGAAAGTTCAGATCCTTTTCGTTTGCGTCCACATACTAAAATTGGTTCCTTGTTTTTAAATCGACTAAGTTGAACGATGGGGCAATTTTTCCTCAAAGCACGATGCACCTGCTCTATGTTATTCAAAGTGTAACTACTGGGAAGATAAAGTTATCAGCCTTGCTTCCAATCGCATCCAAGTTTTTCCATGGGAGTCCTCAATTTCCATGGAGAGCAGGTAAGTTCTATGTAATCGATTGCTTGCATCTTCACTGGACGCTTGAAGAACTGCAATCTCATTTGAAAGTACCTGCATATTTGGTGTTAGTTCTGCATTCTGTGGTCCTGGAGTGTTCTTTTCCAGTGCAGCGATTCTGGTCTCGGGTTCTTCGATAGACTTATTTGTTATCGTTTGGCATTCTCTTACAAATGTTACTTCTGCTACGATGTTTGATTGACCTAACCCAATTTGCTGCACGATAATAAGGACATTTTCTAGGTCAGTAATGTGTCCCAGATTTAACTCAATGTTAGCAGACAACATAGAAGCACTTGTGATAAAACTTGTCCAGCAGATGTTACGAGGCTCCAGTAAGAAGCTGAGACGACAACTATAACTGTCTTCTAGTGCACTTTGATCCTACACTAGATTAACTATTGTACAATATGACATCCAGCAATAGATGGTAGTAAATACAGTCGAGCCCTGTTATATCACACTCGGGTATTTTGAATTATTGTTTATATCAAACAGTCCAAACATCCCCTTGAAAATCACATGTAATAGTATAGGAGTGGTGTCTTTTTGTATCAAACTCCCATGGCGGGGACACTCTATATAGCAAACGAAGCCCAGTGGCCCGTTGCTTTTCCAGCAATTCGATTGCGCTGGTGGCTAGCAAGCGAGCACATAGCTAGCTTTGGTTGCAGGGCTGGCAGACTCCCAAGCCAGAATACATGTGCAGCGAAAGAGCAGTTCTAAAAAAAAAAAAACAATAAGTTGTAAAATAAAAAATAAAAAAAGCAGAGGATGGCAAAAACAAGGGGAAGGGTACGCGCGCGCGGGTAGGGAAAGCAGGGAGTGCTCGCTGTTGGAACGGTAGCCTGCGCCCTTTCCCCGAACACTGCTGCTGCTGCAAGACTCCCTAGCCCCAAAATAAAATAAGCAAAAAAAAAAAGTCTTCGGCAAATCGAGTGTGTTGACAACAACGGTTCTGCAATCACACTTTGAATGCCTTACCTTTGTATGGGGGATCGGTGGCCGAGTGGTCTAGCGCACACCAGCTCGGAGCACGTGAAGCGAAAGCTCGCGCTGCAGAACCCAGGGATCCTGGGTTCGAGCCCCACCCCTGCCCGTTTCGATCTGGATGAGCATCGTACCGGCGTGCGGTCGTGTATCACTACTGCGTGACGCACGTTAAAGACCCCAGGCTAGCGGTTTGTACCGCACTGGCTAAATTTCTCATCTACAGCTGGGAGACTCGTCGCCCCTGTGAGGCAGACCAAGTTCTAGGCTGTATAAACACACACAACCTTACCTTTGTTTGCCCTTTTCTTTTGCCAGTATTGCTTTGCCCTTTTGTTTTCTTTGCTTTTTTTTGTTGTTTGAATTTAGTGAGCTTCCTTTTTTGTTGCTTGCTTAACTTTTTTTTGTGGATCAAGAGATTCTTTTATGCGTCTTACTTTTCCATTTTTCTTTTTTATTATTTGTGTGTGTTTTTGCTGTGCGGAGGTTCCGGCCAGGTGCATGTGTAAGTGTGGCGGTATTTGTGGTTTACGCCAATTACGCTGTACTGTATTTTGCAGCTCTTGGATGCTCTCTTTAGTAAGATCCCGTTTGTTACGACCTTCGGTATTGGCAGAGACAGCAAGAAATTTAAACTCAAGCTTAACTTAACATATTTTTGTATATTAAATTATCGATATGTTGAACTATTTCAGGATCCCCTTTAAATTCAATATATCTGGGTTCGACTGTACACCTGCTGCTTCATCTAGGTTGATTACTTCAGGGACCAGTGGCACCATTGGAAAGCGTCAACCAGGCAGGAGACGATATGTGAGCTCCGTAGTACAATGTCTGATTGCAAGATACTTTTGTTGTGTCTTATTATCATAATGTAATCGAGGACTCAAATGCATATATGAGACGGCTTTAGTGGATATTATTGTGTAAAACGAGCCGAATAAAGCGATGCCTGTACACAGATTCTAAAGCCCCACCCTTTCTGCAAAAAAATCTAATTTTTTACAGAAAGAGAGTTATGCCTTAAAATTTCATCGGCAAAAATGCACTCCCTCAAAGCACATTCGGTGAAAGTTTAGCTCTTCATGTGCAGGTGTCGATTTTTACGGCATGTTTTACAGCTCTAGATCCAGCGGAGCCACTCTATACAGCAAACCATTCCCTTTTGCACTCTCCAGAGGTACAGTTGTGGATGATACGAAAAGCCCAGGTGAGTGCGTGGTCTCAAAGAACTTCGGTGCAATCTAATGGAAGAAAGTCGAGCTATCATCAAAGACGTTGTGTGTACCACCGGCAGTTCAGCGGCAGTTAAATTTTTGTCCCTACTCTCCACTTGGTCAGCGAACGTCCGCCGAGTCAAAACCAATTTTGGCGCTGTTTTTTTGGGTCAAGCTTGCGGTGTTCCAAAACAAGTGGCAAGGCTGCTCGGTGAAATAAAGTGAAAACCGCCTATCGTCTTTTATCCCGCAAACTTGTTATGAAACGCCCAAAAAGTAATCACTTAACTTACCTGCCCGGTGGTTTCAGCTGCACGTGATTGCACCTCTTGACATAGAACACCTCCACAATCGGCACTGAAATCAGCGTTCACACAGCAACAGCCGGTCAAATGGGGAGTGTCGACAAAAATTTAACAGCTGCTGAAGCCTCAAGAACGGTCGAGCTTTCTTCTGTTAGATAGTGTTCCGGGTCTACCAGGCCAAGCGCTTGCCTGGGCTTTTTCATATCGTGCACAGCCATACTACCGATGCTTTTCCCCCGCAGGTATGGAGCCGCACGTTCGCTCCTCACATCCGAGAAGACTCCATGTCTCTGTACCCCGTTCTGCTGCGGCCGCGGTCGCGAGGCACGGTGCGGCTGCGGTCGACGGACCCGCACGATGAGCCCCTCCTCAACCCCCGCTACCTGACGCACCCACAAGACCTGCGGACCATGGTGGACGGTCAGTCAAGCTTGCCGATCGTCTCAAAGCACATCTGGAGCGGGTTTACATGAGTGTTTTTTTAAACGCGCCAGCATTTCCTCTTACGTAAGAGGTAAAGACTCTTCTCGCACGCTGGTAACGACATGCCATTGTTCATGTGCATTCCTCTTATGACGACACTGGGGCGTAGACACATTGTTTCATTTCCCCAGTATACAGAACGTACGCAAAAACGTAACACCGAGGCGCAGCGACGACGTCTTTGCGAAACCGCCGGCATCCGGGAAGAAGGTTGGCTCTTCGAAGACAACGGTATGCGGACCATAGGCGCGTTCGAGGGGAAGCTGGGGCGGCTGCATCCAAAACTGCCAATACCCAGAGAACAGACTGGCTTTCCGAGTACAACGAACCCCTGTGCTAAATGCTAACACATTTCGTCGAGAACCAGCTTAGTAACAGCAGCGATTTCGGCATAATTTCTTTTATATCTATTTTGTTTAATATACCTCAAAGCGCCGTGATGGGGCATTGTATAAGGGGAGTATAAATACTATTGCGAGGAAAAAGAAAAGCAGGCAAGGAAGCACTTCATGCTCATTCTTCATAGTGTAATATATAGTATAGGGTGTCCAAAATGATCAGGCTCGATCTAAAACAGGCCTTAAAAATCGGCGCCTGCACATAGCACTCTAAACTTTTCGTCAAAGGTCTATTTTGCAGTTTGGTTTTATCATGTAGAGTTACAAAGCGAAGCTTCCTTTCTGTAAAAAATAGGGGCAAAAAACTTGCCAGGGTCAACGGCGGGCGGCGACACAGATGAGCAAGTCAAGTGGCGGGGAGCGTATTGCGCACATGTTGATAGATGGCGCTACCTCCTTTTTCCGGCTCTCTTTAAAAAAATTAAATAATGAAAGTGCTCGCGTCAATTGTGGTCCATTCATATGAAAATAATCTTTTTGTAATGTTGAATTAAACTTTGGCTTTTATGGCGCAGCAGCAGCATAGGCCGTAGTACACCATTCTTGTAATGTACCTTGGATTTAAAAATAAATGCGAACAGTGACAGTAAAAAGTAACAAACATGGGAGGCTACGAGAGCGTACTCTAGGTCAACAGCAATTCATGGCTCTGAAAGGTGCTTGTCAATAGAAGCCCACAGTTTTCACATCTGTCAAAGGTGCTCATCACGTGTACAAAATGGTTAGCTATGCTCTTCAGTCAACATGTCCACCTCAAACTTGGAGGCGCTTGTGCAGCCTTCGCTCATGATCCCTGAAGGCTGCCTGCCGCATGTTGTCTGTGATCGCTTCGAAGGTGGATATAATCCGCTCGTTTACCTCCGTCACCGTGCGTACGCGGATTGTGTAGACCCGGGCTTTTACGAATCACCCCAAACAAAAAAGTCACAAATTGTCAGGTCAAAGGATCGTGGCGACCAGGGCATTGTCGGTGACCCTTGACTCATCCAGTTGCTGAGAAAGGTCCTGTCAACACAGTCCCTCACTGCTGTGGCATTGTGCAGGGGTGCTCCATCTTGCTGGAAGATGCACACCCACCTTTGCATGTGCAAAGCTTCCAGCTCCGGCAAGACGTCCTGTTGGAGCATGCAAAGGTAGGCGTCGCCAGTGACCGTGCCCTCGAAGAAGAACGGATCGACAAAGCCTTTCCTCCGAAGTCCTCACCGTACTACGACCTTTAAGGACTCAACAGCCTCTGTAATGAACCAGTAAGGGTTTGTCCCGGACCAGCAGCACGTGTTCTGCTTCTTAATGTATCCGTCGAGATGAAAAATAGCTTCATCCATGAAAAGCAGAAAGCTTCCTGTTTGTGATGATGCGCCAAAGTTCGTCCACGCAGAACTGATTTTGCCGTTCATAGTCATCGGGTTGCAGCCCGAACAGGGCCTGTGGCTTGAATGGACAGATTTGTTGACGGATCACGTTCATACAAAATCTCTGCTGATACCAAACTGTCTTGCGACTTGTCCCACGGACAGCCGTTGGTTGAACGCAAATGCTGCAAGCACGGTGCAACATTTGTTCTGCTGTGGCGACCTCTCTTCACGTGCTTGCAGCCTGGTCTTCACACTGTTCTTCGTGTTGAATCGGTTTACCCAGGCCAATGGGAGTCAGACAGGTGGATGGGCACCTACGAAAAGTGGCTCGAAACTTTGAGAACACTTGCCTCATGCTCTTGGTTTTTCTCGACTAAAGGACTGCCTTTGCCCTCTCTTGGATGATCAGGTGATGCACTGTGGCAGTTTTCCCACCAACTGTGACAAAAAAAGGTCCTGGGAGCAGCGTCGGATGGTGTAACCGACCAGCGAAAGAAAGCAGACAAAATTCGTCGACGGCAAGAGCGCCGTCGTTATGCAACCACATTTTCTTCTATTTTTGTTACTTCACATTTTGCAATCATTGTCTGTATTTATTTTTAAACCAAAGGTACATTAGAAAAAGATTACATTCATATTAATAGACCACGGTCAACGGGGGTACTTCCACTTTTTTTAAAAAGCAAGCTGGAATGAGAAGCTAGTGCCATTTATTAATATGTGCACCAAATGCGCCCCACCACTCGAATCGGTCGTCCACGCCGTCGCCCACCGTTGACCCTGGCAAGTTTTTGGCCCTATTTTTTTTTACAGAAAGGGAGCTACGTTTTGCAATTTTGCGTAATAAAACTGACCCGCAAAATACACCTTTGACGAAAAGTTTAGAGTGCTCCTTTGTGCAGGCGCCAATTTTTACGACCCATTTGAGATCAACCCTGGTTATTTCGGACACCCTATATATACCCAGGCGTTTCTTTAAAAACTTCCTAAAACTAAATAGTTAAGGGAAAGAAAAAGATATTTTTTGGGGAACAAACTGTCAGCCACGACGGACGTCAGGAGCTAGAAAAAACAAACTGATTAGCAAAATATTTACCTAAAATTAACTAATTTGTTCTTAATTAGTGAAAACAAATCTATGGTTCCAATCAGAAGCTTGCCGAGCATCGTTTAAATCCCCTAAATGAGTCAATTTTATGATGACTTGAACCCCGTGGGAAGCAGAGGGGTGCACTAAAGTTATTGTACTTGTGCAGCAAGCACTATAGTACCCCACCAACCCTTAAAGCTACAGCCAAAGCTACAAGCACAAGCTCACATCCACTTCTGGCTTCAAGACACGCCTTTCAAGCATGAGCGCTCGTTCTGCGGAACCTCTTCGAAGCCAAAATCTCGTGCTCTCATGCTTGCGGCAATGGCTGCAGTCACAGCTTAAAGGGAAACTCCGCTTCATTTTTGATATATATAGAAAACTATGTAGCCCTCTTCAGTATCATATAGGAAGACCCCATGTCAAATATTACGATCTAATTCCGTTTATATATTTAATAAACTGGCCAGCAAACCTTCAAGCGAGCCAAGTCGCCGAAATCCGCCAACTCTAGCGTGCAGCGCGAGGCGCAATCATCAGCGCAGTCAATGCCACGGAGTTGCAGCAGCCGTCATTGAGCCACTACGTCAGAGGCATGACTACGTCATTCTCACGTTTTGTTTGTTTTTACTTCTCGGAGCGAAATTGAACGATGACGTCATGAGTTTTTCCTCCCGGTGTTGGCTGACCGGGCGTTCACGTGATCATCGCAACGCGGATGCGCTAGTTTGCGCTGCCCTGCGCGCTTATCGGTCTGTTTCTCCGCTCCTCATCTCCTCTTTCGTCTTCTCCCCCTTTCCTCTCTCCCCCGGGCCATCACCGTCCACGCCATGCGAAGCGACCTGCCTGCGTCGCGTGTCCTGTTTCTCGCTTCCTCCCGAACGTCACAAGACCACGTGGTTCGACGTGACGTGGCCATGACTCCGCCGACCCGAGACCAGTGTTGCTTGACGCAACCTAAGTTTCGGTATCAGCTGATGTTTAAATTCGGATTACACAAATAATATTCCTCATTTAGCGAATCCGAAGACGTAGAGTTGTTTAGTAGTGCTTTGTGAATTTGAATCACATGCAAGACTAAATTTTTCGGAATTGAGCGGAGTTGCCCTTTAAGAGCGAGCGCAATGTAGGACGGCTATTTGCAACTTTCATGGGGCACACTATTTCCTGTCGAAATGGCTGTCATCTGGATGATCGTCGAAGAACAGCAGTACGAGGTTGGGTCCACGATGCACAAGTAGTTCCAATTTTGTGAAATAAGAGCGTTACCTCACACTTCCACACGTCAGGAAGGCGTAAGCGAGCACTTTCATTCCGAAGCCTATCATCCAGGAGCTAGGCAGCACCACCGTCGCTGAAAGTTGCGATTGCAAAAACGCGAATGATATTGTTATCATTCGCATTTGTGCATCTAGAGAAAACAAAAGCGGGTGAGAAGGAAGACAAGCATGAAATCTCTGGAGAAAAGTGGAGGGCAGCCTCTAAAGTCTTCTTTTGTTCTAGATTACAAAATTAACTGAAATGACACAGCTTGTGTATATACTTAGTTTTACCTGAAGTCCACGCCATGTGTTGATGGGACCGATCGGGCAGCGTCGGAAGTGCACCATCATAGTGTTTGTCATGTTTGTCTGTGTCGTTGCTGAATCAGTCGTAAACAGAAAAAGCTTAGTGACTTGGGCTTTTGGTACTGCTCGATTAGTCCCATTAGCGACTGGACTTAAGCTGAAACAAAGTAAAGTTGGGCGATTGTCAGATTGACATTAAATCTCCGATCACTACACGACGAGATTCTGCTCGAATATGTGCTCTGCGACAACGACGTTAACGGCGCTCTCCTTTTTCTCGCGAATGCGAGTGAACAGTGTTCACCTGTTTGCAGCCATGAAGCTGTGCCTGTGGCTGGGGCAGTCGCCTCCGTTTGCGCGCTTCGGTTCCCGCGTCTGGGACATCCCGTTTCCGGGATGCGAACTGTACCCCTTCCTCGGGGACGAGTACCTGGGCTGCGTGGCGCGCTCCTACACGAGCACCCTCTACCACCCGGTCGGGACCTGCCGCATGGGCGCGGCGGACGACCGTCTTGCCGTGGTCGACAGCAAGCTCCGGTGAGGGAATGAGCATGCTTTCACATGGTAGGGGCGTTGCTCGGTTTTGTAGTGTGAGCTACACTGGCCGAGGTTGAACAGTTTCGTGTGGCTCCCAAAGAGCCGTGCTGCACATGCGCGAGGAGCAGCGACGTCACACGGCGCACAGCTGGCACTGGAGCCGCCACCGCCGCAAAGCGCACCTCACCGGTCTGCGCATTCCAGAGGAGTGACATCACAGCCGCAGCAGACGCACTGGCGCTGCCACGTGCCCAGCTGTGCGCCTCCGTTGCGCAGTAGCCAAGTCCGACGCTGCACCGGAGCCGCTTGATAGCGCCTCATTTCGTGTGCATAAGCTCACGCTACATATATCCCGACATAGCTGAGCTAAGCCACCGCAATTTTTTTTATGATGGTGTGCGGTCGTTCAGGACGATCACGGTAGGCTCGCGATAATTAAAACTAATATTTCATACTTCTGGTTAATCCAAACAAATTTCAAAATTTTGGTTGTCCCACTATGTTTTTAACATACTTACAAGCCACTTAATTCAAGCACCCGCAGTGCTTGCTTCCTCGGGCGTAACTTTTCCACAGTGCACCGGCGCTCGGTCAGAAGCGCACTCAGCGGGGCTCAAGCAGGGCACACGAGCTACATGGCTTACACATGACATTATCCCAAGTGCGCTCCGATGGCCACCAGAGAAGAGGAGAAAAAAAAGTTCCCCTCTTACCAGGACCCTCTTTTGTGTTTCCCAGATTTGCCCAGACGTTGCTATTCTCCTCCCAGAAGATTAAGCCATCACTCAAAATTCCTACAAAAGCAGCTTCCCTCTCTTTTTCATGGCGGTCAAAAGTATGCGATGCGACGTCAGTGCAAGCCATGTATATGAACGGGCACCACCCACAAATTTCCACAGCAGCTTGCGCAGACGCCGCGACGTGGCGGCAGGGCATAGGTCTCCCGTCGCAGTGTCTGCGCAGGTTACTATGAAAATTGACGCGACAGTGTCCGTTTTCGTTGTATATGTATCCCCTGCCTAATAGTTTACATTAGATAACTTCTTGGCCTGATGAACAAACTGAATTTTGTTTTGAGTTCTCACGTGCTTTCAAACAGTCCACGATAAACATTTTTGAGGGATAAACTTTACATGTGCACCGCATACTAGCAGTGTTTGGGGGTGCCCCTCTCTGCCGCAGGGTGAGGGGTGTCCGGCAGCTGAGGGTGGTGGACGCCTCCATCATGCCCACCATCGTGTCCGGAAACACCAACGCTCCTGTCATCATGATAGGCGAGCGGGCGTCTGACCTCATCCTCTCCGGAATGTGACGACAGTTTCTTTTGTTCTATTAATCAGCATCCCATCAACCAATTAAAACACCAGCCCATTAAAGTCATTTTCACGTAGGCCTGCAGGTCAAGTCGTTTGTTTTTCTAGCCATGTCTGCAGCGTTGCCTTGCGACGAGGGTCGGAATTCCCTTTGATCGGTGTGCGACGTCCTCGCAAATTACCCAGAATATTTATTTCAGTTTGGGAAGAATGGTAGTCAGCGACATCAGAAATATGTGCACCATGTCATAAACTTTAAAAATTGAATACTACACCAATATCATTTTGACGTTTATACAGTAAAACCTCGTTATAACAAAACGGGATATAACAAACTAATGGATATAACAAAGCAATCATAATTCCCCTTGCTTGCTAATAGTGGAAAGAAATGGACATTGGCTATAAAGGCCCGTTCACACACTTGCGACTGCTTGCGACCTCTTAAACCTGGGTTCCTTAAAACTTCTTAAACCAGAGAACACACTGGCGCCATCTATTGGGAAGCAGTGTAACCTCGGCGGTCCGGCATATTTTTTTTTATTTCTCGCGCAATATCCTTTCTTTTTTGTCTCGAAAAACTTTTGTCAATGTTATAAACGAGCCTTTCTATGGGTATTACGCACATTTGACTTCGGAAATCCCGCAAAACCTTCGCTTTTGTGAAATGCAGTTCTAGGGTCACCGCATAGATGGCGCCACAATGTCAGTGTGTTCCCTCATTCTAGAAACATTTAAGAAGTTGTAAGAGATCTCGTCTCACTCAGTCGTACTCGGTCGCAAGAGTGTGAACGGGCCTTAACAAACTAATGGTTATAACGAAATAATTACGACCGCTCCTTCAACTTTGTTATAACGAGGTTTTACTGTAAGAACAAAGTCGTGATCAAGGACAGCCGGAAGACTTTTGTTTACTTTAGGTTGCACACCGTTGGGCAGTTCATGTTTTGTTACGCTCCGATTCATACCCAGAGCAGAATGGCACTCATTACAACAGTTGCCTTTAAGACCCGACGGACTAGCAAATTTATGGCTATTCCAAGGGTGGCTGCATAATATTTTACTGATAATTTGATGGTTGTTCGCAGCCTTATAATTGGGGTAGATGCGGATGGAGTCGCCAAAAAACTGCTCAGTAGGTAGGACCCAGTAACTAGTCGCAAAAAAAAAAAAAAAAAACAGTAGCTTTGTGGTTGTGAAAATCCGCTACTATTGCATGAATGCGAAGGCTTCACAGAACAAGAACAATAACAGCCAAAAGTTATGAATACCAACAGGCTTTATTTCTGAACAAACTCCATTTGTATTTTCCCTGGAAAATACTTATATACATGATTGACTGCCATATATTAAACGTTTGTAGCAGTTTGTTAATGGACTGCCAACGACAAGTCGAAAGGAAGCTTCACACAGAGTGATCCCATTTAAAAATGCAACTCTGCCCTGAGAAATAGGAAGCCCAGCCAAATTAGCTATATACAAAGTAACCCTGAAATAAAGACTATAGTAATATACGCATGCTTAACTATAGCAAATGCTACTTTGACTATCAAAGTAATATTCACCACAGTGGACACCTTCAGGAGCTGCATTAGTGTCAAATGTTGTCTAAAAGTTGTCTCCTACGTTCAGGCAATGAACTGCATGGTCAAATCTCCCCTCCCAGTCCACTGAAAGCACCTTTGTTACGAGAAGAACCATTCTTTTAATTATAATGCAATTAAATGCAAAGGCGCAAGCGAGCTGGACAAAAGTGATGAAAATAATCCCTGGTTTGTCCTTTGTCCCTCTTGTTCCCCTTCTCCAGGGATTATTTTCATCATAACCATTCTTCTGCCTCAAACTACTCAACCAGTATTCTGCACAAACTTGAACTTTGCTTCATTATATTAATAACATCAGTATAGAAAAACTATGTTGTACGAGCTTCTCATTCTGAGACCCTAGATCAGAGGGAAGTGAATGCACCACTTAAACGTGCCCTCCATTGGAATCCACAAACTTGTGTGAATCGTACTAGTTTTAGTGAAATTGCAAGTTTGTGCGATTCTTACCGAGTCTACGTGAATTGCACGAGCATGTGGCACGAATCCGTAATTCATTCTAAGGTGGGACAACTCCCGAAGGTGTCGCGCAGCATTCGGGGCCTCCCGCCCTCGTGCACAACCGTGACCGGGTCCATTTCGTTGCACAGACAGTGCAGAGGCGTCCCTCAGGTGTCCTTGGAGGTGTCCTTGGGGCCCTCCTTGGGGGGCTCCTGCGATGGCTGCTGCGATGGCTGCTGGAGGTGTCCCTTGCTGGGACCCAGCACTTTGACGTAGTTGGCCGGCACCAGGCCTATCTGGGTGCCGTCCGTGCTTGCAAGCAGCCATCCACGCACCCTGGGCTGCTGGTCTGCGGAGGACAGTCGTCACAATTACCGCTTTGTCCGGACTACGACCCGCACCTGGGTTCCTAGGAACTCAAAGGTTCTCCAGAGCACCCTCGTCGGCTCCCCAAGCTTCGAAATTTTCTCGACCGTCCCTGGCCCAAAGTGTTCTGCCAGTTTAGGCACTACATTAAAGGGAAACTGAAGCGGTTCTCTATTTGAGAAAAAACATTTCAATGGGCTTCATTCTACCTCCAGGATCAGGAATATCAAGATTATTTTTCAATTTTGTGCACGGAGGCTTCAGAAATTAATTTTTAAAGTACCGCCGAAGCCCCTCCTTCCCGGGGCGTACGTCACACTAGGAGCGTTCGGAATATCTGCTCTCGCGCATCTTCAGCGCCTGTCAAAGCTATGCACGCGCACTCTTGCTATTTTCAGAAAGGTCAGAAAGAGACGTCACGACTGGTGTCAGTGCGGGGAAATATACCTGGCAAGCTTGCCGTTGCACGCGCTGAACACACGAGCGACGCGCTTGGAGGCCCGAAGATCCTAGTATGACGTCACGACTGGTCGAATGTTTTTTCGCTTTTTCTCGCTTTTAGTTGCATCTTCGGGGAAAACAAAAGTGATATTCAGATTCACGGGATAAAAATACGCCAGAATTCACCTCTAACTCGTTTTTTTTCAAGAAGTGTTTCAGCTTCCCTTTAACAGCTGTAAGCCGCCGAATGATGGGCAACTGGGAGCCAAACACTGCCTAGCACGTTCATTATTGTTTGCAACCTCTGCAGGCTCCTCAACTGCTTTACTGAATCAATGACCAAACCAAGGAAGTCGAAGTCCTTCGACTTCCTTGGTTATCAGTTTTGAAAAGGTTGAGAACCCCTGGCCTAGGTCGTCCGCACACCCTGAATATGGTTGTCTTTATTTGGGCACAAAGCAACCTGTATCGCACAGAAATCATCACCAACGTAATCTGTCTTTCAAAAACACTTTAACGTCTCGTTGGAATAAACTGTCTTCAAAAAACAAGTCCTTGCACAGTTTGCAACTGTAGAGATTCTGCAATGCGAAAGATTTGAACTTAGACATGTAGTTTGCATCACAATATTGTCAATACAATGAACAGCCACAAACAAGTGAACCAGCAGCATTCAGTGTGAGCAAGCTAAGAGTACACTTTGAGTGGGTCGTTCGCTCACATCTTGCCACGTTTGTTCTCAGTGTCAGCGGCTCGCAGGCACCAACATTTTTTTGCATCCAGAGTGTTGCAAATGCAATCGGCGATGGGGGAGATTGAACTCCTACCGCATGGACTCGAAGGCACATCAGTCTATTTAAGGGACCGTGTAAATATGCTTAATGTATGCTAACTTTTACTGCAGAGGAAACTAGGTGCTGAGCTTCAATGTCCAGCCAAGTGTTTTATCTGTGAAATTATGAAATTGTATTTTGGGCCATTGGGACGTTTATTATGACCAAGGAATAGGTGGAAGTCAAAGACTTCTACCCATTTTTGTTGGTTAACATTTTTATCACCTTCATTTTATCAAAATAAAGGCCACAGTGGCCCACCATACCTGTTGAAGATTTCATGCCAGAGGGCAAAGGTGATTTTCATTTGGAATTCTTTACATGGGAAAAACAATCCTTCCATACATGCTCCACACCTTAGATCCGGTGGCAGAAAGAAAAAGAAAAGACTACAGAAAGTGACCTTTCCATTTGTAAGCAACCTGGGGATCCAAAACGTTGGACCAGGTGGCCCACATGCCGGATCGTCCCTAGTCATTCCCACCGCGAGGGGCCCAAACGCAACTGGGCACGCGATAAAAGGCCGTCGCATGCGCGGCACGGGCGATAACTAGCGCGTTACGCCATCCCGCGAGAGACAGGCTGCAGCAAGAGAATTGCGACACACTTTGGTTTGGCATATTGCCAAAACCCAACGATAGCTGGCAGCACCGGTACTGCGCAACAATGCGCAGTTACGGTGGGCTAGAAGTCGAGGTGTGGCAACTGCGTGCTTTTTTCGAAGGCCGGAAGTGGTCCCACGGTACCATCTGCAAGCTATCACCGTGGTACCATCTGCAAGACAGCAGCAGTGCCACAACAGCAAAGACCAGATAGCTCTCGGGATAAAATGAGTTGTGTTACCATTTACGGCTAAACAATAAATCGACATAGGAAGCAAGATCCTCAATCTGCCCATTTATGTTCCAGCACACCGAACATGCTGGGATTTATAGACACGACCTGCGAGACTGCTTGAGCCCATGGAATCGTCGCTACTCCCCAGCCCACCATGGCGCAATAATAAAGGGTGGAATTATGAGCACTCTTTGTAGGGAAGGGGGCGTAAATGTTTCTAGGCCAGATAGCACAGACTACCACCCAATGCAAAGGGGTCAGCCGCTACCGTCCATCCATCCATCCATGTGCACCCGGTGGCCACCGACCACTCACCCTTGGGAGCCAGGCGCAGTTGCTGCCCCGCCTTGACGGCCAGTTCGGTGCTGTTCTCGGGACGGAAGCTGAACTGAGCCACCGCCACAAAGTGGTCCCCAGCACCCGAAGCCCACTGAGATGCGGCCCCTGGAGACAAAGAAAGTTCCCCGTTTGGAACCGTTTGGAAAGAATTGCTGCACTACGGAGGAGATCTACTAGCAGTTCAACAACAGAGTGAAAAGTCATTGTTACAGGGCATCTTGCACAATCGCAAAATTTCATCTCGGGCATTTGTTACCCGAACCTCGCCACACCTACCTGCCCTCTTGCTGGCCGCAGAGAATATCCTCCAGAGCAGCCAGGGGGCACCCAGCACAAACGCCAAGAAGGCCAGGATGGGCCACGTGGGAGAGCCGCCGCCCCCGGCTTCTGCAGGATCGCCCGGATCGGCGGTCAGGGCACGTGCCCAGGCGGCCTCGGCACCCGAACCCTGGCTGCGCAGCCCTGTGTGGTGCACGAATCCACAAGCAATGAAATGAGAGTTGAATAAAAAAAATTAATGATACATTTTAGAATATTGTTGCATGCATGGCGAAGTATGCAACACACGTGGCTGCCCCACGCAGGAACAAGGTTTGAATCCCGCTCAGCCTGGTCCTTCTGTTTTGCCACTCGACGCACTTTTCGAAGGTTTCAGCCTATTCTCGGCAGTCGTAGTGTGTTCTGGTAACGGGCTGCTTCGGGTCAGTTGCCTTTCCATCTCCGACGCAAGATGCTGGTACCTTTTAAAGTTTCTAGGCACAAGTTCCTCCCCTCCTTAGATGTTTAGTTCTAATTCCATATTCGTTTACCTTTTTTCCATTTGTCATAATATTTTCTAACTACTACATTCGGAACATCTTGAGTATATTGTAGGACTCGACCAATCATAGATTAACCTTCTAATCAGATGATTTATTCTTTAATAGCGATGCATTTTTTAATTGGTTGAGGCTCGAGTTAAAAAGTTTAGGGAGAATAAAAACGCTTGCTTTAGATACTGGTGTCATATTATAGTATAGTTTCTTATGTTCTTTATTTTTTCTCGCCACTGCTTTGCACTAGAAGCCAGCCCCCACCATACTTACATAGAGAAGAAAGCTATTATTACTACAAATGTGGGCATCTCCCCCTTCGCAAAAATGGGCCGGAAATCGAAACTCTCGCCTATGGCAAACCACTGCGCTGCATGGCACTCACCGAGAAGCCTGAGGGCAGCGTAGAAGAGCCAACGCAGCGACCGTATCAGGGCCAACGCCGATAGAGTCTGTGCCAGGTGTCCCTTGAGGCGCCCAAACTGATCGGCCACGCCGACCATTGCCCGGAAGGAGTTCTGCAGCGCCTGGTATGTGGAGTCCAGCATCAGGCTGATCGACCCAAACGCCTGAACCACCGACTCCACAGACTGAAAGGCGCCACGCGTGCTGTCTTCCGCCAGGCGCCACAGTGGACCCGGCTCCGCTGCACCATAGCCGCCGTAGCCTCCGTAGCCGCCGTAACCTCCTAGTCCGCCGTACCCTCCGATCCCGCCGTAACTTCCATAGCCGCCGTAACTGCCAATACCACCGTAGCCGCTGCCGTAGCCGTAGCCTCCGCCGTAGCCCACACGGCTATACATCCTGCAACGGCAGAGGTTTGTACGCGTTAGGACTGGTTCACACGTCTGCGACCGCTTGAAATCTTTTAAGATGCGAGAATACACTGGCATGATCTATCGCGGAACCAAGGAACACGTCTAATTTCCGTACATTTCCTTTTTTTTCTCTTTTACGCATCATTCTTTCTTAGCTTAAATAAGCTTTTGACAATATTGGACGGCCATTTTTCGTAGTACATACATTTGATCTCGCAAATATTGCAAAACTTTGCTCCGGTGAAATGCAGTTCTAGGGTTATCTTGTAGGAGGCGCTTTTACTGCATCTGTGGTCCCCACAAGCTTTCTTACCTCTCAATCTGTAAAATAGTATGAACTAGGAAACCTCAGATTTGCAACCCATTTCTAGTTTGGACCACAGATCTCTAGGATACCGGCAGCTGCTTCAAAATAGCATAAGGACTGTTTCAGTTCGTATTGTCCGCGACAGTACAACGATGGCAGGGTGCGAGAGCGGTCTCGCAACTAAAGCCCGCGGAGCGCAACGCAACCCGAATGCGAGAAGCAGCGCCACCTTGCACACCGGGTGGTAAAAGGAGGCACTATCAGAAATAGGGTAATTTGGCATTTTGTTGGAGTATGTAGAGGTATTGTTCAACTGCAAATGGGAACACGATCCCTTATTTTTCTCTTTCTATATTTCTCGAATGCTCCTTTTCATTCAAATCCCAATTAAAAAATCATTCAGCCTTTCCACTCTCATGAAGGAAGACCAGCGGAGCTGTACTCGATACACTGTGTGCTTCGTCGTCGTCGTCCGTTTTTTTCACTGTTTCCTACGATGAATTCCCACCGACGCGCCCAACTATCCATTCTTCTATAATAGCTGGAAAGGTTGTCGCCATCTATGAGCGACGGCGGAAACTATACTGGTTGTGTGCTTGCTGCCGTCGCTTATAGATGGCGGTAGCTGTCCAGGCAGGATTGTGTCGACATACCGGACATGATCCTGGGGAACCTGGCCCTTAACAGCTCCGCTGTAAGAAAAAAAAATCCTTTTTGTTGTTGCGATGCTGCCACTAGCTTACTGATATGGTACCACGGTGGTAGCGACGCACAAGGCACAAAGTGCGGGAGAGCTCTCGGCCGTCGGGAGAAGCGAGCAATGGCAACCCCTTCCCTTCTAGCCCACCGTACTGCTGCCTTCCTTTGCAACTTGCGAGCGAGGTAACGGGAGTCAGACTACTGCTGCTGCCATCTGCGAGGGCTTCGGAAACTCACGGGGTGGCGTAGCTTTGAACAGGCCTCGGTGGCACGGGAGGGGCCGGTCCCGGAGCCGTCGAGGGGCCAGGCAGCGAGCCGCCGAGCACACCGGGGCTATCGTCCCTGCAGACCAAAAGTGTTTGGGGGGGGGGGACCAAGCAGCATCATTCACCCGTGTTCGAGAACGCTATAATTCCGCTCCACTTTGAGCCCGACCGCAGCCGATGCTACGACTCGACGGAGTCAATCGAGCGGAACCAGAAGTTCGTCGTCACGGCGCTTGTCTTTGTGGGTCTGCGACTGCCAGCTAAACCGGTCGCGCTCGGCAAAAAGCGCCAAATCGTGGCGCGTTCACTGTGAATGATTGGTCGGCGGTACCAAGCCCCCGAAGGAGATGATCACCCTGACGATGTACTTTTGGTGCCGCTGGACCAACTCCGTCAGATCTTGTCGTTGGCTGCAGTCCGACCTAAAGTGAAACGGAGTATAGACAAAGCAAACTCGACCCCAGCCCCCAGCGACATGAAAGACCCATTTGGAGTACCATGAGGCTCGACAAAAGGAAGAAAACGCGGGACCATCTGTCGGGCAGTGCCGCATCACGATTGCTCTTTCACGCAGCTCGACGCCATCCACGAGGGCGATTAAAAAACTACCTGAGCTCCGCTTATCTTGCGACTTCTGTTGGCTGTCTTGACGGCACTTTGCCAACGAGGTTGCTGTCTCTCCCCTCACTGCTGTGTAGGTTTCAATGTGCTAAGTCAGTTCAGTTGTGAGTGAGGTGCAAGGAACTATAGCTGCATAATGTGTAAATGGCACAAATAAAAAATTCTTCTATTTTTTGGTGGCATGAGTGCGTGTTTTTAGTCGATACTTATCAAAATATTAGTGCAAAGTATGAAGTGGTTTGTTGCAAAAAAAAAGTGTGTTTCAATGGATGCAGAAGTTCAAGCGCAAGTGTCGGCCTTATAAAGGGAGCCGGAAGCTTGCCCACATCCATGGCTGATGATGACATCCGAGCGTGGGTGCAAGCTGATCCTGTCGGATAGACGAGCAGTAGTGGACGATGTGGCAAATCATTTCCAAATCAGTCGAGGCTTTGCCTATGCAATAGTTCACGACAAGCTTTAGTTTGGAAAGATTTTCATTAAAACAAACACTATGGCTAGAGTGTGGATAACTTCTTAACCACCCTCGTATGTTTTACTATAGCCAACCTGCAATGCTGTTTGGTTTGGCGCTATCTAGCGACTGAAGCAAGAAACATTGTATATGCCCGGGAGTGGCAGCTGCATTGTTCAAATGTGAGCTATTACTTTGGTGGCACCGCTTAGCCTAGTGTCTGAAGCAAGAAATGCTGGGTAGGTCAGCAAGCTGTGATTACATAACACAAAAGTGCGGCGGAAGCTACTGTCCTGGCGGGCCAATTGGAACGTGACCATGTATTGCTGGGGTGCGCTTTTACTCCGAAGTGTCAAGCTTTTCATTGCGTCATACGCAATGTATGACGCAATGAAGAGCCCGACACAAAAGCTCCAATATGTGTGCGTGGCACTCACATAGGTAGAGCTTATCGGAGCCGCCGGCATGCAAGGTGGGGCTTATCGTTCACCCCTTGCCAATTTACGATGGGAAGGTTTAACCATGAGCTCTCGCTCTGCTGGTGCCGCCTGGCTATTGCCAGCTGGCTATTCACTTTTTTTTCTGCGCTGTTTGTGGTTAAAGAGTCATGAAACGCTTTTCTAACTTTTTCCTGTTTAGTTTTCCTCCTTAACTCATAAATCGCGCATTCCACCAAAGCATTCAAGAAGACGGTAAGGGGGGAGTCCCCTCTTGCTCGGACTCTTGTTTGTGCACCCGGACACAGCCATTCTCCCCCTAAAAGATTAGCCCGTCGCTCAAAATTCAGACAAAAGTTGCTTTCCCCATCCCGTTCACCCTGAAGCTGACAGTGCTGTGGAAGCTACGTGCTCGTTGGGCCAGCCACACTTTTGCCGCGTGATCACGCTTTCTCGCTCCTACCCACGCGCAGAGATTGAGGTCAGGTGATGAACGGGAGGCGGCTGATTGGTCCGGCAAGCACGCAGCTGCCACCACAATGTCAGCTTAGGGGTGAAGGGAATAAGTGAGGTCCAGTGTCGTGTGAAGTGCATTTGGGCCCAGTGTCGCGCTGCAGGGACTGCGGATGTATCACAGTGAAAAGGCAGAGAGCTTACGAAGGGACGGAGGTACGAAATAGTCCACTGTGTTTTCATATTTTTGTACTGAAAGTCAGGCTTTTGACTTTCTACCTTTTTTTTTCTTCTGGCCCACTGAACATGTGCTATTAGTAAAATCCCAATATAAACTCATTTCATGGGCCCTTTAAATGGATGCTGAACCGAAAATCGAATTTCAGAAAACAAAGCAGAATCGATAGGCGGGGCACTACAAATCCCAAAACGTCACTCATGAAGCAGTATCTCCAACGGATCGTCATATTTTTGTAAAAGAAGAGCGCGCTCACACAAGGTCGAAAAGACCTCTGACCTCACGATTTTTATTTCGTCCTCTTTTCGCTTTGACTCCACGAGGATGCGGAGAGGAAAGGGAGCGAGGCTATTTCTCCTACTTCTCAACTCTTCTGCGATAAGATGACGTCAACATTCTCCCTCATTCGCTCCTTTCTTTTCCAGAAATACGGCCATCCGCCCGAGATATGGCTATATGAGTGATTTTTCGTGGCTTATGGCACCCTGTTCAACACTTTCGCAAGCTTATTTTGTGAAATACGAATTTCGGTTGAGCATCCCTCTCAAGCATACGATGCACCGACTAGCCCAGGCTCCTGCTCTTGTCATGGTATATTACTCGCCAAAAACTTTCTATGGTGTGCCAATCTCCGGCAGAACATACCTTAGCCGAGCGGCTCATTCGACAGTAAACACCGCGGACGGCGGTAAGTAGCTCTGCAGCGTGTGTGGCTAGATAGGCAGAAGTTAGCCCCAACTGGCATCTGGTGTCTCAGCCACTGATGAAAAAAATTTTGAGTGTGGTACCTCGGCTAGCCTGAGGTCTTTACTGAACACTACACAGTAACGATACACAACCGCGTATCGGTGCGATGCTCGTCCAGACCGAAACGGACAGGGGCGAGTTTTGAACCCAGGAAACAACCACCGATACCTTCCCCCCTGACAGTGGCCCCTTGTGCTGAAGTGGCACCAAAGAGATGTTCCATAATTATTTTACACGCAAGGCAGAATATGACATTTTCTTAAACCACCCGAGAGTAGGTGGAGAACCACTCTTTAAGTTGTTTACCAAGGAAGAGTTACCGAAATGGTAAACCTACACTAGCTCGTGAGTGCCATCAAGGCATTTGCAGCTCGTGGGTGCCAACGCGACTCGAAGCAGTTGCTGCGATTAAAATTTACCCTATCGCGTATGTGGGCGGCGAGATCGTAGTATGAGTCATGATATGAGCCACGTTTGGACAACATGCAAATTACTTATGAAAATAGAAAACGTCCAGCCTGGCGACTGCGATCTTTGGATACAGTGAAAAACGCAATTATCCCCGGAGTTTACAGTGGGCAACAGTACGCGAGGAAAAACTAAGATAAAGTATCTTAACATGTAGCAAAGGCCAAGAACCTAAACTCGCAGCTGCAGAAACTTGTAGCTGCACACTTGCAACGAAAGTATTGTGACAGCAGTGAAGGCCGCGCTCGTATCATTCTCTACGTGATCCCATCCAAAAAGTAAACGCAAGTCGATCGGCACCGTAACTACAAAATCCCTTTAAAGTTCCTTCAGTCCATTCTGTCCCTGGGACTCCAGAGGCTCAAACGAGAAGAAACGCGGAAACCTTCGACACTGTGCTTCAAGTACGAGTTTCCCCTTCGCTCGACTGGAAAAGCGAACTTCAGAAGACGATGACGACGCAAGAGGCTCAAGCAGGAAAATGGCTCACCATGAAGAGTTGTTAACAAGTCCGCTGGTCCCGCACTGCTGGCCAGCGACCTGATTTTCCCAGGGCTTTGGCGGCGATGCCATTGCGGGCCCCGGCTGTGCGTCTAAGCGCTGCGCTAACACATCTCAATCCCGATTACGTTAGCGAAGCATGCTACACAGTTAAGGGCCGGTATCATTAGCGCATCAGCAGGAAGATCACACCGACCCGATCCAACGACAGCAACGAAACCAGCGCAACTTGCGTAGCGTGTAGCTCTGTAGCTCGTGTAGCTGGCGTGTAGCGCTAATGAAGGAACGGAAGTGCGTTCGCTTCAATAGAATAATATACGGAAGTGACGTAATGCATTGCAAAACGCATAGTGTCATTACTGTAGAGTTATTACAGCAGGACGCTGAAAATTTAGAGCTGTCTCTTAAAAGTTAGTTAATTTCACTCCAGAGTTCATATTTTCATGAGCCGTAAAAACCGCGAAAATTTCACCTGCACTCCTGCGGGCCCTGCGGGGTTGCTGCTCCGGTCTGGGATACCTCGGATCTACAAGCCGTAGTCAACGTTGGCCATCTTGCACGGTAGGATTGTTTCGGTTTCGTTTATTGATTTCGTTAGGAAATAACGATAAAATACAGTTATATGCTAATAGTGGATTTTGAGTTCGAAGCGAATAGTTGTTATGGCCGAATATTCTCGAATCAAATATTGAATAATTTCTTCAAGCCTTTCACTAATGTCGCACCATGAACATGAGGGTCCCGGTCAAAAGACATTCCCCAAATTTGGAAGGGACCGATACAAATAAGTATCTCGCTGACGAGCTATGTTGAATAGCTCGTCAGCGATTAAAACAACTACTCTGTAGCCACTGGACTTTTACAGCAATGTAGATATCAACATCCACAAAGTTTCTATTTTTTTTTATTTTTAATACGAGGCGCAGTGCACCGTGTTCGGTAAGAAGCGCACTCAACGGGCTTAACCCGCCACGATCACCACTTTGATAAATACGAATATCCATTAGTAAGACATATTCATATTATTTGGCAAGGGTGAGATAACTTATAAAACAATGATCATATCATCTCCTTGACTAACAGTGAAGGTGCAATGAAAGGGAAAGCACACGGCAAGTATGCGAGTTAGAATTCGAGGAAATAAATTGCTTCATTGTGCATGCTGCGATTTTCTACAAAGATAAAGCCAGATGGAAAAATACTGCATTAAAATGATCTCGAAGGGGGGAGGGGGGTAATAGAAAATGAAATTACCTGGAGGAGAGCCAGTTATTGGTGTTCCGTCATCAGCCCCAAACAATGTTCAGCAAAATAATAAAAAAAAAAAAAAAAAATTCAAGAGCAATTGGCTAGAGAAAGTTATGGTACACAAAACATAATATTAGGAACACGTGTTCATCACCTACACTCAGCATGCAGTATTTTGTGCTATGTTGTCAAAGCCAGCACAGCTTGCACAGTTCTGTAGAACCTTGCTGCTGCAAGAGCACGCAACTTCATCTTGCATCTCATTTGCACTCACTCTTGTGCGAGGGAGACGTGTTGGAGCAGGCTACGCTAGCCATGACAATGTAGCACAAAATAGTTGATGCCAAGTAAGATTATACCTTCAATTGGGGTGCACAGCCCAAAGCACAGCTAAAGCTTCGCTCAATGTCCTCGAAAACAACCGTCCCAGACATCAATAACTTTTACGACACAAAACGCGCAAAAAAGAATTCACTTTATTTTTTTCAGTTAAGATCCACTCTCAGCATGCTTTATTTTTACACTGCCGACAGAAAACTAGAAGGAATGCTTCGTATCTCCCCGAAGGGTGAACATACAGTGGCATATCTTCGCTGCAAAAATCACTCTACATGTCCACAAATACACAATCATGAAAAGAGTGCATGCCAACACACCAATACGTACCATACATGAGCTGCATTTACATGGATGCGAGCGTGGCGCGTCGAATAGAAGGGAAATGATCACAACTGGGTAGTATGTGAAGGAAGAGGGGGAACTAAGTGTGCCCAATCGGCCCCCCTTCGATTTGACACGCTACAGTTGCACCCGTGTAAATGCAGACAACTTTGTGGCATCTCTCTGAAGCTGCATCTACTATATCTGTTTCTTGAAGATAGATTAGGGTCACAAGACTATTCGTTTCTAGATTCACCAGAAATCACGAATAGCTTGAATGCTAGGTTTCCGTCGCAGAAAAATAAATAATTGGCGCTCCTGCGCCGATCTGAAAAAAAGAAAAAAAAAACACGTCCATGGTACACGAAAGGATCCTGGCACGATAAACTGGTGTTTCGCAGCGGAAGGATGCTCGGTAGCAGCTTGGAAGAGCAAAGAGAAAGAAACTATATTTAGAAAACAAAAGGCAGTGAATAACGTAAAGCAGGAGCACTAGGCAATTAAGTGCTACTCCTTTTAAAATATTCTCTCACAAAGTACTTTACAACTACGCCCATTATCTCAACGACAGATTCAAACCAAGTTTTTCAATTTGGGTAGTTCATTAGGGGGCCGCTCCAGTAAAAATGAAATTGCCAGTTCCCATGAAAGGAATCGGCGAAGAATCTATCCCAAGCCGACAATACTGAAATGACGTTATCCATTGCACCGAGAGTTCTAACTATACTCGGACAAAGGGTACGAGAAATTTTCGTTCCTTCGAGACAAGCATTGGCCAACGGTTCTCGAAACTGTGGTCCACAGACCCACAGGGGCCCTAGAGAGCGTTCATGTAAGTCCGCACTAAACACAAAAAAAAAAAAAAAAACTTTTTTTTTTTTTTACGGCATTGCGCAAGACTTTTAATGCAGAACGTATTGGGGGTCCTCGAGAAGCCCCCTAGTGGGTCAAGAGGTCCATGATGACCGCAAATCTGAGAACCTCTGCTCTAGGCGGACGTGACTAATGACAATCCGTATTTGACATGCCTTCCTTGCAATCGCTTCCTTTAGAAGATGCTGAGATGAAATATTCTGCGAGAGACCCTGTTCTGTTTACGTGAAAGGTTCCGAGGCTCGGTGAAAAGAAACGTGCGGTGGATTTTGAGATGGAGCGACCGTTGGAGACACTACTCGACAAAGCAGCGAATAACGGTTCGGCACTATTCGGAGAGAAATACATCATCTCCAGATTTATCTGCATCGTACTGCAACGTTTAAAGGTGTAGTCCGCTTGAGCTTCGCGTGTCAAGGTTCCCACCCCCTGGCGACGCAGACTGATGGGTAGGGCCCAGATTTCCCAACTATACACGTTTTCCCCATAATCTCAGGCTCCCACCACATTCCGAACACATGCGGCAAACCGAAGATCCAAAACACCACGACACGTAGATCTTACGAATGAGTCTTTGTACCTTGAACTGCACGGCGCTATGGCGACGCGCTGGTAGTATGGAGTTTGGTTAAGAGAACGCCAATTGAACTAGAAAATAGGAGAGGTTGATGTCTTCGATGGAGTGCTGCCGCGCCCTTTCGGGAGCCGAGGCGGCGAAGACGCACTGTCCGAACGCTGGCGACGACTTCTGCACTGGCATCTCGCAAGTGGTTTGAAGTAGAAATGCACGCAACCGTCCGCCGGGCCAACCACCAACACCGTTTCGTAGCAGCCATTGAACTGGGCATGCACGCTGCAGCCTTCTCCCAATGTTGACTCCAATCGTGAAGGAAAATCGTGCCGAGTCACCGTCAAGCCCGTTCCATCTCTCATTTCAAGCTGCAGAGAGAGAGAGAAATCGGGGAAGAGAAAAAAAAAAAAGAAAACATGTACCAGCAAAAACGTTGCAGAGATAACAACTCAAGCCGAACTTTTGACCTCAAGCTTGCGAACAACTATCGCGAAATCCCGTACGAAAGCCGTCCCCCAAGACATCGCTAATCCCGCTTTTTGGGCTGAATATCCATAACATGAAAATTCCGAAACACTGCTCACCCCGTCGTTCCCGTCGGATACTGCGCGATGTCGGACGGGAGTCACATCAACCGCGCGATCTGCGGTACCGGCACATGTGACAAGCGAGTTTGTAGTGGGGTCCCCAAGTTTACTTTCATAGTGGGTTCCCCAAGTTTACCTCGCCGTGAGACACGGATCTGCTACGTCCGATACACAAGGTATCCATTCCCGCCAAATGCAAGTCCAGAGCAGACTCCCGCGTTTCTTTTTTGCCCGCGATCTGCGCAAGCGATACCGGCTCTAGTGGTATGCGAGTTTGTGGCAGTTTCCCGCGTGTTTGACGGGCGGTGAAACACTATACTTCGTTCCAGCTTCGGTCCGAGCGCAGTTGATGTTATGAGCCGAAGGGCCAATCAAACAGCGAAAGAGGCACAACGTCATGGCCTGCTCTCTGCAGTTGATAGGACCAGCTGGTATTCGCCGTCTCTCTGTGCGTGCTCCTCCGCCGGCTAGTCTTATCAAGCGCAGAGAGCACGCCATGAAGCTGCGCTTTTTGCGGTGTTTGATTGGCCCTTCGGCTCATAACATCGGCCGCGCTCGGACCGAAGCTGAAACGAAGTATAGTCTTTTGCATCCACGATCCGCGGCGTCCGTCCCCATGATGAAGAGTTCCTTGAGAATTTTCGCGTGTTCGTCGCACCGTGAAACGCAAATTCGTTGCATCTGCGATATCTCTTTCAACTTTTAATACCATTTATCTCGACGTTTCGGGCAGGCGATCTTACGAGATTTTACAATACAGTCGCTGACAGGACGAGAATGATGGGGCGTCTTTCACACATGTCTGTCCTCCAGCACACGGTCGTTGGCTTTCGTCCCGTGAGACGTGCGAGGCCCATGAGACACGTCTCATGAGACGTATGAGGCTCATCAGATGCCGAAGCGTCTCGGAGGTAGCAAGCTCACATGGAGGCGAGACGACCAAAGCACCTCATTGCCATTTCGTTCCGGTCGGCAACCGTCCAGATTCAACATAATATGCGTTGACGGTGAGTGAATGACGAAAATGCGGGCAAGTGTGACACGGCACTTTGAAGCCGGCAAAACAAAAAATGAAAGCCGTTTACAGCTCCCTGTAACGCCGAATTAGAGCGCAGCTCTTGAGGAGGAGGAGGGAAGGGTACTGAGGGGAGGGTATACCCCTTTTCCCTCCTCTTCATCCTGCCTGCTACTCCTTCCTCTGAGCGGCGTCGCCGTTACCTCACAAGGGTCAAGTGACCTCACGCCACAGGGGTCACGTGATGACGTCATCAGTGACGTCATTGTGATGATGTCATCACCAGTGCCATTGATAACGTCATCAGGTCATCAATGATGTCACTGATGACATCATCATCACTGATGACGTCATCAGTGATTTCACCTGTCCCATAATGCACCGCGCAATTACGCCGACAGCGACGCCGCTCAAGCCAGAAACGGGCACCTAATGGCTGCACTCTAAAAACTGTACGCGGCAGGCAAAAGCAATCTAGCTTCACCTTACTTGAAACCGCAAATTTCACTGTACGTAAATTTCATAAGACACGTGTGATCACTTGGGAGCTTCCTCAAAAGTCCACAGCACAGCGGCCAACGTTTCGCCGAAAAATATTAGCTCTTTTGGGGGCATGAAACCAATCGCGTCGTACCCCTTCTAAATATGAATAAAACGTATCCAACAACACAACTCTTTTGGGGGCACGTCGATCAACACGCTGGCCTTTCCTCTAACTTTCTTAAAAGATTTTCTCGCTGTGTTCAGTGGTGAAATGCTTCCCGCTAAATTAGGGGAGGGGGGGAGGGGAAGGGGAGAGGGGGATTGAATCTGCATAATCGTACAACAATTCAGGCCCTCCCACTAAATTTGGCCACTATTGAGCTGCGTTGGATAAACATGCATGATCTGAGGGCTCAGTGGCCCCATACAACAACACGCGGCCCTGACGTCATGCCGCCGCAGCTACTGCTAGGGCGCATGCGAAGATGCTTCAGTTCATGCAACTCCAGTTCCTACGTACGCGCAGTGCCCCCCACCTCGTGTGCGCTTGTTCGTAAACAGTGCGTAGGTCTACGGTCGGTGACAGGTTCAAGGTCCCGGTAGATGCTATGCATCGAGCATGAGCGTTCCGTCTTTCACAACACTTAGCTGAACGTGCAGGCAAGGCCCGGTGGCAGGCAATGAGTGTGTGCTGGAGGCAGAACATCTACCAGGCTCTCAAAGGGGCACTGAGAAGATATTTATGCTCGCCAAGGTTTTTATTTGTACATGAAATATGAGAGCCCAACTACCCAGAACACAATTTGCGGCTCGAAATTCGCTTTCTCTCCGCCCGAAAACCGTCGATCGAGAACTGGTTGGTTTGAGTCATGCTCACTCTTCTCCGTGGTCACGTGCCATTTTCTATGGCTCAGACACAACCACCAAAGGTAATTAAATCCGTGGATCATTGAAGGCACACACTCAATACTAGAAAAGGTAAAAAAATATTATATAATTTTTTTATGGCTTTTAAAAAGTAGCAAACCCACCAATTGAAAAGAAAAAAAAAAATAGCACAGCCACGTGATTTTTGGTATCTTTCTCCTCCTCTATATCTCTTCTTCCCCCCCAGTTCAGTTTCGGTTTCGGTTTCGAGCAGTTGCGTTTTTTTTACTTTATTAAACATATAAGTGACACTGTAGCAAAATATTGATTGGGTAGTCTTCCGACACCATAATAGATCGCCGGGCAAAAAATTTAAAAACATTTTTGGGGGTGTCGTGTCCCTTTGGAGGAGCTCCGACGAAATCTCAACAGTCACTGATTTGCCTCAAAACTGGTTCAACAGATTAACAGACACATCTAAACTAGTAACAAAAAGTTAAAAGTCGCAACAATATTTGGTTTGTCGCGGGTATCACGAAAATGCATTTAGTTTTGGTCGCTCAAAAGATCCGCCGGAGCTCCCCTTTAACTTGCCGCCGACCTTAGCGTTCTTACTTTTAGAACGTTGGCTGGGTGGCACAAGCCTCTGCCCAATCCCAAGGGTTCGGCCGCACGCCTCCGTCGCGCCTCGGCACACTCCAAGGGAGGGGAGAAACAGCACGCACCCTTCGCGCCCCGCTTCACCTGGCCTCCCCGTGCCCGTCCGAGTGCCCGTCTGTGCTGGAGGAGCTGTGGGCGTCCGAGAGCCGCTTGGGCTGGAACTCTGTGATGATGACTGTCACGTTGTTGACCGTCACGGCCCGCTGCTGCCCCGTCGACCGGTCCACGTTCTTCAGCCGGGGCCGGGCCTTGGGGCGGCTCCCGCCGCGGCAGCCCGAGCCGGGGCGGCCCCCCCGGCTGGGCGCCAGCTGCTGGGCCACCAGCTGGGGGTTGATGCGAGGTTTCCTGGCGGCCGGAGAGGGGTCGCAAGGTTTGAGGGGCTCGTGCGACGTCCCCGAGGACGGCCCACGGCCGCGAGGATGAGACGGGGTGTAGAAGAGGGATGGGCCAACTCTCGATGATACCCCAAGGGTGGCCCACCCCCACGAAGGTAGAATGGGGTGCAGAATGGGGGTGCGCAAACTTTAGGCGACATCCCCAAAGATGGCCGATTCCCATAAAGGTAAAATTGGGTGCAAAAGGGTAATGGGCCCACTTTAAGTGTACACTCTAAAAAAGGTCCAGTCCCCCTAAAGAGAGATAGGGTGTAATTCGAAGGGCATGGGGGAGAACTTTAATTAACATTTCCAAAATAGTTTTTTGTTGCATTTTAGGCAGAGTCGCAAAAGGAGGTGCCAGGGCTGTCATTTCTCAAGATGCCAAGCAACACCCGGGACCATAAAAAGTGACTGAGGCCCATTTTGAGGAAAGACTGCATAGAGAATTCTACCTCCTGCTACAGGAGTATGCAGTAAGCACCTTTTTGCAACGGATATCAAAACAGGCCTGTTTAGACACGACATCCTGAATGTCCACTTGAGTGAAGCCTCGGCAAAGCCCAGCTTAGTTCAGGTCTCCCTGTCTTTAAAAACTAGATGACCCCATGTACCCTTTCACGGCCTCTTTTGGTGCTGCTTGACTGGCTGACCTGCATAGAGCTCTTTTGAGCACCTCAAGGTAGTGATGGGCGCCTGACGACAGGCACAACATGGCATTACGAAAGATGAGCCACGGGTACAGCTAATACCTTTCACACTGCTTGGAGGACTTCGTAGCGGTTGTAACTCCGGATGACCCTGGCAGTTGCAATTCCTCTTCCCCTTTTCTTCTTCGCCCAATGCTTGGCTTCAGCAATAAAAACTTTAAGTGTTCGCTGTTTCGACATTGTGAAATTTTATACTAGCTTGTCCATCCGGCTATACTTCGTGTTGGGCGACACCTACCGTCCTCTACACGTATTCACTATTGGAAACCACATATGTTGCTGCTAACCCATTATGAAATATGCGTTCCGAAAGTATACATGCCTTGCACCTATGTCACATGATGACGTCGAACACCAGTATCCACCATGCTGGTGGTTGACTCGACGGCCCTTCGCGGCGAGAGCAATGGTAAACTGTGCCGCGCTCAGCTGTAGTAATTACTATGTATCCTGACGATCGCCTGATCGTTTCCACAGCATGCCTTGCAAAACAAAGTAGCCGTCAAGTTAGAGAAAGTATGAGCGGCAGGAAAGGGATGTGGCCATGAATTACCGAGTATGCGGGATGCATATCATAGAGGCGAGTGACGGCACTTATCTACCGTTGTTTTTATGTTCGTGCACTCCTTTCCGTTGGCTTTTGCCCAATCGTCGTGCTTTGCCTTTCGTTACATCACGCCGTTCCCACGCTTCGAGCGCACCTTCGGGGCTCTCGGCCGAGCACAGGCAAGTGTCGCGCAGCGAGCCCGGCTGACAGCGATCGGTCGGTGACGGCCCCCAAGTGCAAGCTCGCCGAGACACCGCCGCTGGGGCATCGGTTTGTGCCGTCCGCAAGATAGTAACCTTTGCAAGGAGCGAGCGAAAGCATGCAGGTGAGCCGGTTATTAAACATCATAATATAAACCCTGAGACAATGAGAGTTGTCTTGTCCGTTATTTGATTTATCCTTGTCTCAGGGTTTAGATTATGACGGTAACCTTGCGTTGTTTACCAGCATTTTGCAAAATCTTAACAATTTTCCTACAAGCGACTCCTAGAGCCGTTCGTCAAATTTTAAAGCGCGCATTTTGTCCACACGACAGACTTTTGCGTTAAAACGTAGTCTGCAGCATATCTAAGCTTTCTGCTCGTAGCGCTATCGCACCAATGCCGAAAAATTCCGCACATACTGGCTAAACGACATCATTGTAAGCTCGGCACTTTTTTCCAGGTACAAATGTAATACAACTAGGTACCTTTGTTGAAAATATGGCGCATATCAGCAGATGCTCGGGCAGTTAGCAGCATTCTACGCCTTGGTAAGTGCATCCGTGCAGTGTGAAGTCAGCCACCAGTATGGTGCCTAGCGTGACGTCACTTGCAAGGCATGCACTGGTATCACTTGAGTTACAGTAGTAGCAGTGCACAACGGACAACCATCATCGTTACTTTATGAGGAAGTGGCGCCCCTGGCGACGATTATGTAAAACAGTCGCAACGATGCCAAATCATGGGGAAGCCAGAAATCGAGCAGGCATTGTCAGTAGAAAAAAGGCTATGGTAGAAACAAACACTTTGAAATCTGCAACAAAAGCGTAAGAAGCACCCCAACGAAGAATCAGGGCATTTCCACGGCACCTTCGGTGGCAAAAGAAAACAAGGAGTAATCTAATTAATGAATGAATGGATACATGGATGCAAACAGCTGAGCATCTTGAATTGGGTGGCTAGGCGGCTTGTGCCACCTGGCCGGTGGTCTGAACAAGCTCACCTGGTGGAGGTACCCTTGCGCACGTCGCACATGAGACACTTGAACGCCTCAGCAGTGTTGCGGTACGTGCACACGCTGCAGTCCCACACATTGTCTTCCTTGGGCTGCCGTTTAGGACGCCTGTCAAGACATACGAGAAACAGAGGAATCAACCAATCATGGTACATCAATTTTGACCATACAGAAGAAGAGCAAAGAAAACTGCTCTGACAAGAGACAGAAATGTAAGAAAAAGAAAAGAAAAGACGTGGCTCTCATTTCAGCTGCTTTAATGCTAAGAAAGGATGAGTGAATGAGCTAGTTGACAATGCTTGAATATGTTGGTCCTGAACAACGAAGGATTATTAGTGGATTATTCTGGCAACTCCGATAATGATACCCAATATTGCGCCGCTGCCTTTGCGCGTACATCATATCGTTATCGAGTGTAGCTACCAGAGGCATAGAAACAACCTACTTAAATTTTGTTGTTAGCAAGGAAGTTTAGTTCCTCAAGCTAATTTGATGTCTAGAAAGGGTGGCAGTGAATGAACTGTCCTTTACTTTAATTGAATGACAAGTATGAAACTTTCTTACTCTCTACTTGGTAAAAGCGCCATTCAAATCTTTTTTTTTTTTGGTCGAGGTTAATTATTATAATGAACTACAGTAAAATCCCGAGGAAGCACCCATTGAAAATTTTAAGATAAACGTGCAAAAATGGGAGATGGGTGCTTTTAAGATCAAAAATATGTAAAGATATCTCTCTTGTGTAGTTTTCAAATGTTACAAGATTGAGGCGTGGGCACATATTGTAGTATGGGCAGGTGCTCGGTATTTTATGGCATACTTTTTTATCCCAAAATAATTGAGGGTATGGAAACAACGATCAGCTAGCTCTTTATGATCCCAAGCTTTTGGCGAGAATTCACTGCAACCTGAGCATGCAAGGCCTTAATGGTTGTACATAGCATTGGAATGAAATGGAACAATGACAGGCTATACAGGACAAAGTGCACCAGCTCTTATTTCAGAAAGCAACTTTGCTTTTGAAAATAGAAATGCAGCTGTTAGTCGGCAATCTCCGTGTGCACTTCATCCTCTTGTCTTTTAACATTTTTATTAATTTTTTTGCATAATTTTTTAAGCAGTGTTGCAGTATGTGCACACACTGCAGTTGCCTTCCTTGGGCTGCTGTTTGGGGCACCTTTCAAAAAGGCATACCCGCCTTTCTTTTCACTTCGCAAAAAGTCTGATGCGTGAGCAAACAATGGTTGTCTATACTACGTTCCTTCTAAGCTGAGACTGCGGTGGGAGCTACACTCTCTCCCAAAACCAATCAGCCGCCTCCCTTTCATCATGTGACCCAGCCCTCCGCACGAGGAAGTGAGCAAGAGCGTGATCATGTGGCGAAGGATCAACGTATGATTGGTCCAATGTACTCGTAGCTTCCACCAATTTGTCGACGTTTAGCGCACTCGAAGAACTGTCTTCGAGTGCGCTAAACATCGACAAACATGAACAACTAACTCGCCCAATCTCAAGTTCCACCACAGTCTCAGCTTAGGGGTGAATGGGGTATAGGTGGTAAGATACACTATTTTTTTATGCGTACATAATGATAACTAAAAGCATCTTGGCCGTGTGTGTATGGAAGATATCAGGCAAAAACTTCACAAACTCTTAATGAACAAGATTTTAAAGCGTACTTGGAATGCACAGTTTTCGCCAAATTGGGAGATTGTAAAGCTTGTGGGGACCACAGGAGCAGAAAAATGCCGCATCCGGATGTTTGAGCTCATATTGTCCGCGGGGTTCGAGTCATTTATGGTCTAAACGAAGCAAGCGCTTGAATCAGTTTCTCGACCAAAACATGACCGCATCTTCTGTCATGGAAATCCTAGGTAAACTAACTGATCGCATTACATGTGCGAGGCAAGCGCTTGAAAGCTCAGCTTCAGCGCTCCGTTGAACATTGCCAGAGCGCAAGTCAATTTTATTTACGCGAAAATGGAGCCGCTGATTTCCACAGAAGTTCGCTATCTCTAGCTTGACACAATTGCCCGCGCCAGGAGACTGCACAAGACAATCGTGAAACGTAAGTACTGCAGCGAAGTCAAACACTGTGCAAGAAAACAAGTTGAGGAAATACACGGCGCAAGTGACGGAGAACCGACGCTAAGCTCAAGCTTGCGGTCGTCCGTCCTTGAAACTATTGGCCGAATGAGGCTGTGGATAGTTCGGTTAGAAGAATAAAGGAGCTGGATCAAACTCACCGACTCGGACTCTTCTTAGAATCCATTCCACTAAGGGATATTTACAGTTCCGTGCCCGCTCTAGGGCGAAGCTGCTTGTTTGAGGTAGCTAGAGGAGTCGCAGCGTAGACAGAATACGTCCGTGACCGAGGGCTCCATTGCGGCCGCCGCACACGTCAAAGGTTTGCGATGAACTAAGGGCTTTGTTACAGTTGGCTGCAACGCAGACCATGAGCGGTTGGGGTAGTCGCTGTTACATCGCAGTGCTTCAATGCTCAGCCAGCTCAGCTACAGCTTCGCGTGGCGTCATAAAGGATGGCTCAAAATGGCTGCTGAGTGGGAAAAGTCACGTGACCTTGTTTTGATGACGGACGGGCGAATATATTTCGAAATTCTAGCAATCGAATCCCGAAGATGAAAAAGAGAAGTTCGGACAGAGCTTCGTGACGGGTGGAAACGGTGGGAAGCGTGGGAACGTAGGGGTCGGCTAAAAGCTGAAATCTTGCTCTCATGATTGATTTGAAAACAAAAAAATAAGAGATATATCTGCCATTATTGGAGCAAATTATGCGTCTCAGCAGTAACAGGCGGTGGGCGATTTGCATTTCGAACTTTGAGGTTCGCTAGAGCAGTAGACTCGGCTGGTTTGTCTTCTGGTTTCGTTTTCGGACTGTGAATTTTTCATCTCGTATTACCAGTTTGTACCAATATATTTTTATCGAATTTTTTTTTTTATTTTAGCTGTTCGTTCAATTTTTTAAACATTTTCTGGAACGGAGCACTAACGCGGTAGCATACCGTTAGCAACCGTTACAAACTGAGTACTGAATAGCCAACAAAATCCACCTATCCATCCTTCATTTTTGCGTGGCCTCGGTAGCCTCGGCAGCCTCGGTGCCTCGGCTGTGAAATTGTGATTGTAAACTTGTGAAAGGCGGTATGGTAAGTACCTCATGCCCTAATGTGAATCTTTTAAGTTATGTCTTAATGTGGTACATATAACCCCTGAAACGTCGTCGAACACCACGAAAAGTTTTGAGAGAATTTAGAAACAGCCACGACCCCTGGACGGCGACGTCCGTATTGTCCGTATGCTCAGTCAGCTCAGCACGGGGAGTCTGCTGAAGACTGGACGCACAACTACGGGTGCGTACTCGTGTATTTGCATTAATTAATTGTTCGTCCCTTAGCTTGTGCAGTTAAAGCCATATCTCACAAATTCGGTTGTAATGCGGTAAGTGCAGTTTGCACGCAAAGCGTCGCGCAGTGCCGGGTAGTGCTTATTGCTTTTGTGGAATATCACTTCTATGGTATGAAATTGATATGGCAAAGCAAACGCTTCCATCAGAAATACCACCATAATGGTAGCCACCGGAGTGATGTCAGCGCAATCTTCCTGTACGCTCATATGCTACTGGTTAAGTTGGGCTTCTGTGCAATACACACTTGTTGCGCAGTGAAGCCTACCCGATGTGGATGTGTGGGTCTTTTGTTTCATCAATTTCACACAGTTCAAACACCAGTTTGTGGTGCTTCTGGCTGAAGTTGCAACAGCCCTGAGGGCCTCCTGTATTCGACCTTCTTATTGATCCTTCAACAACTTCGTTGTGTTCAGCAATTCACCATTCTTCACCGAACAGAAAGTTGAAAAGCAACGTCTAATTCTTCCCTGTCCCAAATTGCAAAAAATAATAAGCTCAAAAGCAAGAAAGTAGCTTCACGAGCTCTTTAACTCACACAAAACAACAGTCGCTTCTCCAATCCCACGTGCTGTAACTCGGAAAAGTTCTCAAAATTAATGTTGGCATTCAAATATTGCTTTCTCATACTTCTTTCCGATGTGCTTAGCATAGTTAACAGTACATCGCCTGGTTAGCCTGTCAACATTTATGGTCTCGAGAATTTTGGAATACTCCATCTACCCTGCTGATTTGGTAGTTTCACAAACTGTCAGGTTGAATGAAGTTCAAACTGCTACAAGTAACCTTTTCTCACCAACCCTACTCCCTCGTCCCGTCAATTAACCACCCCTGGGAAACATTTTTACTTTGACTATTGTTTCTATCTTTTGCTTCTTGTAGCTTGAGATGTTTGTAGTTTCAAAGCATCCAGATAATAAGCTCATGAAATCCGGAGACACATGGGCGTTCATCTTGATGCATTGACTGTGTAAAGCTAAATAGTATATCATAAGTAGGGTGTGTACTTTCCGGTGTTTATTTGTGAGAAAAATCGGCGGATGTTTTTCGGTGTTTATTTATTTTCGAAACACCGGTGTATTTCGGTGGAACGTCTCACGACGAGGCTAAAATCGGTGAATATCGGTGAAAAAAAAAAGCGATTGATCACAGGCAGAGAGTTCCAATTTTATTCACATAGTTCATACACTTCTTCTTTAGGAAGCAACTATTTCTCACACTTGGTTGTTATAGTAGATGCAAGCATACTTTCATGCTTGCATCTACACGCAAGGAACGTGCTTTCGTCATGGCAGCACGTTCCTTGCGGTTTGCAACCCGCAACTATGAAAACACACGGTCCTGTACGACACGGACGTTGGCAGTGTCTTCCAGGAACCACAGCAACCTCTGAATACATTGCTTGCACCAACATCACTTGGCCAGACACAGTGAGGGAAAGGCACGTGAGAGCCTACCCTCCACTGTGTTAATTTTTCCACAAAAGGGGGCCATGGGAGACACAATAGGGGAAAGGCGTATGAGAGCTTAGCTTCATCTGCATTCACTAGACGCTTTTGACCCCCAGAAAGGAGGACGGACTGACGCCACCTGCAAGCCATGTATAGACACTGGAAGAATGCAGGATCCACGAGATAACACATTTGACGAACCTCTACGGGGAAAGGGTTTCGCTAGGTTGGAAACTAGCAACGACCGGTGTTTTTCCGTTTTAACCAGAGCGAAAATATCTAACCACCGGTGTTTTTCGGTTTTAACCGATTTTATATTTTTGTCATTGACGGATGTTTATCGGTGTTTTTCGGTTAAAACCGGAAAATGCACACCCTAATCATAAGTGCACGTTTATACAGAATGCTAGCTGTTAACTGAGAAATGTATGTTAGTTTATCTGTGTGAAGGAAAGTTATGCTCTTTCTGTGTTATGCCAAATCATTCTTCATTTTAGTGCTTTACATGTGTGGTCCACGTGTTTAGGTTAAGTGAGAATGTTGGCTTGACCTGTGTAGAATGTCGATGAGAAAAGTTATGCTCAGGTGTCGCCGACAACTTCAAGTAGTTTGCGCTGCCACATTTAATGATAGTTGATGAGAAATACATTCAACACATAGATTTTACTGACAATGAAAGTTATGCAAAACTTATTCACGGTAATACATGTTTATGAGAAAATTGACTTCTGTTGCCTTAACAAAATAAAAAGAATTACTCGCGGGAGGATGCTGCAGCAAAAGCTTTTTCTTCACAGACTGTTGCAAAAAAACTTCAACCGAGCCTTATTATGGACAAAAGCTCTCCCAACCCACCCTTTTAGATGATTTCATGGTGGTAATCAAGAAGACATGCTGCAAAGACACTGAAGAAAAAAAAAACATCAACAAATAAGAAAAGAAAAAAAAGTGCTCCGATGTGCCTCGACTGGGACCTCCAACTTAAAATGTCGAAATAAATCCCTTTAAAACTGCCAAAATGCTGTCTGTGATTTGTCTTTTTGCATGTAGCCCCTTTGATTGCAACACTAATCATCTCTCTAATGAAATATAGAGCTCAGGCTACCATAAACAATGGTGTAGCCTTTGCAGGCTGAATATTATACAAAATTGGCATAGCTAACATTTTTTTCAATATTTTGCGAGAATAGACTTTTTACAAAACCCCATCAAGCACATGGGTGGACATCATATAATCACCTTGAACACTGCTTCCAGCATGAAGCGTAAGATTGGCCCCTAGTGGACTACTGGAGCAGTAGCAGGAGAACTCCGCTCAACTCCAAAGATTTCGGGATAATGAGTGATTTTGCATTAAAAAAATGAAAGACATTTACAACTCCCTGTAACACCGAATTACAGCGCAGCTCTTGAGGAGGAGGAGGGGAAAGTACGGAGAGGAGGCTATGTCCTTCCTCCTCTCCTGCTCGTCCCCTTTTAGGGGAAAAGTTTCCGCTAAATTTAGCGGAAAAAGTTCCCCGCTATATTTAGCAGGGAAATTTTTCCGCTAGATTTAACGGGGAATTTTTCCGCTAAATTTGGCGGGGAAAATTTTCCGCTAGATCTTGTGGGGAATTTTTTTCCGCTAGCGAGGTAAATTTTTTCGCAGCACGGAAAATTTTTTGCTAGATTTAGCGGGAAAACTTTTCCACTAAATTTAGCAGGGAAATTTTTCCGCTAAATCTGGCGGGGAAAGTTTTCCACTAAATTTGGCGGGTAATTTTTTCCGCAGCAGGGAATGTTTTTCTGCTAAATTTAGCGGGGACATTTTTTTGCTAAATTTAGCGGGGAAAATTTTCTGCTAGACTTATGGGGAAAATATTTTCCACTAAATTTAGCCGGGAAATTTTTCCGCTAAATTTAGCCAGGAAATTTTTTTGCTAGATCTAGCAAGAAATGTTTTCCACTAAATTTAGAGGGGAAATTTTTCCGCTAAATTTAGTGGGGAAATTTACCCATCATGCACCGTGCGATTACGCCGACGCCACTCAAGCCAGAAACGGGCGCCTAAGAGCTGCGCTCTAAAAGCCCTAGTAAAAGTCACTACATCATTTGCTTCGTGACAAATGCAATATATATTTTTTAATTTAATTTTAAACAGAAGCAGAAATTGAAACCGAAAGTTCGGCTTCATCCGGCAACATGGGCCTTGCGCTGCCAAGAACATGGCTATCTAGTGGTATGAGGTGTCACGTGACCCTCTACGCAACGGCGGACAGGATTGGGATGGGTTTGTGCCAGGCGCAAGTGTCATCTGCACTATACTCTTCACCACGTTTTGGTGTCTACAACATTCGACAACGTCTGCACAACTGCAGCATAAGTATGCACACGTAGTGTCCGTAGTGTGGTCAAAACTCTGAGAGACAATAATCACAAACGGTGAGACGACAACGGCAGTTGTGACGCGGGAGACGGCAGTAACGGCGGGGCAGCCAGAGGGATCCCAAGAAGCACGCTGCACAGGCGGGCCAAGAGGAAACGTTGCTGACATCACCCGTTACGCTTGCCTGGAGAAGTTAAAACAAGCAAAAGGGGGCGATGGTGATGACGTTCAGCTGAATGTTGGCTATGCCCGCGCTGTAGCCTTGACTGCGCTGTTGGTTGCGCCTCAATTCGCCCTCTTGAGTCAGCTAATTTCGGCAAATTGGCAAGTTGCAAATTTTGCCGGACTGTTTAGGAAACATTTAGACAAAACTATGCCGTAATATTTGACATGACAGGCATTGTTCTTTCAAAAACAAAAATGAAGCAGAGTTGACCTTTAAGGCCTATTAAATCTCGGTAATTGTAGAAATCATCCGCGTGCCCAATTCATTGCCAATGTGCGTAATGTATTTTTGTCCTTTTTTTTCTGTTTTTGCAGAATTTGTTAAAAAGAAGTGACCTCCATATTATAAGCTGTTTATGACGCATGCTGTTTCACAAAATTTTAGTCTAAGCCCATTTACCTCTGTTTGTGACGAGTCATGGAGGTCGCTGAAGATGGATACTCAAACTGTATTCACTTGGAAATACTGTTCTGCTCCGACTTGGGGAAGGGGCACTGCAGGGACGACTTGCATAATAGTTCATAAGTAATTATGTTGCCTGTATGTTTAGACAGCGGAAAGTTTGTCAGCCCCTACAGGTGTCTGGTGTCTCAGCTGTGTAGATAAGTGATTTTGCCAGTGTAGTACAATCGCTAGCCTGTAATCTTTAACGTGCACCACGCAGTAGCGATGCACAACCACACGCCAGTACGATGCTCATCCAGATAGAAACGGGCGGGGGTGGGGATTGAGTGCAGGATCCCTGGGTTCCGCAGCCTGAGGTTCCGCTCCACGTGCTCAGAGCCTCGGTGCATTTATATACTTGGCAACCGAATCCCCCCCCCCTTCCCCCCCCCCCCCCGAATTGGTAGATGAGAAAAGGCTCAAAGCACAACCAATTTCATGGGACGACAAACCTGTAACACGGTCCTGAAGAGAGAGAAATGAGGGGGAACATAGGTTCAGGCGACATAATTCACAGAACGGCTAAGGTGTCCTTCCCTCTCCATCTCTCTCTCGTCCTTTGCGACCTGTTCCTCCCTCTCCTTCCCACCCCTTTCGTTCCTCTTCTCATAGAAGCACAGCTGTTGATCAACTGCACATATTTTAACCACCTGTGGTGCTTGTTAAAGGCAAACTGTCCCGTGGGTATTTTCCCTAACAAGCTGCACCTGTCAAATAGGTGCGACAAGTGCACGACACAACCTGGGGTCTCTTACCCAGAGTCTGTTCGAGAATTTCTGCTTCCGGTTAGTATCAAAAAGAGAAAGGCCATTTTTGTCACCGACTCTTGGGAAATCGTCCATGCATTTTAGATTCTGCTAAACATTCTTCAGTCACTTTTTTTTTTTTAGCTTTAGCCTTTTTTAGTTAGCTGAAGGATCTGGCAAACATGAAACACGTGGACTACTAGTTCCAAGAATAGACAGCAAGGATAAGAGTTTTCTCTTTCTAACATTTATTATTTGCAGGTTGAGTGGCTTTCTATTCTATTCAAAGAGATACGCACAACAAAAAGGTCATTTCTATCACATATATATATAGATTAGATGTACCTGCTGTTGAGATATAGCAGTTGCCACAAGATTGTAAACGGAGCATACTCCATTCACCTCTAAGCTGAGAGTGCAGTGGCAGCAGTGCGGCGGCTGAACCGATCAACCGCCTCCCTTCTATCGCCTGACCTTGCTCTCTGCACCTGGGTATGGGCAAGAGCGTGATGACGTGGCAAAAGAGGGACTTGCGACTGGTCGAGCGAGCACGTAGCTTCTGCTGCGCTCTCTGCTTGGGAGTAATTGAAGAATATGTGTTACCGTTGCTGAATAGATAAATTAAAGTTTGATTTTCTTTGAAATCAGTATATTCAGCCTAGGAAGAAGTCTATTTTTTTATTTTGAGACTTATTCTGTCAGGGCAGTGCATTGTTGCTCATATTGCTGTGTGGACGTTTGAGTTACAAATGTAGCACAAATTAAGCGTCGGTCAGATTACTTGGAAGGGTTCAAACGTGGAGCAGCAGCACTGGGACAGAATGATTTTAGTAGAGACTTTAACTTGCCTCCTGGCTTCTTTCATTTCTTCTTTAAAAATGTAAATCTTACGTAAAAAAAAAAAGATAAAAAAGTTAACCTTTTGTGAGATATTTAAAACTTTTTCTTGTTTTTTTTTTCAGGCTGGGGTCAACAGTGTGCTTGTTTAGCACAAAAGGATCCACCCACATGCAAGACACTAGACACATCCACCCATCATGGTGCCGGGAACAAAAGATGTGATCGTACTGCTGGCAAACTTTTACTGCGACAGAAAAGATGCGATAAAGAGAGGGTTGCCACGTCCCAGTGCAGACACTCCTGTTTTAATGTTGCTTTTATGTTTGTTCTACCTTGGAAGTTAAAATTTTGTATTTGATTTCACTAGAAATTTTAACTGAGAAGCTTATGAATCTCAATAAAGGAAATTGCACAACTTGCTTAGAACAGCATTCCCCCCCGCCCTAATGACGTCGCAGCTTGGCTCGCATGACCATCATACACAACTGCAGATCAGAAAATAGATACTAGATGGTTCTTTCTCTTGCAGTTACGCAGCCTAAGTTCAGTTTTTCACAGGAATGATGACGCATTTCCTCTTACTTTGCCCAGATGAACTATGTGCATTGCAGCAAAGGCTAGAAGTCCGAACTCGCAGCTTTGGCAGTTGTTCCTATAGCTTGAGAGTCCACGCAGCTCGGGTCAGTCCTTGAGCGAGGAGCCTGCACTTGTAGCCTTTGCTTTGGTACCTCTTGTTCTCTTTGATTGGTGCAATATTTATATTCTGTATATTGATAAGCATTACCAGAAGCTAGCAGCTATACCGAGTACTAAAATCTACTGTGTTGCTCACTCTCTGAAACTGGAGTGGGAACAAATCGTATTGGTTTTGACACTCTTAACGAAAATTTACTCGGTCAAGCTTTCCGAAGTCTCACTTCCTCTGAAGCCTCGTTGTACAATGATTCTCGCCCCAGAATCTGGCGGGGAGTTCCAGCGCCTGCACCGCTGCCGCCACTGCCCCAAGTGGTTCCTGGAGAGTGCCGACCTGACCTCCCACCTCCAGTCCCACACGAGCGAACGCCCATTCCCTTGCGACCGCTGCCGGGCCACCTTCACGGACAAGCGCACCCTCACCGTCCACCTCCGTACCCACACCGGCGAACGGCCCTACCGATGCGAGCAGTGCCCCAAGGCCTTCACGCAGCTCTCGATCCTGCAGAGGCACCGGCGACTGCACACGGGCGAGAGGCCGTTTCAGTGTCCCATGTGTCCCACGACGTTCACGGCGAAGCATCACCTGGATTATCACCTCCGAACGCACACCGGGGAGCGGCCGTACGCGTGCGAGCTGTGCGCCAGGAAGTTCACCACCCGCTCAGCACTCACGGCGCATAGGAAATCGGAGCGCTCCCGCTGCCTCGTAGACCCCAGTGTAGTCTGAACGAACGAGCCACCCTCGTAGCTCGAGTCGTCGACGTGGTCCTGACCGGATTGAACCTGGTAATCCGCCCTGGCAGGCCTGCACTCTCGCGTCTGTGACGGCGTGGGTTCTCAAACTGGGTCCCCAGGAACCCGTGGTTCCCTAGAATGTATATCTTTAGGGGTTCTCCAGAGCGCTTTTAGGGGTTCTTCAATATCTCCAGAGGTTCCCTAGTGTGCCTTCAGGGGTTCCCCAAGGTCCCCAGAGGCTCCCTAACATCCAGTGATGTTGTCGGTCCGAGTCATTTTGGAGTTCTTAGGGCCGCTTCAGACAAAGCAATTTGGCCTAGCAACTTGACGTCGCAACACTAGCAACACAGGCTGCCCCCATTCACAAGCAGCAACCAATTGCTGCAATTTGCCATCATCATCATTAAATTTGATTTTTCTTGCACTATTTAGAAAACATAGTTACATGCCATAAACATGTTTTTATGCATTTAAATCTTGTTGACAATACTAATGCATCTTTCTGAAACAGTTTATTTCCAATAACGATCAATTTCAAACCAGAACCAGGTCTTTAGTTGTCATCATCAGCGGCACGGGGCTTCAAGTGAAAGTATCGCGTCCCTGATTGGCCTACTGTTGCGTCAAACATCTTAGAATTGTTCAGAGTTGCTCGCTTGTTTCAAGCCAAACCCGATCTCAGCAATTTGTATCGATCTAGGGAAAGCTAGCAAACAACCTGCCAGCAACACCATAATTGCTGAGGCTGAGACAGAGCACTTTCACCCAGCAACTTGACGTCGCAACACCAGCAACACGGGCCGCCCGCGTTCACACGCAACAACCGAATTGCTACAATTTGCCATCATCATCATTCAATTTGATCTTTCTTGCACTATTTAGACGCACAGCTATGCGCTAAAAATGTGTTTTTATATCTTTCAGTGGTGTTGAGAATACTAACTCATCTTTCTGAAAAGGTTTACTTCCAAAACCGATCCATTTCAAACCAGAACCGAGTCTTTAGCTGTCATCATCACCACCACAGGAGTGTCACGTGAAAATATTGCATCCCTGATTGGCTGCAGCCGCTTCAAACGTCTTCGAATTGTTCAGAGTTGCTCGCTTGTTTTGAGCCAGACCCGATCTCTGCAATTCATGTCGATTTAGGGAAAGCTGGGGAACAACCCGCCAGCAACACCAAAATTGCTGGAAAGGTTGCCTCGTCTGAAGCGGGCCCGAGAAAGTTGCTCCGTCTGAAGTAGCAGCCAAAAATCAATTTTGGAGCAGCAAAATAAATGTTTCGAGCATGAGCGCACATATAATTTTCGTTTGTACCAATGGAAATATGTTAAGATTCATCTGTCAGCCTGTCCCACTAAAAGGCAATGTCTACTTTGCCTTTTCACTTATGTGTAACCCTTTGTTAGCATAAATTGCACAACAGGAGCGATTCCCTCGAACACAGAACTAGTGTTCAGTTGTGTGGAGAAGCACCAGACACGGTAACAAGAAGAAGACCGATGAGGGACAGCAGACACTGTTGTGAATGGTTATTTTAGGTGATGAATTCCACTGAAATAATAATAGAATACAATGATTTTGATCACCTAAATTTATGATTCCTCCAAGTTCCAGAGGTTGTGATTAACTGCAAGTTATTGTTCAGATAAAAAACAAAGCACTCGTCATTTGTGTCAATGTCAATTACATTTTTGTATGTAGAAATTCATAACAAAAATGGGCATGTGCACTAACAATATGCCTTTTTGAAAACATGCCCACCGAACTCGTTAATGTTCTTCCCAAGCTTCCATCCACTGCTCCTGTCAATTTAGTTCTAATTTATAATACCTATATAAACGTGATAACTAAACAAAGGAGTTGGCATAGAAATAAGCCTACAAAAGAGTGCATATAACTATTCTTGCAATACCAAAGTATCCTTGGTAAATTCTAAATTGAAAGGAGGTACCGCCAGGATATCACATTCTATCATTCAAGCCAAAGTTGTACATATTCAGAAATTGTGTCGTGTCTCACCCTGGAGGAGTGCTTTTCCGTTAGCAAGCGGGTGCGCTGCGGCGAAGCAAGACACACAAAATTGCAATGCCTAATTTGCGATTGTTGCTTCTCTGCAGTACACCAGTGCACGGTGAGAAGCGCACTCAACAAAACTAACTAATCCTAAGAACAGACCACGAAGACGAGAATAATTGTGAAACTTCCGAGTACTGTTACTTTTTGATACGAAATTCAATCAAATAATATGTTTCTTGAGGCGATAATTAAGGGTTCTAAAAACTCACGTAACTATACAGTAACGATCCGGCAAGGTAGCGAGGCCTGAGCTATTATACGTTCAGTATTATTAAAGTGAAATTAAGTTTTGGGGCAATGTTGCTAAAAATTCCTCACATTTTGGTCAAATATAGCAGGTTGTAGCAGGGTAGGCACTTGGGCACAGTTTGGTGCCAGTGGCGCAGCAATCGCATCACTGAGCATCCCTCAAGGGTTCCCAATACCCTTGGGATTCCCAAAGGGCCCCGAGGTTCCCTAAATACCTTAAGGGTAACCAACTATCTCTAGAGGTTCCCTAGGGTATCCTCAGGGAGTCCTTAGAGTACCTTCAGGGGTCCCCCAAGGAACCCAGAGGTTAGAGTGCCCTTGGAAATTCCCCAAAGTCCCAAATTTCCTCAGCCATCCCTCTCCCCAAGTAAGACGTTCTTCCAGAGCCATTCGTTGATGCATAAATGTTGTGTCAAACACTTGCTATAGTAACTGTGTTACTGTTTACGAGGTCTGTAGGCTTCTGCACTGCTGTATTGCATCACTGTCGAGGCCTAGAGACATTTCTTGACTGTCAGTGAAGAGAGGTAGGTGTTCTGCTTGATCGAAAATATTTTGGGGAACCCCTGTGGCGAAATTTTGGTGGTGCAACCTGGTTTTCGCCAATCTGCAACTAGCCGTTTGTTTGTGCGTTCCAGAATTCAGTGCTCTTATTGATTCAAATAAAAACAGTGAAACAATTTTAGTTTTCTTTATGCTAGGTTTTTTTTTTTTTTTTTTTTTCTGGTTTTAGCCAAACTGGTGAGAATGGCTCTAAGCTCTACCCTCTGTCATGGATCAAGCTATGTTGCGGCACCTTGGGGAATTGGCTAAAGCCAACTATGGAAGTATGAATTGATTCCTAATCGAGATGTATCTGTGGCCTGTCTCGTACACAACGGTGAGGAGCAGACGCCTGGGCATACATCAGGTCAAACTGGTTTTTTCGAGTTCTGTCCCTGAGATAGGCTCTAATTCAGACACTACTTTCCAGCATACTTATTCTGTTATAAATCGGCAGCAAAAAGAAATGAAACAAGTGCATCCATCAGCAACATTGATTTGTAAAAGATGTGCAAAGGGTATACCAACTGCTCCCAATGAGCACGCAAACTAGTCGCGGCATGAACTGTGATGAAAGTGGTTCAATGCTAAATCCAGATTAAAACTATTCTGTGAATAATTTTCAAGTAAATCTGGTCACAGCTCATGCTGTCTGAATCAAACATGTTTTGGCAGTGCCATCTGTTTTAAATTTCACAAGGGATTACAGCCATTTTATTTTTGTCTTCGACGAGCAAAGAGTTAGTCTTGGTGAGAAATTTTGAGTGCTTCACTGAAACGATGTGCGCAAGCAAAACTTGTAGAAAGGTGATATCTTGCTACAAGACTTCTTCAGGGCAACTCATCTTCTTTGAACATCGAAAGGAAGCTCCATTATTGACTTTACATTCCTTGTAAATTTGTGTGTTGTCGAGGTGAGGAGACATTCGGACCGCTGCCCCTTTTATAATGCTGAGCCCAGCGAATTAAGATACTTCGATTAAAAAGCCGAAACATCAGTTAGCGTTGAGGAAAAGGTTTTTTCATGCATCTTGCTTGAAAACAAATTGATCTATCGAGCGAGCGTGACGATAGCTCAGCGCGAGGTAGGGGAAGGGAGGTACTAAGGGGTTTATACAAACGATAGTGATAACAGGCACCCACCGCCATTTCCGGCTCGCCATTGCTCTTGCATGCTAAAGTGGCGAAGCGTCATAGCCAACGCTAGACACCGCAGCATTGTTTCATGCGAACTTCGAGTTTCGTAGTGTGGCGCGCATCGTTGGGCGTACGTTGAATTACAGTGACTATCAACAGCAGCAGAAAAAGTTTGAAAGTTGTCTGCTGCTGTCAAAAAGAGCGCCGCAAACATCTGTAAGGTCTGTAAGCCAGAAGCAACGGCCAGAAGCGTGCCGTCAATGATGATGATAGCGAGTATTAATGCTAGAGTGCCGTCTGACAGGCGCAACGCAAACTCAGTTGTGGAACTCTGGAGCAAAGTTCCACAACTGAGTTGGTTCTAGTAACGTCGGCATACGCTAGGCAAGTGCTGGCGTCGGAGTTGTTTGCCACAAAGCAATTGTTTGTGGTGATGATGATGATGATAATGAAATTGTGCCCCCTATAGTTTCATCGGTTTGATCTCCTCGCCATACCTTTTGCTCTAGCGGCCCCGTTGAGTGCGCTTCTTTCCGCGCACCGGTGCACTGAAAAAACACCGCCCATGGAGGTCGTTTTTGCAGGTGTTGCTTCTCCCCAGTGCACCGGCGCTCCGTAAGAAACACGCTGAAAGGAGATAACAGTTCACAATAGACAATTTTTTTGCTGGATTAAGAAACTTTATTTTGTTTTGAGATGTCATGTGCTGTCTAACAGTCCATGGTAAATGGCATTTTCGAGGAATTAATAAAGTTATCTCATACATTTCACCAATGTTTCATGTGTGGCACACCTGCTTATGGTTAGCAGGCCTGTGTAGAGCAAATCATCAAATATCTGCTTTGTATCTGTAGCCATCCATATAACAAATCACAATTTTATCTATCATTAAATTTAGATGAATTTCTGATAATTCTAACAAAATCTGTGGCTTTTTGGAGTTTGAAATAATGTATAGTATGAGAAAATTTGGTAATTTTTATCTATAACATTTAGGTTTCAGAAGATAATGCTGTAATCAACTTTATATTTGCAGTCTTATGGAATTATATTTGCTGTAATCATTGTTATGTTTTGTCAATTCTCCAAACTTTAATCATAGTGTAGAAGTTTGGAGAGACTAAATTTTGCGTCAAAACACCCAAGGACCACATGTTTAATGCTATGAACCGATTTATTTGCTATCCCAGTTTCCATGTTTGTTTCTATAATAATGAAATTAAGGGAGAAACAAGTACATAGCTTACAAAATTAAAATGCAGAGTGAAAGACTTTATGAGTTAGTTGGTTTCTCCTATAAACGCCTGTGCGTTAATAGTAGAGGGTCATATAATATATAATGTTCTTTTAAGGGATTGCATGCCCTCATCAAAGCCGCCAAAAAAGACAAGTCTGTCAACAAGCCAGGGGATGCAAGGTACGAAAAAGCATCCGAAAGCACTACTGTGACAAGACTGAATAAATACAGGGTGTACAGCGTTTCTGAATGCAACGTAACCTTCCATACACTTTTAGGAGAAAAACTCCCCAGCCAAGCCTGGACACTTTCTACTAAAACCCGATTTTACTTAATAAAAGCTTCCCGAAAGACTGTTGGGGAGTTTGGGACAAAAACGTACACATATAGACATCACCCCCACGCAACGGATCTTTCTCTACAGGACCGTAAGTAAAAGAAATCAGGCACCCTGAATTAAACAAAATGTTTCTCAAAGAAAGATGAACAGCAGAACTGATTCTCCTGGTACGTGTTCAAACGGTAGCGTTTTTCAGACCGCATGACTTTGTGTCGCCAAAACTGGACAAAGAACTTTTGGGAGTACCGAGCGTGAAAGAACTACTAGCAAAAAGTGAGTTTGCTGGGATAATACCTAGCAAATTCTAAAGTGCGCATTCTAGTGCCAAGCTCGTAAGAATTTAAATGTTCCCCGGACTGTCCCTAGAAGCTCTTGCTGCTCGAGTCCTTTTAAAGTTGCCTACCTCTGGGCACAAAGCTCTTGACAGCTTGAGCATGCTAAGCACACCCGCGCCACTCGCTGTTGCATGACTTAAAGCCAAATAATCGTATCTCTTTTTGTAGCAGTAATGACAATGCTTACTGAGTTTGTGCGACTGATGTGCTACAGGAAAGCCAAGAGGCAGGGTGTGATCTACGGCTAGTCCTTGTGTCCATAGGCTCCCAAGGACCAAGTTCGGACGCTCTTGTTTCAGTGCAACGGGTTCCGGGTTTTTCTAAATTATTTTTTACAATTTGGAGGGCGTTCCTTAGACTCTATTTTTTCAGCAAAAAGTAAACTTTGTTGCATGCATGTTTAGACGGTAGGAAGTTTCTGTGCGTCGAGGAGCATTCAATGTCCCCACTGCGGACATTGTATTTAGCCACTGCAGTACAATGCCTAACCCAGGGTCTAAAATGTGCATCACACAGCAGTTATTGCATGCCGGTATGATGCTCATCCAGATCTAAGTTGGCAGTGACGGGAGTCAGATCGAGGATACCCAGTTTGGCGGTGGGAATGTTCGCTCCACATGCTCAGAGTTGCAGTTTGCTACCATGCTCAGCTACTAGACTTTCATCACAAACACAGTATTTATCAAATTTAACACCTGTTAACTTCTCGATTTGCTCAAATTTCGTACTTTGTGGAGTTCAGTTTCATTACACTGAGCCTAATGCCCTAGAAATATTAATAAAATGAGTATAAAATCTATGCTGAAGCGCATCAAAAGACACGAAAGGAGATTTAAATTATGATCAGTGTTTGGAAGTGATATTCCAGATCATAGCTTCCACAGTTATAAAAGCACCGGGTTCTCCTCCCTGTAAGAGCTCGTCTGAGTTTAGAGGGTGAAATGGAATGGACTTCCTCAGGGTCACTGACCCGGCACTTCACACTAATTTTTAGAGCAGATCCGGAAAAACAACAATTGCAGAGGCTAGCATTTACCGAATTGACTCGGTTTCATCCGAAAACCTGGAACCTTATATACAATAACTGGAGAATAAGTATGGTGCAAGCATTCACGGCCGGACGATCAAAGCGGGAGATTTGATACTGACAAGCCAAGTGGCAAGGGGGGGGGGGGGATCTTAAAGGAGTACTGACACGTCGAAATCATAATTTTTTTTATTATCCGAAAATATTGAAAACGATGCCTGGACATTACCCTCAAAATTCGAAACTTCATAATTCAGTATTTGTGAAGTAACAAAACAATTTCCAAATCACGAATTCGAAGTTCCCGCACGATCTGCGCCAGAGCAGTGACATCAAATCTTGAGTTGCCCTGCGAGTCAAGTTTCGTTCCCGTTTCCGCTCCGAACCGCTGTTCCCGCCATGTCGTGCTCGCCGGCATTGCGCGAACAACCGGTTTTCTTCGTGCGTGCCATGCCGCCTATCGCTGCAAGCAGACAGTGCTTGACTTTCAAGTGTGAAGTTCTTTTAAGATTGCTGAAAGGACCTTTCAGCAATCTTAAATTCTTTGAAACGGTGTGAGGTCAAAGTGAATGCGTAGTGGACTTTTGTGGAGAACGCGTAGTGGACTTTTGTGAAAAACGTGAGGGGCCACATCTCGCCAGTTTTACGTGAAAGACTGCCCTGGCGGAGTCACAACCGAAACTACAATACACAGACACCAAACCCAGTTGTTCCGACTGTTTGACGATTTCCTTTTCGAAGTCTGAGAGGTCGTTGGGCACCTAAAAAAGACCACTTTGTCCAATTCCCCGACCAACTGATCATCCTCTGCTACATGCATCGAGCGCCGCCATGTTTTCCAAGGAGGATTAAAATCCAGGAGGCGGCATCACACCAAACTCCGATTTTCAGTATTTCAAAAAGAAGGGCCATAGAGCATTTGAAATTGCGTTAAAAAAAATGTTTTACGAATGCCGCTATTAAATGTTCTAAATTTCATATTTGACATCACAAATCAAAAGAAACGAGGAGGTGAGGGGCGAGAGAGAAAAACATTAAAAATAAAAAGGTGAACACGCGTGTGAAAAATGTTTTTTTTCGTTGCGGTATTTTTTTTGCGTGTCTATGACTACAACTTGCATCGTTTTAGACAATAAAAAATAATACGACCTTTGGAGTGTCAGTGCCCCTTTAAGGCATTCTCGTGAGCAGCAGTCCCTGCTTGAAGAACTCGAAAAGGAATCTCCTGGTAACCTCAAAGCGATAACCCTGATCACTCAACCGTGAAGAAGTCAAGCCGCCTATCATCACTAACACATTAGTGAGAGTGGCAAGGAGGTCCTTCAGGTGCTCCTCCCCCAGCAAAAGCTTCCTAGCTCTGATAACACTTCGGCGGCACGCACAGCCAAAGCTCTGCGGAAGGCAGCGAGCTTCTAAAAGAGATGCCCTGTCCTTCTCATTCCGTCGGCGTAGCGGAAACGTCGGCTGGCACTTCGATGCCTGTTTCTAATCAAGCAATACCACCTGGAAGAGAAGATTTGCACATTACTAAAGCTTGACGAGATTCGCCGAAAAGCGGCAGACGCGTCTGTCTCAGCGACGCCGCATGCCAGGATCGTGCTGATTTTGAGAAGCTGCGAGAAGCTCTGGTGGCGATGCCGATGCAAGTTAGGCGGCATTACGTGGATCCCCTGGTGATGACGTTTGGGGGCAAAGGCCTTGTTTTCTATGTGGTATGGGTTCAAGTCCCTACTTGAAGCCGTCCTTTGAGATTCTTTCGGCCACGACCCCGTGGCCTCGCTGAACGCTGAATGTGGACTGCGGATGCGATTTTGTCGGGATGTCCTAGACGAGCGGCGCGACGGGATCAGGCGTAGCCGTGGGTGGTGATGAAGTGGAGCCGGTCCCTCCAGAAATCGTGGCCGCGGTGCCAGCCGTGGGTGACCAGGGCCGAGATCACCTGGCGCGCACGGCCGGGCCAGAGCGGGTGCAGCTGCCGCGACAAGCCCTCCGCAAGCGCGTCTGCCACCAGCACTGGAGATTGGCCCTGCTCAGATGCTTGGCACAGCACCCGGCGCACCATCACGCCAATCTGCGGCGACAAATCGCACGAGGCGGCGCGTCGGCACCACCAAAGGCCACCCCGAGACCGCAATGAAAAGTCCACTCAGGGAATGTTTATGGCACGCGTTCGAAAGCCTGTTTGCACAGCAGCGTTCGAGTATGTTACGTTGTGATACGACAGTGGGTCAACAGGACATCTGTGCTTTAAGTGTTGCCTGCTGAGCTTGAATTGGTTGCCACGTTGCACACAAAGCACAAGTGTCCCAGTGACTCATGGTCGTAGCTTGATGTAAGCCCTTACAGTGTAGTCAAGTGCAAGTAAATGTTTTGCATGTGAACAGGCCGTAAGGCGCGTCCTTCCTCAATTGGTGAATGGGAGACTGTCGGATTCTAAGAATGGAGCTATGAGTTGAAGAAGAATACATGCTCACCGAATGTTCCCAGGAGTTGCCAAAGTGCTTCTCTAGTTCGGGGTCCTCTTGAAGCCTCCCGTACCACTCGTACGCCGAGTTCACCACAGCCTGCGATTGCAGATAACACTTGTGAAGCCACTGTTCATACGAGGCAGTCACTGAATGTTTCTCGAGTTGCAAATTTCCTTTTGATGGCTGGGAACGGAGAAAGAGCCCCCTCACGTGAAGAGCTGAGGAACAGCTGAAAGCGATTTTGAGATAAATGCAGATTCGGTGCCCAATCTGAAGGATAGATTTAACCTGTTTAAACACTCCTATCTTTGTGATACCTTCGAAATAGCTCTGTCCAACATTTAATATTGAAACGATTTGTACACTGATAGCAAAGGCTGAAGAGAGCCTCCTTCTATCTTTTTACCTAGTGCTGATGAAAGGAACCGTAGTATTTATAGAAAATCGGGCTAGTGGCTCGGGCCACACTGTACATCGCATCGCAGGACATCCCAAGAATTCCATTTTGGTCAACAAGTCGCCTCAGCTAATTTTCCTTTCATCATCCTGCTATCCATCACAGGATCATGACATACAGATGGCAACCTAGGTAGTAGGCAAACCCTTGAAATGACAAATAATTGTTTTGAAGGGAATGGCAACTTTGTTGGATGGGACATACCATGCGGTTGAAGAGGTATTCGGGCACGTAGAGGACACCGTGGTCCTGTAACAGCTGACAGTCGTCGTCCGAGACTCGCTGTTCGTTGACTGGTCCACAGACCACCTGGGCTCCTAGGCTTGGAATGGTCTGTGGGCTTAGGACCTGCAAGGGTAGGGGCAACTTTAAAGTCACGCATGACAGCGACAGAAAAAGACAGCGTTTGAAAACTTCAAGTCGACCTTTCGTGCCCCACCTGCAAGCAGAGACGCCACACTTGCATGAGTAAGTTTCAAGGCATTTAAGAGCATGTGCCACCAGCTAAACCCCATTCACCCCCAAGCTGACAGTGTGGTGGGGGCTATGTACTCGCCGGAATAATCAATGTCCTCCCTTCAATCACCTGACCTTGTTTTCTGTGTACGCGCACAGTTCACTAGGGGGTGAACGAAGTATAGGATCACTTCGTCAAGTATAATAACTTGCCAATGCAAGTTTCAGGACATTTGAGAATTGTACTTAAAAGGGACTAAAAAGGAATTCCTAAAGAAGTTTCTCTTTAATGACTAAGGGCAGAAGCTGGGTGCCTTGTCACTTCCTTGGGAGAGTTGATAATAAAGATGTCACTTCGGTTTGTCCAAACGAACAAACTTTTTAGGTGTTCACTTTAAACTTTTTATAAACTCCCTCGGGGTATTGCGCCAAGCAACCATCTGATTAAAAAAAAAATTATCTACAGAACTCCTTCAAGTGAGTTACCAAAGTGCCCTTTATAGGTACTCCTGAAGTAGGTGGTCCCACTGGAGTTTTAAGGGAGTCCCGAAACCTTGTTGTGGGAGTTTTGAAACTCCCACAATGGAGCTTAGGAACTCACTTGAAGCTCCATCCACCTTAGGATTAGAAGTACTACTTCAGAAGAACACTCTCTTGGACATAAATGTACCCAGGATATTCGTCTGGGGGGTTTCTGGAAAACTGTATAACCGATCTTCTTTGGGCCCAGGGGGAAGGGTTAGGAAAGCTATGCAAATATTTTAGAGAATTTTTTTTAGTTATTTATTTTCGAGCTATCGCTTGTGATTACATGAACTTCGACGTGCTGTGTTGAGATTGTCTTGCTGCATGTGCAACTCAGAAATCAACCAGTTTAGGAATTATATTTTGCCGGCACAAATCTTGATGATGCGTGGTGTATTCATTACCATGGGGTAAATTATTCGCAGGACAAATTTTTCGTTATTATTTTCAAATCGCAAAATTGGCGAAACATAGGTCTTTATGGAAACCAAGTTGTTTACCGTATACTCCATCCCACATAACTTCGCAGACGACAAAGGCTACGGCTCCTGCGACCCAATGCAAGCTGTCGGAGCCAACCACATGTCCTCCCAGTGCTGTATTACTGCATGTCCACGCCTCCCATGGCCATTGTGTATGAGAAGAAAACTCGTAATCTAAGTAATTTAAGTCGTCCTAATGAAAAAAACTTCTAATATTGTAATTACCTGAAAATGAATAAAATTGGCAACAGAAGGGTAACGATCCCGAAATAGTCCCACTTACTGACTTGCCGGTGTATATTCCGAGGTGATGGAGGCATTGGAAAAAGGCTCGGCACTGACAGATTGATCAGATGATTCTGCTGAATACGATAGCGTGTACCGGTTCACGAATCTTGGAGTTGCACATACCGGCGTTGATGCAAATTCCTGTTGTATCCAAATCTCGACTCTTTTTTTTTAGAAGCAGGTAAGCATTGTGTTTGACTGTCGCTTCAGGCAGCTTTAGGTGGTATGTGTAACTCATCCTGGACTCTCAGATTTACACGACAGCAATGGCGCTCGGGAAAAAGTTGCAGCGGGTGGCATCGATGCACAACAAATTATAGTGTTCCAATGGGCCTGAAAAAAATAATAGAAAGAAAATGCGAAAATAAAGTGAGAGAGAAAGAGATGAGGAGAGGGAGGTAAAGAACGAGATAGCAATAAGAAAGAGGACAGAGACGGAGCGAAGAAATTCAACAATATCTATGTGCAGTAACCCTGGGCTTGTTCACGGGATCCTTCAAAATCTCAGCGGATCAAGAGGCTGCTTGTCACGCACCAAGGGGACCGCCTTTTTGTCCTACCCAATCGTAGCTGCCCCCGCTTTTTTGCAACTTTAATGGGCTACTCCCCTTTTCTAGGCAGAAAAAAACAACCTTTTGAAAACAGACCGTTCTTTATTTGTTGCCAAAGTTTGAGGCAAGCGACAGTCCAGATGTGTTTGCGAGCCAGTCTCCGAGCTTGCGTTTGACAAAGGAAGAGCCATTTCTGTATCTGAGGGGTGGTCTATTGCTTTCAGAGCGACGTCGGACTAACAGGCAGCATCTTTGTTGTGGGATAGACCCACTGTGTGAGGTTGTCCCTAATTATATTCACATGCGTCCTAAAAATCCCCACTTTTTATAACGTGCATGCCGGTTTGCGAGCATGCAGCATGAAAGTATTTCAGTGACACATTGTTTATTTCAGTTAAGGGAGCTAGCACAGGGAAAGTGCACCCCTCTTTTTTAGGGCATTGCGTTCAAGTCTACAAGCCAGTCCAAGTCAAGCGGTATTATTATTTTTTTGTACTATCAGCAGCAATATTTTTAGAAGTTTGTTTGAGGGGTTGGGGGGAAACCACAGGGGGGGAGACACAAATGCTGAAAGATGTGCGTATGTTTGTTTGTGTGTTTATACGATTTGGAATGTGCGTACAAAATCATCTTCCAGGGCAGTGCCAGCAAGGTGACCTTCATTTTCAGCAGTGAGCAAGAGAGAGAGAGACAGAGAAATCTTGTTTTCTTCGTCTGTCTTTTTTCCCGTAATTAGTTTTTGTTGTTGGCAACCCGGCAGCATACTGTCGCTTCTCCTCATGAATGTGCACACATGCTCGCCTGCACAATGCACATCTTTAAAGGAGCACGCCACCTGTATGAATGAGTGCGTGCATCCAAAGTATAGGTAATGAAGCTCCCATCAAGGGTGTTTTTCCCAAATAATTTCTCGCAGACCACTGCGAAAGCAGGCAGCATTTTTTTACATACCTTTTCGGTTGTACACAGCGGTTGTGGATAATTTAGAAATTTGAATCCGTCATGACTATTCCACTACTTTTTAACTTTGGCATATAGTTTTCTTTTTAGTTTGCCACTTTCATTTTAGAGCTCAGCTCTTAGGCGTCCACTTCACGCTAGAGCGGCGTCGCCATTGGCGTCTGCGTAATTGCGCGTTGCATTATGGGAAACGTCCCATAATGTGACGCGCGGGTCTCGCTCGTGATATGCGCGTTGCATTATGGGACGTTTCCCATATTGACGTCACGAGGCTCACGAGTGACGTCACGAGCGTCCCGCAAGTTGCATAATGGGAAACGTCCCATAATGCAATGCGCAGGTCTCACTCGTGACCCACACATTGCATTATGCGACATTTCCCATAATGACGTCACACGTGACGTCACGAGGGTCACAAGTGACGTCACTACAGTCACGAGGGTTACGAGTGACGTCGCAAAGGTCACTTGTGAAGGTCACAACTTTCACGTGACCTTCAATACCTTCACGAGGCCTTGACGAGTGACTTCACGAGGGTGACTACAGTCATCACGAGGGTGACTACAGTCACGAGGGTCACGAGTGACGTCACGAGGGGGGAGGGAAAGAGGGAAGGAGGGGGAGAGGAGGAGGGGAAGGGGCATACCCTTTTCTCTTACCCTTCCCCTCCACCTCAAGAGCTGCGCTCTCATTCGGCATTACAGGGAGTTGTAAATGTCTTCCATTTTTTAAAGCGCAGCTCTTAGGCGCCCGTTTCCGGCTTGAGCGGTTGCGGCGTCACTGTCGGCGTCGTTGTCGGCGTAATTGCGCGGTGCATTATGGGTAAATTTTCCCGAAGGAGCCCGAGGTCCTCCCAAAGGATCTCGGGAGAACCTCGGGTACCTTTGGGAGGACCTCGGGAGGACCTCGGGTTCCTTCGGGAGGACCTTGGGTTTCTTCGGGAGGACCTCGGGTTCCTTCAAGAGGACCTCGGGTTCCTTCAGGAGGACCTCGAGTTCCTTCGGGAGGACCTCGGGTTCCTTCAAGAAGACCTCAGGAGGACCTCAGGTTCCTTCGGGACGACCTCAGGACGACCTCGGATTCCTTCGAGAGAACCTCAGGAGGACCTCGGGTACCTTCGGGAGTACCTCGGGAGGACCTCGGGTACCTTCGGTGACCTCGGGAAGGGGGTCACCAAAGGTACCCGAGGTTTTCCCCCCACCCAAGGTCACATGACCCCCCAAGATCACGTGACCCTCCCCCCAGATCACGTGACCACCCAAGGTCACGTGACCCCCCCCCCCCCCCCCCGAGGTCACGTGACCCGTGACCCTCAGTACCCTTCCCTCCTCCTCCTCAAGAGCTGCGCTCTAATTCGGCATTACAGGGAGTTGTAAACAGCTTTAATTTTTTTTCGTCCTTTTCTATATGCAAGTTTGGTAACAAAAAAGGCCAATCGAGTGTGTTTTCTGTGTCTTTTTTTTACTCGAGGAAGAATATATTTTTATTTAATGAATTCACCCTGCTGTACTTTATTCTCATTGCAATCAGGGGATTTTTTTTTTTTACCTTGCATTTGGAATTAGTTGTCCCAAGACCATTTCCCTCTACACCCACTTTCAGTGCTACAGAAGAAAGTATTATGAATGTATGCTGACTAGCCATAATGAGGTAAAGTATGTTAATTCTCATACATCTCCAACACTCCAATCCGATGATGATAGCAAGTGAAGTGAACAGACAGAATTTCAGAAAAATTCCAACCTATCAGGCAGAAATGTCTCCTTTGCTTTTGCCCTACCAACCAACAACGTCAAGAAAAAAAAAGAGCTCGCGGGGGGGGGGGGGGGGGGGGGGGGGTATGAACTACCAAACAAACTCCCCCCCCCCCCCTCGTCAGTGTGCCACTGCTCTTGGAACAGAGTTTTTTAAGGCGTTTGGTTGCCTGGCGCAATACATCCGAGTTTCAAGGCCCCCTGGAAACTGCCTTGATGGAGTCTTGGGTAGGTTTTTCACTCACGTGGGGGATAGCGCAGGGCACCAGGATGTCACACTTCTCCTTGAGGATGCTCACATCGCCCACGGGGACCCTCGTGACCTTGAGACGACTGCCCAACTGGAACAACAAATGTTTTTGCCCTAAGCAAACGAGGAACAGACGAGACAGGAACCACGACTGAATGTTTGTGCCAGTCGAATAGTTCGAGGCTTTGAACGTTCTTCACACGTGGAAGGCCTTGTGCAAGAGTCAATCATTTGCGCTTTCTTACACAGAAAACAAAGAAAAGGATAATGGTAGAAACAATGTTATCTGCTCGTGTTCAAAGAGGGCTTGCTTGTTTTTATTTATTTTTAAATAAATTTAAATGAAAGGCAGTTGTATAGGAATGTTCTTTACATGAATAGGTTGTCACTTTTTTTTGTTTAGGATGGAACTTTTTTCTACTTCTGTATCCTGTCCACCGTTTTTCCCGTCATAATAGGAAGTTATAAACATTGACAGAAAATTCAAACAGCAACAGATGCTCTGCTTGATAGATATTTCAGAGAGACATTTGTCCTTCTGAAAGTGTAAACGCACTACAGCTTCAAAGTGCTTTTCTGGTATGGTGCCAAAGAGTAAAGGATAAATAGCCTGGAGAATAAAGAGTCAAAGTATAGGGAATACGAGTGTATGGTAAAACGACAAGAGTAAAACATACAAAGCACGCATGTGCAGACAAGCAGGGATAAATGACAACTCTGGGAATTGGCCTCACAAACTGAGCTCCTAATGCATTTGTTGGCCAAAGGGTTGCCAGGCTCCCAGATGCAAATAGTGCTCATCAAACCTCATGACACAAAAGCAGAAGCAAGGAAAATAAAAACAGACCCCTCTGGCAACATGCATACCCGCCCAGCGAGGAGGTCGTAGGCGTCGTCCACCCGCTTCTGATGGACATCCGTCACGTGCAGCTGGGAGATACCCTGGTCCACTAGGCTCAGCATGATCTCGCGACCTGCACATTTGAAGAAATGTTATATCACATCAGGTAAGGTTGAATCTGCCCACTTCTCGACTATAAATAAGCAGCAGCAGCGAAACAGAAGATGAACACGATTCTTGTTCATCTTCTGTTTCAATTTTCTGATGTAACCACACACAAATTAAGGTTGTAAAACTTGGATTAGTATGTTTTGAGAACCAGTTGTGACCTGTGCGCCTTTTAGACTGTACACAAGGGGAGAACAGGCTCTTTCCAAACGAGGTGTGTTAGGTATAAAAGAGGTTATAATAAATAAACAGGCTGGGCTAGTCCGAGACAATTCATTTTTATGCATTCGAGATGGTAACACTTTTGCTGTTGCACACACCCGTTTGTCCGGACCTAAGATGTGCTAGAGTTGATAAGGGACAGTGCCAACAACTAGCTTCCAGTGCCAGCACTAAATCGGTCTGTCGTTAATTCCGACATCGGTGGCAACTCACCGATGCTCCCCGCCCCTTGCACGCAGACGCTCTTGCCTCGCAGGGAGCCCAGCTGGCCGTGCTCCAGAGCTGCCTCCAGGGCACACACAACTCCTGAGGCAACGAGCGCAAGGACGCCATTAACAACAAAAGAAGAGGTCATACAGAAAATTGTGCACAGGAACCAATGCAGCAACCCAGGCGAACTCCAAAACAGAAACGTGCATAGAACGTGGGCAAGTCGCAGAGCTTCCATTTTTGCGAAGAAATGTGCAGCTGCCGTAGTTGGCATCTTTCGTGGAAATACCTGTATATTTAAGCGTTTCCTTTTACTCTAGGTCATGGTTTCTCAAACTGGGTCCCCAGAGTACCTCAGGGGTTCTCCAAGCTCCAAAATTTCCTCGACCGTCCCTAAGTATTTCAGCAGATCTGAGCCAATCGCTGATACATAAATATTAGGCAAGACCTCCCTTATATGCCCGTCATTGTTTACGAGGTCTTTAGGCTTCTGAACTGCTTTGCTGCATCACTGTTGAGAGGCTCCTCGGCTGCCATTAAAGGCAGGTGGGGGTTCCTCAAGGTCAAAATGTTTCAGAGCCCCTGTTCTAAGTCTTGCATGCAGTAGTGACCACACAAATCAAATCGTGACACCCTTTGAATCAAAACTAGCACAAAGTCGAGCTGCATAAATCTTTGCAAAAAATAAGAGCGTCGAGTGCCAGTTGCACATAGCGCAACACCGTTAGTACCAACAAGCAATCACCATTTTTTTATGTTTCTTTCTTGGAATTAAGTATTCAAACTAGCAATATGGTTGAAAGCGCTAACTCAGGGCCTCCACCGAAACACTGAAGTCTGGCATACTCCTGTGCCACATCCGAGTAAAATTTGAAATAGCGCCAACGTCACATTGCGCTAACGGTGTCACACAGTGCGCGATGCTCACCAAAGTTATATGGAACATACAAACCATGTCTTATCTAGTGCGAGTACCATTCTAGCTGCAGCCAAGGTTTTGCTTCACAATATAGTGCTCGATGGGGCGGCTCGAGCAGGGATGCCGCTTCCTCGAGGTCGAAAGGGCAGCCAGACCAAGGACAGTGCGTTTTTGGCAGCCACCTGTGCATCAGAGTGCAAGGGCTTGGCAAAAAGTGTAGATGGCACGGCAGGCAAGATAGCCGCATCGTCCCCAGTCCAGCCGGCCTTTCGACCTCGAGCGAGCGGCCACCTTTGCTCGGGCTATTCCGGCGAGCGCTACATTGTGGACCAGTTCTTCGGCTGCCATCAGGATAGTGCTCCCACGAGATAGGACCCAGTTTGTGTGTCAAACTCAAACTTGGGGATCTTCGTGCCGGACCAATGAAGGGAAACTGGCATGCCCCGGCAGAGGACTGGGCGTCAAGTTCAACCACCCGGGGATCTTTTGATGTGCAACCGAGAGCTCGGTAACGCGGCGGCGCCTTCGCCGCACGAGCCTCTGTCGAATTGCGGGCACCTCGATTGGTATTCCAATCCACCACCTGTGACTCCGCAAGCTGGCGCTTAGCCTCAAAGCCACCGAGGTGGCTCCATGTTTGTGCGTTCCATACAAGTTTGGCGAGCACTCCACACACTCGTATTTTCCGCAGCAGCATCCCAGGATGTGTTCCCTCCATTTCTCCCTGCATCGGGACTTCCCCAATCGACGAGGGCGCAGCAGAGGGTATGACTTGCCCACCCTTGGCGATGAGAGGTGCTGCGTTTCCCGAGCCTCCCATGTCGCCTGGCACGTTGACCGCCCACCGGGTACGCATGTGGACATTGGCCATGTCCTGAGAATTCACTCCGACGTCCAGACCGGCCACTGGAAAAACATCCAGAGTACACTCTCGAAGATGCGAAGAAGTCGTGGTCCGGCGAAATGGACGAAGCAAAGCCAACACTGCCCCGACGTATGCCAAAAAATACAACTTCTTGGTTCTCTGCAGCGTCTCGTAAATTAACTGCAGCGACGACCGAGACACTGCAAACCACTGCCCACGGTTAAGGCTGGTTCGCACACTTGCGACTACCTGCGACCATGTTCCTCGAAACCTCTTAAAATCTCTTGCAAGGGGACACTGTGGCCCCCATCTATCGGGGTGCCGTTGGAACACTTGGCAATTCTGTATATTTCCTTATTTTTTTCAAGCGTCCTTCTTTCTTGATTGGCTCAATAATCTTTCAAAAACCTCACAAACGACCGTTTCTCGTGGTCAGTATCTAAATTTCATCTTGCAAGTACCGCAAAACTTTTGCTCTAGCGAAATGCAGTTCCAGGGTCGCCTCGTAGAAGGTGCCAGCGTACCAGCGTGTTTTCCCGTCATGGGAGATAGCAAGAACCCAGTCCTAAGCAAATGCAAGCGTGTGAACGGGCCTTTCCGCTGCTGCGTTTAGATTTAGCGAACCTCTAAATTTCGTGCACGGCATTTGTATGACGCTAGGACGTGGCACGACACTAAATTCCTGCTAAATTTAATGGGCCACGATGAAACACACATACGGGGCACGCCGCAAAAGCTTGCCAATAACGGCCATTGCCGTAAGAGATAACACCTACTATAGTCGCAGATGGTTTAAGAGACGCAGCTGCATGGCGAGTCTCGAGCGTATCGTCCTCACTGCGCATCTAATGAGGTCGCAGCGTGGGCCTATAAGAACGCAGAGGGACGAATCACGATGCGAGAGACGTGGATGCCACGAACCACGCCCTGCATTTCCTAAGCTTGAGCAACAATGTGAGGATGCAAATGAGGAACATTCTGATGCAAACCTGTGTGTGGTGTCAGGGGCAACGGTGAACAAAACTTAAACATGTGCAGTCGAAATTATGTTAGAGAAAAATGAAAAACATTTTTTGTTTGCGATTAAATCCTCGCATCCAACGACCAGCCCATTTCCCCTATTCTTTGCGACACGTCAAGAGCACGGCCGCTCTGACGCGTCCAAGGGATTGTATAAATCCCTTGGACGCGTCAGAGCGGCCGTGCTCTTGACGTGTCGCAAAGAATAGGGGAAATGGGCTGGTCGTTGGATGCGAGGATTTAATTCTTTCGAATTGCCATACGCATGTCTAGAGTACCTAAAGTTTGCAGCATAGCTCTACCAAGCCAGATCACTTTCTACGAAAAATTTCGAGCTGCACAAAAGCACTGCTGACACCGTTTGTTCTCGGTTCTCCTGTCGCCCTGGATTTTCGTCGGCGCTTTGAAAAAATGTTTCCGACGGTTTCCACAACCTCTGGCTATGGATGGATTACTCTGTAGTCTCCCAGATTTGGCTTTTGAACGTCTGGAGGCACGATGCAGAGCCTGAAAAGTGGTTCTCACCATAACAGCCGTTGAGGGAGGATAGAAAGTCCCCGTAGTCATAAAACAGTGCCTGACGGAACTCTGGCTGCACATGCTGTCGATCGTCTGGCTGAGGGATGATGCCTTTTCCGCCACCTAGCCTGCAACAACACCAGCATTCCTCACTTCATCTCAAGGTGAAAGATGGGGGATCTACAGGGAACGGCCATAAGGACCAGCATATTTAATGCACTTAAAATCCGACAAGACAACGTCGTTTCGCAAAGTGTTTTGTCCATTTTTTTTAGAGCTCAGCTCAAGAGGTGGTGAAATATTAAGGGGGGACACTGGCTAGCGATTTAACTTCTGAACTACTCAGGTGATTGGAATGAAATTTGCAGGGGAGATTTAACATCAGATGTAGGTGTATTGTGCAAACTTAGAGCTCTGTAGGACAATTTTACATACCTGCATAAGAAGATGTGTCACTCTTAGTTAAAGGGACACTGACACACACCAAAAATGTTTTTTTTTGTCAAGCAGTCCATTACGGTGTCAGAAGACTAACCCAATCAATATTTTGCTACAACGTCACATGTACTTTTAATGCAACTACTTGAAACTGAAACTAAAATTGGACTGGGGAGGAAGAGGAAATATAAAGGAGGAAAAAATTACCAAAACTCGCATAACTGTGCAACTTTTTTTTTTTTTTCAATGAATGTTTTTGCAGCTTTTTACAAGCCACAAAAAATGGGTGTCATATTTTTTTCTATTTTTAGCATTGAGTGTGTGTCTTCAATGACCCAAAAATTTGATTATCTTTGGGGGTTGTGTACGTCTGACCAATAGAAAATGGCACGTGACCACGGTGAAGAGAGTGAGCGCGACTCAAACTGGCCAGTTCTCGATCGGTGGTTTTCAGGCAGAAAGAAAACAAATTTCGAGCCCCAAATTGTGTTCTGGGTCGTTGGGCTCTCATATGTCATGCACAAATAAAAACATTGGCGAGCATAGATACCCTGTCAGTGTCAGTGTCCCTTTAAGAAATTTATGATATGCAAATGATGCCCTTAAGCACCATTTTGACTGTTTGAATATAGTAAGGGGAATGTGGGACTATGGGCTATCTAGTTTTTTATAACCCAAATGTAAAAGTTTGAAGAAGGGTTATTACCTCAAAATATGAGATGTATATCTGTCCTATATCCATTTTTGAAAACAGTTTTTTCTCAATGAGGACTTCAGTTTTGAAAAAGTTCAATGTTTGAATGCAAGGTGCATTCATACATTGAACTTCGTTACTTTGTTACCGCCTTACAATGTATTGAAAATATTTTACATCAACGTAACTACTTGGCATATGGTTATCAAATTTAGTGTAATGGTGTATAATTAGTTTCTAGAACCGAAAACCACATATTTAAAGATTAAATCTTACGTCCTACACCTAGTGTTTCTCATCTGCACACTAATTTGTGAACTGGCTCCCAGGTGGTCACCATTCATATATTTTGTTAAAATTATTACTTATAACTACCTTGCTCGTTGCCAGCGTCTACTACGGCGTTCTCAGCGTTTTGGCGTTCAGCAAGCCACCCGGGAACAAGCTCGTAAACCAGTGTGCAGACAACGAACAGGCTAGTACGGGACATATAAAATGCACGGTCGTCGTAGTTGCTTTACAGGTATGTGCATTTGGAATTTGAATTTTGCCAGGAGCACCAAATGTGCTGGTTCTTACAACTCCTCCCCGTACAATGCTTGCCGAAAAACCCTCCAATGCTGACGAAACAAGCCCTCAACAAGTGACCCGCATCAAATCTATCTGGAGCGCAAATTCGTCTGCTTCTTTTGCAGGGGTTCGGGTGACGTCAGAACGCCAAGCCCCAATTAGTTGTGATTGAAGGATAGTGGGTAGACCTTAAGTCAGCTTGCTTTGAGGTCTACTCACTATCCTTCAATCAGAGCCAATCAGAACTCCGCATCGTTCTGACGTCACCACAACTCCTGCGCAAGAAGCAGACAATTTGCTCTCCTCCTTGGCTTGTAGGTTAGCCAGCATAAAGAAATGCGTGTTCAGGTGGTGCTATACAAAAAAAAAAGGTTAATGTCCATGAGCTGGGAAGGTGCATACCATATTCCAGCCAGGGCAGCCTTCACGCCAAGCAATGTGGACTGTCGCAGACCGTCTTGAAGTAACTGCTCCAAGGTGTTGTACGGCTGTAGCCGTATGCCTCCGTACTGAAAAAGACGGTAAGGTACGTCCTAAGTGGCTTATTGGAAGAACACTATCTGCAGCGGAGTGACCACGTGAAACTGACAAGGTTTATCAACTTAAAACAACAACGGACCTTCAAAATAATGACAGTATGGTTTCAGACCTTGCTGTTTTTATTCATTTTGCCCGTAAATTTAAGTAAATCTGCTGGTTCCCTCTCATGATTTTGTACTGTGTAATAACCTCAAGTTTTATAAGCGCCCGTATTGCTGCTACACCTACGGTGGAAAAAGAAAAAGATGGCTGAGTGAGACCAGCCAAGGCGACAGAAGTCTGCCCGGTCTTTGCGCATTTCCTGGCAGGAGCACTGTCGATGTGGGGCCGCTGCGCGGCCTTGTAAATGCGTTTGCGAATAAGAACGGTTCCTCGATTGCTTCTCCTTGGCCCCTCGCATGCTGCACCATCTCACAGAGTTTGGCAGAAATGCGAGCCAACCTTTGACACACTTGTCCCAAGGCAAGGCGGTGCCATTCACAGATCCCTCTCTTGTTCTGCCGTGGCTGCACCCAATGCTTTCGCGCCATTTGCACAACGACCAATCAGAAAGCCGGAATATAGAACAGGAATCCTGCCTATGACGCGATTGACCCGAGACATTTTGTAGCACCTTTTGGAGCAGCCAAACGTCCATTATGAAGTAGCGAAAAGTACTTTTGGAGCATAAGCACGCACTTGATTTTTATTCATACCACTGTGAATATCAGATTTGTGTGTTGACCTATCGAACTGAAAAACGTGCATGCTTTGCCTTAACACTTCTGTGCAATGGCAGGTTTCATTTATTCAAACACAAAACTGGCTATTTAGTTGCTCATAGAAGCACTAGGCATGGCAACAAGATGCTGTTCGATGAAGGATGGGATGGACTGCTGTGAATAGTCATTTTAGGTATGAAATAAAATGTAAACCAAATATTATATTGCACTAAAATAATGTCAAAATAATCTTGAGCACACAAAGTGATATTTCATTCAAGTTCCTAAAGGTTGTGATAAAACATGAATTCTTAATTCACTTAAAAAAAAAATAGTTTGCCATTAAATTATGAGAATTAATGACATCCGGCATGTAGAACCTCATAATAACAGAGATCGGCATGTGAACGATAAGTATGTTTTCTTAAAACAATCCAGCCAGTGTTTTTAAGGTTGTTCCCAAGCTTCCTTCTTCTGCTTCACCTATTTCAGTTTTAATTTATTTTATTTACTGTGCCTCGAACGGACAAAACATATATAAAGATAACTAAGCAACAGAGTTCAAATAAAAATAAACCTATAGAGCAGAATTTATATAAATTGTCTTGCGTGTTTAACGTCCCGCTCTGGGAGAATGCTTTTCCTTTAGCACTCGGATGCACTGCGGCGAAGCAAGATAAGCAAAACTGAGACGTAATTACCTCGCGGTTGTCGCTTCACTGCAGTACACGAGAGCGCGGTGAGAAGCGCACTCAACGAAGTTAACGTACACACCAGAGCAGACTAGGAACATGAGGGATATTGCGAAAATTTGGAGTACTATCACAGAGAAATCAAATAGGATAATATATGCGATTAGCAGCTAAAATCGAAAGTTGCAAAAATTCGCATAAGCCTACCATAATGATCCCGTGTAGCGGGTCTGAGCACTATTTTAAGTATTAATAAAATGATATCGAGCTTTGGCGCAATGCTAGCGCTCCTCACATCTTAGCTAAATTTAGCATGATGTCGCAGGGTAATTGCCCTTTGACGCAGTTTGGCGCAAATGGCGCAGCAATCACATCACTCTTCTGCCGATCGCGGATCTACGTGCCCGTAACGTGGCCTTGACGGGCGCCCAGCGACCTTGCGGCAAACTGCCAACACCGACGTTATCGTTGGTTGCGCTATAACGGTTTCGTTTTGACAGCAAACGTGGCAAACAACTCACCGCCTGCCCGCGGTCGGTGCGCCACAGGAAAGCCGTGAGCAAACAGCCCGTGCGCAGCCCGAGCTGCATGAACAGGGCCTCGTGCCGGCGAAACTGCCGCTCCCGGCCCGTGTTCATCCAATCCGCCAACTCCTGGATCTCGGGGTGCGAGGTGACGACGGACTCGCCGTTCCACACGGCGAAGCATCGCTGAATTTTGCGAGACCGGAGGAACTCGACGAACTGGGACGGCCGAAGGGAGAGCAGTGTGCGCTGGGCCGGTTGCACCTCTCCGCTGTGTTGGAGACGGCGGTGCTGGGTCGACACTTGCGCTGGCGCCGAGCGCACAGCTGCGCGAAGGCTACGCGTTATGAAGGAGAGCATCGGTGCTGCGAACGTGACTGGCTACATTTAAGAGTGTTTACGTAACGGTTATGCACCGTTTCTGCGGTCCGTAGACGAGTCTTTTTCCTACTGCGCAGAGGAAAGCGAAGCGGCTGCTAGCGATCGAGTTTTACTTTCTGGGCGGATGGGCGGCGCCATCTTAATGTATGGTTGCTAGGTTGATTTGTTTGTAGATAGCCAGATATATCTCAAACGCTGCACAATGAAAATAAAAAGTTAAACATCGGTTATTTTTACACACTTAATTTAATTCATAACGTCTAAAATTACATAAAACATGTTTGCAAAATAATTAGATGTATAGAAGCAACTAAACGTTTTGAATTGGGCGGTGGCGTAGAAAAGTCCATACTTTATTTTGTGAATTCAGTATGTAATGGTCATTTTTATTACGCGGGTAATATATATGATAAATATCTCAGGTAGGGGCGTTATCTCAGGTATGTTCTCAGCTTAGGCTTTAAATCCATCAGATAAAGGGTAGAAATAAAAATACTCGCCAGATGCCGCAAGCCGCCGCCAAATGTAAAGATGTCAGCTGAATGTATATATCTATATGCATTAAAAAATGACGTCATGTTGTTTAAGTCTAGTCGCTTAGTAGAAGCTGAGGCGTGACGTTGTAGTGCGCACGTGACTCATTTAGTTCTTCTGCTGTTTTCTGCTCAGCAACTCGCTTGGCCCGCTGGTCTCGTTCGCGTTAGCTGCTGACGGCCGCTGTCGTCCATCCCTTGCGTGCTCTACGCCGTCGGCGATCGGTCGGTGGACACTCCCGGCCGACGAGATGTTGTCGCTCATCAACAGGATCCTTGACTGGTTCAAGAGCCTCTTCTGGAAAGAGGAGATGGAGCTCACGCTGGTGGGACTTCAGTATTCGGGGAAGACCACCTTCGTGAACGTCATCGCCGTGAGTGTTGGCTCGCTGGGGCGTCGCTTTTGTCTCCGCTCCGCTTATCGTTGTTTTGTGTGCTCGACTAGAGAGAGCTGCGGGGGTGCGGTGTGGTCGAGCTAGATTTATTCTCTGTTCCCTTTGTGCGCTGGCTGTGGCGACGATGTGGTCATTGTTGCTAAATCGCCACCGTCGCTTCTCTGCACCGAAATGCGATGGGGCCCCGTCGTCAAGGGATAGAGGCAGCTGACCGCCCCGAGGCGTCGCTCGTAGACCTGACATTAAGGTGAAATAAAAGACCAGCGTAGTTGACCTCCCTCTTTTTTCTTCTGTAAGTTCTCTAATATACAGTCTCAACCGGCTGTGGTCAAACGGTAACACTCGCACTTCGAGCCTTCGCTTATTCTGAGAAAGTATTTACGCGGTAGAGTAAAGCTATACGCACTCCGGAGTGCGCTTCGGACGGAATTGGCTATACGCACTCCGCTTTTCTCGTATAAAAAGAGTGGACACAACAAGTTTCCTAAGCGGTGCCATGGCGTAGTGGTTAGGGTGCCCGCTTCATACGCAAGTGGACGCGGGTTCGATCCGCGGTGGGCCTACTTTTTTTTTTCTTTTTCTCAAACATTTTGTTTTGTTGAGGCATTTGGCGATATTTACGACATTTCCTTTTTTGCAATGAACAGTAAAAAAAAAAAAAAAAAATCGATTGTTGTCGAGAAACTTTGCAGAACTAAATGGTATCGGACTCCCTTTCCGGAGGTGCGATCGGGGACAGCGGGGCTTGGATTGCCGGCTGGACGCCGCGAAGCGGCGTGTACTGGTTACGCTTAGTAATTAGCAGCCGATACTGTCGCCGCGAAGCGGCGTGAACGCAGGCGGGGGGCTGTGTTAACGAGCGCCCCAGTGATTCACGCGCCGTTCGAAAAGGGTGGCCCGAGCGGCATGATCTCTCGGAGGAGTGCGTATAGCCATTTCCGCGCGAAGCGCACTCCGGAGTGCGTATAGCTTTACTCTTTACGGTATGTCGGATTTTGCGCTTTCAAGGCGTCCTACAAAATTCGCCGCCACTGGGAAGCTTTTATTTTCCTGTAATTGTTTTGCGTTTTCTAGTTCCTCATTGTAAACTGCTGACACGGTTAGCTTTTGTTTGTTTTTTTCCACGATGACAACCTGGCTTAGCGAACCTAGACGCGGGCCAATACTGCCAATACTCTCTCTTGCGCGGGCATCTATCACAAATGTATACCATTTCGCCGGCCCTGTTTCGTGTGCTTCAGTGTTTTCGTTGTTTTGCAGTCTGGACAGTTTTGCGAAGACATGATACCGACGGTCGGCTTCAACATGCGAAAGGTGACCAAGGGAAATGTTACTATCAAGGTAAGCTCCTCAATCTTCGCTTGCACTAAGCATGGGCATGTTGGAAATGCTGTTTGTGGTTGTCCATGTTTTTTTTTTTTTTAATTATTCTTTTTTAAAGTTTAACATTAATGATGGAAGCTACAGACCGACGCGCTGTTTACAAACAAGCCCGCGTTTGCCCACACCCGGTGTGGGCACTGCGCGTGCGCAGAAACGGAATTCGCAAAATGTGAAGCGTCTGCGCATGCGCAGTGCCGTCGACAGCGCCACCGCAGCTGCGTGACGTCAGGGCCGCGTGTTGGTCTACAAGGAATCAGCTTCCTAACCCAAATGTTGTGCACCGTTGGCAGTTAGTGAAATAAACACGCTCGCGTTTATAATAATACGTTGGTATGACAATAAATCCACCCGCAAGATGTCAACCAGTGCTTCAAACAGATTGTGCGACTTCACACGTTCAACAAGCATTGCGCTTTCCACGAATTGCAAGTTTGTCACATCACTATAATGAAGGAGTTGTTTTATGTTTGCATTATTTGCACTTTAAGCAATTTCTGTTGCTTGAAATGGCGCAAGTTCCTGCACTCTCCAAGCATTGCTAAAAAGCAGAATGTATGTCCTTTTTTAAAGAATACCTGTTTGACAAATTATAGTGCAGCTTCGATTTTGTAGTAGGGTGTGGATGAAATTCTCCTGTTCGTGATCATTTGAAAAGTTCATAGGTGACAATGGCAGTTGAATTCCAGTTTTTCTTTTTTAATGGTCGACCCAGTGTTTTTGTTGCTGCCAGCTTGCATGTTGCAGGCTTGGATCAAAAGGTTTTGTCTTGTAACTGATAAGAGAATGTTTCTGAGCTAGTGATTTGAGTGACCCTTACCACGAGTTCTATGATATGTGCTTGCAACAAATCCTTGATCACGTATTGCACCTTTGGCTGAAACTCTGCATACCTTCAGCCCCGTTACAAAGCAACAATGCATTTTTCACATTAAGATGACGTCTTGCTGTTAGTGTGCAGCGACGGTGGCCATGTGTACATGGTCGTTTCATGCCGATGTGATCGCTGTGATCGCTTCTCAATTATCCTGAGACCTCCTATCCAAGCTCGGTCACTTGTGAAAAGTGTTTACCATTGTTCCCATCATCTCAGTGGTTCTACAGAATGTAAACTAACGCTTCTAAGGCACTTTAGATGGCCCGCAAGAATCGACTTCTCTGCGTATGACACTGTGATTTACTCTCGAGGTGCGAGCAGGTGGTGGAAGTTTACAGTGTAAAATTCAAGAAATTAACTTCTCTCGTGCAAAAGAAGAGAGAAAACCTGTTCTGGGTAATCTACGTCGACGTCACTACTCCGCAGACGATGCCTGCGTAGTGAGAAATGCTGCCGACAGATGGCGTACACCGCGTTGAGGGAGCGTATGCCATCTGTTGGCAGCATTTCTCACTACACAGGCATTGTCTGCGAAGTGGCAATGTAGATTATCCATACACTGCTGTTTTTGTTTTTTACGAGTATAGTTTCATAGTTTTTCTTTTTATTTTTTATTACTGAAAAGTACCACCACCTGCTTGCACCTCCAGTAAATCGCAGCGCGACGTATTGAGGAAAAAAATTCTGCGGGCCGTCTAAAGTGCCTTAAAAGTGTTAATTTAGATGCTGTAGAACCCTCTCTCCCATTATCTCCCTCTCCATTGGGCTTTGAGGATCTCTGCAAAGCAGCAACCAGGCCTTTATAAGCTTGATTGTTTCCTTTTTGTCTCTCTTTAAAGCATTCTACTAATCAAAATGGCTTTCAAGAGTGCCCTTTTCAACTGTGGACAGAGTCTTTAAAGGGGTACTCTGGCGGGTTTTTTTTTAGCTATTCCTGCTAATCATATTTTTGCAATCACCGGCCTTTACCCTTTCCAGTTTCCTAATTATTATTGTGAAATTTGGAATAGTTATTGTTAAATTGGCAAATGAAAATGATGCCAAAACCAACATTCAGATATGCTCGCGCTTTTCGGTGCCGTGATGCGAGGGGAAGGCAGCCTTGCAGGTCTAGTGGGCAGTCTAAAAATCGACAATATGGAGCGCTAGTTTCGTGCTACTGGGCCGGTGCTGGAGGGGAGCTTTCAAAGCTTTCGTTTGACACCATGAAACTGCTTGTAATCAGTTGGGAACAAAGTCTATTGTCCACAGAATGAGCCCCTGCCCTCCGCTGTCACTTTTTCATTGTTGCCAGTAGAGACTTTCACCTTGAAAAAACACGTTCAGGGCTAAAACTGTATGTTTAATAACTTTGCAAGAAAAAAAAAAAATTTTGGCTCAATATTTGGGGTATTATTTTATCAATGCTTTTTGGTGTGTTTTAGCAAATTTCAAGGCAATTCAGGGACTACGAAGAAAATGCCAGAGTACCCCTTTAAAAAGAGACTATTCAAACTGTAGTTTGAAACGGGCTTACGTCTAACGGATAAGAATGGACTCTTCTTATCATCGAGGTTTGTTGGTTGTCAAACCACAAATGTCCAAGGCATCTCATCGTCATGTGACTCATCGCTACACACCTCATCGTCACATGACTAGGACTAAATATTTCCACTTTTTCTAATTGTTTTATTTTTGAAGCCTGCCACTAACACCTGCTGCTATTTCTTTTTTTTTTTTTGCTTCCATGCAGTTTTTTGCTAGCCCTGGAACAGAGTTCCGAGGTCACTTCATCGGGGCTGTCTAAAACTCTTTTTTGCTGCATGTTAGTACATGCTGCCATAGCTGTATGAATCTGCTCTTTCTAAGCATTAAAGTAATGTGTTTTTGTATGTAGGGAATTGGTGCTTTTAATCTGTTCCAAGAGAACCTGAACATTGATGATTAAGGTTTTACTCCATTCAGCTTATGAAATGTTATGATCAGTCGAGCAGCTGTTTGGTCGACATACTCAGTTCTTTAAAGAATTTGTCTCGTATGCAATTCACAAGGGCCTCTTATTTACTGTTCGCATTGCCTGTTCGTCGGACAAGCGTGAAAACTTTTGGGTGCAAGAAATTGGATGTGGATCGCGTTTTGTTGATTGACCTTGTTTCACGTCCGCGAGATAATTTTGTTGACATCCACATATCTAGGGGGCACTTGAGCATGAGATATTGCTGCACTAATACAACGTCTTCGAATCTCTGAATTTGTTTTGGCTGTACATGTGTTTCATTGTTCATGTTTAGAGGAAAGCATATATAACAATATAAGAACATGAAAAATCCCTAAAAAAGTTTTTGAGAAGAAAGCAATTTTAAAATCTGCAACTATTTTTTTTTTCTTCTGATTTGCCAGGTTTGATATTTTGTGAAAGAAGCGCTTTCTCAAAACACAATTTGTGGACTTTTTGCCAATGTTCAGGAGGAATATTGGACAAGTCTAGGACAAGGGACTAGGATAAGTTATATTTATACTTGTTTAGGACAAGTATGAATATAATTTATTTTGTAATATATAGCTAAATGTGCAAAGCATGCAACATTGAGAGCAGATTGTTCAATATAGGTGTAAACATATTTTGAAGTGAACTATTGTTTAATTGCTTGGATGCCTCACACTAAAGTTCAATCTGTTTTAAAGTCACTAATAACGGTTCACTCTATAAAGTGCTTCCAACATTGTCTTCCTCATACTTCCTAGTATCAATCAATATGTTAAAACATTTTTTTTAATAGTGTTTTCTCTATGGTTTTTGCAATCAAAGGCTGGTGAGTTATAATTATCCTGAGAACTGCCAAAAAAAATCTCGAGAAGGCCCTCACTCAAATTTTTGAGGTAATCATGTAAAACTGGGGCATGGGTATGTAAAGATAATATGTAAAGATTGTCCTTTGTGCATTTTTTAAATGTTGCAAAATTGAGGGGTGTGCGCTTATCGTGGAAGGGGGGGGATGTTTGGTATTTTATGGTAGGCCACTGATCGATAGACTTGCCAGATATTTGAAATCGGCACAAACATCTGAACAAGCTGGTGCAGTTTCATTGGCTATGCTCAAAAGATAAGCAGGGGTGGAACGGCTGCGCCATTTAGCGCCAGACGCATTTGTCTGCGCCATCCTGCGCCATGTTGCGAAAACTGCGCCACAGCCAATAAACACCTCGCGCCATTATGCACCAAATCGCAAAACGTGCGTCAAAAAATTTGTATTTTGTATTGGTTTCGGTTTCTATCTACTCGATTGGCAACAATGAGCGCGTTTAGCTAGATCGGCCTTGCAATCCTTTGTTCTGTTTATTTTTCCTGTGTATCCCGAGTCGAAAGTGCGCGAAAAAACTCCGGGGTCGGATTCCAAGCGCTACACCACCTGCGACTGGGTTGCCATTTTTCAACCATAAGCGGTTAAGCAAGTCACAAAGAGGTGAGGCCCGGGTTCCGGACGTCAGCCAGTTGAAAACAAATGAGCAAAAGATTCCTTTTAGTATTTCCTCTTTAGAAGTTGGAACCGCATTCCCTCAAGATAAATCGTGATATGATAGAACTGAAACGCGGTCCGATCCGAAACTTTGCCGGCCAGCAGCTCTCACGCGAGCGGTAAATCTGCTCGGCGTATTTAACCTTGGTCCTGCTTATCGCTTAGAATACGATAACTCCGTTAATCCTCGTCTGCTGCTTCGATATTGAGTTGCACAAAAGGATAAACTCGAATTTTGTTGCCATGTTCCTCCGCGCAACTGCACGTCCGCTGCTTACGCACGTCACATGGTTTGCACACATAATTACTATGTCGAGCAAACGTGGGTTGCGCTATAAGCAGTGCTGTTTTGCATTTTGAACAGCTAAAAGCCACTCAGAAAATTTCAAGGACACTATTTTTAGAAAACTATGGCACTTGCTTTTTGGTTCTCATTAAGGCTCACAACGTTTCAAGTTTTCGCATCTGTTACACTGTTATCCCATCTACCTAGGTCCCTAACCACTCGTGTTCATGTGTGCTGCTAAGCACAATCGAAATTGCTCCCGTGCTTGTCTAAGACACAAGCTGAAGTGCAATGAAAACGGATCTGAGCTGCTCCTAGCCTGCTCCAGGACGTAGTTTTAGCTGCTCCTAACCTGCTCCAAAACAGCTGTTTCAGCTGCTCCCGTGGCTGCTCCCAAGTACATTTTAGGAGTTCCACCCCTGGATAAGAAAGCTTACAGACCAGTGTTCTTCTTTAAAGAACATATTAAAATGTCTGGTGTGCCAGGTCGCAGGCCTCAGTCATAAGCAGTGCACATACAAAACGGCTCCTTTTTTTTGGATGAGGATAGTTGCATAACATTAGTAAAAGAACACAGGTATAAACAGTGTACCAGCATCAACTACTGATTAACTGAGTGTACAGAAATATCCGCTATCGCTGTGCCAGTTTTGCGTGTACGTTTCTTTTTTTTTTTTCCGGAGCTTATTTTTGCATTCTTTGTCCGTAATATTGGCTGTGCTTATCTGCTTGATAAGCGAGCTTGGCTTCTATTTTTTTTTTTTTAGTAAAGCTATACGCACTCCGGAGTGCCTTTTGGTCGAAATGGCTATCCGCACTCCGCGGAGAGCTCATGCCGCTCGGGCAACCCTTTTCGAACGGCGCATGTATCACCGGGGGGCTCGTTAACACAGCCCCTCGCCTGCGTTCACGCCGCTTCGCGGCTACAGTATCTGCTGCTAATTACAAAACGTAACCAGTACACGCCGCTTCGCAGCGTCCAGCCGGCAACCCAAGCCCCGCTGTCCTTGATCGCAGCTCCGGAAAGGGAGACCCATACCATTTAGTTCTGCGAAGTTTCGTCAACAACACCATCGCAAAAAAAAAAAAAAAAAATCGTAAATATTGTCAATGCCTTGAAAAAACGTAGTGTTTGAGAAAAAAAGAAGTAGGCCTGTGGATCGAACCTGCGTCCACTTGCATACAAAACGGACAGCTTAACCCATTTGCTATGCCATCGTTTAGAAAACTCGTTGTGACCATTCGTTTTATACGAGTTTAGCGGAGTGCGTATAGCCATTTTGACCGAAATGCACTCCGGAGTGCGTATAGCTTTGTTCTTTTTTTTTAGGTGCATTTCATCGTCTCTTTTCCTGCTGAAAGGTTGTGCAATGCTGGAATATTTTTGTATCATCAAGAACCCATGCTTGCCAAAACAAATTAAAAAAAAATTATAATTTTTGTTTTGTTCAGGAACACTAGATCTGTGTAAGGCTTAATAGCACATAAATTTAATGTGGGGCAGCGATTTCTTATTGTCTGGGACACTTTGGAACTCCATTTATCTTGAATAATTTATTTTGGACGAAGAATATCTTGTCACATCTGAAGCGGGAATTTTCTGCCTTCCATGCTGTCTGCAAAATTTTAGTCAACTTCATATCATAATAAAATCCTCAATTTCTTTTTTCATATTCTTACTTTTTTTCGATGCATTTTATAACTCGAGCAGCAGCTGCAGAGAACGAACAGCCAACCGGACTGATCTCTAACTGGAAAGTACAGGTTTCAATAAAGAATATGAAACCCTGTTTTGCAGCTTACCTAAATAATTTTTGCACCACAAAAAGCTGAAACTTTGTGTGAAAGTGATGCCAGTGGTGAAGGTAGAATGCGAAAGTTTGGGAGCTTTCCTTCACTTGGACAAAAGTATAAAATGGGTAATGTAATTTCTCTATGAAGCATCCTCCACCTGGGCCTGATTGGTCATACCAGAAATGGTATTATGGGCACCTGCGGCATTTATTTTATTGCAAAAAAAAAACTTGTCCGCCAAAAACGACGATCTTGTTTGCTTTCTTGTTGACAAGCTTTTTTTTGTTTGATGAATATTGGGCCTAGGTGGATGTCGGTTTATAAGGAAATTTTGCTTTTCTGTTTCTTGGTATTGTTGTATTCTCAAACCTTTCCATTCTATCGTCACCACTATTGCCACATTCACGTGAAGTTCCGGTTTTCTGCCACGCCTAATTGTTTTGTGTGGGCCCAAAAACGAGGCTTCTTTCTCAGTCGGACCGCATAGTGTCTTATTCCTAAAGACACTTTGCTTCCTGGAAAGTAAACATGCGTAGTTTGTTACGTGACCTATCCCCGGCAATAAACCTCTTCCATGTGTAATGGTGATATGCTTGGAAATGTTGTATTAAAAGGATGCCATTCATCTTATTGCCTTTAGCCATGTTCCCCAAGGTAGTAAGTTGTCGTGCATGCACATATGGGGCACACAGTGATTAGGCGCGACTGCGTGTCAGTTTGAGTACTCTTATGTTTGGATGGTCGCTCTCAACTGCCTTTTTTTTGCAGATCTGGGACATCGGAGGGCAACCCAGGTTTCGCAGCATGTGGGAACGATATTGCCGAGGTGTCAACGCCATTGTGTGAGTTTGTCAATCCCTTTCGGATGCGACGATGAGCGCTTGCCAGCATGCAGTCTAGTGATGCCGCAAGCGTTTTAGACCAAACTGAAGGATCTCAGGAAATGTTCTTGCTGTGTTGTGTGGCAGAACGGTTCTATCTAAAATACACTACATTTTGGCTTCACTGCAGTTGAACTTTACGGTACGAGACTCTGCTACAAGGAACTGTGTCGTGTGACTGCCTGCTACGCAATCCACGGCGGTCGGTCAAGAAAATGAAATGCTGTTTTTCTGCCTGCAGAAAAAAACTATTCCTCGCAGGAAGCTAAAACACAGTGAGAATGTGACGCTAGTGGTGGTGACAAAATGTGGAACTCTGAGATCAAAAGATGCGAGAGAAAAACCAAATTTCTTTACGAGCCAAGGTCCACCTAAGACTAGCGATTATCGGAATAAGAAATAACTTTGTGGACGCCTGTAGCATTGGTTTTCATGAGAAAAAAAAAACTTGTCAGACGGAAAAAAAGCAATGTCGTCTTTCTCGCTGGCAAGCTTCTTTCACTGCAATGAATGATTTATGGGCCGTGTTTGCAGAACAAGGTACGCAGAAGAGCCCCTCTATCGTCTGCAAGTGTCTCCGACCCCTACCTTTCTCACCATGCAACAGTGCACACACATGTGCTTACACCCAGTCTATGTCGGAGGCGTCCACCATTAAATTTCAAGTTCTCTCTATAGTCGGTTTGAGTTGCCCTCTCTTAAGTCTAAGGTCTCTACTCATTGTAAGCAGCGGCTGCAGTGCACTCAGTTGCACTTAAACACAAATATATGGTCCGGCCTTTATGGCGACGCCTGTGCAGAGTGCAAATTCGACTGCTTCTTGCGCAGGGGCTGCGGTGACGTCGGAACGCCAAACTCCGAATGACTCGATCGGAAGGATAGTGGACCTTGAGGCAGCTAGCATCGAAGTCTACCCACTATCCATCCAACCGAAGCCAGTCGGAGCTCGACGTTCAGACGTCGCCGCAAACCCCGCGCGAGAAGCGGACGAACTTGCGCTGCACACACTCCGTCTCACCGTAACCTGGCAAAGGCTACGGTCGCAGTAAGTAAATCAGGGCGTCGGAGGGAGGCACGAGACTCTACTCCATCTCACCAGTTACATGCAGCGCTGTCAAAGCAACGGGCGGGAGTAAGGAGAAAACCGCTTTGAGCGACAGACAGATATTACGCTCCCGCCGCTGTACCTTTGGCAAGGGCTGTCACGCACCTTGCCTCTGTCGCTCTAGTCAACTGGAGGTGGCTGTAGCGCTCACTCGTTGCCAAGTTGCGGCGAAACAGGGTATGGTTGTCAAACTCCTTCTGTTTCCGCGTCGCTTCCTGACATCCCACTCCGCGATTGGTCGCAGCTACATGGTGGACGCCCACGACCAGGACAAGATGGAGGCGTCTCGCAACGAGCTGCACAACCTGCTAGACAAGCCCCAGCTGGCGGGGATCCCCGTGCTGGTGCTGGGCAACAAGCGGGACCTGGCCGGCGCCCTTGACGAGAAGGAGCTCATCGACCAGATGTGCGTGTGCGGCCCAGCTCGGGCCCACATTCTCAAACTCGTCGGCAGACACGCTTCGCGGAAGAGCGTAGTTCCAAAACGGTCCTTCTCCGTTGCCCACTCGCTGACAAATGCGGACGGATAGGGATCCTGGTGCAACCGGCGGCATCGCTTCCACGGATGGCGGAGATGGACTCTTTTAGAGCGACGCTCTGTTTGCTCACACTTTTCTGTAGTCATAAAAACCGCAATATAATCGCTTCGGTCCACAGAGCAGGCCGACAGCGTACGAGCGCAAACGAGCAGACGCGTCCCGAAAAGGCGCCGGGCGTTTTCGCAAGCTCGTCGACAGACTTTGATATAGTAACGTCAATCTCAGTAGCGCTGGATCTGGAACGCATTTGGGACCGGTGGCCGCACCCCTCTTTGTGGTCCTTCGACTTCTGCCCGACGTCTCTGCAATTTCCTTGTGTCGTCATCCGTCGTTATCCTGGTGGTGGCACGGCAGTGGAAGTGAAGTGGCGGGTGCTTGTGGTGCTCCAGGTCACTTTTGAGCCTGGTAGTAAACCGAAGCTTTGGCTGCCAAGAGTCGGAGTGCCGCTATAACGGCGATGCTTGCATTTGCTCATCTTTTTTTCACTGAGCTTTTAGGACCAACCTCCAACTGCACGACATGCTGGCTCCTGTGATGTCATTTGTGCTTCACTTCGGGGCGACTTTCAGCGCGTGTCCGGCGTTGGCATGCTGAACACACCAGTCTACGGTGCATTCCAGGCTCCTATTTATAGTGCTTGTTTCAGAGCCAATAGTAATTTACTTGGTTAGTTACCTTCAGCATTGCTGAGAAGAAAAGATTGCATAAGTAGAAAATATAAGGGGAAAAAAACTTGTAGCAGCAAAGATAGTATACAATGGTTAGCGCTCTTTTCAGAAAAAGGTTAGTCATGGCAGTTTGAAAACTCGCGTTATCGGGGATTTCGTCAATGGCTTGGGGAAGGGACTCTGTTTTTGAAGTGCTGGAAAGGACAGACTCGTGAAACATTCTTGTGCAACAGGACGGAATGCCAACTTTATGACTGCGATCGATATATGCTGAAATGTGAGGTTTTTGTTAGTAGCCTTAACTTCAAATATTATATATTTTGAAGCAAGCAGAGACTAATAAATTTTGTATGTTGTCAAAGGAGTGATAGCAAGTTTAGATTTATTGCAGTGGCATTAGGGGTATGATCATAGTTAAATTTTGTCACGAAATGCTCAGTTTTGTGCAACCTTCAATTCCAAGATGAGCTGTTCAAGACGAGAATCTGAAACGGAAGCTGCATATCCAAATTCAGTACAGACTAGGGTTATGATCGATCAGAACATACTCTTAGCATACCGACCTAGCGGCACATAGAGGCGGGTAACACGTGAAAAGATTGCAGGGCTGCCTGGTATCTCGAACATATGCTAGTCTTTTTCACTGTGGTTAGGTCGGTAAGAATTGCATAAAGGGAATGGTGAGTTAATTGCGTGGAGTTTGTACGAAGCGGTAAGCAAACATATTTAGCCGAAAAATTTTGCGTTACAAGCATATGTGAAGTGCCAGCTTTGGAGTGAGTTTGGAAGAAACGGGGGCTTTTTCCCAACAGGAACCTTTCGGCCATCCAGGACCGGGAAATCTGCTGCTACTCTATTTCCTGCAAGGAGCGAGACAACATTGGTGAGTTCCATTTGCGAACGGACCCTCGAGCGCGCCGGTTGGGGATTTCTCTATCGACCAAGGATTTTGTTCTAATTAGGCACGCGGGCCGTCGCTGCTGTCAAGAAATTCCTTCATAGATGCACAGTGTTTACCAAACTTAGAAATGTAGATTGTGTGGTGAAAGAACTGGTACTGGTTGATAACATGGTTTTAGATGATTGATAACACATTTAGTGAGAGACCAATAACGGTAAGGAAGTGTTCGGTTGCGATCAGACCTGGAAGACGACCTGGGGAAGGATGGGCTTTCGCAACCTCACCACTGTTGTCTGCGGTTGCAACCTGAGATAGTGCGGTAGATAAGGTGGCAAAAGAAAGTGTAGTGACAGAGGTATGCACTCTCTTGGGGCAAGTGCATTAGTGTAAGTACAAAAACTCGAGGAAGAATTGAACAAAGACTGAACACGGACAGCACATTGTATTTTGACCTTCAACACAGATAGTCGAAAGATGCGCTATCTGTGATCTGTCTTTCTGCGTTTAATTCTTTTTTAAGTTTCTGTAGATGAAACATACTTCTTGTTTTACTTTTTTAGACATTTTCAGTTTGGACTCAGTTGGGAGGTTTACTTCTGTCTAGGCTGTCTGCATTTTCTGGAGTTTTAGCCCTTTATACAAATAAGCCAGGTAAATTAGTAGACGGATTGCCTAGAGCCTCTGAGCATTGTGAAAGTACCGCATTCTATAACGTTCACTTTGCCTATCGAGCCTTTTGATTGGCTCATGTTGGCCACATTGTTGCCATAACGAGAAATTAAACGAGCTTGTATGCATGGGAGCTGTAAACAGCTTGTGAATTCCAACCGATCGCCGTAAGGATTCCTGTGTCAAGTGGCACATGTGATCTAGTTTACAAATGGGAAATTTCGGCCTTCTTGTGAGGAGACTGTGCATGGTATGCCCACCCGCTTCAGTTTGACTGTTCGAGGTCACCATAGTGTAGCCGACATCGAAATTAGACATGGGAGTTTTGGTGCCCTGGGAAGATTGCCTGTCTTGCTTTCCTTTTTACATTATAGTACTTAAAAAGAAAGCGGATGCGACTTAGAAGTGGCATCCATTTTTGTAATCGCTTACGAGAGAGCATAGTGGTGCCACCTATCCGGTAAACTGAAGCCCTTCAGATCTATTCATAACTAGACCGAAGGTTTTGCTGGACTTGCGAGATTGAATCTATGCACAATCTATACATGGCTTGCACTGACGTCACATTGCATACTTCTGACCACCATGTAACAGGAGGAGTACGAAACTGCCTTTGTGAAAGTTTTGAGTGATGGGTTAATCTTCTGTGGCGTCTGTGCAAATCCGGGAGGCACAAAAGAGGATCCTGGTAAGAGGGGAGCTCCTTCTTTTTCTCTTCTCTGGTGGTCGTCGGAGCGCTCTTTAAATGACGTCACTTGCAAGCCATGCATGGGAAATGGTCGCTCGTAACACTGTCAGGATTAGTTGCAGCGAGCGGTGAAAGATTAAACTCCAACGATGGCACCAGTGTGCCCTCATAAACGATTGCAACTATCCACCCAAGTGGCAAGTTCGAATTGCAGCCGGGTTGTTTTTATTCTGGAGGAGACCTATTATTGCAAAGAAAGCGCTGCGTAACCGAGCTTCCTCTCTGGCATCCGAAGATCCCCGGGTGGTCGAAATTAATCCTCGGCCCTGCACCGGGGCACTTTGGATGTTCTTTGTGTCGGTTGGGCACTTAGAAACCCACAAACTCGGTAGCAGCTCGTTCGATCGTGCTTGGGCACAAACGCGTGGACCAGCCTTTTAATCCGACGTAAGAAACCGTGCGAGCGCCCACTCAAACTCTGGGAATAATTGCGAAAAAATGGGGGATGTCTGGTCATCAATTTCACATATAAATATGTACTGTGCATATTTTCATTGGATCTAACTAATTTGGGAATGGGCGGATGCGCGGTATTGTAGGGTGCGTCGTACAAAAGATACGGTGTTTGCTGCAGACGCGACGACGAAATTATCTGCGGGCACGCCTCGGGCTTGTTTGAAGCACGTCTGTTTCGTGCGCACGTATGCTTCGAACGTGTCTGCAGACGGTTCTGGCACGACCAACGTGACCGTCGTACGAGGAAGAAACGCTCCTCATACGGTGGGTGCAGACTGTCTCTTGCACGATGTATTGACTGCGTGACCTCGACTTAATGCAACATCACCTTAACACCAACATCTTCAGACACCGTCCGAGGCACGTTTTTTCCTTGTAGGCAACAATCGCATTGTCCCATTCATCGCATGAGTACCGACTGCGGACGTGCTCGAGGCGTGCCCACAAATAATTCTGCTGTCGTGTCTTCGGAGAACATTGCGTCCTTTGTAGGACATTGAGCAGTGTGACCCCGGGTTCGGTCCTCAGTTTTTCGTAGTGCTCGATTGCTGTCTGTATTCCCGCTTTTGAAAGAATTTCTTTTTGTCTCCACCTCCGCAGACATCACCCTCCAATGGCTCATTTCACACTCTAAATCGTCGGGGCGCTGACGCCCCGGCGGCCACCGGGCCCTCTTGGGTCTTGTAGCGTTGCCGCGGACCTGCCGACTGCCCCAGCCAACACCCTGCAACCCTACGGAACCTGCCGAGGCCTTCCGAAGACCGCCCCTGGTGCCTCCTCGGCGATGGCCACTCGACACGCACCTCGTCGGAGCGCTATGGGGGGAAACTGGGCACGGGTCTTTGGGCAAGATGTTCCTTGTGACCTTGGCAGTCGACACTACCGTGGGACTCCTGCTGTTCTTGCGTGGGCTATTGACGAGCGTTGGCTCAAGATCGAGGCTGGATTTGGGCACATTCCACGGGAAGGACACCTTGGCTTTGTTTGTTCCGGGCGCTGTCTATTTATGCCTTTATTCAACATCTAGCCGTGCAACCTAATTTCTGTGACGACCGAGCGTTTTCCCTCTATTTCCTTTTCTTTTATTTGATTTTGTGGATGCGAGAGATTGAGGGCGATGGGTATGGTATTGAGTCTGGTACCTGCTCGCCCCTTTTGCCATGCCTAATGTTTTTTTTTGGTTTGTTCAGAATAAAAGTTGTAGTGACTTTTTACGACTGTCTTCTTTTGTTTTCTCAAGCCATTTCTGTGCGCGTCAAAAATGAAACCAGCATGTGTGAAGCTGTGGAGAGGGTGGAGGAAACTGCTAGCGCTGCCAGGTTGGTGCTGAGTGTGGAACATTTGTTTTGTGGAGCGTCCTAAATGAACAAATAGCTCGCCGTTTTGTGTTGGACGGTAGCTTGCGCCACCTAGCCGAGAAACATGTACACCCCTTTTCTTTAAATTTTCCATCGCTCCACCTCTCCTTCTCCTGGCTTCCCGATTTACCTTTACTCCGCCCTAAAATAGATGACATCCACTTTACATTTTTGTTGTAAACACTGAGACTAGCCCTGGTGCTGCTAGTTTTAGTGTAACTAGGCCGATGTAAAAATATGTTGATATTTGCAAAATAAAACAATTATTCAGAAAAAAAAAAAATTTTTTTTTTCGGACTACTAAAAATTATGCGCAAAAATTAGTGCTCTTATTTTCTAGCAGCTTCACTGCTGCGAGAGCTCAGTATATTTTCAACTTTAAACCTCAACATTGTCCTTGTTGCCCGACAGCCCCGACAGAAATGATTGATTAAATCGTCGGTTTATTTGCTGCCCTGAAAATTCGTAACAGATGTTCACCTCATCTCCACGAAGAGATGGAGAAGGTCCCTTGTTTTTACGACCGGCTTATTTAGATTCTAGCTCCTACGCTGTTTTCATTGCGCGTGCAAATTCTCGCCACGGCTTTGGTCAGTTTGATTCTTGCCATCAGTTTAGATAGTGACAAGCAACGTTAGTGACAGGCGACCCTAAAAACCGTGCCAACCATACGGACCATATGCTTCCAACTCCTTACCCTCCCCAAACACTGACGTCACAACACAATAGTCTGGCGGAGTGTTACAGTTTCAAGCAAAATAGTTTATTTTGCACTAATACGTGCTAGTAATCTTCGTAGGGTAATCCATGTTTGTAAAAACATGTGAAATAATATTACGCAAACGTTTAATTCCGTAACAGGCTCTTAAAATGCCGGTTTGGCGTGGAACTAATTTTTTTATCGCGGAAGCACCTTTCACGTAGTCGTTCTCCGACGCCCACCGGCCCACCTCCCTTGCTCTGCTCGGCTGGGGGTTTGTAGGCTCGGTGCTCCAGTAAACAATTAGCAGTGCTCGAAGAACTCTATTGCGGCCCTCTCTAACGCCATGGACGAAGACTACGATGCCATCGTGCTAGGCACCGGCCTCAAGGTATGCCTCCCGTCTGCTCGGAGTTCGACACAAGAGCCGTTTTCCCCTTGCTTGAGAGGGGCCGGCGAGTGACCTGTTAGGCCTAGCAGCCGTGCATTTGTCACCCCGTGTTTCTGAAATGTGTCGGTGTACGAATTGGTTCGCTGAACCGGCACTGCATAGAGTTCATGTGATTCCCCGAAAGCCTCGTGTGTTTTCGATGGGTTTGAAGGCTGCGAAGAGCTGGGGGGAAGCGTTTGCACGCTCCACGACATCAGCCGACCAGGCTACGTTTCCTGCCGTTCGTCGAGTTTAGGAAAACGCGGATTTAATAAACGCGTGTACTCGGTGTAGGACCTTTAATCTATGCATTCGTCTTTTGCGTGGCTGGTTGCTTTAAACAGCTAGCCTGAATGGGGTTGATTGGCGACAGCTCGTAGGCCTAACTCTTCAGTGCCAAATTTTCACGATTTGCGTCGGTTCGCTCTTCTTTTTCGAGGTTAAAGGGTAGTTGAAGGCTGTAGACGCAAGTTACGCGTAAAAAAAATTCATCTAGATGACTGGCCAATCTCGGACTATCGCTTGTGCCCAAGCTGTGTTGCTCTTCACAAAAATGGGGTGGTACCGGCGACGTCCACGTAAATGAAGTCATCGAGGCATGCATGACAAGTTTTGCAGTGCGTTCTGTCTGGGATCGGTTGTGACACGTTTGTTGTTTCGCCTTCCCCGAAGCTGCGAAAACGACATTTAAGTTACGGCTCTACAGTATTTTTTTTCTCGATCTGATGGCACAGCCCCTCTCCCCTTGTTGTGTCATTTGAAACTAGCCGGGCAAGCTGTGCTAACCTGACACTGCAGGCGTAGCGATGTTGACGAGTATATTCGTAGTGTTGCCCGCTGAACGCACACGATGCTCATTCAAGCTCGTTCCAATCTATTCGCGTTGCTCCTGAGGCTGTTGCTATGACGCCTGGCGTTTCCTCTTGTATTTTCTTTCTATGTCCTGATTGTGTCCGCCCAAGGTGACGTGATTTCGACTGTCTTGTTTTGTAGCGTTTTTGACGTGGCTGCTTCGGTTACCGGGCGACTGCTAAGCCCTCGCCTTTCCTGCCCTATTTTTTTTTCTCTCTCTCTGGTTTTTGTGATTTCTGCTCAATGAGCCATTTCCCATTGTAAACTTCTGGACTGGCTTTGAAGGAAGGGCACCTGGCTTGCAGTGACTCTTTGTTTGCTTTCTTCCGTTTGCATCTTGGAAATTCCCTGCGTTTCCTCGACTCTAATGGCTCAACCTGTGTAGGGGCTTCAGTAGGCTGCTTTCCTGTACTTATCACTCGCGAAAAAAAAAAAAAAAAAAAACATATTCACCAGGGTGTGAATGCTTGTATAGTGTCTGATATTTCACACAAGAGAACTGCAGCACATGTTCACAAGGGGACAAGTGCTATTTGCCACATGCACATTCGTCCCAGGCTGACTGGTAAAAGATGACTCGTCACATAGGAACATTTGACATAGGGCAACTGGTCCATTGGACTGCCTTGTCACATTGAAAGCGCAGGGAAGGGTATAATAATCTGCAATTGGCAATTTTTAGTAGCTGGCTATGTTCCCTGACGACTGTGCAGTTAGAACAATAGAACGGGACGGGCTTTAATAAAAACTAATATGCATGTAAATGTATGCAATGCCGGATAACGTGCCCAATTGTTGGAGCATGCATAAATATCATTAATATTTGTTTCAGGTTGCTAGATATAATGTGTATGTACAAATATATTTTGAATGGGAAGTACATGGGAAATAAACTTTACCATTCCGATATAAGAAGTCCAAGACTTCCAAACGCAGTGTTTCGAGCCACTGCTCTAGGCTGTCACTGTGGCGGGTGCTATCGTACTGTCCAGCAATGAAGCGTTTCTGCCTGTTGCAGTCGGCGTGCCTTTTTATTTTAACGCGCCTGTAAAGGGCCGTTCACACACTTGCAACCAAGTAGAACTGACCGAGACAAGACGGGTTTTTAAGCCTTTTGCGGCGGCGTAGGACCAGCTCCGCAGCAGCGCATCTTGTTCTACGACGTCGCAAGAGGCTTAAAAACCGGACTTGTCTCGGTCGGTTCTACTCAGTTGCCAGTTTGTGAATGGGCCTTTTCTGCAACCTTCAGCTGCATTCTTAGCCTCTTGCCAAGTGGAGGTTGCATTTGTTTTAGAAAAGTGTCTACTTCACCCATTCTTAGTTCATATTGGTGGACTCGTGGAAACAACCAAGTTTGCTGTTCCTATGATTTGAGTGTGAAGTTAAATCAAAACTGAGCAGATAGCTTCATACATTCATCAGATAAACATGAAATAATAAAACCGTGGGGCATTATGATAGCTGAAATCTCAATCCTCGGCAAGTCTTTTTAACAATGGATACTGTCGTTCCAAAAAGAAGCATCGTTTGTTACACATAAGTACATAAAAGCATTAGCAAAAATATATAAGCAACATGTGGTATGCTTCAATGCTCGATTATTGGCAAGCCGGCGCATAGTTCAGAGCCAGGATTACGAACAGGTTTGCTGGTCACCCAAATGCTATTTGGTTGAATACCATCCAAATTGCCTATCTGGCATATTTGCTCACAACGCTGCGCAGGTGTTAGTGTACAGTGTTGTTGCTGACAGCATTGTTTACTATGAGAAGCTGTCAACCTCCCTTCAAATGTTTTTCTTAAATATTTCAATGCAGGTTTATGAATAAAATTGGCATTAGGAAAAGTGGGACTAGTTTTCTCTCCGGCAGACAAATAGGTGGCTTAATGGCTCCTTCTGGCTGGTGCAAGCTGCCACCCTCTATAAAGTGTTACAGCCGTTTACACTCATCCATCCATCCTTGTTGCCAACTGCTGTTTCCTCTTGTGGTGTCAGGAGTGCATCCTGAGTGGCATGCTGTCCGTGAGTGGGAAGAAGGTGCTGCACATGGACCGCAACAAGTATTACGGCGGGGAGAGCGCCTCCATCACGCCGCTGGAGGACCTCTTTAGCAAGTTCAACATGCCGGCCTTCCAGCAGGCGGACGAGTATGGTCGCTCGAGGGACTGGAACGTGGACCTCATCCCCAAGTTCCTCATGGCCAACGGTGAGGGGCATGCCTCTATACCTTTGAGTCTCCTCGGAGAGCGTAGAGTTGGGTAATAATTCCAGAAGTCTACCATCGTCTTGTGCACTTCGGCCGCCTCATAACAGCAGTGCATAGAGGTAGACGTCGGTGGTACCGGTGGATTCAGATTGCTGGCAAGGCAATAATGAAAGCGAAAAAGTGTCAAATTACCACTTGCGAGGTTGGAACTAGTCTTTTGGGGATTTCCTTCATGAAAAAACAAACAAATCTTGTCTGGTTTTTATTTGGTTCTTTTCCTGCTTTTCTTATACCACCTATCTCTGCGCTCACGCTTTGCAGTACTCCGCTCCTTTCATATGGAGGTCACTCGGACCTCCAGACGCATAAAAGAAAGGTATGGTTGGGGGCTGCCAAATGTTTTTGGACTGGGATACCGTGGCACGGTCCATGTCCGTCTAGAGCAGGGGAAACTCTGCTCTTGGGGAAACTCCAATCTGTCTCGAATAACAGTCAAGAAGCCACTCCCCCGACGACATTGTCGCAATAATGCTAAGAGTTCTTAGACGAGGGCTGTGCATTGTTGCTTGGCTCTGATACTGTGTTGAAATAGGGCCCGAGCTGAAAGAACTCTTTACCTCTGAGGAGTTACAATTAGGAGAATTTGAGCGCTTGGGTGCTCCCTGGCTCTTTAGGGGAGCCTCTGAAGTCAGGATCTAGAGGTTGTCACTCTTTTGGTTGTCTTGGGGTAAAAGCTGTGTCCTCTAGAGATGTCGTAAAGGTAGCAAAAAATGCTGAGAAAGGGGCTTCAAAACCATGACGACTACACAGTAAAGAGAATGCTGGGTTGTATTGGTATGCTGTAGATGATGGTATGTTTGCTGGTTTAACGCTCGATAAAGTTGCGATGTCCCGCCTTAAAGGCATTATGAGACGGCAAAAATAAAATGGGAGATAACCATGCTGCTAGGGTCCATTGTATGTTCCTATATTTCCACTAAGTTTGTGTAGAAAACAGCGAGGTAGTTCCATAGATAAATCGATTTAAATGTGGGATTCTCGGGTCTACCCAATTTGAAAATGCTGCCATGTTCGTTGAGTCGGTGACATCATTCGCTCAACACGCGGAATCCTCTTGCACGCGCTCGCTGCCATGTTCGTTGAGTCGGTGACATCATTCGCTCAACACGCGGAATCCTCTTGCACGCGCTCGCAGATTTGGCTCTCTCGGCGTCATGCGGTCTCGAGACAATGATGTCTATGGCATCGCTTGCTTCAGCGGTCTTTGACACTGATTGCAGGAGCGATGAGTGTGATTGTTATCAAAAAATGTTGGAAGCCAATCATTTTGATTTCGACCTGTTCGTGACTGGGGGCTCCTAGAATGAGTGTTCAACTAAATATGATACGTGGTTTATGAGCACCATGGTGAGACTAACTTGGGCAGTTTAGCCTGGTTGCCAATTGGAAATGATCAACATTCATAGACTGATTATTGCAACTTTTAGAGCTCTAATGATCGTGAAACCTGATGTATGTACTAAGTAGCCTATGAGCATTCCATTTTAAGAATAATCTACCTGTTTAATTTTGCAGGAAAACAAATATTGTGCGATACGGAAAAAAATGACTGTTTGCTCCTACCCATGAACATCGTATTTTCACAATCGAGTTTCCCCAGTTATATTTTATTAGTAGAATCCACATAAATTAAAAACGACAAAAATTGCAGTGTGTTTGCAGATCATTAAAGCCAGTATTTGGAGGTGAATTACTTGGCAGAATGAACCTATATAATCAAAGACAAGCCCAGAGTATTAAGATAGTTTTAGTAGAAAACCAAATTGACACAGCTTGCCCCTTACACCTGTCCTGTGCAGGCCAGCTGGTGAAGCTTCTGATCCACACCGGGGTGACACGCTACCTCGAGTTCAAGTCTGTGGAAGGCAGCTACGTGTACAAATCGGGCGGCAAGATCTACAAGGTGCCCGCCGACGAAAAGGAAGCCCTCCAGTCCAGTGAGTCGGCGCCATCTCTCACCCTCTTGCGGTGCCGGGGAGCTGTGGTCACCTGCATTTAGTTTACCATGCCTACGGAAGCTCGATTGTTATTTGGGAGAGTTTGCCGGTGTCTTCGAACAAGGTTCAAGTACGAGCAGTGGGTGGAAGAGGTGCTGACTGTCAGCGGGACATTTCTTGAAAAGAACAGCACTTCGTGCAGGAACGTTGGGAAAGCACCGTGTGTCATAGAGGGGACGTCTTGTTTTATCTGATGGTTGTTTGATTGTAATTTGACTCATCTTCGTGTCGGGGCTTCGTTACAATTGTTGTTTTAACTGCAGTGATGATGAAAATACCTATTTCGTAAAGAGGATACTATCGTGATCTTGTCTGTGGACGTCTGCATGAATGGGGTTGTGGCAGCGTTCAGGGTACAAATGGAAGTTTTAAGAGCAGCCCTGTAGAACTGCACCGTGTTTTTTTTAACAAGTTTTCGCTCGGAAGCTTGGGAGCAGAGGCAGACACCCTCGAAAAAAGGTTGTGCGGCGGCAAAGTTGCCGCCGCACAACGCGCCGCTTCAGCGACAGGGTTGCTTCTCCAAGCAAGTGGAGTCGGCCCGGAAAGCATCCGGTGTCCGAGAAAAGGGGGCACCTGAGGACAGGTGTTCTGACCGGTGTCCTGGTGTGCAGGTCTGATGGGAATCTTCGAGAAGCGCCGCTTCCGCAACTTCTTGGTGTTTGTGCAAGATTACAACGTGGACGATCCCAAGACGTGGAAGGATGTGGACAGCAACGTGACGACGGGGGCCCAGCTCTACGAGAAGTTTGGCCTGGACAAGGACACGGCGGACTTTACGGGGCATGCCCTGGCGCTATACCGGGACGACGAGTGAGTCGGCTCTTTAGAACGTCCGCTTACTTTTTGTGACGCTGTCAGTCGGTGACTCGTTCCAGGAATTGTACCCACGAGGCACTGCACTCGATGAGCTGCGCTTCGGAGTAAGGACACTCTACTTTCCGATCTGCTCGCGTGTGCCGCCATCTTGTTTCTAGTGCAAGGTGGGTGCAACTATTAATGGTTACGAATAAAAAAAAAAAAAGTAGTTTGTGGGTTTTCCATGCAATGTCGGAAAGCTCGAGTGACGTCGTCTCGCTCTGCCGTGGGCCGTTGTAACATGTCTGGAGGGCGGAAGAGCAGTTTCCGCGACGTCGGATAAAGGTTTGGGTAGCCGACTGTGGTGATTCTGAGCACCGAGATGGCAGACTTGTTCTTACTCTAAAGCATAGCTCATTTAGTAACTCTGTACTTAGTTCCAGCTTAATTGAGTCCAGACGTGGGCTCACGTAGGACCACATGCTCACGCTTGTAGTATTGTCTGCGTTTGAACTGCTCGGTATTTTGGTATCGGCCGCTTCTGCTTGGCATTTAATTGGCTGAAGGGGACCTGGCATCTCCCACAATCATACGGGGTGTCCGTAAACAATTTGCTACTCCTGAGTACTGCAGCCACATGATGCCACTTTGGGACGTGGTACTTAGAGGAAAAAGGTATGCTTTTTGCCTTTGAAACTTGTGTATTCTTATGTAAAAAGAAACTGATCTTGAGTGTGAATGTAGAAAAGGAAAAAGTAGCTTAATTCACCACGTGAATGAATAAATTAACATATTGAAGAAGATTCACTGCACTCACCGCATAAAGGGAAAAATTTTTAACACTTTATGAAGAGCCGGTTCTTTCGTACTGTGGTTCTTGAGGTGGGGACAAGCACTATAGTTTCATTTATGCGTCAACTTCTGAAAGTTTTTTGTATTCTAGAGGTGCGCAGGGCAGGTCCCATACTCGACCCCAACAAACAAAAACTGCTGTATAGCTTGTCCGCTTCCTCAGGGATGGCCACTGCTTTTCTTGTTTTGAGTGCATTCCTGGTTTCCAGAGTCGTCGTACCATGTCTGCGTCGATGGCGAATCCTTTTAAAATCGTCTTCCGAAGGCCAGTTGAACGCCTGTGCATGAATTTGGTTCGGAAGACTCAATAGACTGATCTCACCTGCCAGTTTGACCATACCACCGCAGCCGCAATGCATCGAGGGAACTTTAGTCTTTCTGCACGTGTGGCAATCCCGCTGGATCTATGCACGTGTGGATCATGAGTCGACACGAGTCCTCGCATGCACGGCCTTCTTCCTCCTACAAACTAAAGTTATGGTGGCGTCATTCATGCTCTAAATGCTTATTGAGATCGGTCTATAGCACCAAAGCTGTTTTATGCGTTTTTTTTAGCTTAATAGATTTGTTTAAAAAAAGCTGTGAAAGCTACATTTAAGCGGTTTGTGTAGGTGAGTTATACGGCCAGGGGGACATTGTACATGGTGCTAATCATAACGATCGGTCAGCTAAATAAATTAAACATTTTAGTTAACGAAAATAGACATTGTTCCTAGTAGGAACTTGCTGAGCATCGTCCAAAACCACTAAATCAGTCATTTTTAGAAATAATTCGAGCAGGTGGGAAGTGTAGTAGTGTGCTGAAGGTATTGCCCGTTCAACAGGTGCAAGGCTGGAGTTATAAAGCCCGCTTTAGACGGGGCAACTTTTCCAGCAATTTCGAGGTTGCTGGTGGGTTGTTCCCTAGCTTTCCTTAGATCGACACGAATCGCTGAGATCGGGTCCGGCTCGAAACCGACGAGCAACTCGAACAACTCGGAAACATTTGAAGCGGCAGCAGCCAATAAGGGCGCAATGTTTTCACGTGACACCCCCGTGGTGGTGATGATGACAGCTAAAGACTTGGTTCTGGTTTGAAGTCGATCGCTTTTGGAAGTAAACCTTTTCAGAAAGATGAGTTAGTATTGTCAACGCCATTCAAAGATATAAAAACATGTTTTCAGTGCGTAGCTGTGCGTCTAAATAGTGGAAGAAAATTCGGGGCGAATGATGGTGATGGCGAGTCGTAGCAATTCGGTTGCTGCGTGTGAACGTGTGCGGCCTGTGTTGCTGGTGTTGGGACGTCAAGTTGCTGGGTGAAAATGCCCCATCTGAAGCGGGCCGAAGAGATTGAAAAATTGCACCGGTAACCTCGCTCTTGCTCACTTTAGCGCACTACTGCGCTTCTCAAGCGCTCAGTCTTTCTGAAAATTACTGCTTTAGTGGTTTTTGAATCAAAAGCTAGTGAGCAAATGTTACCTAATTATCCAACTGAATGTTATAATTAGCCCCCTATACTATGTGCTCCTGGCCTTATAACTCACCTGCACAAACCACAAACGCGTAGCTTTCACTGCTTTCATTAAACAAATCTGTAAAGCTTTAAAAAAAAGCACCCTGTATATGGGACATGCCATTTCTGAAAACTCTACAGTAAACCTCGGTAACTTGGGAACATACCTTGAGAGTTTGGCTTGCTGCCGATGCTCGTTAAGTATGTGTGTGTGCCTCATAGTTTCCCCTCATTTTATAGTGTTTTGGTTCCTTACGGCTACCCCCTACTTCACTGGCACACTTCACAACCTGTAGCTGCTGCCAACGTAGCGAACGCAGCCTGCCCAATCGACCCGCCTTGTGCGTGCATTGTTGCGCCGTTTCTTCGGTTGTCCTTGGTTTTCCCTCGGGGTTTGATGAACCCCCTTTGCTTTGCAGGTATCTTTCCCAACCGTGTGGTGACTTGATCAAGCGGATCAGGCTGTACAGTGATTCCTTGGCGCGGTACGGCAAGTCGCCCTACCTCTACCCTCTGTATGGCCTCGGCGAACTTCCCCAGGGATTTGCCAGGTGAGACGGTGGCATTTTTCTCTTGCTTGCTGCATCTCATCGCTGTTTTTTTTTTTTTGGTGAGTTTGTTTAGTTTGTGAAAGGAGGTCTTATATCCTGGTTCCAAGGGCACCCCTTCTGCAATCAAGTCTGACCTCAGTCGCACCTAACTGCAATAAAGGGTGCCTGCGCACCTAGGGTATTATTCGAGCTTGCATTGTTTAAAAAATGTGCACCTTTACTGCACTTGCAGCCAATCAAAACATTCAGTCATTGAGTTTTGGACACATCCACAGCGTTTGACATTCTGCGGAATGAATCAAGGAGTGGTGCTCTCTAGCGGCCAGCTGGGGAGCGCCACTCCTCGTCTGTCTGCCGAGCCTGGCAAACAGATGGTGAAGGTAGCACCTGTCTAACTCTCCCACCCCTTATCAAACATACTTCCTTTAAAAATACTAGTGAGTTCAGAAATCTATACATGTTGCACTGGCCTCCAGTGCAACATGGAAGCCGCAAAGAGTGAAATGCTGTTTCCACCATTACACTGCTTTTGGTAGCACTACATAGTCTAACAAGATACATATAAGTTCATTAAAGATGCAACACCGCCGTTAGCATTTCGCATCAGTGAAGAGCTCTCCGGTCTGAATTTTTTTTAAATCTGGACACAAGACTGGCAAAGCCAATACACAGTGTGCATTTCCAAACTGGGAAAGCAGACTATGCAGGTTGGCGTTCGTTGGCAGTTACCTGGAGAGAAATGAAGTAAAATTAAGATGCCAGTATCTTTACGACACGTAAATGGGATACGGATGCATGGAAGTCGGGAGGGCGTTGAGGACCTTGCGATGGCGTCTCACACCGTTAGCGCCTCGCTGGCGAATGCCGGAATGCGTCGCCTGCGAGACGGGCGCCTTGAGGCATGTTCGGAGAGGCTCATCTTTAAAACATTTCTCGGGTGCAACAAAAAGCCCTCTTCTAATTTTTTTGATATTTGAACAGATGAGATGAATTGAACTTTTGGCTATTTCGAAAGTTCTGGTCACCTGTTTCTGTTCTGTTTCTACATAAACTGGTCATTGTCATTTAATTAAAATGCAACAAATCGAGGTTTTGAAAATTTTATACAAACAAGTCAATTATTAGTCCGGGACAAAAAAAAAAAGTATTGTGGCTAACAACTAAATTCATGTTGACTCAAAAAAATTAAGACATCTTATACTGCCAAGACCGGCTATAGCGAAGTCGGTTATAACGAAATAGCGGCTGCAGCGAAGCCGGTTATAACGAACTAGCGGATATAGTGAAGTGAATACAGATTCCCATTGACTTTGTCATAACCGGTCTCGACAGTACAATATTTTTATTTTTTTTTTTGAGCTCCTATTTGGACTTAAAATGGCGTCTTTCAATGTTTGTGTTTTAGTGTAAGATATTATGAAGTAATTAGGTGCCTAGATAAATTTGTGTGGTACACAACAGTTTTTTTACAATGTTGTTCTTAACTACATGGGTTTTATGCAGATTACACAAATTTGAGCATGATATCAGCAAAAATAAATATTTTTTCACTAACAAATACCTTTTTTTTAGTTCAGAAGCTCCTTTATTCAAATTATTTTTTTCGTAGATATCCTAGGTATAAAAAAATTGCTGCGTCTCGTTTGGCACGGAATGACACACCTGCTTCCGTGTCGCACATGCGTCCTTGTCGCACAAACTTCATTATCCCCAAAACTTAGATTTATTTTTTTTTTCTCTCTCATTGTCACCTCAGACTAGCTTCGTTGTCGCTTGTTGTCGCGCAAACTTGGGCGTTACATTAGCTTGGGTGTCTATCAGCCTTGTAGATTGCACCGACTCAAGCAAGCCCCAGCGTCTTTTGACACCCCGCTTGATGAGCGCAGGCTGAGCGCCATCTACGGAGGCACCTACATGCTGGACAAGGCGATAGACGAGCTGGTGATGGAGGACGGCCGGGTGGTCGGGGTCCGTTCTGGCAGCGAGGTGGCCCGCTGCAAACAGGTTTACTGCGACCCCTCCTACGTGCCCGACAGGGTCAAGAAGGTGGGTTCGTCTTTCGGGCCGTCTTCCAACTTGGGGAATTGTCGGGCGATTTCAAAGCATCCAGAAAAATCGGGGAATTGTTGGGGAATTTCAAAGCGCCTGGAAAAGCTAGGGAATTGTCATGCAAGTTGTCAAGAAAATTGGTCAAGGCAGTGAAGTGGCACGCAACAGGGCGGGAGGGTATGGTACGCTGCGATGCGGACGCCCCTTGCGGCGTGCAGCTGTTGCCCGGTCTATTGCAAGGTGGTGTAAGCCACCACCCGATTCACTGGATTAAGCGGGAACAGCCGCTGTAACCCCATCCTGTGCATATTCCTCTCTCAAAACTGTCGGGGAATATAATGAACATTTTTGGGGGAAACCCGGAAAAGTCTGGGTATTTGAAAGAGGTAATATGGTAAGCAGCCCGGTCTTTGTTGTTTGCCTTCCGTCAAAGTTGTCGGACAGCTTGTTTTTTTTTTTTAAGTGGTTGCATCCTTATTTTTTTTAGACAAATATCTAGAAATACAAGTTTTTTCCGGCCCATCTGGCAAAGCATTACCTCGGGGACTTCCCCTAAAAATCGTTGTACGTAATCGTCTCATCTCCCCCTTGCGGTGGCTGCGATCAAGACTGCTGGCGACTATTAGCATTCATTCGCTCTGCCAACTGCCACCTCCTGGTTAGCAGAGTTTGGAGTGCTCCGCTAGTCTTGGAAAATGGTCCTGGGATCGAATCCTGAATCGTACGGGGACTGGCATGTCGAAGCGTACTCCATTGCGGGTGGGCGATTTTCCGAGCAGTAGTCTAAGCCTCCCCTGCCTCCAAAGGGTGCCGCCTAGGTGGCTCCGAGGCGAAGCACCGGCCTACGGATCCCTGTGTGGCGAGTTCAAATCCCTGCCGAGTCGCCCACAATATGACGGCGGCTTATTGCGGAGAAGGCGCATAACCGAGCTTTTGGTTGCACGTCAAAAGATCCCCGGGTGGTTTAAACTAACCCTTGGTCCTCCGCTGGGCGTGCCAGATGCCTGTCGTTCGTTTGGTACGCGGAACCACCAAATTTGGACCCGAAAGGGTGAGTGCGATGGTGCGAGCGGTATGTGGCAATTTCTCTCCAGGTCGGCCGAGTGGTGAGGTGCATCTGCCTACTGAACCACCCCATCCCCAACACGAGGGACGCCCTCTCCTGCCAGATCATCATCCCTCAGAAGCAGCTGGGACGAAAGTCCGGTAAGTGGTGCCCACGTTTGCACCCGCGGGCCGTCCCGATACGTTTCTAGGTTTCGGTTTTTTGTTGACGCGATCAAAGCGAGCAATTTTCACGCTTCGGGCAGCGGAAGCGAAAACAAGAATCTAAGCTTGTTCGTGCAATGTTTTCCAACGGCGCAGCATTTTATTTTGCCGGAAAATGTCGCATTCCCTTTTTTTTTGTGGGGGGAGGTGGGGCAGTGGTTGCTAGTGCGTAATGAGTTCTGATTACAAACCAAAACTTTAAAATCTCGTCCAAGCTCTCTCGTAATGCGTCGTAGTGCTTTGTGCACCTCATTTTTTTGCAATGTGGACTTGTTTGTTGGTTTTCGACGATGCCCAGAAAACTTCTAATTGAAACCATACCTTCAGATTTACTCATTATAAAGTTAATTTGTGATCAGCTAATTATACGAAGCTTGTATAATGTTTCTTGGAAGATCTTTTTCACAAAGACAAATAGGTAATAACCTCTTCTGTGTGGTTCAGTCCCCACGGTTGGTGGAGACCCCCTTCTAGTATTTATTTCTCTAGTAATGTCCTTCCCTCCCGTTTAAGGGGGGACATGGGTCTTCAGAGCCAAAAACTTCCTAAAACTGCATTCTTTTGAAAATGGCAATGGCTGCTGTTCTTCTGAATCTACCAGGCTTATAATTTCGTGAATGAATATTTGAGATATAAATCAATTTATAGTATCTATGTGGGCTCCATGTGCATTGAAGTTGACTCTAAAACATTGTTTTCACAAAACACAATTTTCGGACTAGATGAAAATTTACAGGAGGGATATCTCAGCCTCTAGAGCAGATAGAAATATAACCATTCCTGAAATGTGTAGCTGAATGTGTGAAGCATACAATGTTGAGAGCAGATTTTTTAATAAAAGTCTACAAAATTTTCTTTTTGATCTTTTGCTATATTACTTGTTAGACATGCATTGAGCACTGAACTTCAATGTGTGGTAAAATCACTAATAATTAGTTTATCTTAAAAGTGCTTCCAACATTGTATTCTATACACTTCATAGCATATCGCCATGTGTTAAAAAGAATATTTTGTTGAGCAGTTTTTTTTCTATCTTTTTTCCAAACAAAGGCAGGCAAATTTTAATTATTTTGAGGACAATGCTACTGACTGAGAAAATGACCAGATATATGAAATCAGCACAAAAAGCTGAACAAGCTTGTGCAGTTTCATTAAGTTTGGTCATAAAATAAGAAAAAAAGCTCCAAGACCAGTGTTCCCCCTTAACCAGCTTAGATATACAGGTTACCGCTCCTATTAAAGTTCTGAACTAAACTAATTAAAGTTCTTTTTTTTTTTTTTTTTAATGAGTTAAATTTATATGAAGAGTAACTGAGATAAACAGAAATGTGCGCCTATCGGACTAGCTTCGAATCCTGTATGGCGCGCACCTTTACATTGGTTTTTCTCGCATAATACGACCGATTTCAGATTTATTACGTTTTGGAAACAATGGGACCCTCAAAGACACTACCAAATTTCAGCCGAAATTGGCTTAGTTTCAGTTTCTAAATTTTAATAATTTTAAGGGTAAAAAGAAAAATGTTTTCATATGTCAAAACACTTTTCAAGAAATTTGCTGTGTAGTGAGGAGTCTGAATGTGCGTGCAGACATCTATGTGTCGATGGTGTCGTACACCCACCAAGTGGCGGCCAAGGGCTGGTTCATCGCCATGGTGAGCACCACCGTGGAGACGGAGAACCCCGAGGTGGAGATCAAGCCGGGACTGGACCTCCTCGCACCCATCTCCCAAAAGTGGGTGCCCCCCTTGCATCCTCCCCTTCTGCAGCGACCACTCAGAGTTTGAGTGAAACAATGCGTAGAGGCCATTCTGCTTGGGTGAGAGGCGAGGGAAATGGATTTGCGGCATTTGGGTGGTTCTTTCTTTAATGGTTTTCCAGGCCGAGGTGGGCAGGGTGGTAAAGGAAAAAGACATTCCTGCCTTGACGAGTTCAGCAGCGCCAAATTGAAAACAACCAGATGAATATAACAAAGAAAGGAAATGCATAGAATACATGAACAATCAAAAGACCAGTTGCATATACAGATATCCATTAATATCGTTAAAATGTTTTTTTTTTTAAACTGCGCGTACTGAAAGGCACTACTGATTTAAAGAAAAAACAATGTATGTAGGGATGCACGAATATTGATTTTTCACTTCGAAGGGAGTAGTCCTTTTGGTGTATATTTTTTAATCGATTAATTTCGAAGCAAAGCCAAACGTTCGCAGCCGTCAATACAGTTGTAATAAACAATCCTTAAAGCTAAAACCAAGAAGAAAAAAACCACGAGGTCTGAAGGGCTCTTTCTCATGGTCATTCACCAGCTCGCTGCACGATTACTCTTTTTTCAGTACAGTCATGTTTCGTGAATGTGGACACTTGTGTTGCACTGAAAAAACATCCATAATAGTGAGACAAAGTCAAGATTGCAAATAATGGGGGAGGAGCGTGGCCACAAAAGACGCGGTTTATTTTAAGAAAAATGCCAAGACTTGTTTGCACAGACACGTTAGTCGTCACACGAGAGTTGGCAGTGGAATAGCAGCCAATGCCGCAGGCTACCGCTGCACGTCTGCTCGCATGTCTAGCAGCGGTGTCAGACTTCCAGACTAGATGCACCGGATGTTGCGAAAGGGAGATAATGGGCTTCTGTGCATGTTCGGCTGAGTAGCCAAGCCAATCCAGTAGTAATGGACGGAGCCACTCATTTGTGGGCGGAGTTTAGAACGGGTCGTGACCTCCGTTTAGGTTGGTTCTAATGGCGTAAATATTGCATGAAAAAAGTACATTTTTGTGGAAGAATTGTTTATAAAAACAATTGTCCCCCCCCCCCCCCCCCCCCAAAAATTTTTTTTTTTGTATTTCACTGTTTTTTTTAAGATTTCACATATTTTATAGTCTGATCGATGGTGTATGGGGCCATTAGCCTTGCTTATAATAAAACATAGGGTAATGTGAAATTTAATTGTGGCCACATATTGCTAGCCGTGGATGGGGAGAGCACGAGTCGTATGCCTATTCAAAAGACTCACCCAGGAAAGTTAACGTCTGCATCTGATGTGATTGAAGTGGTAAGCACTAGCTTGTTCATTAGCATTGATCGTCATATGAGGTTATGCTGACTTGGGGAACCTACTTGCATTGAAGTTGTTAAGACTATAGAACTACAAGAGTATAATTGTGGAAACAGTACTTTGGTTGTCTTCAGTGTCACCTTTGAACCGCATTCTTTACGAGTAGGTTAGAGGTCCCTCCACTAGTGAATCAAATGTGTCGGTGGTTTGATAAGAGTTAGGAATGGCACCAAATAAGCACCGCCATGTACCGGCCAAGGCTTCGAATAGCTTTGTGGTCCAACCGGGAAAGGTGGTAGCCTTTCCCCACTTGGCCAGATTTCTGCAAGTCACCGGCAGGAGCAGGAGACTTGTGGTAAGGGGTGCCCGCGAAGAGCTTTTGCCACTTTCTTAACTTGTATCCGACTTATGGCGCACGTCCCTGAGGTTGCGACAGGAAGGAGTGTCAAACGGCGTCATTTAGAGATGGCTGTCAAGCCGCCGTGCGTGGCACCGTCTTACGCTGACGCCGAACAGCAATGTTTATCTCCGACCCTTGCAACGGCAGGGTGGTCCCGAACACCACCGTGCCTCGCTGGCTCGTCGGGCAGTTGTCGGCAAGGCCCCGTGCACATGTCATGCTTGACTGGCGTTTCTTCCATGCAGATTCCTCACCGTGAGCGACGTCTTCAAGCCTACCGACTACGGTGAACAAAGTCAGGTGAGCTTCTAACGGACAACGTCTGTGGCCCACTTTTTTCTCTCGGACAAGTGGAAAGATGGGTTGCAAAAACCTATGTTACTTGCATGTAGCGTTGCTCTATCTGCGTCGTCACCTTGTACGACTCGCTGGAGTTAATTGGTTGTGCGTGTTGTAACCAAACGTCTCCCGTCATATGGTCTTTTTTTCCCGGGTGTGGTGCCAGGTGTTCATCTCAGAGTCGTACGACGCCACGACCCACTTCGAGACCACCTGCCTGGACGTGCTGGACATCTTCCGCCGCGGGACGGGCGAGGACTTTGACTTTTCCAAGGTCAAGCACGACTTGGGCGAAGAACAGGAGTAGGGGGTTCCCGTCACCGCGGGGAAGACGCCCTCCTGCCGCCTCCTTGGGTTTTGTTCCTTTCCGTTCTCCCCGCCCCGGCCTTTCTCTTGCTCCCTTGAGCCCTCCCCCACCCACCCACGTTGCCGGCTACTTCGTTCCCGCCTTTATTGGGAGGTCTATTTCCTCCAAACAAAAGCTTAAACGTCTCTTCGGAGCTGCCACGCCGTCCGACTACTGGCTGCTGGTTCTTCCAGCCCGAACCAGTAGCGACGCGACAGGTGAAGACTCGGTGACTCGTGTGGCGTTTCGGGAGAGAGATTCTTGCCTCTTTCACTCTAATCTATTTTGGCGAACGGCCCTTCAAGGAGGTATTTCGTTGGGTGGGGGGATGGGGGAGGGGCGTTTGCACTTCATACCAAAGTGCGGGGAAGGAGAGGTGGGGAGGCACTCTCTTCGAAGAAAACAAGAAACTTCAACCATGACTGCCGGTACCTTTTCCCATTTTTTTTTCTCCCGTCTACGTCCCGCCGGCTGAGTTTTCTTTCTGCATGATGTTGACAGATGGAGAAGAGTGTGCGCGCTTGTTTTTTTGCTGTTGACAAAGTGCGTCCGACCCGAAAGTGCAAGTCGAGGAGCTCGTGCCGTAGTCCGCCTCTTTTCTCCGTTCTTTCGCGTTCTCGTAGAGACGAGCTTGCAAAGTGCTGCCGCAGTTACCCACACAGTCCGATTGAATTTGTTTTCGTTGGTTTTTTTGTCGTGCCCTCGTTTTAAAAGATTGCTATGGCCACTGACAGTGTGAACGGTGAGGTACGTCCTTCGAAACTCCAGCACAAGCTCCGTGCCTTCCACCATGCTTCGTCTGCGCCGCGCACGCTCAAGAGTGCACAAGACGCCCAAACGTTGTGGCAGGTGGGAAGCTAGTGCTGGAGGCGGGTGACCTGAAGCACCTTCCTGCCCTTCTCAACTTGTCAGCGACCAGAGTTGTTCATTGTAATCACTTGTTCCTTTTTTTTTATTGCCTTTTGATTGTAGTTCCTATGTTGGGGTGAGTCGTGCGGGGTGGGGTGGAAAATCAATCGAAGACATTCCGTAGGGAGACAAACGCAACACCTCGGAGGGCGGCATTTTCTCGGTACAGCCTGTGGGGCGGGGGTGGCTTGGGAAGCTGCACGGAGGTGGAATGTGGGCCCCCCTTTGCAAAGTATTTCTGACCCTTGTGGAGGTGGTAGTGACGAATTGTGGAACGTTTCAAAACGACCTGCCCCGTTCTCCTTTTTTCCTCCATGTAAAGTTTATGTAGGTTTATTTCGTATGGGCTATGTGAACGAGGATTAAAAATGTGGAAGAACAATTTCTTGGCGCAAATAAAGTATGAATGTCAATCGACTGGTGTCTCTGGGTCCAGGACTATGCAGTGTGCTCCACTTTTTTTGTGGGTGTGTGTGGTGTTTGCAAGCATTGACGCAAACCAGCCATTCCGAGGTTGGCTGACGCCGGGTCGAGTTTGGCCATCTTTTGGTGTGTTGTACAACCTGTCCAGGTTCGGCTGTGCGTGTGTACAGCCCCTGCAAGGACGCCATATTGTCGAAATTGGGCTGAAATTGGGTTCGTGCTTGGGAGCAATGCGCTCCTGAAAAACGGCTTGGCTAAACTAGGTGCCTTCAACGCCCCTCAGACTAGTGCGTTCCTAGATTCCTAAGAAAGTGGTGAATGTGGTGGACAGCTGTTCTCCTGCAGGTCATTCCAGCTTGGCCGTCCATGGAAGCTTCTGCAGCCAGAAGCTGGGATGCCGCGGTGACTGCTACTTCTGTCCATGCGATGGAGCTGCCAGATAAGGTCCTTTGCCTTGGTTGCAAACAGCGCCACCAGACGGCTGCTCCATATGCAGCTATTCGGAGATGTTTGTACTGTGAGTTTGGCTTTCTTGGGAGGAGATTTTGACAGCCTGGCAGCCACAGCAGCGTAGTCTGACAACCGGGGGATGATTACTTCCGTCAGCCATTTTGAGACTCTGACTTGTAGGAACTTGATGCAATTTTTTGAGAATAAACGAGACAAAGAAGAAACTCCATTTTGTGTTATCGTGAAATCTGCTGGCTTTTTAGCGGGCAACAAGCTTCGCCCTTTGGCCAAACTCTCATTATGAACGGCTGTGCGGCTAATGGCAGCCAGTCGCGGTGTGTTTCCCACGTTTCTGTGCGAAAGATGTGCTCGGTTTTTAAGTTGTTTTCTGGGTGTGCCACATTAGGACGGCACTTGCGCTAGGCATGTTGCCTACACTGCTTCGTCGTCGACCCTAGCTATGCCTCTTGTATGCTCTATGCCTGTCGGAAGTGCTTCCAGAGGCCGTCGTGTCCTCTTTCAACGCCCGTGTGCCCCGCGAGACGGCGCCGACTATGTTGGAAGGCTACAGAAAGCCGGTTGAAGAGAGGGTCCATGGTTAAGCCATGGGAGCGTTTGCAATTAAAGCCCCTTGATAAGCTTTATCAAGGGGCTTTATTTGCAATTAATGGAGGGCGCCTCCTGCGGAGACTGATCGGAACTGCACATGCGCAGGTATTTGGCGCGACAGCTCGTACTGGAAACATGGTTGAAGGCGCTGTGCAACAATTTGAGGGCTTTGTTAAAATAATTGTGGAACTTGATACCTGACCCTTCTGTAGGGAACTGCGGAAAACAGAGTTTGCCTGAATACCCTAATATTTATTAAAAAAAAAAAAAAATGTAACAGTTAGGTTTTTGCCACCTCTCAACTCGTACATCGTCTTCCGGGTCACGTGCGCAGTGACGTCAATGGGGTAGGCGCGGGAGTTCCGGTGAAGTTCTCTCTAGAGCCATCAGTGAGCAGCGAGAACTCATCCGCTCGTGACCACGTCATTTCCGTTGCCCTCCAAAGAAGAGGGGAAGAAGGAGCTCCCCTCTTATCAGGACCCTCCTTTGTACCTCCCGGATTTGTACAGGCGTCGCTATTCTCCCCCCAGAAGATTATAGAAGATTAACCTGTCACTCAAAAGTCTTACAAAAGCAGCTTCCCTCTCCTCCTTTTACCTGGCCGGGTCCGGCCAACACTTCTCTTCTAGGTGGTGTTGGTCCGGCCATACGCGTCCGGCCCTGTCCCCCTCCTTCGGCGTCTGGTGGCTGCTCGACGTAGCGGATAGAGCTGACGGTTTTGTGGACCTAGGATAAATGGCGCCACTAAAACTCCGTATGATAAACGTTTTGTTGATGATACCAGGTTTTTGACGCATTTATATTTATGTTGGAACGGCAAGATTGATAGAAAAGATACCTTTTATTTAGCAGATATTCGCACAACTTGCAATCGTTCTACAGGACCCTCATTGACGTCATGTCGCGTGTTTCTCATGGCCGTTGCTCGCGGCTGCAGGATTACCCGTTGAGACGCATCTCCATCAAGGCTGTATAAACAAAGAGCAAACCAATTTCTGCGCGCGTTCAGTTCACCGCTGTTGACTCCACTTCGTTCTTCCGATGAAGTGTGATGGAACGATGCTCCGCATCACCCCATGCTTCCCTTCGGGAAGACGGTGTAATTTTTGTCTCGCTAATACGCGGCGGAATTGAAACATTTCGATGAAAGGAGGTGTGTTTTCTGTCAAAAGTGGAAGATGCCAATTCTTTCAACGTTAAAATCGTTGCACAGCTCCTTTAATAAGCACGTAATTGCAATCGAGCAGTTGGAAACTAAAGGGCCATGCAAACTGGCGGTGTTGTCCGTGAACGGCTCGCCGCTCCGACAAAAAAGCTAAACTCCCTTTCCGCTTTTTTTTTTTTTTTTTTTGAACACAGCAGCGAGCTGTGGTGAGTTGGAGGGGGAAGCGGCGTGACTGGCGCACCAACAGAAATATGTCCATGTGCTCGGCATGTTTCACTGCATCTGAGAGTAGCTACGCTAGACTCCCAAGCCACGAAAGAGTTGCCGAAGCCTTGTCCTCTCCACGCCGCTCGTGAATGTGATTGGTAGCATCCAGTGGTTTCGTCAGGAAACACTTTACGGGGCAGGACGCCGTAGCTTGCCGGAAGGTGTCATGGCGAGGTGCGAAGTCTCCCCCAGCTTTGCCCTGAATTTCGTCCTGCTCGCCACGGCCACGGCGCCGGTTTTAATCATACATGCATGGGTAAATTACTTCAAAAATGTAATTTAACTGCAGTTACTTTGCTCCAAAAGTTGTTTAATAATATTACTACGTGACAAGTAATACATTACAAATACTTTTACAGAGTAATGTGACCAGTGGCGTACCAACTTGTTTTTGAGTGGGGGGGCAAACCAGACCCTCTCCCCCCCCCCCCCCCCCCCCCCCCAAATCGAAAATTCGGCGCAACTTTTGTCCAACTTTTCTAAAGATTTGGCAATGATTCGGCAAAATTACAACGTTACCAGACTTAACATTGATATTTTGTTTTTTCTCACGAAAAAAAATTTGCTTCTTCTTCTTAAAATAAATACAACTTGTAGTGCCTATTGAAAGAGTTATGACTAAATAAGGTGATATTCTGGAAGATAATTGTATCGATGTCGCTTTTGTGTGTTTACTTGTAATTTTGGTGTATGCTTCCAGAAAGTGGAGTGACAACGAGGTTGGGTAGTAGCCGGCACAGTCACGAATCACACTACGAGAGCTTTGATTTTGAGGCTTCATCAGCGCACGCCTGCAAGTGTGTTTACATTGTTAAAATAAAGGCAATCACTGCGTTCTTACTTTCTCTGGTAGTCGCCGTTTCGTGCGCGAAAACGGATGCAACGGTTGCTGAGCCTTCACCAGAAGAGATAACAATATTGTAAATATGCATGTTTTTCGATTTGAGTCACTTGACGTCAGCTTTGCATGAAAGTGCGCGTTCCATATTCGCAACGTGCCGTTTTTAACCTTTAAAATTCCGGTTTCTGGTGTTCGGACACACACGGACGTTTAGGAAGATGGGGAGAGTTAGGAATGGTCGGATGTGCAACGTCGACCATGATAGTTCTGTGTTTAACGAATATTTTTCATCAGTGTTTACTAACGAGTGCTTGGACTCCGTCCCCACTCTCCCTGAAGAGCTTTACGAGCGCATGCTTCCTATTAACGTTAACTCCGCCGGTATTATAACATTGATTGATAAACTAAAACTTACTTCGTCCGCTGGAACCGATAACATCAACTCTAAAATTTAAAAAAAAACACCAGTGTTATTTCGATGAGTATTTAAAACTTCTCTTTATTCAGTCCTTATCTCAAAGGTGCCTTCCATCTGACCAAAAGGTGGGAAGGGTAATTCCCAATCTTTAAACAGGGCAGCCGCTCTTCCGCATCTAATTATCGCCCTAATTCATTGACTTCAATTTCTTGCAAACTACTTGAGCATATCCTCTACTCCAATATCATGAGGCACCTATCATCCCATTTCTTTTCTTTAAACAGCAGCACGGTTTTCAAAAAGGTACACTCTCCGGCAATATGAAAGACCCACTGGGAGCGCGTGGCCGAGGCGGTGGCTGGCGGGGGCGCTGCGAGCCCTCCGGGCATTTCCTTTGTGCTTCGAGGGGAGGACGCTCACTCGGGCTCAGATAAAGCGAAACGCGCTTATCAGTTTGTGCCGAGTGCCGAATGAGCGTCCTCCCCTCGAAGCAGAATGGAACTGCCCGGAGCGCTCGCAGCGCCCCCACCAGCCACCGCCTCGGCCACGCGCTCCCAGTGGGTCTTTCATATCGCCGGAGACTGTACTTTCCTGCGAAACACAACTCTGCGACTTCATCCATGACTTGCACACTAACCTTGAACCTTAAACCTTATAATGAAAAAACTGACGCAGTTTTTTTTTTTTTTTTTTTTTAAAGCGTTCGGCCGTGTTTTTTATCAACGCCTTCTTTCTAAGCTATCATCTTTTTGCCTCGACCAAATAACCGTTTGCATAGATTCGTGACTTTCTTTTTTCCCGTGTACAGGTCACGTCCATGATGATCATGAATCTTCCTTAATAAATGTATCTTTTGGTGTTCCCCTGGGGTTCGTACTTGGGCCCTTACTCTTTTTAATATTTATTAATGACATCCCCATTGGGATTTCTTCAAAAAACCGCTTTTTCGCCGACGACTGCGTCATCCATAACAAAGTAACTTGTGTGCAAAATAATAACCAGCTTCAGGAAGATCTAGAGAAAATTAACAATTGGTGCAAAGAGTGGATTATGTCATTAAACAAGTATAAACGCAAACTAATCCACTTCACCAAGAAAAAAAAACAAACACTGTCATTTAATTACTTCTTGTACTCCGATCTGATTGAGACCGCTACTGTGTATAAATACCTTGGTGTAAGACTAACATCTGACCTTCCCTAAAATAACCACATTGAAGTCATTACAGCCGATTCATCTGGAAC